ATGATGACACACTAATACTTTCATTTTTTTTGTTACCTTGTTTTGACTTAATATCTTGTATATTGTTATCTCTACTTTCTGATGGTATAAAAAAATATACATTACTATGGTAAATGTTCTCATAAAATGCAAAGAAACGAAAAAGACTCGAATACGAAATTTTTTTTTAATCATTTTGCACAATTATGAGCTATTAATTAAAATTTACACTTTAATTACTCGAAAAATGTAAGATTAGAATTATAATACTATAATTAACAACCAAATAAGTTAATAAAGTTAATATTTAACAAGACCTCTACAATATTTTGAGAACGTTGTAGAATCTTATTTAAATTATATGCGTAGTTCCCTCTTTATTGTTATTTTAAGATAACTTATATAGCTGAGTGACCCACGGAAAATTTTAGCCCATCAAAAGGTATTTCATACTGAAGTGGGGAAGGAGCTACGAGGGTCTGGGCCTTAGTCCCTGTTATTTCGTAACAGCCCTAAAAGCCGTTAACCAGTATTCGAGATACAGAGCAATGAACAGAAATGTCAATTGCTGTTATTTCATTTGCTGTTATTTAGTAGCAGCTGTAAAAACCATTAGCCAGTATTCGACATACAGAGCAGTGAACAACATCGTTCATAAAATACAAGTGAAGGCTGAGTTACTTTAAGAGAATTGTGTCAAAGGAGGCTTTTTCGATATTAAGTCAAAATAATAAAAATAAAAAATTAGTGTCTTTTGGACATAAAAAGGTAAGTTTTTATCAACTTCCGTGAAAAAAAATTAGACATTCCTGTAGATGTTTTTAAATAGGATTAAGTCTAGATTTTTATTGTGATCGGATATCTTATTAGAGATGACAGGTGTCATACAGAGTACACTTTTGTGCATTAATAATGTATTTGTTTTTCGTATACGGATCCTATTACTGATGTAGGTCCGTCTATTGCGAATAACAGTATCAGCTAACCTTTCAAATAGTTCCGGGTTCAACTTTACAAAAACTGTATAAGGACGGTCATGTCATCTTTACATGGTATTAAATAAAGTCGATTTTTTGTTGTACGTTTAGATCTTTTGAACTAAGCAACGGATTTTAATACGGTTTTCACTAATAGAGAGAATGATTCACGAGAAAGGTTTATATGTATAATACGTGCATATTTTAGTAGAGGAAACCCGAGAATTTAAAAGGTTTGTCTTAAAAAACATAGTTTTGCACGCTTTCATTGTATACGCTTGCTAACCCCTACGAGATAGACCAAAATAATCTACTACGGCATTGTATAGCCTAAAAATATCTACAAAAAAGTCCGCAATAGCATATATCTATCTCCTAGGGATAACCCACAATAACCATTTTTAACTTTTGAATGTTAAAAAATAATAATGGGTTATTTACGAAGCTATTTTAAACAATACAATATTATTTTTTATCCAATTAAATACGTTAAATACGTCGTGCATTTAATGTAGATTAAAATTGCTTCTTACAGCATATCATTATAATGAATATTTGAGAAAATATTAAAGGTTTAAAATGCGGGGGCAATGCGGCCGTCATCGCTTCGGGCCGTAAATCAGTCGCGGGCAGCAGCGGCCGCCAGGATCGGAGCGGCCTATAAATATTGCATATAAAGATGTCCTGTAGTATAGTCCTATCATAATAATAGTATAATTAATCACTCCATACTGACACCACATTACTAGTATTAGTAATATCTACATTGCACCCGTTTACTGAAGCCGGGGCGGATCGCTTATCTATATATATAAAAATGTTAAGTTGGTATGTGTATGTTTCAAAAACTCAAAAAGTTCTGCACCGATTGAGTTCAAATTTTGATACGGTACGGAACACATTTTAAAGGTGGTTTTTAGCAATTTTTGCACCCACAATGTGCCGCAGGCTACATCTAGAACTTCTATACTTCTTTAAATATGGTAGGTACTTACACAACTATCTGTAGATTTCAATTTGAACATTGCTCTAATACATTGCTCTTGAGATTAAAAAACAATATATTTATTTGTCGAATTGCCCCAGAATATTATGCTGTATCTAAGATACGATGAAGTCATTCCATAATATGCTTTAACTATACCTTCATCATTGGGAAGCGGTGCAAGTTTGAAAAGAGCATAATTACTGTACTGCTGATTTTTTTTGCATAACTCTTCAGTATCCATTTGCCGATTAAGCTAAAACAATTAAACCAAACCAGCATAGAACAGATGCAGACGCATCTAACTATTTTTATTCCGATTGGGCGGAATAATTACAGAAGCTTGCACCAGGCATAAAACGCTAGTTACGACCCTGGGTATTTATAAAGAAACTAACGCGATCAATAGGAATGACGTACCTTTGAATTTCGACCAACGGTCTTGGGTACATCTTAGTGGCTCACTAATGCATCATCCGTAGAGTTATTTTAGTAGAATTTGCGCCATCTAGCGGCATATTTTGATATTTTTTCGTTTCACTTGATATGATCACATTCTTACAGTGTCCATTGACGGGCCTGTTCTTCTAGTGACCCTGACTGCTAAGGTGGAGGTCGTGGGTTCGATACCCACTCAGGATAAATATTTTGTGAGATGAGCACGACGATTTATTGTGTGTCTGGGTGTAATTTATTTATGATATGTGTATACTTAGAAATATATTATAAGTAAGTGTTAGTGTTATTATTGTAAGTTGTTATTATTTATTATTAGTATGTTTATCAGCAGTCTGGTTACCATAGCACAGGCTCTGCCTAGTTTGAAATCAGACGGCCGTGTGTGAGATGTGTGACGTTATTATTATTATTATAAGCAAACCGGTATATATACATATGTCGGTAAACCTCCTTTCTAAGGAGAGGCTTATCCTGTTGTCGTAAACTGATGCAATATTTGTATATGCATCATATATATGTATATATATCATAAATAAATGGTCCGTGTGGTGACGGATTAAGAATACAGAGTGTCACCACCCCTATTTATCCCGTGGGTGTCGTAAGAGCCGACTAAGGGAGAAAACTACGCAGAACAACAGCACTGCAGAGAGAAGGAAAACTTTACACAAACCCTATACCAACCCGTCTGGCCAGCGTGGTATACTAGGCCAAAACCTCGTTTCTAAGGAGAGGCTTATGTCCAGCAGTGGACTTTTATAGGCTGTTGATGTGAGGATGATGTGATGATGATGCAATTTATAGAAATGGTATTTTAATAGGTCTTCCGAGGTCACAAAATACCTCTTTAAATCATCAATTTTTTGTCTTAAGCTCATAGCAATTAGCTACAGCTAGCTGTCTTTTTAGCTTAGCTAGCTAGACCTAACTATGAAGCCACATACAAACACTCATCTTTTATGCTCGAAGGGAGAGAAAGAGACGTATTAAACGCCTACATTTTGTCGACTATACATTGAGTCTCACTCACGTAATAGGTGACTAGCCTAATTGCCGTCAACCAGGCATATAATAAACTAGCTTTTGCCTTTGGCTCCGCCCGCGCGCCCAAAAGTAGCCCATGTCCTTCCTCAAGAATCAAACTATCTCCACTCCATACCAAACTTCATCTTAATCGGTTCAGCGGTTATTGATTGCAAACTGCCACTCCACCTCTCACCCTCTTTAAGGATGGTTTCCTGGATAAAACTATCCTATGTCCTTTCCCGGGACTCGAACAATCTCTATACTAAATTTCATCTAAATCAGTTTAGCAGTTTAAGCGTGAAGAGGTAACAGAGATACACACTTTCGCATTAAAACATTAGTATGTTACTACTATAGCTACTATAAGCTACTATAGCTACTATAATAAGAACCATGCTACTACGATAGAGACCACAACCTCACAGGAAATCGATGTTCAGCAATTCTTAATTTCTTCGTTGTTTTATGATGCATTTAGTTCAATGAATTGAGGGCATAATAATTGTATTTGATAGCCATCATCATATTATGACGGCTATGAATCAAGTTACAACAAAATGGACGCAAAACACACCGCGATAGCCAATGATTTATAGCATTAGATAATTAATTCTTGACGTTTTGTCATTGCAGTATGACCGCTTGTTATCGAGTTCAAGGTTTAGGACAAAAATAAATACAATATTTATAATATATCTCACATACACGGCCGTTTGATTCCATACTAGGCAGAAACTGTACTATGGTAACCCGACTGCTGATAAACATACTTATATATTTTTAAATAGCTACATACGAATATTATAGATAAGTACACCCAGACACAGAACAAATGACCGTGTTCATCACACAATATTTGTTTTGGATGGGAATCGAACCCACGACCTCCGGTTTAGCAGTCAGGGTCACTAACCACTAGACCAACAGGCCCGTCTAATATAATATTTTCTTTTTATATATGCCCTTAATTTAAATAAAAAAATATTGTGTGGGAAAGTCGGGTGTGTAATATTTGGCACAATAAGAGATAGTCTAATATCACTTAAAATAACGTTCACATCATATAATTTTCATATGATTTCATTGGATATAATGCTACATTTCATTTAGCTTTCATTTGCTTTAATAACATTTAGTATAACGTTCATTTCATAAAATTTTCAATTTGTATAATGCTCTTCTTACATTATTTGACCTGATTTTCATATTTACTAATTTTTATTATTAATTAATGCAAAATGCAAATATATGCAAAATTAAATTGTACCAGGCATATACAGGACTAGGGTAAAGTGTTAAAATATCTCTTAAACCGGTAGGTATTAGTGTGCTTGTTTATGCTTTATTTTACACCAGTTACAATCAGGTTATATACCTTGTTTTAGAGATATGTTAACACTTAGTCATGTATTCGTGGTACAATTTTATTTTCACGTAAAAAACTACGAACCAATTGTTTTTGATATACGCGTATGTTTTTTTTTCTTAAATTATGAATAAATATATTCATAGCAGTTTTTTTTTCAGAATTCAAAAGCCAAAGCGAGAAAGAAAGCTACTTATAATAAAACAAAATGACTCTGTGTCGAATGGTCAACGATTCCCTGCACTGGTATATGCAAGAACTCTCTTCTCGTATAGTGGCTGATTCACAAATACCTACAGACAGACACCATATTGGCAAATTGATCTTTCAGAGTATGAAGGACGATCTAGACTTTTTGGTCCAGGTAAGAATCTGAGCATAGCAATGAGAGATCGATTGTAAGATGAAAATTTAGGATTACACACAAAATAAAATAGCACTCAAAAACACTGGTTAAACGGAAAAACGACAGAAAGAGACTTTTTTTTTTTTTTAACGTGTGGAAATCCCCTCGGACCGTCACCCCTCCGGGGTTTGCGGCGGGGTGGTGTGTCGGACTCGGACCGACTAAAACCACACGGTGTGCCACTCTGCGCCTGTAACAGGAGGGATCCGGGAACAGCTGTTGTTAAGACATCCGGACCCCTCCTAGCGCCAGCCCGCTCCTGGTGCGGGCTCCGTCTCGATGTTGTTCCTCTCTTTAGGCGACGTCCGGCACACGCGGACGCCGCCCCCTCGCGGCTGGCCAAACTAATGCGGGTGGAGGGGAAACCCACCCCGTCCACCCGCGGCCACACTCAGGGCGGCATGAGGCTGTGGTAGGCGGGCCTCCGCCGCCCGGTTCGCCGGCGGCGGATCGGGTCCGAGTGGAGGTCGTCCTCCCGGGCCCTCTCCGCCGCCTCCTTCCGCGAGATTACTACCTCGCAGAAGGTTGCGACCGCGGTAAAACAACTGTCGCTACCGGCCATGGAGCGTACTACGGCCGGCAGCGAGAGATCCACTCCGATGACTGCAGTGAGGGCCCGGCGCTGCGCCGCCCATGCGGGGCAGACCGCCAGCGTGTGCTGGGCCGAGTCCTCACTGCAGTCGCAGTGGTGGCAGGCGGGACTCAGTTCCCTCCTAGCGACAGTGTGCAGGTACTTTCCGAAGCAACCGTGCCCGGAAAGCACCTGCGTCAGCCGGAAGGAAAGGGTCCCGTGCTGCCGCCCTGCCCACTCGGCGATGACCGGCTGGAGAGCCTCCACGGCGGCGAAGCCAGCGCGTGGAGTCTCCAGCCGGAACGACCAACGAGCCATCGTGGCTCGGCGAGCGGCTTCGCGCCACTCGCGCACATCCTCGGGCGGAGGGCGAAATCCGCTCTCCGCCCGGGAGTCAGCCACTCGCCGATAAACTTCGGCGAGCACTTCCGCCTCCAAATCCCACGGGGGAGTTCCGGCCAACGCGCATGCCACCTCCGTAGAAACGGTGCGGTAACCGCGTATGGCTCTGACCGCCATTACCCTCTGAGGGCGCCAGAGGCGTACCCTATTCTGGGCGGTCAGAGCCGCCGCCCACACCGGTGCACCGTACAGCGCCATTGACCGGACAACCCCCGTGTACAGCCGTCTTGTCGCGACGCTGGGTCCACCCATATTGGGCAAGAGTCGCCCTAGGGCAGACGCAGCGCCGACCAGCTTTGGAGCAAGCTGTCGGAAGTGCTCGTCGAAGAGCCACCTCCCGTCGAGGATCAGGCCCAGATATTTCATCTGGGCCCGAACCGGTACGAGGACCGAGTTGACCACGATTGAGGCGCCAGGGGGTGGACCACGACGGGGCCCATGGAATAACAGGGCCTCCGTCTTATCTAGGGCCACCCGTAAGCCCAGCGCCTCAATGCGCCCGACCACCAGGGAGACTCCCCCTGTGGCCAGGCGCGCCGCCTCTTGGAAGTTTGCCCCCCGGGCTGTCACGAGGGTATCGTCTGCGTAACAGATTACACCCAGCCCGGGGGGGAAATCGGCGCGAAGGGCCCAGTCGTACCCTATGTTCCACAAGAGGGGTCCAAGAACAGACCCCTGTGGAACACCGCACGACAGTACGCTCCTCTAAATAGTCTGCCACTAGCCGCCTCAGGTACTTTGGCACCGCATGATAGTGGAGTGCTTCCCTGATGCAGCTGAATGGCAGACTATTGAATGCGTTGGCGATGTCCAATGACACCGCCAACAGCACGCCACCACAGCTCACGGCCTCTTCGGTCACGGCCCTCAAGCGCAACACGGCGTCGACTGTCGAACGCCCCGCCCGAAAACCAAATTGGGCGTCCGACAGGTCGGGGCCCGGGGCCCGGGCGTCCCCCGGGTGCCGGACGATGCGGGCAGAAAGAACCCTCTCAAACAATTTGCCCGCCTCGTCCAGCAGCACGATGGGCCTATAGGCCGCGACCGAATCGGCAGGCCGTCCCGGCTTCCTCAATAGGACCAGCTTCCCGCTCTTCCAGCACTCAGTGGTTGCCATGTGGTTGAGGGCCAGGGCCAGCACTCGGGCCGGTACCCCGTCTGGCCCAGGGGCGGTGTTCTTGGAACGGATCCGTAGAACAGCCGCCCCTACCTCCGAATCCCGGACGGGCGGAACATTATCCTCCCCGTGCTCCCCGTCGTCTCCGGCCAGGGAGGCCATCGACGGGGGAGTGTGTTCCGCCCGTTGTGGGAAAAGGCCCTCAACCACTTCTCGCAGGAAGCTGGGCTGGAGAGTCTCCGTAAGGTGGGGGCCCGACGCGCGGAGCTTTTGTCGCACCGCACGGTAAGGGCGACCCCAGGGGTCACGATTAAGACCCTCCCGCATCTCCTGTCTCTTTTCCTCTTTGGCGCGGCTAATGGCCAGCTTCAGAGTTTTCCGCGCCCGTCGGTACTCCTCATGAAGCCGGTCCTCCTCACCGTCTCCACGGTGACGCCGCCGACTGCGTGTGTAGGACCTCCGGGCACGTGTACAGGCCGCACGGAGGTCCGCCAGCTCCTGGGACCACCAGTAGACCTCCTTCCTTGGAGGCCGACGACCTCGAATGCGGGGCATGGCCGCATCGCAGATATGCGTAATCGCATCGCGAAAGCGACCAGCCCCCACGTCAACCTCCTCGGTCGGAGCCTGCGGAGACAGCCACGAGTGAATTATGGCTGCCTCCTCTAGTAGGTCCCGGTTCAGTCTGGCAACAGCCCACCGCGGAAAGCGGGATAAACGCCGCGCCACGTGACCCCTACTGGAGTCCTGGGTCCGGGAGAGCTCAAATCGGATATACAGGTGATCCGAGAGCGTCTCAACCTCTTCCAGGACACGCCAGTTCCTTACTCGTGCGGCGAGGGCAGGGGTAGCGAACGAGAGGTCCACTATCGACCCCCCCTGCTGTCGCACGCACGTGTTGGTGGAGCCTCTGTTGAGAAGACAGAGGCCCACCGAGGCCGCCCACTCCTCTACGGCCTCGCCCCTTGCGTCCGTCCTGGGGGAACCCCACGCAATGGACTTTGCGTTGAAGTCCCCCAGCACAAGGACGTGCCCAGACGCTAGTCGCCGTATCGAGGTCTCCAAGCTGGTTAGGAAAACCTCGAAGTCGTTCAAACTCCGGTTGGGGGAGAAATAGACACCATATATGGTGATCCCCCCCCACTCGACGGCAACATATCCAGTGCCCTTGTCTCTTAGCGACAAGGGCGGGGAATGAGCCATCGTGGAACCGACGAAGAAAGAGACTACCGCAACCCATGAACACTTGCAACTTGAGCCCCAAGCGCGTTGCTGGCCTTTGAGGAAAGAGTACGCTCTTTTCTTGAAGGTCGTATCATAAACACTATTCCAATAGATTTTGCCTAAAATAAAATAGGCCTAGATCCTGTCAATCAATTCGGACATCCCTAAGGACTACGTACGTTCCATTCGATTCCTCCGATAAAGTTCATTCTGTCATTTATACTTATAAGTTAGGATTAATGTTTTTTTATTCTTTTGGCACTAGATCGATGGAGCCACGGACGAGGTCGAGACAGCCGCATCATTATTAAGAAGGACCGTGCGCTGTGCGACCAGTTTCAGGAACATGGGGCTGGAGCCTGGTGACGTTATAACACTAATGGCACCAAACCATATAGATTTGGCAGTTCCTTTGTACGCGGCTTTGTACCTTGGGGTCATTATTGCCGCTGTGGACAGAACTCTAACTATACGTGAGATTTAGTATTTATTTATGGTTTGCTTTCAGTCGTAACATTGGTACTTAATAATAAATTTCATGCGGTACCTGTCGCTAACGCTATCTGTTATAAGAGGTACGTTGACATTGACTGTAATGTAATTATAATGTGTCACCGAAAATTGAATCGGTAATCTGCTAGTCTTAGTAATACTTTACTATTTTACCACTAAAACATATTTTATGACCGTTGCGAGATCGAAAGTTGATCGAAACTGAATTTTTATCGAAACTTACGTTACATTACGGGAATTGGCCGTCTGTACGTTTGATATAAAAATGAATTTTTAATTAAATATAAATGATTTTATTTTGTCACATATTAAACATAATGAGTGATATTTAATTTCAAAATATAAACAGTCGATCTAGAATTAAATTTGATGATAATTTTTAACACTAATCAAAATATGCAAATGTTTTAAGATAATGAAAATAAATCAATGAGATGGTATAGATAAAACCAAAATGGCCATGAATGTAACAAAGGTTCATATTTTAAGTCCATTTTTTAATTTGAATACTAATTTAATCTACTTTTCTTTGAAATATGATTTCACACAGTAAATAAAAGATTCACATACGTTTACATAAGGAATCTCCCAATTTTATTTTAATTTAGATTCGGACTAACATTTTAACAAATAATAAAATAATAAAAAAAAACGTATTGTCACCATCGTCATCAACAGCCTTTCATAGTCCCCTGCTATATCATCAACAGCCTATAATAGTCCACTGCTGGACATAAGCCTCTTCTTAGAAAGAAGGTTTTGGCCTATTATTCCACGCTGGCCAGATGGGTTGGTATAGAGTTTGTGTCAAGGTTTCCTTATCTTTGCAGTGCTGTTGTCCTGCGTAGTTTGCTCCATTTGTTGCATTCTACTGAGTTTAGTTACCGCAGGTCCAACACTCCTTCACATATTCTGGCGTACCTGTAACGTACTAGTGTCTCTTGGGTTACAGGTGTTACTGACCTGACCCATCTAGCCTAGTGTGAGTTTATTTCACATCAACGGTCATCGCGGTGACCGCGTTGCACGTTACGATTGACCCTCTGCTTGTTTAAACTCTATACCATTTTTTTTTAATCTCGTGAATTTATTTCAGAGGAGTTACAACATACTTTTGACATGTCTCAGTCGAAGATAATATTCTGTCAAAGTGAAAAGGCCCCAGATGTCCAACTAGCGTTAAACAACCTGAACGCGGATTCGCACATCGTCACGTTTGACAAAGGAGACTATTTGGTCAATTTCGAAGAGTTCTTGGACAAGTACGGAGATGACACTACGGTAGAAGAATTCAAGTGGGTACAATGCAATTGTATTTTTTTCAATACTTAATGTAGTTTGGTTTGGTAAACTACGTAATCAAGTGTAGGGGGTAGGCCTTTACGAACTGAATAATAAATAATTTGAAGACAATTTTAAAATTGTAAATATATTAATACACAAAACTTACAGTTTATAAACTGTAAGTCTATACCAGTTGGAATAGTGTTAGTTGGTAGTCTCAGTCTTCACTACACTTTACTCAGAACAACCTTCTAATTTCGTTACAAAATTGCAGTTGTGTTACTACACAAATCGCTGGCGGAGCTCATTACATTAATATCTCCATGATGGCTCACTTTGAATAAAACGAAGAAATCTGGCTTCTCGCAGATACATCAGCACTCGTTAGGAAGTTTAAACACTTTTAAGATTTTCGCCAATAAAACAAAAACCCACCTTTCACTGCCAAATTGAAGTAATTGAACGTCAAGTAAGGTTAAGACTTGGGTGATGATACTGTAGATTACCAGTACATCTGAGAAAGCTGCTGCAATTCTTTGAGCACATATGAATCACACAGGCACTATCTATTTTGGTTATTAATGCAATAATAAGTAATATTGGGACAAAAATAGTACAAATTATTTAAAAATATGCCCATATTCGTTAATTCACTGTAAGATTTCCTATAGATAAGGATATTTATCACTCTTTTAGGCCAACAGATTTCGACCCAGAAGAAACGATTGCGTTTCTTATAGCTACAAGTGGAACAACTGGCCTTCCCAAGGCCGCCGCCGTCACACACACAAATCTTGCCATCTCTACTCCTAACATTATGTACGTATACTTAAGACCAGCGATAGAGAGAGAGCAGGTATTAGACAACGTTATTAATTCGAGTTGATCTTAGCATGTACTTTTCTGCTACTACTGTACTTGCATGATTGCCCTTCTTTATTCAAAAATTTCAATAATTATAGTAACATATATATATATATACATAGAACACACACTCATGCATACAAACATACACACACACACACACTCACAGAGAGAGAGAGAGAGAGAGCTTGGTCAGTGTCGCATACCTGTAACATAAAGATGTTGATCCGCATTAGATAATCGCAAGGTTGTCTGTAGTAGTACTGTCTTGTAAAAGTCCACATCGGTCTGACTACACTCAATGTACGTTAAGAAAATTTCTTTCTATATGTTAGCTCTGTAATATATTTATAAACATGCACATGACAAGACACAAGACATGCAGGCGTTTGACTGTGTTGCCACAGTCAAACGCCTGCATGTCACATAATAGCAAACAATCCTCAACTTTTGTAAAACAAAAATGTGTTAAGAATAATTGCTGAATACAACTTTTACACAATTCCTTGTTTATCTCTTTATCTTTTCTGTTATATCTTTTCAATTTAGAAGCACGTGACAATAACTCTGCACTGACAAATTTAATAAGCTTTTTTAGTTTAAAAGTATTCTCCACTTACTATTTTACGTCAATTAACATTCACAAATGTCTTGTAAATCAATGTCTCTATTGCACCTACTCACCAATATTGTCTTCATCATAAACGACGTAGGCCTCTCCTTAGAAATTAGACGTGAATGTGAACATCTACATGACGAGGTACGTGAAGGACAGCCGGCGACTGCGGTTGAAGTTCTGAAGACTGACTATAGACTGAAGTTATTAAAACTGACAAAAAAAATTAGTTGCCAGTAAATTCGTGCTTTGTTAGGCATTGGAATGAGCCAAGTGCAAAACATTTTACATGTGCATTTGAGGTTTCGGAATCTTTGCACTCGAGGACCAGAAACGACTGCGTGTCCAGTGGTGCCGTAAATTGATAAAAAAGTTTAACGGAGGACAGTCATTGGCTGCGTATAATCTCGTGACAGGTGACGAAACCTGGGTGTACTGCTTTGACAAGAAAGTTAAGAAAAGTCGAAGCATTGGCGAAAAACGTTGCTTCTTTTTTCGGAAAATCAGGACATTATTATACAGTATCGATTGAAGATCAAAGGACTGCAGATTGGTACGTCAACATTTGCTTGCCCAGAGTCTTAGAAAAAGCGTGTCTGAGTGTAATTTATCTATATAATGTATGTATTTAAAAATACATAAGTAAGTTTAGCAGCAGATTGGTAGCCATAACACTTTTTTTTAAATAAAATACATACTTTTGTTTGTGGTTCAAAAATGCCAAACGCGCCCAAAGAAGTTTTCATTTCAAAAATTATGTTATCTTTCATTAAAACTTCTAGACAAGTCAAGTAAAAAAATAGATTCCGAGGCAACTTATTTTTCTCTTGCTACGGACACTCTTTGTGAATAGGCGTGATACTTCAACGAATGATCGTTTTTTATCGTTTTCGATCGTTTAAACTACTTAATTTTTTATTCAGGCTCCGACACAACCATTTCCCAGGACCTACTCGTCTTGCTCTGATTGGTTCACCGCTGCAGTGGTTGACAGCGATAATAAACTTTGTCCTTTCACCAATTTTGCGATACACGAGACTTCAAACTTCGGAAACTCTGACACAAGAACATTGTTACTTTCTTATCAATAAGTACAGGGTAAGAAATGGAGACAGTATTAACAATTTTTCACATAAATTCAATTGAATGTAGGACAGGGATTACTTAAGCGCAGAAAGACACTCTTCATTTTGGAATGTGCGAAGACTATTAAATAGTTGGAAGCCATTTTAAGTACTTACATATTTAAAAATATCTTCTATCTAGTGAAGTAAGGCAAGGAAGGAAGGAAGAAATAAGAGGAATTCCTTTAACCTCTGACTAAATACTATAAAGTAAGGAGGGATTATTGATATTTGCCTTAACAGGTTTAAACTGAAGGTTTCGATTGCCCACAGTTAATTTAACAAGTATTAATCATAGTAATTGTTTATGAATAAATTAATGAATTTTGTTAATCTCTTCGTGCGTAATATCTTCAGCTGCTGGCTATTAAAAATAAATAATTAGTGTGTCTTCCTTATCTCATTTTTCATAGGGATGAAACTCATTATACTCACGGTATTTTTTTACGGTTAATCATATTAAGACCTTAAGCCTTATGAAGTATATTATATTTTCAAAAAGTAGGACTGCAAATAGGTTTTAAAATCGATCGTATGTTACAGTGTGTTATGACCTTAATAATAAGGAGAATGTTTTTTTTCCTAACTGATGTAAAATACATGAAAAATCAACGAGTTCATTTTCGAGATTATGCATAAATGGTATCTGAAATATTTTTTACAGCCAACCTTCACAATATTGAGCCCCACTATGATGACAAACCTTATGAGGCCTGGAGACCGGGATAAGTGTGATTTTACTTGTTTTGAGACAGTTTTTCTAGGTGGCAGCGCTGTACCGCAAAACCTTATTGATGAATTCAAGGTACCTAAAATTATTCTAAATAATAAATAAAATAAACAAAACTTAGTTGTACCATGTTTTTTTATGATAAAGTCCATTTTTATATACTACTGCTATACCTTTCATAATATGTACATCACATAAATTTATTCGTTTTTCTAAGAGTTGAGGATGATCCAGGAAAAGACGGTTGGGCTATGTGAAAGAGACATATACTACATAAGAAACAAATTAGGATTAAAAGGCTGTATTATATCTTTTATATAATACAGCCTTTTTATATAATACAGCCTTTTTTTTTTATATAATATAGGCTGTATTACACTTTTTTTCCGTGTGGTGACGGATTAAGAATACAGAGTGTCACCACCCCTATTCATCCCGTGGGTGTCGTAAGAGGCGACTAAGGAAGCAAACTACGCAGGACAACAGCACTGCAGAGAGAAGGAAAACTTGAACCAAACCCTATACCAACCCGTCTGGCCAGCGTGGTATAGTAGGCCAAAACCTCCTTCCTAAGGAGAGGCCTATGTCCAGCAGTGGACTAGTAAAGGCTGTTGATGATGATGATGATGATGATGATGATTATATCTTTTGTGTTACAGATGCTGTCACCCAATGCCGATGTACTCAATACATTTGGCATGAGTGAATTGTGTGGTGTGGCTTTCCATGGTGATAACCAGGCTCTAGGTGCTTGTGGAAAACCATTAAGCTGTTTTCAGTACAGAGTATGAACAGTTAACTTTTTACTTTTATTTAGATGATCTACGTATATCTGCCAGTAGAGTTTAAACTCAAGAATCTCAGTATTAGTATTTGTACGTACGAATATCTACCTATCTCCTGTAACTTTGGGCATTACCGATCGGAAAATTAACAGTATTTTGAAAAGGCTAAAAGTAAAATGTAGGTAAAGGAATTAATTTCACTTGTTCAGTTGGATTGGAGAGTAAAAACAATGAGGCAAGCAGATCGGCAACTGACAATTTGACTTCATTGGGACCTGGAAATTCGAGTCCTGATCAGGTTCAGATTTAATATTTATATGATAAACTTTTTATTTCATATTTTTTCGACTCTTTTCCTCCTCCTCCCCTACTCCCTAGGCGTCGTCCCAAACGACTAGAACCATAACTCCCTCGTTTTCTAAAATTATGGAATCCGTAATCAATTGCCAGTTCGCCCGGTAAAATCATCAGCTACTCAATGACCGACAATATGGTTTTCACCGGGGTCGCTCAGCTGGTAATCTTCTACTCTATCTAAATGGTGGGCACAGGCGATCGAGACCAAGAGCCGCTCTCTTGGTGTCGATCGATTAGTTTGTACGATTATTATTTGGATATTGTGAAGACCTTTGATCAGGTCACCAGTTTTCACCAGACATTAAGGCATTACGGTCGTTATCGATGGTGCATGCTCCCACTTAAAATCTGTAAATGCTGGTTTCCCGCAAGTCTATTCCACACTGTTTCTTCTACATATTCCTGACATATTGTGAACTTGCGGATGGTAGTACTGGATATGCCTTTTTTACCGATCACCCAATATTTTTCGGGAAAACATCCAATATCGCCGTCCGCCCCAATATCGGTTTGAGAGCACCTCCCTAAATCCCTCACTCAGTATTGGAATTTTAGGCATCGAGATATCGAGCGAAGTCCAGTTCCGGGGTCACTTAGAGGCTATGGTCAAATTAGCCTCGAAGAAGCTCGGTGTGCTGAACAGTTCGAGGCTGTATTTCACTCCGGCTCACCACCTCTATAAGGCGCAAGTCCGGCTGCTTAGGAAATACTGTTCTCATCTGTATGCAGGGGCACCCCAGTAGCAGATTTGCCCTTTGGACCACATCCAACGACTTGACATCGGTCCCTTGTCTTTACATAGATTTGTAGCTTCACTCTGCATTTCCTATCGTATATATCATGGAGAGTGCTACGAGGAATTGTTCGGACTAATCGGTATAGCGGCACTGGCGGCAACTTTCTGCCCATCGTTCCACACGGATTTCTTTTTATCCCCATCACTTTGATATTTAGCATACTAGCATACTATGCGCTTTTCAAAACACCTTTGCCTCGCACAATAAATCTGTGGAACAAGTTATCGTCTGCGGTATTTCCGAACTGATACGATCTTCAAACTATCAAGACTCCTGATTTTCAGGTGCTCATGGGCGGTGGTAGTCACTTTCCATCGGGTTCGTTTGCCCCCTCTTCCATATTTCATTTATTACAATAAATTATATTCTTATAAAAGAAATATTACAAATTTCAGATAGTCAACGTTGAAACAATGGAGGATATTTATGAACCTAATGAGCCAGGTGAATTGTGGATGAAAGGACCTGGTATCTTTAAGGTAAAATGTCTACTTTGTGTGGTGGATTTCTTTGTTGTAAAGAAAACTATGATATTTATTATCAGGTTTCTATTGAAGTCTTCAAACATTTATATTTTAAACCAGAATTTTGTAACGCCAACGCCAACGCCAAGGCCACCATTCCGAATTGTAACGCATGACATTTTTTTCAGTTTTTGTCATACGAAGGTATAACAATAACAATAATCGTGAGAAATTAACATCGTTCCACAAAGCATTTTAGTGGCTTTCTTTGTTTGCATATTTAATTTCTACTTCAAAATTTTTTCTTCTCCCTTAGACCAAAACATAATGTAAAATTCTCAAAAAAAGGTGTTATAATAATAAATGTCTTAAACGAATGTGAGATCTATCCTAACACAATATTAATAACTACGATCTACGATCAAAAAAATATTATTAAATAGCATAACGCTTTAATTAAAGGGGTACTACAGAAATGACGCTGCTACAGAAGAGACGTTTGCTGAGGGACGATGGTTTAAAACTGGTGACACTTTCTACAGAGATGAGAACTGGAACTTCTTTTTCGTGGACAGATTGAAGTTGCTACTGAAGTATAAAAATAATCAGGTTATACCTACTGGTTGTCATGATATTTATTAAATTTATTATTTATTTATTTATTATATTTATTATTTATACGGCCGATATGCGTCGAATAGCAAGTAAAGATACCTTTTTTTACAGCATTGAAATACTATTTTTTTAATAACAAATAAAAAATAACTTAAAAACCCCCATAACACAATTTTTGACCTTGCCAACAATATTATGGTCATCACCGCCGCAACGCATGGTGTTACATTGCACTAAACGCAACGCAACGTGGCTTGTAACAATTCAATTCGAGCTAGCAAAATCTCTTCAAAAACCTTTGTAGATATAAAATCATAAATACATATTGGGTACGCAATACATAATTCACAAGATTTACTTATTTATATTAATTTAAATATGTATGTAAACATGAATATATCTACTTTTCTTAATTATACACTTAATATATTTACTTGCTTTGACTCCGAATTTGCAGTTTGAATTCTATTAAGTATTTGACATTTTATTTACGTTTTGAAGATATACATTTTTTAAATATTAATGTGTGCAATGTACCTATTGGGATCATTAGTAGAACAGGAACATTTTAATTTTATTCATCCTGTCTGCAATATACAAACTTTATTGCACTCTTCCTGCATAATACAGGGGTTCTCATGAATTCCTTACAATTGTAATGCATAACAAAGTATTTAGGCCTTTACAACTAATGGTATTAAATGTATAAGCAGATATCACCAGTGGAGGTAGAAAAAATTATACACCAACATCCTGGCGTACTGGACGTAGCTGTGACAGGCATACCAGACCCTGAGTTTGGAGACCTTCCCGTCGCCTGTGTTGTACCAAATCCTGGATTCGAACTAACAGCTACAGAAGTCAAGGACTGGGTGAAAGGTTTGATCTGTTATATAAATATTATGGATATAAACACATACACTTCACTTTTTAATGGATTTGTACAGTATCTAACACTGTGTGGCAACCATAATACAAATTAAAAAAAAAACTTCATTGAATTGTGTACATAGTTATTAATTCTTTGACGCCTGTTTAGTTTAACTATATTACAGGGATCTTGGAAGACAGTTCCGCTTGCAATATATTTCAAGTATATATTATGTATACCTTTTTCTGAATACCTTCCCGGGTGACCGAAAAGAACATTTGTCAATACTGCATAAATATTATCTTTTTTACAGAACACCTTTCAGACGCAAAGCAATTGAGAGGGGGTGTGATATTTGTTGATGCAATACCAATGACTGCATCTACAAAAGTACACAGGAGAAAACTAAAAGAAATGGCTCTGGAACTGCCACGGGAGTGAGGCCACAACATATATTTTATTTTATATGACAATGAATAAGCGAATAGATATTTAATATTCGTATGAGAACTTTTAATTCTTAAGAATAGTTGACATTATAACAACCTTAAAGCAAAAGATTCATGAGTAAACTTTGAATTTAATCAAATCTATAATTTTCTTTTTAATCCTGGGAAAACCATGCTGCAGCCAAAGAATATTGAACAATTGAAACAAGTTGGCCAACCTGACTGGAGTGAAACCACGACTTCAATATAAATCTTATATATAAAATCTCTTTGTGGTTGCACTCCTCCAAAAAGGCTGACAGTTGATATTACCACATGATTTTCATGTGGTAAAGTCTCTTACTATTTATTTTTAAACACTATTTTTATATATTTTTCGCGGCTTCACAATCTCTTAGATTTATTAGCTTATTTTGGGATAGATAATTTAATTTTATCAATTTAAAAACAAACATATTTTAATCAAATGATTTGTCTATGTGCATCATAAACAATATTCATTTTATTGTTGAACTGTTGGGTTGGCATCGCTCTTTTAAGCGTGTGTCTATGGTTATTTTGGCAGGAGTTATATCATTCTGTAATTCTGTTACATTTCGTGAATATTTCGTGTTAGTGCTATGTAATTTAAGTACCTAGTATTTTTATGTTTATGGCTCTACTTAGGTAAGCTTATAATAAGGTTTTGTAGATCTAATGATAAATTTGATTACGAGTGTGTAATATAAACGTCGTCTACTTACATCATATTATTTTACATAAGATTTTAGTTAATAAGGTGCACATTTGTGTTAAATTGTGATAATACGGTAACTAGCTGTATACTCTGAAAGATTTTGTTTTTGACAGCTGCTTGAGAACGTAACTGTACTGTAAAATTGAACTGAAAATATAAATAATACGTTATTTATTTAATTATCTTTATTTTACCTATCTATTTAAATATTAAATGTACCTATAGCATTTCAAATTATTTTGATAATATGACGTGTAGCATTTATTTATAAATAATCATTACTATATAATTATTTACCTATGTATTTAAAATACTTTGTTTAAATCTAGGTATTATAAAAAAAATCTCTAAGAAGTGCATTTGAACAGATGAAACTAACGTTTTGTGACTGGAGAACGCAACTCTACAAGATTTGAACCAAACATAAAACAATTTTAAATAGGTAATAATTTATACTACCGAGTTGAATGAATGTTATATTAGAATAGAACTAAAGAATAGACTGAGAAAACTAATAGAATAACGCAACGAGAAATGGCCAGAAGGTAAATTCTCGTAAAAAAATCGTCCAAAATTTAGTTCCCATCTACTCTTGATCGAGTCGAGTAAATGTTTATGACATTTACTCGACTCGAAGTACTAAACATCTAATGTTGTCTGTAACGTGAATATAAATCGTATTGTGACCAAAAGTTGAGTCGGTATTCTGCTAGTCTTAGTAATACTAACTACGAGCATATCTTTTATAAAATGTCTAAGATCGAGAATAGATCGGAACTGAATTTTAAAACGATTTTTTATTAGAATTGACCTTCAGGTTTAAATTGTATTTTACTTTTGTCATATACCTACTTAAGAAGTTTCCATTTCAATAAATTATTCAAGTAAAGTAATTAGTTTCCATTTAATAACTCGATATCATCCTCGTAAGTTGTTCACTTTTCATTGGCATTGGCACTTTCTATGTGATTATACACACACCATCGTCTATCACGCTGACGTCACTAATGGAATCACCAAATAAATAGGTACCAGGAATGCAATGATTGATTAAAAGGTCGATTTCGTTTTCGCTTATTTGGCCATGTCGCTTATATAGTTGACATAATTTGAAGTTTATATCTTTGTTGTATTTCAAAATTAATGAAAGTTATTAATTGATTTAAATCCATAATAATATAATTTAAGCGTTTACAGTAAGAATTTCCATTATTAACCAGTGTTGTTCGACCGATTGATTTGAACTCTTACGCATACCCAGAATATGATACGACTTCTTCTTATTCCTCTTCTTATCCCATTTATTGGGGTCGGGTTTCCTCACTTACCTGTTTCTGGCCTAGTTTTGGCCTACTACACCACGCTCGCCAGACGGGTTGTAGTTGTTGGTATGGAGTTTGTGTAAAATTTTCCTTCTCTTTGCAGTGCTTAGTATTTTGCTCCCTTAGTCGGCTCTTACGACACCCACACGATGAATATAGAAACGGTCTTGGGTTGTCGCTTTGCGCAACTGGGCTGTTTTAAGATCTCTTTTAAAGGTGCTCCACCAGGTAAGCGGCGAGCCACCTCTCCCTCGCTTTTATTGTGGGAGGTTCAATGACCATATCATCGAAGGAGATTTTCTGTGATTTTATTTGCAGTTGGTGCAACTTTGAAGCTTCCTCTAGCATATTCCTTGCGGGTTTTAAACAAAATATATCTAAAATTACGAAGTTTCCTCTAATACGTCATCGTATGGTTACGGGGAAAGTAATATGCTAAAACCGTACCCAACAGACAAATAGATACAAACAAAGAAACAAACTGCACTGATGACGTGGTGGTTTAAGCGGTCACCTCGCCGCTTCCTACTGCGCTGAGTGTTGTGGGTCCGATCCCCTTATGGGACAACACTTTGTGTGAATCAGAAATTGTTGTACTGAGTCTGTGTGCTCTTTGTGTCCGTTTAATGTATGTTTGTAAAATGCCCCCTCGACACAGGATATACTCCTATTTCGGGAGTTCTCTTTTTAAAAATAAAAGAAATAATAGTTAACAAGTAGTATATGCTATTCCATTTCTTACCTAATATATTATTAATATACTAGCTTTCTCCTACTGGCTCCTCCCGCGTGTGAGTCCGTTATTGCGGTAAAAAGTAGCCACGTCCTTTCTCAATAATCAAAGTATCTCCATACCACATTAAAATCGGTTCAGCGGTTTAGCCGTGAAAGCGTAACAATCGGACAGATCTATTTTCGAATTTTTAATATTAGCAGGGATAATACAAGCAAACATAAAAAGGCGTAAATAATAATTATAACCTGAAGAGTTTGTTTGTTTGGATAAACGCGCTAATCTCCGAAACTGCTGGTTGGAATAGAAAAATTATTTAAGTTTTGGATGGCACATTTGTCGAGGAAGGCTATTGGCTACAACATCACGCTATATCCAATAGGAACCTAGCATTAGCATCAATAATGAAAAATGTTGCAAAAACAGGGCAAGTTGATTCCTTTCGAGAGATCTAAGATGCTAAGCCAGTCTTTTATAAAACTATTATACTACAATTTTATTTGTGTAAAATTATGGTTAACGCAGTGACTGTCAGCACATACATAAATTACCTACACGTAACTGTGGCTAGAATTAAACTTGTCAAACTAGATTCTTTGTAAACTAGGTAACAAACATTACAGTGAAGGTTAGAACTGCGATTTAGGGTGCATTTCCACTACGCAGGTGAGCGGAGCGGGGTTTAACTATACTCGAATTTATTAAGTTACAGTGGTTTTAATTATAGTCATAATTAAAACCACTGTAACTTAAGCAAAACTAAGACGGATGGCGTTTCAGCATACAGTTCAATTTTACGGAATAAGTTATTACCTGTTGATAGATGCCGTATTTAAGTATCGTTTATCAGAAATGTTTATAATTATTCTAATCTCCGTAAGAACTTTAATTGTGGGATGCAGGATTAGTAGTTACTCCGTTGTTCGGTCTATCTTCTCCTGTATTCTCACTGGCTTCATAAAAATCGATGAAAGAATAGCTTAATACTGGTTTTCTGTGAGGCCGTGGTACCGAAACATGATTTCTCACAGTAAATGCGAAACTAAGTTTGTATGTTTGTTACGCTCTGACGTCTTAACGTCTCAGCCAAACGTCATGAAATTTTGTTATCATTGATCGAGATAAATCCTTATTAAATAAAAAGAGTCGAACCGACTTCAAACAATACTGACAAAAATCACTGAAAATGAAAAAAATAATTACAATTCTAATTAAAAACCAAATATGTACGACCTTCAATATAACAGGTTTATAGTAGCAATATATGCCTTCTAGTCTGTTAAAAGTCGATGCTAAGCCTGATACACAATAAATAATGCTAAGGGTCTATGTCATAAAGAATTAAGAATTCAATAAAATTCTAAGGAACATCGCTAATTTAGTTAATTAATAAAGACCAACCAGAGAAATTACCTACGCAAACTTATCAACTACTTAACACTGCATTCAAGTAATACCCTCCTCCTTTTTTGAAGTCGGTTAAAAAGAACGCTAAAGGTACATAAAAACAATTTTAACACGCGCGAACATTAAATAAAATTATAGCGTCTGTTGGTAATATCAAAATAATAGGTTTTTTTCATGGTCACACGGTTATTTGCATGATACCTATGCCTAAAAACCAGTTTAATTTTTTTGTCGATCTCTCGGTTTGTTCCCGGTAATGTTGTAAACGGCTGGACCGATTTTGATAATATTTTACTACTAGGTAGCTGTCTATATAAAAAGTAACTTTTAGCTATTTTTCCTCTCAGAAAAACCCTAAAACAATTTGCCCGGTCCGGAAATCGAGCCCACTAACGCGGCGCTTTTCAAATTCCACGCGAACCAAGTCGCGGGTACCAGCTAGTTAGTCTATAAATTCCCCGTTTATGTTTTTTGCGATAGCTACAGGAAACAACTACGAGTACGACCTGTATGTTTACAACAACATAACTAGTTAAGGCAAACAGGTTATGGTAGAATCATTTACGTAAGTACATGCATACTGCGTGAGTTTACAGTGAACGTCTGCTACAGTGAACTTAGTTATAAATATCAGCATGATTTAATATTTAATTTTAAAATCACCAAAATAGGTATCAACTAACTTTGATACCTATTTTGGCAATAGAATTTGGAAATTCTTTTGGATCGTTTTACCTTTCGTATAGAAAAAAGGATCTAAGATCCCAATTCTGTATTTTTTCATGATGTGTAGGGGCTAACGAACAGGCGTTCATTAGCCCCCACGCATCTGAATCTCCTGATGGCTCTGATGGAAAGTGGAACCACTCATAAATGCCTGTAACACAGGAGTCTCATCAAGGTGCGTCGCCAGGTTTTGAGGTGGCTCTTTGATTGAAGGTTTGGTGGACTTATCTCTATCTATAGGAATAAGGGAAATTAAATTTTATGAATATGGGTTGTGAGTACCTTTTTAAATGATGAAACCATAAACAACTCTCTTTTTCTTTTATAATGTATATAACTAGCTGACCCACGTAACTTCGTCTACGTCTCCTAAAAGGAATAATAAATATCAACCGTTTTTGCAACGCAAGAAAAATAGGAGTCGGGCATCAATGAAGAAAGCTTCATTGATGCCCGACTCCTATTTTTCTTTTTTATGTTGGAGGGGCCAGACGGGTTACCTGATTTAAAGTGACCATGAACGTCTGCAACTCAGGAGTCACAAACGCGTTGCCGGCCTTTTAGGAAGGAGTACGCTCATTTCTTGAACGTTTGAGGGTCGTATCGGTCCGAAAATACCGCAGACGATAACCCGTTTCACAGATTATTATTTGATGCAGTGTAGTGTTTTATAGCCTGATATTAAAGCATTGAACTTACATTTTTATTTCGTTGCGACTACTTCCATATTAAGTAAAGGAAAATAAGATTATAATTAGATTACTAACTCATTGGAAAAATATATTCCAGGTTCACTGAAATAAAAAAAAATTAACACTCTTACTTAAATGGCCACATTTTCATAGACCCTGAAATGGTGTAATGAGTTTTTTCCTGACAGAGACATAGTAGTGGAATTCTGAAGTTAAATATAAAATTTAATACAATTAAATACACTTTCTTGCTATATCCCTCCACAAAAAATCTTCATCGGTGTCATGTCTGTCATCATCGTCCGGATGCCTGTACAATAAAAATGTCAAGAAGTAGAGAACAATAATTAAAGTACCTACGTAGTTATTTATTAAATCTACTTATCATGTGCAACTGCTGAAAGTGAATTATAAATGACAGGGAAAGGCGAACGACTCCTAATATAAAACAAAGGTTCCTTAAACGGAGTCAGGTTTGTTGTACTTGCTGGGCTCTGAGCCTCCTCCAATACCTGAAATTCTGTATTGTGTTCTATATTCCGAATTTAAAATTTTTGGTGATTTGCTGACACAAACGCCTCCAAAGAGTTTGTTAAACAATCAATCAATCTAAAGTCTTCGTATTAACAGAATATTCTGTATCTGTTCCGTGTACTACGTCCATTGCTACTGCATATTTTTATTCTGTATCAGTCAATCGTCATGTGACTGAACTGAGATTATATTGATATGATAGTGAGACTGGATTGTACTTTTTGTTAACAGTATACCTATTTTCCGTCAATTCGACGAAACGAATTCAGTTTCGATTCAGGCACATTTCGCTCTTTGATGTTTTAAAATTACGAGAATTGGCCTTGTATAACTCTCTCTCTCTCTTTGTTAATTTGTCGTCTACCGTAAACTTGTTAAGTAACAATGAACATCTAGAATTGAAAATTCGAACGAAATATCTAACAGACAAGAAAAATAAATCAAAAATCATTATTACTTCGGTAATTGTGCGTTATAACCACTTGTAGATACATCAGGCAAAGGTATGTAATATTTATTAATCGCATTATTCCCTGAAGTAAGGGCATTTTTCTACATGATCAATTTTTATCCCCTTTGACCAGCTTTAGTATAGGCCAAGGACGTCCCCTTCCCCGTGCTCCTTTAGATTTAAGTAGTAATAAATTCAGGGTATATTCATGAATAAAGTTTTAGTACTGATCTCCTCCCGCCACAATGGGTCACGTAGTAAAGGTTTCATCATCATCAACAGTATTTTATAGTCCACTGCTGGACATAGGCCTCTCCTTAGAAAGGAGGTTTTGGCCTGCTGTACTACACTTGCCAGACGGGTTGGTACTCGGTTTATTCCAAGTTATCCTGCGTATTTTGCTTCCTTAATCGGCTCTTACAACACCCACGGGATGAATAGGGATGGTGACATTCCGTATTCTTAATTCGTCATTACACAGACAATAGGTACTTATCATCATCAACATCAACGCCTTTAATAGTCCCCTGCTGGACATAGGTCTTTAGGTTCTTATATAGTTGGCTAATAATTTTTATATTTGAATTAGAATTCTATGGAATGAGAAACTTTAAAAGCCGGTTTGAAAAGAGAGACGAAAATGTTATTAGTGGCCTTTCAGTCTTTTTTTTTTCAATTTTTTAAAAGGAGATTCCTATTATTTCGCAATGACGTAAAAACGTGTTTCATCCAGTCGACTGTGAAGTATTTTTTTATTACTTAATTGGTCACACCAGGATATATACATGTAATTTATTTTAATAATAAATGTTAGCGGTGTATTAAATATTTGCCTCATCATTTGTTTTAAATGTCGAATCTCAGTTCAGTTTTTTTAAATATAGTTCGGAAAATTTACAGAAGAATCTAGAAAAAGTAATTCTTTTTACTTTAAGTTAACCGCTATTATTACCGCCGTTCTGAAGTACTGTTGTCGGCAATGGCACTATTAGAAGTGAGGAGGAAGTATACCTCTGCAGACGACTTGGAGTCGCATAACGACCTCCATAAGCGCAGGCTTGGGGGTGACAGCTGAGGTCATTTGTCGCCTAGCAGAAGCAGGGGAGGGATTTCTAAGAGGATCGCTACGCGAAAAAAAGGCGCCGCCGCTCGTTTTTCTCCCTTTTTAAATATTTTTGATATTCATTCATTCATTCTAAAATTTTCAGTGGCTTCGTGCATGTAATTATAAATATTAGTATTCAAAGTATAACTTCACGATTACGATCTCGGATTTAAAAAAAACTTTAGGTAATCGAAAACAAAGGCTTATCTTGTTTATATAATATATAAAATTCTCGTGTCACAATGTTAGTTATCACACTCCTCCGAAACGGCTGGACCGATTTTTATGAAATTTTGTGTGCACATCGGGTAGGTCTGAGAATCGGCCAACATCTATTTTGCATACCCCTAAATGACAAGAGTGACCCACCGCTAACTTTTTTTTTCAATATTTCCTAGAAATAATGTATATGGCAAAACCAGGTTTGCCGGGTCAGCTAGATATTTATATAACTATTTCATATAACGATGCGACCAAATTTTTTTTTTAAATTTAACTATCGATAGTGAGTTCTGCATGTGAACGAGCACTCATAGTATCCGTTTTATGACGAACTACTTGGTACCCGCGACTTCGTTCGCGTGGTATTTGATAAGCGCTGCTCGTGATAAGTGGGCTCGATGCCCGGACCGGGCAAAATTTTAAAGTTTTTTTCTGAGAGGAAAAAAAACCTAAGTTATTCCTTATGTAGACAGCTACCTGGTAGTAAAATATTATCGAAATTGGTCCAGCCGTTTAAAAGATTACCCGGAACAAACAGACAGACAGACAGATAAAAAAAAACTGGTTTTTAGGCATAGGTATCGTGCAAATAACCGTGTGAGCATAAAAAAACCTATAATTTTGACATTACAAACAGACACTTAAATTTTATTTATTTGTATAGATAAAAACAAACTTACATAAATAAATGATATCGTAAAAAGAATTTAATCATTTAATTGCCTATAGTATTTACTTTGTATCACACATATACCGTGGCGTTAACTGTACTTAGAACAGTACGAGTAGATAAGTTGAATTCGAATCAATTAGAAACACACGTATAGTGTTTATAAGTACTTTAAAATATTTAACAGCGTGGAATACTGAGAAGTTCTTTAAGGTTATCTTATGGTAAGTGACTACCGTCGCCTATTGACTCGTCCAACTAAAGAGATGCAGGTGTATTGCCACCTTTTAAGAATTAGAGCAGTGGGGGGGTAACCTCACTCACGCTGTAAAAACCAACAATCCATACTAATATTATAAATGTGAAAGTGTGTATATCTGTATGTTACCTCTTCACGCTTAAACCGCTGAACCGATTAAAATTAAATTTACTTATTTGTATAGACAACTCGCTCTCGACTGCAATCGCGTTCTGACTTGCGATTGGTTAACATTTCAGTGCAAGCCAAACGCAGCGCCGAACGCGGTCACCGTGACGATCGAGTAAACTCTTGAGTTACATGGCGACGGTAGTCACTTAACAACAGGTGACCTGTCTGCTCGTATCCTACCATAAAAACAATATACTCGTACATGCCGATTTACGATTTGTAGTATAATAATTTATTTACAGACAGTAACGCAATTGCAAAATACCGGTTGGTTGTGTTTGAAAGAAGAATTGCGTGACAACACGGTTTAGTATAAGCCTGACCCTCTTTAACCACAGATTATACAATGGAACTGACATTAGAAGAGTTTCTTGGGAAAAAATATAAATTGAAATCGTCGGAAAATTTCGAGGAGTATTTGAAATTTATCGGTAAGTAATTTTGTAATAATGTGTTTTTTTTCTGTGTCAGTTTTAAGTTTACTTTGGTGTTCAAAATTAATTACATATTAATTGAATATGTGTTTTATAATGTACTTAAATTGTACATTAAAGTATTAATTAATTACTTGAATGTTATTTTATATATGTTTCTAATTTGACTTATCAGGTATTCATTAACTGATTAGAGTGTGATAAAAATTTAATAGTTTATCGTTTTACGAGCTTCTTTTTTGCGGCTTCGTTCGCTTACGTAAAGGCAATTTAGTTCATCAAAAATAATAATAAATATACATATATAAGAAAATAATAATAATAACTTCAGTCATCTCACACACGGCAGTCTCTGCTCAAAATAGGCAAAACCTGTTACCACTTACAATTGACTGCTTACAATCAAAGTTAAATATTTCTAAACACATACATAATTATTAAAAATATATTACACCCAGACAAAGAAGGAAATGATTGTCCTCATTAATTAATTATTTGTCCTGGGTGGGTATCGAACCCAAGTTCTCCGGCTTAGCAACCATGAACACTAACCACTAAACCAACAGGCCCGTGGAATTCAGGTAATTTTAATAAAAAAATATGGTAACCTAATAACCTTAATCACATTTTAGTTTTTGCATTAATTTGTTTGTTTTGCCTTTATGCGTCAATGAAATTAAAAAAAACTTACTTCATGTATTCCTGTATAATGAGTTTTTTTTTGTTGTGTCAAAGTCCAATTGTCATAACATATGTCTATCAAGTAAATGAATGGTCTGTGATCATTATCAAGACTGTAGTATTGTATATATATTATGTAGTATAATATGCCATAGTAGGCCAAAACCTCCTTTCTGAGAAGAGGCCTATGTCCAGCAATGGACTGTTATAGGCTGTTGATGAATATGTAGTTTAAAATTAGAATGAAATAAAAACAACATGAAGTAAGTAAAAACTGTTGAAATTATTATTTTTTTGGTTTTTTAATTTTTTTTTGTTTTTGATTTGTACGGCCTAAACATCATAAATAAACGACCCGAGACAGGTGACACTCCAGTGCGCACGGGAGGGTGTCGTCTAAGCCGGGGTTCTGTTGCGTCTCTCACCGTGTAGATCGGTGAGGGGCACGGCAGCATCCCACCCTTGGGGTGATCCTGGTCACCCAGGGATGTGCCTTTTCGGAATTTTCCACGGAATGCCACTAACCCAATTTAATTTTTTGTTATACCCCAAATCCGGACCATTCCAAATTTAACTTTATAATATTAAAAACATTTTTTTTACATATTTCTGCTTTCCTGGGCAAGTATGTCAGTTTCTTTTCCATTCTACTTAACGTAGTTAATGGGTTTTTTTTTTAATAACATCAAATAGGCAACAAATACCCTTTAAAGGTCTAATATAGATTAAAAATGATTCTATTACTCTGCCATATAAACTAACCTTCGAACTTACCTGAACTATTATATCGGGCTTAGTATTGTTACTGTTATAGCCTCGAATAGACAATTAATGTTAATTAGATAATTAATTAAACGCAACGACAAAAAACATCTCAAGTCAATTAAATAAAAGAAAATAAGTTAATTCGCTATATTTTCACTTTTGAAGTTTTTATATACCAAAGGGAATTCCGCTTCAAGGGAAATGACTCTTGGTGTAAGTAAAACCTTACTTAAAATAATATAAAAATAACTTGTACATCTCGTAAGGATTCAAAGAGTTTCAAACATCATCACACAACGAGTCTTCTGCTGTCAAGTCAAAGGCTCGTTGTATGAAATTAACCTTGTGTAAAACTAGGAATAGGGATACTCTTTTTCCTATATCTTCTTTTACCTATACCGTAGGTTATAAACGAGTAGGTGGGTCACCTGATGGTAAGTGACCTCCGCCGCCCATCGTCACACACATCTCAAGTGTCACAAGTTCGGTGCCTGTCTTTAAATGCTCCGAAGAATTAAGGGAGTGGGGAGACGGAGTTGATTGAAAAGCATTGAGAGAATTGTTTAATACTCCGGTGGAGCCGGCTCCAGGATCCAAGAAACTAGGTGTAGTTGATACAATTTCAAGTGGGTAATCAAATTAGAGCTCGTCATGAACTACAAAAAAATAATTGAACCTGGATTCGCTCCGATACAATTGAATTTTAATGTGATTTGATGTGTCAGTTTCGTAATTCACATTTAGATGCGTGACTCCTGCATAGCTCCAGTAACCATTACTACCGCTATAATGGGCACAGTGTTTACATAACACTAGCAATCTTTGACATTAACACATATTATATTACCACTCCGTGCCCAGAATAATATACGGTGATTAATTTTACACTTCAACTTCTATAAATAGGAGATTTTTACGTTCGTCAGTAGTATTTCTACACGTACATAATTATATCACTTAATTCACTTTAATATATGTGTAGGAGTTAGTTTCAAGATGTAGGAACATTCAATAATAACACATGACTGGAACCTTTCACCTTGTTCCTCACTGTAGTCGCCTAGATTTTTTTGGAAAACAACCAATGTGAGACTTCGAAATTTTCGAACTTATATTACAGGTAAGTTTTTATAGGCATTTAACATTTCCTGGACAGTATTTTTATAATCAGGTTCTTATATATTACCTAGAAACACAGAAACAACAATACGATATAGCGATTAATGGAATTAATTTGGCACAAAACTATGAAATTTACTAAATTAAACAGCTATTTTCAATTCTTAAACTTAAATAAAACATGTGGCTTAAAAAAACATGTGACAATTTCTATATTCTATAAAAGAGTAAAAGTGGGTAGGTATACCTTTTTGGCAATCCGTTCTGCTTAGCAGGCCGCAAAATATAGGATCACATCTATGCTGCTTTGCTCAACGCATCTGATGATATTTTCTATGAAGTGACTAATATATCAGTACAGGAAACACTCAGTTGACTAGTTGCCTGTGTTTTGACTAGAGATCACAATAAGAATGTGACAAAATACAATACTATTTAAATACACCTACCTCATTTTTTCTTAGCATCGCCAAATCGATCGACTGGCAGATAATGCCTTAGGCATTAAGTCCGTCGATGCATTTATTTGTGCAAAAAGTTGTAAAATTAAAATAAATAAATACTACTTTATGTGACTCTGTTATTCATAAAGATTAAAACAATGCCAGTGTCATAAAAAATATTTATTTAGTGAAAATCGCTCTTTTAATGTAAAGCTAACGGATCATGCATAGGTATACCGTAAATATTATCGGAACATATCCCCCGCAAATAAGACTTTTAACTGTAGATACAACTTTTCAATAATAGCCCAGCCAAGCATTTCTACTTCTATATTAATATCGTTATTGGCAGAACTCGAAAAACCTCCAAAACCTTAGACTACCTAGAATAACACTCTTGAAGAAAAGGTTACTATGACGACATTTCTTGGATAATGCATTCAAAAGGGCATAAGTACATATTGTTGTAAGTCTTGGGCTTTTATCAAAACACTAGCTGACATTGTTAGTAAAATAGGAAAAGTGAAAAACTATTCCGACGACATTCCATCGAGTCTATTGATACAATATTAAATTAGCAGAATTGAAGCGCAGTTCGTTTGCCCCTTCTTCCATTAAAAAAAAACTAATAAACAACCAAACTGTTCAGTTTTATATTATTAGTATAGCTTCTTAAAATATTATCTTTCGTGTTTCAGAAGTTGGTATGTTATCCCGTAAAACGGCCTGCGCAGTATCCCCAATATCCGTGCTCACCAGAGATGATGATGTATATACATTCACGATGATTACTACCTTTAGAACCGTAATATTTAAGTTTAAATTCGGTGAGGAGTTTATTGAAGAACGTCCCGATGGTTGTAAGGTGAGGAGTTTATTTTTTTCAGTTTATGGGCTCTGGGTTTGTTTGGCCGAGATGCGCTAACAAGGCTCCACTATAGAAACCCACTGGTTATACCGACAGGCACAATATTGACAATGCATGCTATTGTGGCGATGACTCTGTTTGTCCCGAGGTTGATTTTTTTAAATTTATACCATGGACGTATAAAAAAAGTCGGACGGAACTCCCGCTAAAACAAAACTGAGGCACCGTAATGGCGGCAGCTCTTTGTGTGTAGATGAATTTTTGCGTTGCCAAGTTACCCAAATTTATGCCCTAAAAACACATTCAATTTATAAAAATATTTTATTGCGATGCGTTAAATATTTCCGCTACATATTTAATAAAACTTATTTTGTGTTCGACTCCGACGAAAGTATTTTCAGATTCTAAGTTTAAAAAATGCTTTCATTGCCAAAACAATGAATGTTGAATGTCATATTCCAGACCAGCATGCTTTCTGCAGATTGTTTCAAGCACAAAGAGCTGTCTGACAGTAAGCAGTTCACATTCATGATATAATTGTGCAGTCAGATATCTAATGGGCTTAAAAGTCATTACCTTAAGGACTGCTCTTCGTGCTCGCTCGCTCGCTTCAGGGGCAGAAGATACGACTTCACAGCTCATATACAATATGTTAAAACAGATTGACACAGTGCATAATAAACGGATTTTAGGGTATTAAACTCAGCTGCGTGACGAATTTTTTGAAGATGTATATCATCCTGCGGAAGCGCGCAGTAATATAAGTCAGTTGGTATTTCCATGATGTATGATTTTCAATAAATACTCCCAGATACTTTGTTTGGTCAGATCTCAGTATAGTTGGGCAGTAGTATTAGTGGATGTGTATGTCGAACAAGTATGAGCTCTAAAAATAAATATTTTCAAAGATGGTTGAGTTATAGCTGTCTTTGAGGACGTGATGTAAGTAGTTTTCTTGAGGTTTAGTGTTAGAAGATTGTTCGATAGCCACTGCATTACACGACTAAGAGCGCATTCTGCACGAGCAAACACTTCTGTCCAATTTGAGCCACGGACAAGTATTGCAGTATCATCTGCGTGGGTAATGATAGACGAATAGGGAATGGATAGGGAGCACAGGGAGTGTATGTAGAGGAGGAAAAGGGTTGGGCCAAGGATCGTTTCCTGTATCCCAAGAGGCGGCGCGCCTGGCCACAGGGGGAGTCTCCCTGGTGGTCGGGCGCATTGAGGCGCTGGGCTTACGGGTGGCCCTAGATAAGACGGAGGCCCTGTTATTCCATGGGCCCCGTCGTGGTCCACCCCCTGGCGCCTCAATCGTGGTCAACTCGGTCCTCGTACCGGTTCGGGCCCAGATGAAATATCTGGGCCTGATCCTCGACGGGAGGTGGCTCTTCGACGAGCACTTCCGACAGCTTGCTCCAAAGCTGGTCGGCGCTGCGTCTGCCCTAGGGCGACTTTTGCCCAATATGGGTGGACCCAGCGTCGCGACAAGACGGCTGTACACGGGGGTTGTCCGGTCAATGGCACTGTACGGTGCACCGGTGTGGGCGGCGGCTCTGACCGCCCAGAATAGGGTACGCCTCTGGCGCCCTCAGAGGGTAATGGCGGTCAGAGCCATACGCGGTTACCGCACCGTTTCGACGGATGTGGCGTGCGCGTTGGCCGGAACTCCCCCGTGGGATTTGGAGGCGGAAGTGCTCGCCGAAGTTTATCGGCGAGTGGCTGACTACCGGGCGGAGAGTGGATTTCGCCCTCCGCCCGAGGATGTGCGCGAGTGGCGCGAAGCCGCTCGCCGAGCCACGATGGCTCGTTGGTCGTTCCGGCTGGAGACTCCACGCGCTGGCTTCGCCGCCGTGGAGGCTCTCCAGCCGGTCATCGCCGAGTGGGCAGGGCGGCAGCACGGGACCCTTTCCTTCCGACTGACGCAGGTGCTTTCCGGGCACGGTTGCTTCGGAAAGTACCTGCACACGGTCGCTAGGAGGGAACTGAGTCCCGCCTGCCACCACTGCGACTGCAGTGAGGACTCGGCCCAGCACACGCTGGCGGTCTGCCCCGCATGGGCGGCGCAGCGCCGGGCCCTCACTGCAGTCATCGGAGTGGATCTCTCGCTACCGGCCGTAGTACGCTCCATGGCCGGTAGCGACAGTTGTTTTACCGCGGTCGCAACCTTCTGCGAGGTAGTAATCTCGCGGAAGGAGGCGGCGGAAAGGGCCCGGGAGGACGACCTCCACTCGGACCCGATCCGCCGCCGGCGAACCGGGCGGCGGAGGCCCGCCTACCACAGCCTCATGCCGCCCTGAGTGTGGCCGCGGGTGGACGGGGTGGGTTTCCCCTCCACCCGCATTAGTTGGCCAGCCGCGAGGGGGCGGCGTCCGCGTGTGCCGGACGTCGCCTAAAGAGAGGAACATCCACATTGAGACGGAGCCCGCACCAGGAGCGGGCTGGCGCTAGGAGGGGTCCGGATGTCTTAACAACAGCTGTTCCCGGATCCCTCCTGTTACAGGCGCAGAGTGGCACACCGTGTGGTTTTAGTCGGTCCGAGTCCGACACACCACCCCGCCGCAAACCCCGGAGGGGTGACGGTCCGAGGGGATTTCCACACGTTAAAAAAAAAAAAAAAAAAAAAAGGATCGTTTCCTGTGGGACGCCAAAAAGAAGCGGTGCGCAGCCAGAAACAACGTCGTCTATCTTTACACAGATGTGTGTCTGTATCCTATCAGAAAGATAATCTTTAAAAATTCCGAGCGCATATCCGCGGATGCCCATTCTCTCCATATCCAGTAAGAGATGTGGAACAGAGACAGTGTCAAATGCTTTGGTAAGATCGAGAAAAATCGACAGGCATTTTTGTCCATTATCAAGGCTAGCGAGCAGGTATCGCGTCCCATCCGACAGCAGCATCTTTATGGAAACTTCGAATAATTAACTCAACCTCCGACCCATCCGTTGGCAAGGACAAAATAATTATATTTGAATCCAATAATTTCTCCATACTCCATTTTTCTTAGAAAATTTAGTAAAAGAATTAGAAATAGTGTACCTAGTAGTAACTATTAAATACGAGTAGATAACCTTAATAAATAGATTTTCATAACAAACCAAAAATGTCCTTTTTTATGTTTTCTTTTCAAGATCTACTTAGCTTAAAAAAAAAGTTTAAAAAAGTGTGAGAACCGGCACATATATTTCTAAATAAACAGGCTTGCTTAATAATTTTAATATTTTATTTTAGCCCTTAAATACGCCTATTTTTTTTTACTGAAAAGGAGGCAAATGAGCAGACCACCGCCCATGAAAGCTTGAAACTCAGGAGTCACAAACGCGTTGCCGGCTTTTAAGGAATACCGCAGACGATAACTTGTTCCACAGATTGGCTGTGCGAGGTAAAAAGTGTCTTGAAAAGCGCACAGTGGCATATCTTCTCCTTTGGAGATAAAAACGTAAGTTTATGCATGCATGCATGCATACTAATCAAATATCTGAATCCACACATAACTGAGACACAGAGAATAGTTATACTAGGTTGACCAGTGTTTCAATATGACAAGCCAGTAATATCGATAAATATAGGTTTTGAATTGCGTCATAAATTCTCTATGAGAAACCTTGGGTGTATTCTCCACTAGAAATAAGCCACCCATCCGACCTGCAATCAATAGTCCTCGAGCAGTACCGTATTTCGTTTTGAATAATATATCGCAGCATTAGTCACAAGTCACAACAGGCTGAAATATCATACTGATGTAGTTTAAGCATATTATAAGCAAAGATTATCGATTTTCTTGAAAATATTTATAAAACGGACGTGGTTTTAATTGAAATACTTACAATTTTCGTAGTAATGAGTTTTCATACCTATACATAATTTAACTTACCTACTAAATGTGCAAAATACATTATTTATAATGAAAAAATTAATATGCATTAAGCTAACAACAACTTCAGCTACTTAATGACCGTTTCCTTTGGTAACAGAAATACTCGTCAATGTGTTTTTTATATTTAATTTGTTAAATACATGTTACAACTTCAGAATACAAAGTTTGCTCGGCAGAACCATGTTTCACAGGACCGTTTTGTAATCAGTACGATGTTTAATATTACATATTGTTTTGACTAGTTTATTTAATAAACCCTCTTTCTGTGTGTTATCTTCTTATTTTTCTTACGGGAAGGAGATAAATGGGGGGGAGGGACAACGCACGTGTGACTCTAGAGTTGCAGATGTCCATGGATGACGGTAATCACTTGCCATCAGCCATCAGGTGACCCGTCTGCTCGTTTGCTATTGCATAGACAAAAAATGCTTAGGTATTGTTATGTTGTTTCAGTTGAAAGCCACGGTAACCATGGATGGTAACACATTAGTACATACACAGATAGAGTCAAATGGACGGAAATCTGTACACAGGAGGACATTCACTCCAGAAACATTGACTGTGGTACGTATATTTTGTTTTTTTTTAATTATCTTTAATTAGATTCTGGGTTCGGGATTTACACAGTGTGTTTATTGACACAATTTAATTTATTTCACACAATAACATTTCCCACTGATATTTGCTTGCACTGTACTGTAGTTCATTCCAGAAGGTGGTAGTCTGGTGATCGATAACACTTTTTTTTCTTACCTCAGAAATCAGTCTCTCGCAAAGAAATAGTAGTTTGGCTGATCAGTATTTGTGTTTCCTAAGTTATACTTTTGTGTAGAGAAAAAATAGAATATTAATTTTATACTTTTCGCCATTCTTCGTATTTGCTAGCAGAGCTAACTGTGTTCACACCCCATTGCGATCACGTTTTACAGGATGGCCTTATCTTATAAAAAGTTACAGAAGGTTTGTGAAAATTTCAGAAGGATAGATACCTTATCCGACTAACTTTGACATCTTAAACTTTCAAAAAAACATAGATAATCTATAATCTTTTGTACAACTTGAATTGGTGACGCTCATCGAGAATAACCCCCTTAAATACTTATTTATATTGGTAGTTATAAACAGGTATTCGTATTTTATTTTGTGTACAGTACAATTTATCATATTTACCATAGCTTTTTTTAACTAAAGAAATGTAGATTAAGGTTTTAAAAACATTTCAATTTATCATTTAATTATAAAGTAAAATAAATTTGTATATGTCGGTATTATGTCGGTTGTGGTGTAGTTTGAGGTCCTGAACTAGTTTCTTATTCTTTCTCCACATATTAATAAACATACTTTTAAAAATCCATAGTATTTAATTATTATAATATTTCGTTTTCAGGAAACAACAGCCGAAGGATGGGATAATAAATGCATTAGAATTTACGAGGCAGTACCATGATATTAGTTACGCCTAATGATAATTCGTAGTAGGTTTCATTAATGTTTAGTTAAATTAATGATTAAGTTTACCTGATACCTTATGATAAAGTATTCCTAACTTAATATTGTTTGTTTTCTTGCCTGCATTAAGTTATACAATGCCTTTAGACGTACAATATAAGTTAGTATCACGACAATGTGTATATGTTATTATTATTATTATGTAAGAGGGGGCAGACGAGCAGACGGGTCACCTGATGGAAAGTGACTATCGCCGCCTATAAACGTCTGCAACTCAGGAGTCACAAACGCGTTGCCGGCCTTTTAGGAAGGAGTACGCTCTTTTCTTGAAGGTTTGAAGATCGTATCGGTCCGGAAATACCGCAGACAATAACCCGTTCCACAGATTGGTTGTGAGGGGCAAAAAGTGTTTAGGGTGGAGCAAAGGATGTTTACCTGGAGCGCGCAAAGACGCGGTAACTGCACTGCTTGCACGAGTTATTTGCACGTTTGGTTGATAGGTAATATGCCTGTTGATGATTTGATTGTATGAGGGCCCGCGCGAGTCGCTGGACCCTCATACTTAGTCCTTTTCGCCAAGCAAATAACCTGCGCAAGTACCTCAACATGTAGTACCTGCAACATCGGAGGTTAAAGGGTCGATGCCCGGTCAGTGTATAACTTCTTATGTTTTAGAAAGATAGAAAGATTAGAATTATACAGAGAAACAGTACAATGGGCGGTCTTATCACAGTTTGCGATACTTTATAGACAACCAGGATGGACTATTTTGGGTGGTAGTGACCATCGAGCATACACATAAATTTGATAATATTATTGTTGGTTGAAACATATATAATAAATAATAATAATAAAATAAACTTTATTCTGCAAGAGAACAGCATACAACTTAATATAACTAACTTAATACTAACCTTATACAACTACAATAATATTACATTTTTTTAAAGTGCAACACTATACTACGCTATCTGTGGTTTAGTAGTCTATGAGACTGTGATCATATATGACGTGGCGCTGACGCGGTGATCACTATTATTTTTGGTACTATGTTTTGCCACATAGATAGCTTGTGCGGATGAGAGTTGTACGCTGTGTCCCACAGAATAGGTGGACCCTCAGCATTTACTGTGATGGACATGGTCCGTCCCAGTACTGATTTTCAGTGCCCACCAGAATTACTGATTTGACGCCGTATATGGGCCGTTTCATATGTATACCTTACACTGTACTCTCAAAGTTCTCTTTAACTTTGTTTACGGACAAAAAGAAGACACCTCTCTGGATTGTTTCGGAGTTTCTTCCCAGAGTGAGTCTTAGAAAATGCCGGCTCCATCTAGCTGTAAAGTCCGAGTTGTAAAAACATGTAAATAGATTTACTTACGTAAATAAATACTATTTATATGTACAATTATCGTCTTGACTGTACCTATTTAACATTAAAAGAAATCCACATTTAACCACAACAAAATGTATATGTAATAATAGAACCAGTACAACTGCCATTTATATTATACAGATTTTAATATTACATTGTCTTTAAATACATACCTAAAAACGTTTTTCATGAACTGTTTATTATTAATTATAGACTGTTTCATTATGATTTCAAGCAACTAGAATACTAATGAATGAATATGTAATAATAGCCCTAATTATAAAGAATATATATTTAACAGTCGATTATGTATACCGAAGCACTTATTACGCACTACACAGCATTTTACGTTGAATTTGAAACAGCTTTAACGATTCACAGACAATTAAAGACTAAGTTATGAATAATATAAAAAACTTTAACATTGCTCTTTTTACAATTTAACAAGTTTTTGAATTAAGTTTATGTTTTTCCTCAAAAGCTGAAGTCTAGACAGATTTTTTGAGAGATTGAGAGATATATTCTCAACTATACTGAGCCTGTGTTGTAGAACCCCAAAAGAGCCAGATTTTTACATACATTTTAGGTATTATCAAGGTGCTTGATTCATTTTAAAGGCTCTTGTGGTGAGTGGAAGGTGAAAGGTGAGTATGCTTGTTCGTGTGGGTCTACATTCTGTATTTAGCTTGGCAGTATATTGTAATTATTTTGTAGTTTTTTTTAAATATTTTGTATTATACTAAGGACATTCAAATTCCATACAAGACATTTCATTTTATGGAAGGATTCTTTGCTAAGTATTTAAAGCTGACTGTACTTCACCACACGCGATGTACCTATATCTATTTGTCGTACCTTTTCCTAGAACACTGCTACTACGAAATGTTGGCTTACACATTGATAATTATATTGAAATCCTTATCAGTTTAATTTTTACCTTGTCAGTGAAAATGATACGTTTGATAACTCTATATTTTTTTAAATATCTTAGTCACTGGAAAGTGATACCATTTCTACTTACCTGCATTCATCTTTTTATAGGGGATGAATTTATGAGTTAGGTCCTCCCCCATTACTCTGAGGGGAAGACTCAAAGGGCGGTAACGCATTTATGCCTCTTAAATTGCAGGAGTCAATAGGAGGCAGTAGTTACTTACCATCAGGCGACCCGTTTACTCATTAGCCTCCTTATTACAAGAAAAAAATATATATTACTAACTTTTGCGCTGTAAAAAATAACCTATGGTTAATCCCTGAGCTTTCCATTGATTAATTCATTTTTAAAATCGGTTTAGCTGTTTAATCAATCAAATCAATTCAATCAGGTCAATTTCACATTATAATATAATATTGGATATTAATTGATAAAATATGGATTATATTTGATGTTAATACCAATTTAATACAAAAAAAGAATCCTAAGAAAAAGACAGGCCGACAATGAAATTACTTAGAAAGGTTCTCTTTTTCCTTTTAAAGAAGGACATTCAAACACGACGTCAACTTATTTATTTAAAACTCAATGCACATGTTGTACAAAGACGGACTTAATGCCATGAGGCATTCTGTCCCAGTCGACCTTCAGGAGGTGTAGAAATATGATGCAGTAGGTGCAAAAATTAAATATTAAATTTGTCATAGCAGAAGTCCAGAAGTATATACAATACATATATGCAAATAAAACTGATAAACATGTAAGTTTCTTAAAAAAATAACAACAATTTAGCACGATTAGAAACAATCACAAATCATCATGACATAAAAAATTTAATATCTTTATAAAATAAACTTTATAATGTGTGGCTTATAGTGCAATATTGTCATGTAATTTTATGATTCCGATCACTTTCAGGATCCCGTACGATTATCAATAGGTGCTCAGACAGACTGAAATAAAAGTTATGGTAGGTAGTTAACGTTGTAGTGCAAAGCTATGGAGATTTATATCAATCTCTTTTCAAATCCATTAATACTTCTATTAATAGTATAAAATTAAGTATCTTTTTTTTCTTGTAAGATTAGATTTTTCTCTACGCAGCGGATTTAGCTTAATAAATGTGTTTTCAACAATAGAGAGAGTAAGTCAAGGGGCAAGTTATTATGTATAATACATGCATATTCTAGAGAGCAAATCCGCAAATGTACTACGAAATTGTATATCTTAAAAAAATTATAAAAAAAGGTTCGCGATAGTATATGTCTCCTAAGGATATCCTTAGGAGATAGACATATGATGATTAATAAAAAATCCATTTTGATCAATACAGTATTATTCCTCATACATTTAAATGTTTGATACGTTGTGCATTTATTGTAGATCAACATTGCCCTTTACAGCATATTAATAAAGCGAATGTCTTAGAAGATATCAGAGATTTAAATTGCGGAGGCTAAGCGGCCATCGTCGGGCCGTACGCCGTCGCGGGTAGTTGCGGCCGGCAGGAGCAGAGCGTACGTTGAGTTAATTGTTTATTTGTAACGCTTTCACGCTGCCACAGAAATGATTTTAAAAATTATTTCACCACTGGAAAGCTACATTATCAGCGAGTAAAATACGCTACTTTTTATTGCGATAAACAGCTTACACGCGGGTGGAGACGCGAGCAAAAGCTAGTATACTATAAATGTAAGTTGTCCAAATAGTGTGCAATACTCACTCTAATTTGTAATATGGCATGATAATATGGGATTTTTCGCCTATCAGTGTATGTACCAGTCTACGAGTATGTATCGTAAGTCAAAGTATTTCATTGTGGATCAGAGGCACATAAGATGGTTACAAAATATTAAGGTCCGCTGTGTCCTACATACAATAGATAGGCATACAATATTTAAAGTAATAGTAATTGGGGATAGATAATTCAAAAATAAATACGAGCATAATAAAAAAATAGCATAAACAAGATATGTCAAAGTATAGAAAAAAAACAGATAAAGTCTAAGATAGCTACAGTATAATAAAAAATTCCCACACTAAATTTCATCGCAGTGTCAACGATATCATTTAAATATTTTAAATACATGTAGCATGTAAACTAAACATCCGTGTGGTGAAGGACTAAGAATAAGGAGTGTCATCGTCCCTATTCATGACGTGGGTATCGTAACAGCCGAATAAGGGAGCAAACTACGCATGACAACAGAACTGTAAAGAGAGGAAAAAATTAAAACAAACCTTATACCAACCAAGCGTGGTATTGTAAGCTTCTGTTCTAAATAGAGGCCTTTAGCCAGCAGTGGACTACTAGAGGCTGATTGATGATGATGAAGAAACCTTTTTGATGTAACCATATGTGGTATAGATAGTTTTGGACTGACTGACCATGTACGGTGAGAGCGGCCAGTTGTAAAGTGAAATATTTAAGTAAGGTGGAAACTATCATAAGTTTAATACTACTTACTTGTTTCAAATTAAGCAAAAACAGTTAGTTATATTTCTAAATGATAAAGCTACAAGGTTATGAATTCTCAAGTGATTCCACAGACCTAAAGATCAATTCTCGTAATTAAAAATTCATCAAAAATTCAGTTCTGATTTACTCTAGATCTCACAAATGTCATAATAGGTATTTTAAGGTAAAGTATTAAAGGTAAAGTATTAAACATCCAACGTTGGCTGTCATGTGATTATATCGTATTGTGACTGAAAGTTCAATCGGTATTCTGTTAGTCTTATTAATACTTTAATATGAAGTTTGTGAGATCGAGAATAGATCGGAGTGAATTTTGAACTATTATTTAACAAGCTTGTACGAGTAATAGCTTGGTATGTATGTACTCGTATATAACGGAATCTTTGAACCTGATTTTGACCTACTTTATAACGTCAAATAAAATTGAAACTTCGCACATTTATCAAGGACCGATGACAATAAATTAATTTGATAAATTTGGCTGATTATGCTGATCAGGATATTCAGCATTAACGGCTTTTGCCATACCTAAAAATACGGAATACGGTAGTGTCTTTTGCTAGGTACTAAGAGGCGTGTGCTGAAGCATGTGTGAGTTACTTGTTACATTTAGTCTTAATGAGAAAATAATCATCATTAATGACTAAAATAGAAAAATCATTTAATCGTTAAAAGGCTTAGGGTGTTTATATATATAATTTTTCGACAACTATTTAACTGCCTTCAAGATTTTTTATTATTATACAACAATTCATAAACATTAGTTGAGCGCATTGGAAGTAATAATGTTACAAACAAACAGACAAACAGAGTCACTGTAGCATTTTTTTATATCAGTTTAGATTACACTAAATTATAACAAATAAATTTATCATTGCATTATTACATGGCGTGACACAATTTAGACCTAAACAATATACGGTCACACTATCGATACACTAAACTTTATCATCGATTAAGGTGTGTGTGTTATATGACTATTATCGGTAGATTATACCACTTGGTATAAAATAAGGACTTTACTCCGACTGAGACTTTTTGGTGCTTGTCAGTTCAAAGAGCGATACTAGCCAAGATGTCGTTCATCGGGAAGGAATACGCTTTTGTTAAGCAGGAGAACTTTGAGGAATTAGTCAATACTTTGGGTGAGTATAAATAAATATTTGAATTAGGAATGTCTTATTTAAATGGTCATCACGTTTTTTTTTAAATAGGTGTTTATTAAATCAATGTTATGTCACATAACAAATGTATTGTTTTTTTTTTTGTGAGTGATTTAACAAATACTTTGGCACTTTGTTATAGTTTCAATGCTTCGTCAATGTCAAGTTGATTATTGGAATGAAATTTACGTCGCGTAGTTTACAGAATTTAAGTTTGTGATTTCATAGTTATTTATTTGCATAGTTTATAACCTAATATATGCATAAAAGAAGTACGCTTGAGAATAATAATCCGGCTCACATAAAGATATCTGAAATGTGAAATATTTAAAATGTTAGCTTAGTAGAATGAAAAATTGAGTTTCATAGACAATAAATACCCATTTAATGAGTGTAAAAAAGTTATTTATCACTTATTTTCTTTATATTCACAAAAGTAAATAAAGAAAAAATAACATATCTTTAAATTTACAATTTTTTTTTGTTTTATTATGGAAACAAACAGATACAATTTAAAAAAAAATGTACATATAGACATGACAGATCTGACTGGAAAACTATACTCGATTGTGTGTGGTCTACACACAATCGAGTATAGTTTTCCACATAAAAATATACAATTTTTAAATTATTTACATACGCTTATCAACTTAAATTTTACGAGTGTAACAACATGACATCAATTCCGTTAAAAAAAATGAGCAGATTATCAAGTAAATATAGAGACTATATTTTCGACTGTATGTAGGTATTTTTTTCGGCATGAGCATGGTCTGCAGTATAAATAGATAGATGGGTATTGATTAGAGAGGTGTCGTTAGGTTTTTTCTTTCTTTTGTAAATTTTTAGAGCCTATTCTTAAGATTAGAAGTTAGTAGTAGGTACCTATTTATTTTGTGTTACCTCACGTACAAATAGCTTATAAACATTTTACTCTGCGTAATATTAACACGTCTAAAATAGGTATATAAACTTCATTCAAAAGAAAGTTTCATTATCAGTTCATTATCAGTTATGAATGTTTGATAAATTACACAATCGTAAACGTGATACACCACCTTCGTACTGATATTTTATCTTTAATATGTTGTTTTTGCGTTCGGTGTCATATCTACGTACCTACATATGTGTCATCTTTATTTTGTTAATTTTACAAAATTATTATAGAGAAATCTAAAAGTAGGTAGGTATGAGCGATATATCCCAGAATGTTATTAGTAATTAAGTTTATTTCTTTTAGGTTTGACCCCTGAGCAAGCTCAGGGTTTCATCAATAAACACCCCAACCAGAAGCTGTCAAAAGATGGTGACAACTACACCTTGGTGTACTTTAGAGAGGTCACCTTCAAGTCTGGAGTGGAATTTGAGGAAGAGATTTCGAATCGCAAAGTAAGTAACTTTTAAAATAACCGACCGATTGTTACTAGTGTTCGTCCAGTGGTCGATGGTGACCAGTGGCTCAAAACGATTGATAGCAATTCTTTCCTCGCTTTTCATCGAATAAGTGAGATTACCGCAGACTCGACCCATCCCCTCCCAATTCTGGGTGGAGGATTCCCACTTCTGGGTTTTTAAAAGAGCGGCAATGCTACTCTTGAATTGCAGCTGCCCATGGGCGGAGGTTGTCACTTACCATCATGTGACCCGTCCGCTCGTATGACCCCGCATGATAAAAAAAAACCTATTTATAAAAAAATATGAATGGTCATCGATGTTTCCATGTTCTAAACCCAGAAGTTAACTCTTAAGCTTAGAATTTTTTTTGATATAACATTAAAAGCAAACACTAGAACTTTTGATGATTGAATTTTTTGATACTTAATTTCACTAACACATGTATTGCTTTTCTGGTAATTGGACAATTAGGTTATAAAAGAATCCTTAGTTTCACCGATAGGAAGTGATGCGCCCGTTCAAGAAGTTGTCTCGAGCAAAAGTGATCGTTGCTCTGGCGCGAGCTATAACATTTGTTGTAGTTTGACAGTACTAGAGGTGACAGTTAATAATGGCGGTCACATGTAATTTTGAAAATAGAGTTTGCCTTCTTAAAATATATTTAGTATTGCTGTACCTATACAGCATTAATTATTTTTAATATCAATTTTCAGGCCCAAACTACGTTTACTTTGGATGGCAACACACTCACACAGGTGCAGAAATTCGATGATGGGATAGTTTTCACAACTGTCAGGGTGTTTACCGACGACGAACTTGTTGTGGTATGTTATTTATAATAATAATATTAACTTCACGCATCTTACACACAGCCGTCTGATCCCAAAGTAGACAGAGCCTGTGCTATGGTAACCAGACTGCTGATAAACATACCTATATATTTCTAAATACAAACATATTATAGATAAATTACACCCCGATACAGAACAAATGACCTGGGTGAGAATCGAACCCAGAACCACTTGTTTAGCAGTCAGAATGACTAACCGCTAGATCAATAGGATAGTCAATTTCATTGATATTTTTATATCCCCTGACTGGGCAAAACGACCTTAGTAGGCCTCGATACTTATACTAACTAGAGAGCCTAGTGCAATTTTTTTTTTTACATCAACACACTCTCGACAGCGAACGCGTTCGGGGTTGCGACTGGTGAAGATTTTAGTGCGGACCAATCGCAGCGCCGAACGCGCTTATTATGACGAGAGAATATATGTGAAATGATCTCGCTCTAGGGCCGCAGATTATTATCAAAGACAAATTCCAAACAAAAAATCAACTGTAGCAACAAAGTTATAAATTGAACTTAACTGTAGGAGAGAGTTGCTTTGTAACTCAATAATGTAACAGTACGCTGAGCGATCTCCAGCATTATTTAGCTTTCAGTTAATAGGTGTAAAATACTTTTGAGTTTAATTTATTTTTATTCTTTTCAGACCCTCTCGTACAACAAATACGACGGCAAAGCTATAAGATACTATAAAGCTATTTAAGTCTTAATTTATTTTTTCATGTGTAATTTTTCAAATAAATTAATAATTTAAAAAGTGCGCTTTTATTTTACCTTAGTGTCGCAAAATAATGTATCCTGGTGAGTAACTTTTCCTAGTGCCCACTCTAACAACAAGACAGACATACCACCCTAGGCAAAGGCAGGATCCTCCGACCGCCGCGGCTCAACGATTGATGTTGAGAAGTAGAATTATATACTAATCGGCACCAGAACTTTACTACTTGCGTGATCCGGGATTAGCAGTCACTCCGTAGTCCGGTGTGTCTTCGTTAGATGGTTCTGAAGCATGTTTCTGTTTCGTTGTATGTGGAAATCGCCACGCTGGCATTTACGAACAGTCTCAGACCTGTTTCCCATCTGCAACTAGCAGTATCCTTAATTTTGGCCCAAGCCCCCTCCCCATATTTATCTTCTTCATCTGTCCCGTTCATCTGACCTGAGGTCTGACCTCATACCTTAAAAAGTGAGAAGTACTGGTCTATTGCGAGGTCTACGAAAACATTTGAGGTAAAACGAGTTCGATTGCCACTTTATGTTCTAGAATCCATATTTTGTTAGGCTCTAAGTAACACGTTTAGTTGGGATGACAATAGAGAAACAAATAAAAAAGATTTCAAATTAAATACGATCAACTATGTAATATAATACGTATATTGAAGAAATATGTAAATAATTATATAGTTTAAAAAAAAAATTTAGAGATGTTATTGTTATACAACATAATTAATATGTTTGGAGTTTAGATAAAAATGTTGAAAACGTTGTTTTTTTTTTCAATATAAATTCTTTTTTTTTAAAGTTGAACCGACTTCAAACAATACTAGCAAAGAGCACTAAAAATTAAAAAATAATTAAAAAACTAAGTGAAAAGACTGAAATAAGTGCGACCCTTAATATAACAGGTAACATTATAATAGAAATAGAATTTTACCTTCTACTCTTTTGATGTCAGTACCAAGCCAAATTGGTACTAAGCTTGGTAGAATATGGCGCGGCAGCTGTAAGAGTTTTCTATTAAGTCTTATATTGCAGGTCGCACTTATTTTCCAACTGAGTTAACAGATGAAATAGTTTTGAGGTAACAAACATAAAAATAATTGCGTAACAAACATTTCATTTTTGGTGTAAATGTATTGTAATCTCATTTATTACTCTCTCATGGACGTATCTCTGTTACCCAAACCAAACACCTAACAAATATTTTAAAAGAATAAAACGAGGTCAATACATGATTAGATTTTTGAAAGAGTTATTCTCTAACCCTAAGGTGAAGGATCCTTCTATCATCAGCTCAGCAACTTGACATAAGGACTACTAAACGCAAATAATATATATATATATATATATATATAGCTAGAGAAACAAGCTAAAACACGTTGACGGGGATGTAAAATTGGAGGGTTTCCCTCGTTTTCTCTAAGATCCCATCATCAGATTATGCTTTGGTGAAAATGGGAACAATAATTTGGAAAATGGGTGCATAATTTGACGGATGTATCCCGTAACAAACATCCAAAAAAACAGTCGAATTGAGAACCTTCTCTTTTGTGTAAAAAGATACATTATTTTTCGGCTAGGTACACATAAATGCAATTCGTTCCAAAATACGATCACCATGTAATCTGTCACTCAAACTTGCTCACCGCTCTTAACATCACAGAATATCCTGTACAAGAACACTTCTAATAAAAAAAAACTATTAATACCAACTTCGGTACAGAGACTGCAGAATCCTAAATTTAATTAAATAGATGTGCCGTTTAAATGAAGTGATTTGTACAGAAAGAAACACACAAAATATCTCATTATCATATCAGTTACTTGATATCTGATTAAACACTAGATGATGAAATTTTAAGTAGTTTAAATACAAGATAATTTGTATTTTTAGAAGTCATTGAATTAAACAATTGAACAAGGGATACGTGGAGTGTCAAAGAATTTAAATGTATGTATTTATTTATACGTAGATATTGAGTTACCTTTATAACATGTAATGTAACTCATAATGCTTCTATCTAATGCGATACAAGGAGCAATTTTAAGGTTTCACACAGTATATTCATCATCATCATCATCAACAGCTTTAATAGTCCATTGCTAGACATAGGCCTCTCCTTAGAAAGGAGGTTTTGGCCTACTATACCACGCTGGCCAGACGGATTGGTATAGGGTTTGTGTCAAGTTTTCCTTCTTTTTGAGATGCTGGTGTCCTGCGTAGTTTTACGCCCTTAGTCAGCTCTTACGACACCCACGGGATGAATTGGTGTATTTTGTATTTGTATTTGAATTGGTGGTGTGAATGCCGTATTCTTAATCCATCATCACATCACGGATACACACACACACACGGACACAGTACATTTTAATTATAAAACTTACCTACTTTTCAGAGATAATGTGTTGTGTGTCCAAATGTTTTTTTAAGTTTACGTAATTTAAATCTTAAATCCACGACTCGAAGCTATTTTTGTTCTTGAAATCTTTTTATCAGGTGTTTAAATGGTAAACGCTGCTAATAGCCGTGATGGTCGCTAATACGCCTTATAACGCAATATGTAATATAGGTCTATAGTTCACCGCATGTTTAAAAAAAATCTTTAAACCCAGTGTATAGAGTGTCTTTTAGATTACAGTAAGGAGCAACAGAAAATCCAAGAGACCAAATGGACAAACGTGACGATTATGTCTCGATTAATTAATTTTAAAATAATAACAAAAAATATGTACTGATACCAAGGGAAACGAGAAATTAAAAAAAAAAAACATTATGTGGCAAAGCACCTGGCGGGTCACCTGTGCCTCAATTCTGCTATTTTAATATTGTATGAATAGACTATGGAAGACGATGGAATATCGTCGGAATAGTTAGCAAAATCTGTGCCGGAGCATGGCTCTCCCACGATTAATGAAATTAAAACGGTTAGTTAAATTCAGTTTGATAAATCAAATGCTTAGTATTTTTACTACTTCTGACTTATAATATAATAACTCATTTTAATAAAACTGACGTCACTGACTTTATAGAGTTCCTCGTAGATGTTGAGGTTGTACAAGTTGAGTCTTTCTTTAGGAATGTATAACCTGTGTCGCGGGGAATTAACAAGCATACATGAAACGGACACAAAGAACACCCAGACTTAGAACAACGATTTGTGGATCACACAAACTGTCGTTCCATGTGGGGTTCGGAGTGAATTATAAATGCTAAAGTAACTTTGTTTGTCTTTTACGCTTTCACAGCTAAACCGCTGTACTGATTTTAATTTTTTTGGCATGAAGATACCTACTTTGATTCTTAAGGAAGGACATGGCTACTTTTAACCGCGATAGCGCGTATCCACTAGGCGTGGGAGAGAATCACAATCAAATGTGATTAATCATATGATTTTATATATATTTCATCATACCTGTGACTCATCTACAACATCACTGCGACTAATTATTGTTATTATGCTAGCGCCAGACGTCTCGGGACACCCGACAGATGTGATAACTTAAACTAATCTAAGTTGAACTATTTTATATTGAAATTGTTCAACTTGAGAGAAGCTTAGCTTATCACTTAAATTTTATGTAAAGCGTCTGTCCGAAATACGGCTAGTGCTGTGGGTTGGAGTGAGAGAGGAGGAGCCTGCCTACCGCTGGCGTATGCGTGAGAGAAAGGGATGCCAGACAGACTGGCGCCGTAACGCGTTACGTAACGAAGCAGTTACGCTCCCATAAGAATTATCACTTCAAAAAGGTCAGTTTGATTGATTTTGATGGATCAAATCTAAGTAGTGATTTTTCACAGTTGCAATCACAGTGACCACAACCAATCATTTCATCAAAAGAAAATGTTCGACAGTAAAATGCAATACATTTCTCTAATTTTAAAAACAGAACTGATAATATTTTTAAATGACAATAGATAGCCTGGATAGTTGTGTAAAGAGCCATAATAATGGCTATAAAATTCAAAGTCATTTACAAACGTTGAGCCAGTAATTCCTTTACGAAAACTATCCAAAAATGTTTTATTATGAGGTAATAACGTGAATAAATTTCCACGGCAAAAGTTGTCGTTAGACGACAAATGACGTCAATAACAACTTGATAAGAGAACATATAAAAGCACTATAGCATAGATTAACACATCTTAAGAGATCCATATAAAAGGCAGATGATTAAAATGTTGTGATCATTTTACATCAGGAACTGACGAAACACGGAAAAATGTCCTTTCTTGGAAAAGAATATAAGGTGTATAAGAAAGAGAATTGCGACGATCTTTTGAAGTATCTAGGCAAGTAGTAGAATAACAATTTATTTTCTCCTCTATTTATCAAACGATTTTCTTTTTTATTAAATAGCTTACCTTTTTTAAAACTTATCATAACCAATAAATTTATTAAATACGATCGAACTTCAATATCTGGACTACTGCTAGAGTGTTTTTAGAGGGTTAAAAAAGGCACTTTTGAATTGAACTGCATTTGTAGTACTATGTTGTGCATTGTCTTCAAGTGTAAGGGACTCGTGGCTAAATGGCAACCGTTAAATGGCTAAACATTACAAAAGTTGAGCAATTTTAGCCAGGTCAGTCGACGTGTGACCGTTCTTAATCATTCATCATCTAAATCATTGAGATCATGTCGTGCCTCAGAGAGCACGTTAAGCTGTCGGTCCTGGTGACCATGCGAACATCTGTGGCAATCGTTACGAGTAGTTGGAGCTCTAAAAAGTCCAATAACAGTCTTTCTACTGAACTTCGCTATCACCTAGTACTTGGGTTGTGGAGGTCTATCGCTCCACGTAAAAAATCGAAGTTCAGCCGTATCGTAGGAGACTTAAAGCCGATCCCAACCTAGTTAGGGAAAAAGACTAAAGCATTGTCTTCAAAATGCTTCATACATTTTAATGACATATTTTTGTCTAAGTGTTTGTATCTTCAATTTAATAAAATCCAAGCCTAATTTTAACTAAAATTGGTCTTTTGGATATACTTCGTAATATATTGTTAAAGTAACCCTCGACAAGGAATAATTTTTTAGGTATCTGTGTAAACTTTAAGTTTAAGGGTAAATATAAGTATGTATTTGATAGTAGTTTGCCAGAACCGATTACCCTATTTTTTATTTCTACACAGTGTTATGCAAACCATTATTTTAGTTTTCTGTTTTTAATACCACGATTTCTGTTTTACTAGTTAAGTTGTAAGGTTTATTGGGCTACATAATACACTCACACTAAGTAATGTTGTAACTATTTTTTAAACGTAAATTTTAATAGGACTCAGTATAAAATAAATAAAAACTCCGAAACGGGGAGTTTCTTTAGATGCCTTTCGTTATAGGGTTAGAAACAGTTTAATTTTTATTTTATTTTTTATTTCGTTTTCAAAATATAATTTGGTCCTTTGAGTATCAGCCTCAATACGAGGAATATAAATTTCATTATAACTATTTTACAGGTGTTCCTGAAGACCAACTGGAGGCAGTAAATTCGTTCAATCCTACGGAGAAATTTGAGAAAAATGGAGATACTTATGTATATTACACTCAAGAAGTAAAGGGGCCGGTTGAAGTCAAATTTAAATCTGGTGAAGAGTTCGACTATGTTCTTATGGATGAACCTGTAAGTTTTGAAACACTTATTTGTTTAGGTGTGTTTATTTTAACTATACCAATATTAGAAACTAAATTAAGGTAAGTAAGTACATACCTTAAGGTAGTTTTCAACGGCCAAGCTCTTATGTGCAGGCGCTAGGAGGGGTCCGGATGTCTTATTATTAGCAGTTCCAGAATCTCTCCTACCTTAGATGCAGTATGGCACAGTGCGTGATTGCTGATGGGTCGAGTCCGACGCAATGCCCCAACGTTAACCCCGGTAGGGTGACCACACGCATAATGCAGCTAATTTTAGGTTTAGCTTACAAAAGTAAAGAGAATAATAAAAACAAATATGACCATAAATTATTAAATAATGTATATAGTACGATATAAATACTATTCGTGTGCAAATGCATCACTTTGAATGAACTTTGAAACCTCACATTTAAAATGTTCGTAATTTAAGTATTTTATTCATCATCACCATCATCAATCATCAACAGTCCCTAACAGTCCACTGCTGGACATAGGCCTCTCCTTACAATTGAGGTTAAGTATTTTAATAGGAAACTTTATTTTTTTTAATTTAAATTACGGAGAATAAAGGAGGACCAGTTCGGGAAGAGCCAAGCTCTATGTTCTTATTTAAATTACGGAGGATAAAGGGGGCCCAGTCCTGGAAGAGCCATGTTCCATGTTATTTTTTTATTTTATTTTTTGTTTCAGACTAGAACAACAATAGTAGTTGATGGTAACACCGTGACTCAGACCACAAAGTCGGCTAAAAACGTTACCGTCTACAAGAGAGAGTTCAATGGCGATGAATTAGTTGGGGTAAGTATGTTAAAATACTCCTAATACATCCACTCACGCGCTCTTCGCGCTCTTAATGCAAGTTTTTATTTATTTCATCATATTTACTGTACCACGCTGGCCAGGAGGGTTGGTATAGGGTTTGTGTCAAGTTTTCCTTCTCTCTGCAGTGCTGTTGTCCTAAGGGAGCAAACTACGCATAGTTTGCTATCTTAGTCGCCTCTTACGACACCCACGGGATGAATAGGGGTGGTGACACTCTGTATTCTTAATCCGTCACCACACGGGCTTGTTTATTCATTGATAAGAAACTCAACAGCTTGTTTACATTACACATGATTATTGTGACACTTACACAGTATGCTTAAGCTAATTACAGAGTTTCATGACATTTTGTTGGCACTTTAACTAAGAAGTAGAAATAGCTAAAAGAAAAAATCTTCACGAAAAGAAAAAAACATAACACACAGTACTAAACTTAAACAAAAATAAATTCTAAACCAAATACTTAATTACCGGTGTGTATCTTCACGATTTCGCCGCGATAGGATTTCTTTGACAATGTCAAATATCTCGCCATGTATTTTGCATTGTCATTTGTGATACATACCCTATTTATAACTACACACAACTACTAATATATATATATATAAATAATGTATATATATATATATATATATATATACAAATATATATATATATATATATATATTATTTATATATATATTGTATATATATTTATAGAGGGTATAATAGATAGATAATTAATTATTAATATTAATTATTTATGTACATCATAATAAATATAGTAAGTGATGACTTTCTTTGTTTAGTCCTAATACATAGGAAAAAATATTGCAAGTTAATTAGCTACATTTTTTTTCTTCTTCTAACTTTCTGGTGATTTTAAGTGTTTTCACGGCCTCTTCCCAGAGTGAGTCTTAGGAAATGACGGCTCCATCTATGTAGTTGTAAAGTCCGACTTGTAAAAAAATCTGAAAAGATTTACTTATAGAAATAAGTAAAATTTATCATTTATAGTGACATGTTGTGTTTACCTTTAAGTGTTTGTAACAGTAATGTTGTGTCAACTATGAATTATGAATTGTAATGTTATATTTGTGTATACAAACATTGGTGAACCTTAATAAATAAAAAATATACATACTCGAAGGGGAATATACAGTCGTTTTAAACGCGCACATTAACGCATACGTAATATTGCCGTGAACAGGTTGTTGTAACAGCACCATATTAGTTTAGTAGATTAATATGTCACGTCACTAAGATGCACTACACTATGAACATACTTCATTATACATTCATTGTTCTGCTGTCTGTAACACCGTAAGGTCGAAACCTGTCTGTAAATGTATTAATTACAATACAATACTAGTCTACCCAAAAAGTAGTTTTAATGACAATAATTAAATACCATCCACTGTCTCACGCCCGTCAGTCTGATCCCAAACTGTACTATGGTAACCAAACTGCTGATAAACATACTTATATATTTCTAAATACATACATATTATAGATAAATTACACCCAGACATAGAACAAATGATCTCTCATCACACAATATTTGTCCTGGGTGGGAATGGAACCAACGACCTCCGGCGACTCGTCAGGTGATTATATTGAAAGGAAATGTAGATAAGAAAGAAAGGCAAAATAAGGCTCTAACCGATAAACAGTAACAATTCGTGATTTCTACACTCAGGAATTTTATTTTAAAGATCACAAATTTACATAAATACTAAACACTATATTTTGTGAAAGAGTTGGTAAGGAAAGAAGTTATAGGATACCAAGGATATTAAACGAATGTCTGTTTCTTCTCTTCCTCAAAGAATAAAAATCATTAAAATTTAAATCAATATTCGTAGTAATTAGTTTAAAAATTATACCTACACGAAAAGAACATTTTCTTTTTCAAAACTAATTTTTTGTTTATTAATTACCTACCTTTGCTTTTTTGTAATATTCTGAATAAATTCTGTATGACTCCAGAGCGTTATCTTAATGATTATTATAAATTGTGTCAAAGTACGTACTTTTAAAGTAAAATTTTCAAAAATTTAAATATATTGTTGCAGACTTTTTCGGCGGAAGGCTTTGACGGCGCTTACAAGTTCCACTACAAAGCCATATAAATTCAATACTGTTATGTAGAAAGCATTATAATTAGTAAATAAATAACTTATTAAATATTTTATTGGTTATTTTTTATTGGATATAGTATTAAAGGTGGTCATATGCTTTGTATTATCACGGTATCATTCGGCCTCTTCACTGCAGAGCAGTGTCATCAAGTGAAATATCGTTGATAAGGTGCGAAATGTTTTGATGGCATTTTGGAAACTGTTTATTTATTTATAAGACAGTGAGTAGTCTATCCCACTTGAAGCTCAGAAGATCAAATTCTCATAATAAAAATTTGATCAAAATTCTACTCTCGATCTCACAAATATCATAAAAGGTATTCTCGTAGTAAAGTATTACTAAGACTAGCAGAATACCGATTGAATTTACGGTCGAAATACAATAAAATCACATTACAGTTAACAATGGATGTTTAATACTTCACTATGAGAATACATTTTAACAAATTTTGCGAGATCGAGAGTAGATCGGCACTGGATTTTGAACAAATTTTTATTACGAGAATTTGATATTCTGGACTATTTTTATCACTATACCAAAATTCATCAAAATTATTTAAAAGGCTAAAGCGTAAAAGCGCAAAACAGAGGTTCTTTTACACTTCTAATATTAGTATGTTATGAGTAGGTACCTACATGTGGTGACGTCCACATACAACAAAGAAGCATACTTCAATAGCATCAAAAGCAGACATAGCGAACTACCAAGTAAGTAACGCCTACTTCTGAATCGCGCAATAAAGGTTATTGAGCTGATTACTATACATAATTATGTACAACTTCTTGACATCGACCATTGGACCGCAGTCGTCTGGTATGATCACCTTGCCTGGCTTGAGGACCCACCCTTTGTGTTGAAAGAGTAAACCATCCCTTCATCCACACATACATACATACTAAATGTAAACAACTGCCGGTTACTGCGCACTAGTGTTGTCACAATCAATATCTATACCAACATAATAGAGATGAAGAATTTGTTTATTCGATGTGTGCTTCAGAGCAGCCATTAAGTTTGCATCAGACTATATTTGTATAATTTAACTATATTTTACCTACACAGCAGTATATCAGTTAAAATATTGGATGAAAGGTTGAATATATTATATATAACAAGTTAAAATTATACATTGGAAAATTTTTATTTGGTTTCTTTCGTTTCTTGATTGAAAAATATTGGGAAAAGATAAAATTGAATTTTTGCAACCATGCGATTGCTGCATCATTCCATCACGATATTCGCGTTATGTCCAGCAGTGGAATACCATAGGCTGTTGATGTGATGATTCGTGTAATTAATATACATATACTAAAAACAGTAATATAAGTATTTTTGTAACTATTGTAAATTGAAACCACCAAATACATCGTGAGTTTTTTCTTCTTCTTCTTTCTTCTTCGTTCTTTCTCCTATATTTTATTATAAGTAAAGAAATAAAAGTACTAATGTGAATTATCAAGTAATAAAAATATCGCGAGTAATATTGTGTTGCACAAAACGCGTGCAACTGATGTACGGGACACTCCTGAACCGTCCAGCCGGCCGCACTACCGCAGACGTCACGGGCAGGAAGGGGCTCTACTCTCCTTGACACCGCGCCCCAGCGTTGCTCCTCTAAGTAGCTGAGTTGACTCACTATTAGTATTTATTACACATATGGCCGAAGAATGGCTCTCCTGCGGTCATTCAGCCGATTCATTTCATGTTTTCTATTTATTTTTTACTCCTACGCCCACAGAGTAGCAACACACAATTCGGAATATGTACAGCGAAGTCGATGTCTCTATATTTAACCAAAGAATTATATACTGACATTCCTGTATGTGAAATGTGATAAGGATTAGGCCGAAGAAAAGATCACTCCACCAATCTTGTTCCTAATGTTTCTCAAAGAACAATGACTTACATAACCAACACGTTTCATGGTCAATATAACGAAAAACTTAACCCAGTTCAGTGCGCCGTGCAATAAACTCGGCTGAACTTGTTCACTCTTATCTAACAATTATCAGATAATTTCGATTAATGCATTGTATATAAGACATGAGCAACCTCGATTTAATTTATTTAACTTTATTTAAGTCGAACTTAACTTTTGAAATGTCGTTCTTCGGAAAAACCTATGTCTACGAGGGTCATGAGAAGTTTGACGAATTTTTGAAGTCTGCTGGTAAGTTATTTGTTCAAGTCTCATAATTATTTCTTTATGATTTTTGTCCAGTCAGATATAGGGAGATGATATAAAGTACAGTCAGTTAATTATCATCTTACACTCGCGAAACGATCAAGAAATATCATTGCTCTTTGTTTGTGTCCAGTGGCTAAAAGTGTTCGACAGTGTATCTCTGCTACAAGTAATTTTGGCTCTAATGATTAATCGTTAATCAATAGTAAAGCGTACTATTTACATCTTTTGTTGTAGTATTGTACAGTGTGATGTCCGTCTACTTTCGAAGTTGTGACAGTGTTGGTAGCAGTTAAAAACATTATTATAATACTATCGCATTTTCAGTAATATATTGTATTATATATTATATTATAATTCTTGATGACATTAAATATCTAAATCTAGGATCTAGGACAACAGCACTGCAAAGAGAAGAAAAACTTGAAACAAACCCTTTAACAACCCGTCTGGCCAGCGTGGTATCGTAGGCCAAAACCTCCTTTCTACGGAGAGGCCTATGTCCAGCAGTGGACTGTTAAAGGCTGTTGATGATGGTGATCTAAATCAAATCATAAAAAATTATGAAACAATAAATAAATACCTTTATCTTTCTGTAACTATATTTTCTTAATCACACTAATATTTTTATACTAATAAAGCAACATGAGATATAAAAACTAATATCATAGGATTTAGATAGCGGTATAAAAATATAGCACACGAGTTAAGAGTCCAATTTTTAAAGTATCAGAACACTTTAAAAGTAAAAGAAGAAAGAATAGAATATAATGGAATAGAATAATCTTTATTGTACACCAATTCAGGATATTATACATACAATAGTATTCAAAGTTAATAAGGAACTTCGTTCCAAAAAGTTAATGACCATGTACAAATGGCGTGGTATATAATATATATATAAAAGAAGTGGTATATAACGTAAGGATTTACTTTTGTTTGAAAAAAACGTACATTAGTCATATTAGTTTTACAGTGGTAATTTTCACTTGATATTACGAGTACAAACGGGATATATACCGGACAGCACTAGGCATACATAGATTCAAAATAGCTAATGTGTAACTAATATTAGTCATTTAAAATCTAAAAGCCATTACTTTGCAATTCAGTATAGATATGACTAATAATATTGTTTATTGCTTTTAGTATCGAAAAATGAAAGCACTGATAAGGTTATCAAAATAATTGAACTTTAGCACTACATTAAAGATAAAGAGAGAACAGGCATGGCAATGACTCAGGACTTATTAATACGGTCGATAGTAGGTTATCAAGAATAACATTTGGCATGAAAATATACTTCAGCCAAATTCAAAAATGTTTACTTACAATTTAATTTTTAACAACCACTGACGGGCAGATAAAAACTTTGTTGCAAATTATCTTTTTTTTTATTGAATAGGGAGGCAAAGGATCAGATGGGTCACCATTGACATGTATGGGTCGACTCAACAATTTTAAGAAATTCTTTTGTGGCTTTTCACTGATTGAGTGAGTTTACTAAAGACCCATTCCCCCACACCCCTTCCCCCGTATACAAGTGTCTATGGGTTAAGGTAACTGTAACCTGGGGAGAGGGCATGAAAGATCGGGAAGTAACTTGTGACCATAGAAATATAACCTAGAGAGAACAAGAGCCCCAATCCTGCAATATAGGCAACGAGAGTGATGGATAATAGATAGCCCCCTCTATCTCTTTCTAGCCGAGCTCAGTGGTTGGCTGGGGAATATGAGGGGTTAATAAATAGCCAATCGCAGCTTAGCTAAACATAACCAGAGTGAAATATCGGGCGTCCATCTCTTTAATGACCTGTATTGCTTTTTTCTCTATGGTTATATCTCAATGCTTGTGACCCTTGAGCTGCAGGTCATGAACACCTGCAACTGGCGATAGATCTATTTCTTAGCGTTCCATGGATTCATCGTGCGAGTGCCGGGTCCATCGCGTGATAGATGGGGACAACACATGCGACTTCGACAGCGCCTGGGAATTGCGACCCAGGGATAGGTTTAGGGAGTACTCCTAGTTTAGTTACCCCCTCTACCTAACCATATTTGATACGAGCCTAGTAATGCCGCTTTGGATATTCGTTTAAGAAAAGACCTTAATGAAGCTCTTGGCAATCCAAGGTCTTTAAGCAGGTTATAGAGGGATTTAGCTGGTATACCCCTCGCACCCACTTCCACGGCATACAACGCAACGACATAGCCATTTTAATTATTTCGATGTTGACGCTATACCGTCGTTATACCATAAAAAAGAAACTCGTAAAAACTGTGTCAACTTCCACTTCGTAACACGTTATCAGTCTAAACTTATTATTATTATGTTATTGTCTAAATTAGATAACAACTTATATATTACCTGATCAACATGGCTGTTAGCAAGTTATCAATGTTGAACGACAATAAAATTTTGTGTGTGTCATATCTGTTTTTAACCGACTTCAAAAAAGGAGGAGGTTCTCAATTCGTTGGAATCTTTTTCTTACGTATGTTTACCGATTACTTTAAGATGTCAAAACCGATTTGAAAAATTCTTTTTTTGATTGTAAGGATATACTTCCTAGGCCGAGACTTGACCGATTTCGATAAAATTTAAATGGTACCACCCATTTAAATTTTATCGAAATCGATCGAGCGGTTTTCTATGCTATAGGAGAGCAAATAGGCTGACCGATCAACAGATGGTAAGTAACTGACGCCACCCATGGACACCTGCTAACTGTCTACTGCCCTTTAAGCCAACCTCCCATCAGAGGGATCGCCATACCCGAATGACTCTGCTTTACCACAAAACAATTTCGATGTTGAACATCTGCCATCTAACAACTAATCAAAATGCGATTAACAGGTCTTCCAGACGAGGAGGTGGCTAAATACCTCCAGGCCAAGCCAACCAGCAAGGTAGAAAAGGATGGCGATAGCTATGTGTACACCACGGTATCTCCTGGAGGCCCCAAGGTCGTAAAATTCCAGTCTGGTGTTGAGTTCGACGATACTCTCAGAGGCGGACCTGTGAGTTATGTTCCAAGAGTATTGCATGAAAAAACAAACGTTTATAGCAAAACTAAAATTGACTATTTCTTATTTCATGTTTCTTACTTTGAAAATGACGAACTTCCGCACATTCCGTCCCTTGTTTTACCCCCTAAGGGGTAAAAAAACATAAAAAGTAGGTATCAGATGCCAAAATTTCAAGTTTGTAGCCCTACAAAATAAAACTGTTAAAAATTCTGATATACGATTCAGAACCGTTTTTTTTAGGCTATAGTATATAGTATAGGCTAAAATGCACCAGATAGAATATTATTATTATGATATAATTCATCCTGATACAATCTTAAATCGTACGCCATGTCTGGCTGGTTTTTCAGATCAAGACAGTTTACACCGTCGACGGTAACAAAATTACCCAAGTTATCAAAAGTGATAAGGGAACAGGCACCTTCGTGAGGGAATACTCAGATGATAAATTAGTTGTGGTAAGAATCTATTCTAAATAGTCGGAACTTTAAAAAGTTGTTTAGACTTGTCTATTTACTGTCCTAAAATAGAGACTTATTTAGTTAGGAGTTATGGCATACAAAACAAAAAACATGCATCAGCGCCACCTACCTAAGACCAGTCGTACTACTTAATGACAGTTGTCACACCGATTGCTTTAAAAATCACTTCCTAAATTTTATGAAATTGCTTTATAATAATAAAAAATATCCTTATTTTGAAATGGACAAAAAATTTGTAAATTTAGCAACAGTTTTGTTTTTATTATATAAAAGTAAACAGTAAATGTCATTACATTTGTCTTAGTTTTAGAAATTACGGGTACATAGGTACCCGTAATTTCGGAATAAAATAGATTATTCAAGTTTTTCGTTAGAATTTTTATTACAGGTTTTTTTTGTTTTATTTACTTAACATTTTTTTCTACATAATGTAATTTATTTCTTTTCAGACAATCACCTCTTCTACTTGGGACGGCACAGCCAAAACATTCTACAAAGTGTAATTTAACTCCTCCATAAAATGTTTTTTGTTCACTAATAAAATTATTTATTACAACAGTATGTAGGTATTTTAATATTTATTTCATTAATATGTAGGTAAATGTTTATTATTTTTACATCTAAATAATTCAATCATTATTACCATCACTAATAGCCATTATTAGTCCACTGCTGGACATAGGCTCCTTCTTAGAAAAGAGGTTAATAATGAAGTTTCTTTATTTTATTCCACATCACAATTTAGTAAAACACACAAAGTACATTAAACACATGAACTACTGGTAAATTACACAAACACTACTAAATAAGTCTTACGCTATTTGATTAGATTTTAAGCACGCCATCTATTGAAAACTAGTCGAACTAACTGACTTAGAGCATAACACTCATCGGCAATTTTCAAAGAATATCCAACAGCAACAGATAACACAGTGAACTATGATTTATCATTCGATTTTTGCGTACGTAGGTTAGAGTTGCTAGTTAGGTAAGTTAGATGCTATTTGACAGTAAATTTAGTATTTTTTAATTATTATGAAGGGAATAGTAGCTATATATACAATAAAATAATCATTAGATTTACTGGTAAATAAGCGAAATAGGGTCTTTATGTAACGTCTGAAAACAGCTTATATGCAACAACTCGTGAGTAAGTAGTAATCCTAACCTACGTACGAAAAAATCGAATGATATATCACCGATTTTTCACAGTTCACTGTGATTTTGTCGTATCCCTCGATGCGAATGACACTGTGCTGTGACACTGGTTAGTCAACACACATTACACAATCCCCTACTCCTATTCCATTTGATCAATAACCGAACCAATTATTTGTTATCTGCCAGTGTCACCCTACAAAAAAAAACGGTGTGCATCACAGGACACCCGACAGAAGTGATAACTTATACTAACTTATTTATAACTAGCAGAGACCCGCGGTGTTACCCGCGTTTGTTGTTATAACCGCGGGCAACACCGCGGGGCGAAACTGGTCTAAAAAAAGTAGCCTAAGTTACTCCTTATGTCATCAGCTCTCTGCCAGTGAAAGTCCCGTCGAAATCGGTCCAGCCGTTCCAGAGATTACCCGGAACAAACAGACAGACAGACAGACAAAAATTGTAAAAAATGTTATTTCGGCATATGTACCGTGTAAACATACATATGCATTTAGTAAAAAGCGGTTATTTTAATATTACAAACAGACACTCCAATTTTATTTATTTGTATAGAGTATAGATATAGATGTATAGGTATAGATCACTTTAAAAAACGGTGATAGTTTTAGGTTATATGCTCACTGTCAACAGTATATGTCTATCGCACACTATAAACACAAAAAAAAAACATAAACACTGAGTAGAGAGAGGGGGAAGCCTCTGTCCGAAATACGGCTAGATGAGAGGGGAGGAGCCTGCCTACCGCTGCCGTATGAGTGAGAGAAAGGGAAGCCAGACAGACCGGCGCCGTAACGCGTTAAGTAACGCTCCCTCCTATTTCAGGCGCAGAGTGGCACACCTTGTAGTTTTAGTCGGTTTGATTCCGACACACTCCCCGCCAGAAACCCCGTTGGGTGACGGCTCAAAGGGCTTTAGTACATACAGGCTTAGGCTATTTAAAATTTATCTTACAAATAACATGTGACCTGCTTTTCATAATATCCATGAATAAATGTCCCAAATGATAGTTTTCATTTTTAAAACGTAACTGCGGGATATTCATATCGAAAGATTTGATTTAAACAAAACGCAAATTAAATTCACATTTATTTGAAAACTACACAAAGACAGATAGAATCCATTTATAATGTGTTGTAACACCGCTTACTTATAGTTTTGGAAATTACTTATCTTCATTGACCTAATTTTAATTCTAAAGGTGGCCTCTCACCTGAAGCACATCGTGAGCATTACTCTACATTGTAGATTCTACATACTGCCTCACTGAGTATCGAGCAAGTCCGTAATGTAACAATGAAACAATCGCTTTATTATTCGATTTTGAATTTCTTATTACATCTTGTGTCCATATTTAAATTCATGCGCGGAACTTTTATTTTCCAATCTAAATGTAGCCTAAGTTACTTATATAACATTAGTTATTTATCAGTGAGTACTGTGATGGTCAGTGAAACCGTTCCAGAAAAACCAACACAAACACAAAAAAAATTGTGATATAAGTCATCATCATCAACAGCCACTGCTGGACATAGACCTCTCCTTAGAAAGGAGGTTTTGGCCTACTATACCACGCTGGCCAGACGGGTTGGTATAGGGTTTGTTTTAAGTTTTCCTTCTCTTTGCAGTGCTGTTGTCCTGCTTAGTTTGCTCCCTTAGTCGGCTCTTACGACACCCACGGGATGAATTAGGGTGGTGACAATTTGTATTCTTAATCCGTCACCACACGGACAATGATATAAGTACCGTAAGTAAATATTCAGATGCATTTGGTAATAATCTATGATTAAAACTTTACAGACAGACGCTTTCATTTTATTAATTTGAATAGATACGTGATATGACCATTGAGCATACTGGCGAGCGAGGCAATATAAATTCAATGTTAATAACGTAACATAAGCAAAAGGGACGATTATCGTATCACAACTTATTAGAAGATGCCTACATTATTTTAACTAGTGTTAGGTTTATAACGAAGGCTGCAAATTGTATCAAACACGTTGCAAACCGTGTTGCACTACTCGCTCACTTGATGCTTGAACTGTTACAATAGAAACGGAAGCTCCCAGTGAAATGCTACCTTAATAGATGACGTATTTATCTAAACATTAATGCATTTATTGATAATAAATCATACTGTTTTATCTTAAATCAATCTAGGTCTAGTTTACAAAAAATACTAAGCAGCTTGCACCCAATATACGAACGGTAGGTATTTTATACACATTTAATATAATAGGTATAATCATGAGTGTTGCAGTAAGACAGCTGTTATATAATTTATGCCTAGGGATATAATAAGATAGTTAGATTAGCTACATAATTATTATTTGAAAGTAGTTCATAACTACCTGACTAGGATTATAATCATGATACGGGCACGATCTAGATCACGATCTAATACAATTAACATTTAATCTAGTTCCTAATTAAATTAACTGACCAGACTAATTACTACTAATTACTAGACTAATCTATTGAAGTGATTATAAAATTGATTGATAATAATTGAGAAGAGATTTAGAAAGCACTTTACTTTTGTCAATTTTACAGTTTAATATGTAAAAACTTTTTAACAAAAAATAAAGTGAAGGAAAACATAAAAAAAAAAAACTTATTTTGCAAGGTTTGAAAATCAAAATAGGGATGTTGTACATAAGTACATAAAACATGGAATAAAATAAAAACCAAAAAGATTAATATAGGTATTAAAAAATATCTTCATGTAGTTAAAAAATTTGATCAAGGATTAAGTACCTGTAGTTAAAAAATTTGATCAAGGATTATTTTTTAACTATTATCATAAAAATAAAATGGTTATCTAAAGAATAAAAGAAAAAAAACAGTAGTACTAAACTTAATTAGGTTTAATTAAACATTGGTCACAAAACACACACAAAAGTTTGTCTATGTTTAAATCTGTCCGTGCAGTAGAGTCACAACATTTACAAACTAAATAATCATCACCCGTTATTGGCACAAAACTTAACACACAGTACATGTTTAAATGTCCACTATTACACATAAAACCTTCAGATATTGTGCTATCACAACTTTGACACAGATACTCAAAATTGTTTTCCTTCCCAAATTTCAATATATTTTGGTCTACCACAACTTCAGATTTATAATTCTTTGCACAATATTCCAAATAGCTGATGGAACCAAATAGAGATTCTTTTTCAAGCTTTGTCAGTTCACCACTTTTTTGATATTTTTTGTATAATCTTCCTATATTGGACTGTGCATGTAAAAATAATATTTTTTCCTTTACTTTGTCTACTGATAATTCTGGTAGAGTAAAATCTGAAGAAATCAGGGCCATTTTCTGCATATTTAGAAAAAAAATCAATACAATCAAATATATTTTCAGTTTATATATTTCATTAGATCCTTGACGGTATAGTGAATCATAATCTAACTCAGGCATTGATTTTGTTTTAATGATGTTATACCTCAACGCTTCTATGCAGTCCCAGTAATTGGTCAACTGTTCAGTTGGATTATTAAGCAATAAAGTCATTATTGAATTTAACTTAGCATCAGTACTAAGAAATATAACTTCCACTTTTAGTGGTTCCTTTCTGCACAGATGTCTTCTATCTACCATACCTAACATACACAATGTGCCTGTCTCTGAAAAACATAAACTATAGAGTTCATAAGTGCTATAAGACTCTTTGAGGTCAACTGGAGACAATTCAACATTGAGAGTCTGTCCCAATAGGCTTATATCTAATTTATATATTTTAACGTTGACTGTGGATAAATAATACCCATCTATAGCTCCTTTTATGTTGGCGATTCTGTAGTCATTAACATTTTCCATATGTTCTGTTATCACTCTAAAATTGGCATCAACAAGTTGAACAATCAAATGCCTATGTTTACCATAGAAAAGTATCAATCCATCCTTGTGATTTATATACTGGAGATGAGAAGCTACCATTCTATCTTTATACTCCCATAATAGGTGTGGATGCAGGAAACTGATATCCCCATTTACAGTCTGCATAACAAAAACGTTCACTTGTCCTAAAATATTAGCACATACAAGCCGAAACGTGGTCTCTGTGCGTGGTATCCAAAGCATATTCTTTATTACTGACAGGCATGTTTTAACTTTTTCTTTCAGTATTGGTGGCTCTGTGTTAAAAATTTGCCAAAATAAAATACAACCATCCTTCTGTGCTGTCACAAAGTAACATGAGCGATCAGTATTCAATTTCGGTGCCCAACAAATAGAACATGTTTCGACAAGGTACACAGACGCCTTTAACTCTTCAAATGTCTTTGGTGATGGGTTATGGTCTAAACTCTCTTTACAGTAGGTTGACAAGTCTAATACAGTTTTAAATTGGTATTGCTGTTGTACAAACATTTCTACACCGCCTATATTGTTCAAAATTGAGAGAACACTCTTATTTTCAATAAAATTTGGTGGAGACCATGCAGACTTAATAATGTGTGTCATCTCTTCAGTCAGAGTATTGTTGTGAGGCCAAAACGAGGAATCAACTAACATTTCGGTGTAGTCATAATTATTCATTTCATTGTTTATAAACTTACTCTTACATAAAGACATTGCAGGGCTATTTTTCGGGCTAGGTATTGAGAATTCGTAAAGGTCGAGGTCTTTGTAATGACAGTGTAGATCGTAAGAGAAGTCTAAGAAATTCATACCCTTGTCTGTGCGCACCGTTATAACTGAATCCCGGCATGATAGACCAGTTCCAGTATTTTTCGTTACTGGAATGGAACGCTTTGTAAGCTCGTAAAATGTATCCTGACCCATTTTGGTAGGTTGTAATAAATTGAACCTTACGGCTACATTAAATTATGTACAACTTGAATGAACACGATACAACATTAAAATCAATAATCTTGGTTTATTAAAGTCAAAGTAATTTTAAAGGTGCATTTTGACAGTTGACGTTTAGGGTTAGGGAATCTACAAAGCCACATTGACAATAATCGATTATAAAAGCTGTTCAAAACATCATTAAAAAAAATATTCGAGTTCATTAGGACTAGGGGCGGTAATAAGTAAGCGGTAATACTTATGAAAAAATTGACATAAAAGTTACGATTTATTTTATTTGCTGTACACACTCATAGATGGCTTTGTTGTTAAAAGGAAAATTTGCGGGCCCCCTTTTCGAGTTTTTTTTAATATTTAATTTTGAGGAAATTTTCCTCGTTTTATGGATTAAATTTAATAATAAGTGTAAAAAACAAGCGGGAACCCCTTGGAGGGGAGGGGGGTTTCCCCTCTACAGAAGGGGGGGGGAGAGACACTTCATCAGAAAAAAAATAGGGGGGACTGATTCAGAGGGATTTCTGTATCTATATTGAAATGCAACGGCTCCGGCGCTGCGGGAAGAGCCGCCTCTACGCCCTTGCGTAAAAAACTGCAGGCATCCTACGATTTGTTACAGCGGGCAGAGGCTGCTCTCCCTACACGCCTTCGGCTCTATAAAACTCTCTTGGGGTAGGACAGACTCGTACCAAGTGAAGTCGGGGTCAATCGATTAGGTTCTTTGAGATAGGTGGAACCTATCCTATTTTAATTCTTATCAAATGAAATACTAATATCCGTGTGGTGACGGATTAAGAATACAGACTGTCACCACCCCTATTCATCCCGTGGGTGTCGTAAGAGCCGACTAAGGGAAAAAACTACGCAGGACAACAGCACTGCAGAGAGAAGGAAAACTTGACACAAACCCTATACCAACCCGTCTGGCCAGCGTGGTATAGTAGGCCAAAACCTCCTTTCTAAGGAGAGGCTTATGTCCAGCAGTGGACTATTATAGGCTGTTGATGTGATGTGATGTGATGTGAAATACTAATTTATAGTTTATAAATGACGTCAGATTTACATTTCGTTCCACAAGCCGGCAAAAAAAGACTACACATTTCAATTTTAATGGCTCGTAATGTAAAAATGCTATAATTTAATATATATAAACTAAATATATATGTGCATGAAAACTATTGAAATAAGTACAAAATATAATTATTTACGTAAATTTATATAAAATAATATGTTACCGAACGTACGACAACTTAACCGTACCGAAAACGAAACGTTTAGGGACGAGAATTTTATGTAATCTGTGGTAGGGCTAACTAACATAAATATTTCAATTTTCTGAAAATTCATATATTGTAACCTTTTTCTAAAAAAATATCAACCCCCAACTCGTCAATGAAAAGTTGAGCTGATGTTTTAGTTTGAAATTATAAATTTTAATTCTGAAATTCAATCAATAATTCTCATAAATAAAGATGAATTTATTTGTTCAGTTCCGTTTAATTATAGCTTGAAATCAATGTGAAAAAAGATCATAATAATCGGTCAAACTTTACCTCCGCAGAGATTAAATATAACAACACTAAGTAAGATTAAAAAATAAATATCATAGAACGTACCTAACTGTTTTTTTTTTAATATATTCACTTGTAAATACACCAATATGTGAAGTCCCTGACTGCTGAGCTAGGCCCCTGGCCTGTATTACAAAAATCTGTGTCTTCTGTCATTATGAGGAACACAAATTTTATGCAAAATAAGTGCAGTGAGAAGAGTGTTAATATGTGATGAAAATGCGTGACTGGGCAACAGTCCATTCTAAATAATTTTGCATGCTACGCTTGCCTGTAAATGGCTACCATGCTATTATGTAAGCTTTGTTATGTAAAAGAAAATTGTATAAGTATAAGTAGTTGTTGCTAATCCTGATAAATAAACAAAAATAAAAATAAAACTTATAAGGTGATATTTATTATAATTTAAGACTTTTTACAAGAAATATTTTTATGCACATAGCCTGACTTTATTCTGCAGCCGATATCTTCTTGGTATCATGTCCAGAACGTTAGTCAGTTATTGCCATTCTATTCATAAAATCTTCCAAACGACTGGCCCAGACAGTCTGTTCATTCCGATTGACCTGTCAAAGTAATAATGGGTTAGATTTAATATACTTACATATAAGTAATTAAGAAACCAGCGGCTCGTTCACGTAAATCTAGATTTTGTGAATCAGTTTGTTACCTACTGAAAACAGTGCTTGTTTTCGCGATGAAAGGTATCCGATGTGTGCATCCCCTGGCCACAAACTAGAACACGAGATTCTGAGTAATTTTTTAAGTAATTTTTAAATCCGGGCGGTTAAGCCACCTCCCTCGCCCCTGATTAGCGCCGCTGGACATAACCACGATACTCCGGGATTACGATGTGCAAACGGCGGCAAGGAGACACAGCCCCCATACCCTGCTCGGTGGAAGAGCAGGTGCTTACTGAGCCCGTCCTGGTTCCTCCACTTGGACAGCAACTATCAGTGACCCAAGAAGGGCCACCGAGTATACTTCTTAGTCTGAAGTCTTCCTCTGAGCCAATCCGGCATAAGTGACTCTACCAGCACAGCCTCAGAGATCACTGACCCGCGCAAGCCCCCCTCCCTCCCCCCACAAACACAACGTGAGAATATAGTTGGGGAGGGTTCTAAGGAGAGGCCAATGTCAAGCAGATAACTATTAAATACTGATGATGATGATGCAGATAATAACGATGATGATATAACAATATAGCTATAAAACTTTGGAATGTATGACTCCTACCTGTACCAACGTGGTTGAGCTCCTTTACACAAACTTAGTATTGTTCACACTTACCGATCTTTTCATCCATGGGGCAAGTTTAGGATGGCTTAATTCGCAATTAACCAATAGCACCGCGCCCCAGTCATCCTTGTGGCGAATACACCGCCCCGCAGCTTGATTCAGCGCCCTGTACATAATACCTGATAAAGAACCGCAAAGATAGCGTAATGTTTCATGTGGATGCCTGAAAGCAGCTACATTTGTGTTACGTGATGCAGAACCTCCACGTTCAAAAAAAGTTTAGCAAAATACCCAACAGGTGTTGTTGTTGGGAATATGTCGTAACTGTTTTAAATTTGAATAAGCTGTAATTACATGAATGCATATAATTACAGAAAATTAAAAAAAAACAGACTATAAGACGATTTTACAGCCTCACAAAAAAGTTTAGATGCATGCGAAACGTGGAACTACGCATTTTCCATCTGGAAAGTTTAAGAACGCCACATTTAATGTCACATTTGGTTACCGCAATATCATTGGCTTGTCATTGTCCAGGGATACCACAAAGAGCTACTTTAACAATGACTTTAACTTTAACAATTGACTGCACGGATGCCAAAGTGGTTTAAGCGGTCGCCACGCAGCTTCCTACTACGCTGTGTTGTGGGTCCAATACATTCCTAATGCGGGAGTTCTCTTTTTATTAAAAAAATAAAATGCCCTATTTAGTTTATAATTTTTTTGTCGGATTATATCAGATCAGGATCGCATACTTGTGTAAGGTTTAGAAGTATTTATACAGATTCGAATAGAATTGTTACGATTAAATTGAGTAATAATAAATAATTGAGCAACACGAAAAATGGCGGGAAGATGGTAAATGGCTTAAACTTGTAACTCGAATTGGTTATTACAGGAAAGTCTAAGTCCTCAAACCGTGCAGATTACTGAAGATAAATTTCATTTGGAATTTCTTCTTTCTTAACAGGATCACTCAGATACAAAACAACTAATAAATAATTATAATTTTTTTTACAATACATTGGTAATTGTCCACAAAACAACATTTGAAAAAGGTAGGTTATGCGTTTAGCCTTATACCAAATTTCTCATGTCATCAATTTGTCTAATTATCCTCCGAGCCCTTTCCCAAACTAAGTCAGGTGAGACTTAGGTATTACGACACTGGTGCGGAAGTGCTCGCCGAAGTATATCGGCGGGCGACTGAGTTGTAGGCGGTTAGCTGCAGTCGGCCCTCGCCCGAAGAAGTACGCGAGAGGCGTGAGGCCGCTCGTCGAGCCATGATGGCTTGTTGGTAGTCCCGGCTGGGGTCTCCATATGCTAGCGTTGCCGCCGTGGAGGTGATCCGGCTGGTCACCGTCGAGTGTGCAGGACCCTTTCCTTCCGGAGACCCTTTTTTTCCAATCGGACCCAATTCGCCGCTGACGTACCGGGCAGCGGAGGCGCGCTTACCAGCGCCTCATGCCGCCCTGAGTGTGGCCGCGGGTGGACGGGACGGGTTTTTCCTTTCACCCACCGCGCCAGCCGCGAGGAGTATAAATAGAGTATGAACCCGAATGTGGGGGTCCGGATAACAGCAGCTCCCGGATCCCTCCTATTACAGGTGTGGCACACCGTGTGGTTTTATTCGGCCCGATTCCGACACACCACCTCGCCGCAAACCCCGGTGGGTATCAGGTATCATAACAGAATCTAAGTCGATTTAAATAGTAACCCTGTACATGTGCTGGCGTCCATCGCCTTGCCAGCACCGCGTTGCGCCAGTCTCGGCAATAAACTGTAATAATTACAGACCGCGCAAACTGTCCTACTTTTTATTTAACACACCTCACATTATATACACTCTTTATACTTTTATTATTAAGTATTTTTTTACGATTCAATTGATGACTTTTAGTTCTATTATTTTGCTTATACTAGTACAACTTATATAAACGTACATATATGTTATGAACTTAATGCATAACAGTATATTTTTTTTAATTTATAGATTCATTGTAACGGAACTTAAAAAAAGAAAAAAGTGTGTATTTGTACTTTTTTGCCGGAGGTGTGATGTAGTAGATATAAGATACAAGAGGAACTATAAAACTATGTAAAAGAAGACAAGTGTTGGGTTCAAAATAAGTAAATATACCGTGTGGTAACGGATTAAGAATACGGAGTCTCACCACCCCTATTCATCCCGTCGCTGTCGTAAGAGCCGACTAAGGGAGCAAACTACGCAGTACAACAGCACTGTAAAGAGAAGGAAAACTTGACACAAACCCTATACATGTCTGGCCAGCGTGGTATAGCAGGGCCGAACCTCCTTTCTAAGGAGAATCCTATGTCCAGCAGTGGACTATTGAAGGCTGTTAAGATGACCGAAGTATGTCAGTTGTGTACAAACCTGAAAATTTGTGCTTGTAACCAATTTTCCTTGTCAAGCAAGCCTTTAGATATATTTCTATTGTTAAAATCCATTTTTTCCTGAACGTCGCTTGTATTAGGCATAGGTTCACCAACCTGCAAACAAACACATGAATTTAAATCTTTGGTATATTCCGTATCAGAAATTAAACATATTTCAATGAGATTAACATACATGTAAACACCAACATGCAGATGTGGCGACTTCAACAAACAATGAGACAAAAACATACTTCAATGCGAAGTGAAGTTTCACTGAACTACGGAGTACCTACTAGGTAATCCTGTATTGTGTAATTAAAAGATCTCACGTCGTTTACTTTATAATACAACTTCCCTATCACAACTGTTAGACCGCGGTTTTCTATTCATTATGGATTACAGCATTACGGCACAAAGGATCTTTTTTTTGTGTTGGAGGAACACATTGACATTTTTTTGCTTTTAGTGCAATTTGTTAGTATTGTTTGAAGTCAGTTTAACTTTTTTTTAAAAAGGATGAATAGTAAATATAAGGATAGTATACTATCTGCCCCGACAGACTTTATTCTGTCAAAAAATATTGCTCTGTCGCAGCCCAATAATTAGATAAATAAAAATAAAATGTATTTCAGAGAATCATTTCTTCATATTTCATTTTAGAGGAGACAATCAACTTAAAGACACACCAAAGATAATCCTAACGCGCCTTTATTCTGTTCTGATTGACGTCAAATGTTCGACAGCTGTTCTAACTTACTCTGTGGTTTGTAGGAAAAAAGGAAAGTGTTGTTTTGACTTATTTCCTTGAGATTTTTTACGTCTGTGTATAAGAGATATATATACAAGTATAGCTTCCTTATGCCTTATCGAAAATATAAAAAAAGCCTTAGCAATGCACTTGGAGATTCATTTTTATTTATATGATGTAATTATATTTAGGTATAACAATATTATTCTATAATACTAATTTATATGTGTAATAGGTATATTACTATGACAATAAATGAACTATAAATGACACTAGTATTAAAAAAGCGAAAGTGTCTCTGCTACGCTTTGCACTCTCTTTCTAGTCAAATTGTCATTCACGCATTCATTTTTTCTTTAGTCATCGTCTGTCTACTCTTATCTTCTTCAGTTTTCATACGTACAACTTCTTTTACCTCTTTTTACTTTTCTTTCCGCATCACAAGTCCATATCACGATAATCTGTTGCTTCTACACTTTTCATCCACTTGAAGGTAGCAAAATAGGAAATCATTAAAATTTTGTAAATTTTATGGATATGAAAATTCATCGTATCCATGCTTTCGGTAAGAAGTTATTTGGTGTACCTACATTTAAACGGAGAACCAAGTCTGTTCTGATCTGCTTATAGTCTGAAGCTTTCGCCTCAATTTGTTAGAGAGATAACAGGTGAGGACAAATTCTCTCCTGTCTCGCAAAAGGCGAAAAAAATGGATAAAAGCTAATCCCTTTTCTCTAATAAATCTATACTGGGCTATAATGTATTTGTATAACAATAAATTATAACTGTAACTCACACATATAACAGCCCTCGCTGGTTTATCTTTAAAATCCATGTCTGCATACTTTCCTCGGTACACGGCGAACAGCAATACGTCACTGCCACCGACGTAATTTTCAAATTCCTGCAATGTATTTAGATAAATATTTTATTTTATTTCACACCAAAACGATTCAATTGTTAAAAATGTTTGAAACTTCAATAGTAGTAAAACTACAAATTATATTTTGTTCATCATTATTTAACGTAATGAACATAGCGAGGCTATTTGTATACCCTTTTTTGCTGTACGGAAATCCATTCGAATACCACCCACCATTGGGCTGAAGCAGTCCCCCTCTAAAAGAAATTATAAAGAAATTCCCTCCTAACATCCTTAGACCGATCTCTATTCATACATATACTTAAGATGAAATAGGTAAACAGAGGTGTATTAAATGGAAAAAAAATAGAAACAGTAATTTGGAAACCGTGGGGCCATGCTTCGGAAAAAATGGGCTGGCTCGACCGGAGTGATGCCACGGCCTATTAAAAACCAGTTAGTCCCGGAGACGATTGCAAATTGTGATCGAAACTCGATAACAACCCGAATAACCTCTGCGACATGATTTTCCGTTTTTACTCTGAACTTATTTTTTCAAAGCATATCGCAACGAGTATTAACCCACGGTAAATACTTTTTGCCAATGTTACGTATGCTTGTCACACATTAAGTGAAACGCGTGCAAGTTTAGTGCGTACTGACATTTATTTGTCTTAATGAATAGTGTCATCATCATCATCATCAACAGCCTTTACCAGTCCACTGCTGGACATACATATGTAGGCCTCTCCTTAGAATGAATAGTGTGCGCAGGCATTATAGATATCTAGATACACATATAATAGTGTTGTCCCAAAATATGCTCTGTGCTCTTGCTTCCATGTCATATTCGACGTCATGCTTTAAGAAAAACAAGGCCTGTATATGTGGGTGACAGCGTGTCCCTTCGTTATGCTTCCACACTCTTAGTAGGTACTGAACTTATTATCATAAAATGTTGCAGACAAGTTGTCTGGAATATTGTGAACGATTTTGGGTTATTTTCACCTAGAAAAAATTACGAACGAACCAGTAAGCTAAAACTATTACAAAACATTAAATAGTGAATAAACAAATGCGATGTTACCCGTCCGTCTGCTGTCGTATTCTGGTCCTCCCATATCACATGTTTTAATTCCTTCATATCAGCCAACAGTTGTGACGGCTCCTCCCAACTAGAATTTACAACTTATAATGAAAGATGAGGCACTTATATAATAACTTTTGCACGGTACGTCGACAAACGACAAAAACATTTGAAACGGGTCCCGTTTGTTTAGTAGATTATTTTGTACATAGATACACTGACACTTACTAGTTTTTGGAACGAAGTTCCTTATCGCGCAATGGGAGCGAGACCGAAATATGTGTGACAAGACTTTCTTCCGACACTTTTTGCTATAGTGACAGCCGTGTATGAACTGTATTTATTTTTTATTATCTTAATTTTCCCAGATCATTCAGTGTTTAATTTATCAATGAATTTTATAACATTTTTTCAATTTAACTTGATATTTTATAATACAAATTATAATGACTGTATGGCAAACGTCTAGCAAACAGTGAAAGGAACTTCGTTCCAACCGGGGGTCCATAGACGCCTCACGCGGTTTTTCTATGATATAGTGGGCAAACGAGCAGACGGATCACCTGATGAAAAATAACTACCCTGACACTTGCAACTAAAGGACACATTGAACTAAGGCGGAACTTAATATGGCGACTTCAGAATTCTAGTGTCATGACCATCATCTTTGGGCTAAAAATCAAGCAGCTTTTCACTTATAGTTATTGCTAAAAATAAGCCTGTCACATTCTTCTTTCTTCTTCGGAGATGTGTGAGAAGAACATAACAGGTAATATAAAATAGCAAAAACAGGCATAAGAATTGTTCTGTATACTCACTGATTTTTCATACTTCTTAAAAAAGCATAAGACGGCATGAAACACAAAACTACGTGCGGTGTGACCTTACACACTCCTAGTATAATTTCGCCGAGTTTCTTCACAGTATCTGGGTTTTTATTAATATTTGTTATCATTAATCTGGGTGTTGTGTCTATAGCGCCAACCCAAACCTGGTCATGGAATAAATATTTACTAATAAATTACAATAGTATGTTAATTACGAATAGCACAAAATATTCAAGATCGTTTATAAAGAAGTGTAATTATTGTTACAAAGCAATCGATGTGCAAAGCCAAATCGTGTCATGTTCAAGGACATAGGTCACTATATAAATTTCGAGACACGCAAAAAGTAAACAATATATGCTTACAATTATTATTATATATATTTTTTAAATACTTTATCACTCTCTATATAAATTTCTATCCTCCTAAACTAGTCTTGGAAACACTTATTCCAGTATTCCTTCTACAGTTCAAAAATGGCTGAACGCTAATGTTCACGTTTAAGCTCCATTGCAGCGGACGAAAAAGCGGGCAATGATGGCAGTATAACAGTTCTAATTTTTTTTATTGCTGTTAATGGCCTTTTGTGTTAGATTTGAAACGAATTTGCCTTTTAACAATATATGACACAGATGCGTTCTATTTTCAAATTTCAAGCACTTAAAACTTGTATAGTGACCTACGTAATTAGCATAAAAAATATAATAAGGGACTGTCCCTAATTATATTTTATGTACTGTACAGTAATTACATTACAAAATGTGGGGCGTTAATAAAAATTATCACAAGCATTAAAAACCTTCCAATCATCCTAAAGAGCTTTAAAAGCTATCTAATTCCCCAGTCCTCATTCAAGGATGTTAATAAGTACATTGTTAATATTGGCAAGTCATTAGCAGAATACGAGAAGAACGGGACTTGATGGCATTCCTGGCCGAGTGTGGTTCCTGGCTCTAGATGACGTGGCTCTCGAGCCCCGACTGAGAGGGCTCTTCAGCGCATGGCCAGTTTCCAAAATTGTGGAAGTCGGGGAAACTGTTCCTCATCCGGAAGAAGGGGCGCCCGCCGAACTCACCATCCGCCAACTGGCCCATAGTGTTGCTTGACGAGGTGTGCAAACTCTTTGAAAGAGTGATTGCAAGCCGCCTCGTCAAGCAAAAAGCAGCCCTGAACAAGTTTAGTCAACGTCTTTGGTACTTACCAAAGACGTTGCAACGTTCAGTGCAGAAGTAGTTGCCGTTTTATCACTCTTTGATGATGAAGTTTATGAACAAACCAAGACGAACATTGTAGTAAACTTGCAAAGAGAGAGTTTGTATGATTCTGGGAAAAAATACATTCTGGTGTATATTATTTCACTACCTCTAGAACTCTTATAAGTCAAACTAATTTTGGAGAAAGGGGGTCATTCGTTCACAATGTATGCCTCATATATATCCCTAAATATCGTCGATGTTCATTGCATCTCATAAAGGCTTACTGGTTTAGTTCACTTACTCTATTGTCCTGTACAACGTCTGTGAAAGGGTAGTGGTTCTGAAAATAAGGCCCAAGTTCTGCACGTAGGTGATTAATGTCCATGGCGAATGCACCCGAGGACAATACGACGCAACGAGGCATTTCGTCTATTAATTTTTTCATCACTATAGAAGGCATCATACACTCCATTTTTACTTTTGTGTTATTCTGTAATTAAAAATATTCGTTATCCGTTATATTGAAACTAAACTGTGCTAGTCTATTATTTTCTAGTGTACAATTTTTTTCTGTGATATTATACAGATATATAAAAGTCGCCCCCGAACACTGGATGCATAGTGCACCCAGTGTTCGGGGGCGAATGCACGAATGGCGTGGTGGTTTAAGCGGTCGCTACGCCGTTTCTACCGTGCCGAGTGTTCGGTTCAGACCCCACTTGGGACGACACTTTGTGCGATCCACAAATTGTTGTTCTGAGTTTGGGTGTTCCTTGTGTCCGTTTCATGTGTGTTTGTAAAGTCCCCCGCCACACAGGATATATTCCTAACGCGGGAGTTGTCTTTTTAAAGAAAAAAAAAAGCAATAGTACCCACTAAGGCGGAAGGACCCTTCATGGAGTTACTTAATTTTTCATAGGGAGAATCCTACAGTACCGCCTGGTCCTCAGTACCGACCTTATGTTATATCTGAAATTCTATAAACGATTCTTTTTTTACCAGTTAGGTAGTTCACATTCACATAGTCATTTATGAAATTATTTAGAAAATTAAAAAAAAAAATTGAAGAAAAATACCATCCCTAATAATAAAGAGTAACGTAAGAGCATGGTAGGGATGGAAAAGAATATAAATACAATCGCCTGTGATAAATTATGATTTATAAATTATTTAATCACACTTGTGTCTAATTATCCAATCACTTCATCATTGATTATGATTTAAATAGCAATTATTTCCATGTCTAAGCGCATGGAAGGCGGTGATACTTTTTAAAGTATTTCATTTTAATTCAAATCAAGCTATTGGCGACCTTAAGAGGATATTTGCAAGGTATATTTTGTTTTGAATAAAAGAACACGGCTATTTACTACAATGTTCTTGAGGCAACTTAATTATATATATTTAAACACTAACTATATAATACATAATGTATGAAACGGGCGCGACAAAAGCTTATGGTGACAGTACAGTAGAACTCTCCCTTCTGTTTCCTGTTGTTTTCTCTAATAAATTTGTACATGTATTTTAAATACCAGTAAGTATTTTACATATTTTTAAGCCTTCAATGTTTTTGAAACTTCAATGAAACAAATTTGTATTTTTAAAGTAATTAAGAGTTATCAAATATTTATAATTTACCACCTTTGAATCCACCACTTTCAGTATAAAGTTGGAAGAAAAAGTGTCCTCTCGTAAATAATCTGAAAAATGAATAAAAGTTAAAAATAACGAACTAGGTCAATTCATTTAAAATCTTGTTGATATCGTAAAGATATTCATTAATTTATTATTATTAATGAACTAGCTTCTGCCTGCAATTAATGTTGATTGTCTTCATTATTTTCCCGGTTTAAAAAGTAGGTCTTATGCAATTCTGCTTACAATCTACCTCTTTGCCAAACTTTATCCAAATCAGTTCACTTTGAGACTACGTTAATGAGGAAAAACATTTTCTATTAAAAAAAAATCTTAGCTTAGTCTCGGAAGTTATTGAAAGAAGTGCTAATACTCGTAGTAAGAAGATGTAAGTTTATTGTAGTTTATTGAAGTAACCGTGTGCGGATTGTAACTACGAGGCACTTTAAGATAAGGGAATGTATACTCATACTTCGTGACCCGTTCTAAGAGGAGAGAGGGACAGGGGCGCGTGCCGGCTTAGGTTTTCGTCATAGACAATATCCTCTAGGATAATCTCATGCTTTTTGAAGCTATATTCAAATATGGCGTACAGCGTTTCGCGGTTTTTGAACTCACAGATGGGTTTTATTTGTCTTTAATTAAAGAATGACTTAAAACTAAATTTATTAATTATTACGTGAATAATAATAATATTTTCGGACATCTGACACATAACACCATCTCAAACTAAGCAGAGCTTGTACTATGAAAGCTAGATTGACTGATATAATACTTTTTATCGAAAAAGAGAAATCGATCATCACAGAAAGATATATCGAGAAAGAAGAAGCTCTGATGTGGCAGTCCTACTACCGGACTAAGCCTCAGTAGGTTAATTACCCGCTTGCCCGTAACTATTCCGATTACACGAAACGAACACAGAAAGAAACCGGACTGATCCTATAACGACGACGTTCGGCATGAAAAAACGGACACGATTTGTTTGTTGGAATGCCGCAAAGAAAAGCCTTCTGGACTATAAACCAATTTCGGACCGAACTATTTACGCCCACTTTTAGTCAAGAGCTCGATAAATCTCCATTTTACAATGCTGCGGTCCCGACCAATACATCTGCAGAGGATACTAAAGAGTTTCTGAAACGCCACTTTAAGGTTTATAGAGATAAATCTTAAAGTGGTGAAAGTTATTACACATAGTGATCGTCACGGGAGACCTAAATAACGAAGTTAGAGGGATAACATAAACTGCGAACTTCATATGGGTACACACAGGGATTTAGAATACGTATGAGAATTGAGAACGTTTTTTGGCGTTTTGCCAACATCGCGACCTGAACATCGGTGGTACAGATTAATTATTAATTATTCACAAAATGATTAATTATTCACAAAATGATTAAGTATTCACAAAAAAATTACATAAGACTGTCGTACTGCCAAAAACTAGTTCGATCACCTCACCATCAGTTCCAAATGGCGTTCATCGTTGTTCGAGGTCCGAAAGCAAAGAAATGCTGATATTAAAAGTGACCACCATTTAGAGGTTGCAGAACTACGCGTCAAGGTTGCGGTAGCACGATCAGCCGGGGGACGAGGGGACAAGTTCAAACTTGAACTCCAGTATAGCTTTTTCGGTCTCAAAACAGACATGGACTCAATGGTCGAAGAGTATAATCGGATCAAAGTGGCCTATAGAGAGACCAGATCTATAAGCAGCCAGACAGCAGTACCATTGTATTCACAAGATCTATCGAATCGACCCCAGCTCGCGAAGAGACCAATGTATGTGGGCTGACAGGATCGCTGATATGGCCCACCTCGTTGCTAACTCCAGCAATCTGTGCGCTTTATAAAGTGAATAGGTCACCTTGGCAGGGAATACTAGACCAAAGAAGAAACGTGTGTTATGTCCCTTCAACACAAAGGGAGGATCCTCCGACCAGGCGAGGTGATCATTCCTGACGGGCCGCGGCCCAGCGATTGATGTTGAGAAGTTGTATTATATGCTAGGCGGCGAGAGAATTCTTTATATTGCGATACAGGTTTAGCAAGAAATAAAAATTGTGAAAAATGGTTACGTAGTATGAATACATTCCCTAAAATCATTGAAGTGGCTTTGTGGTACTTGATATATTATTATGTTTAAACTATTTAATTGTCTACTAAACACAATTTACTTCACTAAGTTAGCAGTCTTATGTGACCCGGGATTGATAAATCTCGAGTGTAGGTATTAGTACAAGACGAATAAATATTTTTAATATGATTTTCTACGAAAATGACACTTTTTACTTAATACAAAAACATATCATCTAAACATACTACGAAGAATATGAGACATACCAACGACGGTGATGACTTTCTCCACTAGAAGAAGGGATTTGTACCGGATCACTCTCCTCGAGGCGGCGCTCCTAAGTTCTGTTTACAAGATATAATTAAATAAAATACTTACAACAAGTAAAAAAAAAAAAAAATACACAGTTTATACTACAAAAGTCTGTAAATAAAATAATAGAATCATCATGTGGCATCAGACAGAACCTTAACTAAGCTTTAGTATAAAATGTATAAAATGTTACGCTCAAAGACCGAACATATTATCAATATTTTATAGTAGCATTTCTTAATGGTAATTTATAAGTGTTGTATATCTCGACTCCGTCATATTTACGAGGGGTGATCAATAAGTAATGATAATCGAGTATTTCTAGAACGCACAAAAACCCAAATTATTTTTTTTCTGCTTGCTTATATAACCACTACTTCAGCTTCAAAAAAATGTATAAATAGGACACCATTACCGGGAGATACATTCATTTGAATACGAACTGTCGAAGAGAAAACATCAAAATGGAGAAAAATGAAATAAGAGCTATCATCAAGTACCTCTGCCTGAAAAAAATGTCTACCAAAGACATACACAGCGACTTAGAGGAAACATTGGGGGAGTCTGTTCCTCCATATTCCACAGTCGCACGCTGGGCAAAGGAATTTAAGCTGGGCAGAACCTCCACTGAAGATGAACATCGCGAGGGACGCCCTTCCACGTCCCTTACTGGAGAAAACGTCAAAAAAAGTGGAAGATATCGTGTTGGCCGATCGAAGGGTGACCGTAAGGCATGTAGCTGAGGTCACAGGGATCTCCTATGGCAGCGTTCAAAAAATCATTGTCAACAAAATGCATATGAAAAAGGTCTCTGCGCGTTGGGTACCGAGAATGTTAACCGACGAGCAAAAAAAGAAACGAGTCGACATTTCGAGGGTGAATCTTCAAAAGTTCCAGGCCGATAAATATTTTTTTTTGTCGCGTTTTGTGACCATGGACGAGACCTGGATCCACCACTTTGATCCCGAAACCAAACAACAATCAATGACTTGGAAACGAGCTTCCTCACCAACGCCGAAGAAATTCAAAGTGTCAAGTTCAGCGGGAAAGGTTATGGCGTCTGTTTTCTGGGATGCAGAAGGAATTATTATGGTGGAATATTTGGAAAAGGGGGCCACTATAACAGGCTCTTACTACGCAGGCCGCAGGCATAAGAAGATTGCGAGAAGCTATTAAGTCAAAAAGACGCGGTAAACTGCGCGCTGGAGTGCTGTTTCACCAAGACAACGCCCCGGCTCACAAAGCCGCAGTTGCGATGGCTGCCATTGAAGAAACGGGGTTCGAACTGCTCGAACACCCTCCCTATTCGCCAGATCTAGCTCCCAGTGACTTCTACCTCTTTCCTCGGCTCAAAGAACACCTCCGGGGCAACAAATTTGAGGACAATAGTGAAGTGATGGCCGCAGTTGAGGCATTTTGGGAGGGTCAAGACAAAAAAGTTTTTTCTAAGGGAATCATGGGCTTAGAAAAAAGATACACTAAATGTATTAACTTGCAAGATGTTGAAAAATAAAATACTTTTTTTAATCTAATAGTTCTGTTTCATATTGATTATCATTACTTATTGATCACCCCTCGTAATATTATTTTTTTATTTTATTTGCCTTGTTCTTTCAAGAGCCTCGGAGGAACTCGCATCGGCATCGAGCCTTCAATGAGGTATCTGGGTTAGTTACAAGATGGCTTGCGTTTCTTACTTTAATTTTTTGCCGTGTGCACAATTTGTTGTAAAATATATATTTTTATTTAATATTTTACGTATCAATACACACGTGTAGTAAATAAAAGTTTTTTTATGGTTATCATTATTATGGTGTCCTCATATATTTATTTGAGAGTGAAAATTATAGTTAAAAAGAACCTTTATTAATTTATTTTGTGTTACTTGTAAATCATCTAATATAGTTCGGTGCGCGGTTCTCTGTGTTTCAACTAAATAGCCAATGCGTGGTGGGACGAGAGAGTTATAAATAAGGTATCGGGCTTTGTGAGGAATATATTTCGTTATTCTGAGTAGGCAACTCGTTATTGAAATAAGTTTATTTTTTATTTTATCTACTAGAGGTTTCTATCTCAGGCGAGTGTCCAAAATGAGGCCAAGATATCTTTTATTTGTCTTTCTTTGTTTGTTTCGTTATTTATAATCAATGGTATTTCATTAGTTTTTTATTTTTAGCTGCAAAATGTTTTTTTTTGTTAGCAAATCATGTTCGAACATATCATTTAATATAATTAAATCATTCTTTTGGGGCTTTATAGCGTCGACAGAAGGCTCGTAATAAAAGAGGCTAGTATCATCTTCATAAAGTGAAATATCGCCCTTAAGTACAATTTGGTATAATATGTCAATAAGTTTAAATGAGGCCCTAAGACTGAACCTTGAGGAACTCCATAAGTAATACACTTGGAAGAGCTGTGACGTTGGCCGATTTTTAGAATTAGCTCAAGGCAATTTAAGTAACATGTTAATATTTCTAGCACTTTTAACAAAAGAAAAACGAAAAAAACTAAAACACAATATTGGTCAAAATACCTACGTCCAGTAGTCGTCTGTCTTCTCCAGGAAGTTCTATGTTTTTCTGGGTGGATATTTGTACAAGAACTTAAGTAATTATAAGTGATAGCTCATTTACACTTGTATCAGGTAAGTTTTTAAACAAATATTTTTTAGTTTAAAAACTTACCTGATACAAGTTTAAAGAACTATCACTTCGTGGCTAGTCTCTTAATTAGGAAAAGAAAATCTACTCAATGTGCCTGCATAATATCATAAGTATTCATGCTAGTATCAAAATCAAGGATGAGCAGATACATATAATCATACACGCATAAACACACACATACATATACGCACGCACGCACATGCACACACACTAAACTCTCACCATTAATTATGCAGACACTTATTGTTGTCTACTTCGACTATGCTTTCTATTGTCCAGAGTTTGGAGAGTCTGGTAATATGTAACACACAGAATATTCATTGATGTTTCACATACGCTGTACTAATCATTATTTAAATATTATTATTTATGATTGTAAACTGTGTCAGAGAAAACAATAAAATTAATGTATTTATATATATTGAAGTTTCTGCAATAATATATCGTATCTTATTGTATCAAACGCCTTTTACATATCGATAAATATGCCTATTACTATTTGTTTTTGATCAATTTTATTCCTAATTATGGTGATTAAGTAAAGTGTGGCCGATAGAGTATTTGAAAGTGGACGAGAACCGTATTGTCTACCATAAAAAAATCTTTTGATTTTAAGAAGGTTTCCAGATGTGTATAGGTTACTTTTTCAAAGAGAGATAACTGGAAGTATCTAAATTGGTCGATAATTACAAAGGTCAAACCTGTCGTCAGATTTAAGTATATTATAATTTACGTTATTTTTTTATTATTATAATTTTAGCTGCCTTTAGGCTGCTGGGGAAAGTATCAATTTCCAAATATTCATTAACGCACAGCTAACGTTGTTGTGACATCAAGTTTTTTATATATTTAATAGTTTTAGTGCTTATACCATCGATACCCCGGAGCTAGTGTTGGGATCTACTTCATCTATTATTTTCATTATTTCATACGCAGTTGCCGGTTTTAATTGGTTGAGTTCAGTTGCATCGCTCATTATAGCAGTGATTCCTGTGTATCTATTAATGTTGTATTTATTCGGAATTTAGTCACAGTCATAAAGCTAAGCCAATCGTTAAAAAGTAAGTATTGATTTGTTCGCAGATTTAAAGTTTATCTGTGTTAGTGTTACTATCAATGATGAGTTGGTCAAGGCCTATGCTGTCTCTTATTTTGTTTTTTAAAAAGGTCGTTGAGTTTCCATAATTTACGAGATTTTGTGGTAAGTTCATTAAGAGATTTTTGGTAGTGTTCACTTTTGCCTTCTGTATTTTTCGTTTTTTTTCTACCTTAGCGTTTTCCTCTTTAGTTCTCAATTTGATGCATTTGTTTTAAAAGCATTCCATAGTAGTTTGGATGCAGTAGTCTTCTACAAAGTGGTGCTTTAAGTTGTAATGTACAAAGTTGTTGTTTTCTATTAACAATTCCATTAATTTGCACTCCTCTCTCCATAGCTGTAGTTGCCTGATATATGTTCTTCTCCTGCTTCTCTAGCGCCTACTTGTGCGGTAATATCATCATGACAATGAGGTTGTTGTTATCGTACTTCCTCATTCGAGTCCGACATAGCCACCGGTGGGTGGTATCCAAGGGGATTTCCGCACAGGAAAAAAAAAGGTGTCAATAGTTCACTCACTCACCTCAACTTCACTCCAGTCGCTGTATTTTTGAGTTATTTTCACTTCACAACACATTATCGTGTGTGGTTTCGATCGTCCTACACATTCCGCAACTTAACATTTGTTGATGATCTACAGTGATGTTATTTGCGCGGGTTTAGACACAGTTTTGAGACATTTTTGTAGCTAGTGACTTTCAGTACGTGTGTTATTTACTAAGCGGGAACCAGAAAAAATTGTTAGTATGTAAATTATATTTAAGCCACTCATTTAACAGCTTTTGAGCAACCTTTTGAGCATCGGCGATAAACATGTGTATATATTTATCAAAATAAATAAGGCATGAGTCGTCTGCGTATCGTGTTAAGTGCCCTGTTAGTCCTATTGTATTTATATTATTTACAAAAATTACTTTCTTACCGATTATGAAGCCTTGAAGTATAACTAAATGAGATATTTTGTAGACTAAATGAGACTTATGAAGTTTTCAATTTTAACCGCTTGACATCTGCTTTGTAGGTATAGTAGTAGTATAGTAGGTATGATGCAAACCTATATTGATTGATATTGTTTAATTTATGAAGTAGCTCCAGTAAGACTGTTAGATATCGCTCGAAAACCGTATTGTTGATCGCTTAAGAATTGTTTTTCGAGTAAAATGTTATTAAGGCGGTCATAAATAATTCGCTCAAATATTTTCGACGTAACAGGCAGTACCAACACCGGTTTGTAATTTCCCGGATCTGTTCTTCAGCTGGATTTGTAAATGGGGATAACCTTGACTGGAAAGACGCCGCGTGATAAACATGTATTTATAAAGTTTGTTAACCTTTCAAGTATAATATACAGACATTTTATTGCTTTTATGCTGATTCCATTCAACCCGGTACTATTATTGTTATTTAAATCGTCAATCGTAGTCGTTTTTTATATTTCTTTTGTGTTACACGGTGCAAGTTGGCTTAAAGTTATTTCATGTGTAAATTTCTTATCTTACATTGAAGTATTACCGGTATGTATGTGCGTATAGCACGGTATTTGGTTAGCTAATTCTGACCATATTGAAGAAAAAAAATGAATTAAATAAATCGCAAATTAAGTTATTTTCCGTAAAGGGTCCGGAAACCGACACCAATTTCGGTGTAGAATAGTCTTTACATTTATTTAACGCCAAATTATTTATTAAATAACATAGTTGTACATGGTCATTAACTATGAATACTATTGTATGTATAATATCCTTAATTGGTGTACAATAAAGATTATTCTATTCTATTCTATTCTAGTTTCATAGGAGCGTTATAAGTAGTCTGTAATAAAGCATAATAGTATTTTCTCTTTTGTTTGTTGATCATGGTTTTACTTTGATTTGTTGTTCTTTAAAATTTTCAGAACGCCGAGGGAGAATCTGCAGCCCTGCCAGGCTTCTGGCAAAGTACCAGCCTTTCTTTCTGCCAGCCGTAAGGAATTCGCTATTATGGAGGCAGCTGGTAAACGGTGTTCAGAAGGAAATCAGTTATTTAGGGGTGGCGGGCATCTTGATTTTTTCTTTTTGCTAGTGTTTATTATTTAAATTGTATCTCGTATTGTATTCTAAGTACTAACCAAGCACTTAAGCTCTTTTTTAATATCCATATTGAAACTGTTAAAAAAAGTTTAATCCAAAATTTAATGGAGGCGGCCGTCTAGGATTCACAATTATACTCAACATCAATAATTGAATTTACATCAGAACTAAAGGTGTGTACGACTTTTTTTTAAAAGGAGGTAAAATTTTAATTACTAAATTTGACCTAAAAGCACCAAAATGAACGTTGTCAGTTTAACTATAAATAGATAGAAACCTCCTTTCTAAGGCCCTCTCAGCCTTTAATAGTCCACTGCTGGACATAGGCATATTGCTATTTCTATGATCGATCGACTGCTGGACATAGGCAGTGGCCTATGTCCAGCAGTGGACTATTAAAGGCTGATGATGATGATAAGTAGATAGAATAATAAAAAAAAGTGGAATGCCCTATTGATTGCTAATTTATCCACTAGTGGCACTTAATCACATTTTTTAATCTTCTGTCATTACAATAATACGATTCTTATTTTTTTGAACTACCACAGGTACTGACCTTTGTAATAATCCTGCGATAATTGATGACCGTTCCTTAATTGAAGTAGCAGTCGATGGGCTCGCAATGTTTGTTGCTCCGTTGCCCTAGATATAGACATATTTTTTATTATAATTGTTACCGTAACAGAACCGTAGAACTAATGGCAGATTTATTTTACACTAGCTGACCCGCGCAACTTCGTCTGCGTCTCTCAATAGTAATAAATTTTCTCCGTTTTTGAAACATTCTTCATTGGTGCTCCGCTCCTATTGGTCTTAGCGTGATGATATATAGCCTATAGCCTTCCTCGATAAATGGGCTATCTAACACTGAAAGAATTTTTCAAATCGGACCAGTAGTTCCTGAGATTAGCGCGTTCAAATAAACAAACAAACAAACTCTTCAACTTTATAATATTAGTATAAATATATATCGTGAGTTGCAGGTCGGCGGCGATAGTCACTCATCAGGTGACTCATCTGACCGTTTACCCCATCTACCATTAAAAATGACTTCGATTTTTATTCCTGCTAAGTTTTCTGTCGTGTCGTAAGATGCGATTAAGGAAGCAAACTACGCATGACAAGAGTACTGCAAAGACAAGGAGAACTTGAAGCAAACCCTTTTTGTTTTTTTACGGCTTACGTTTTGCCATAAGGAATGATCTTAAAAATAGTGTCAATAGTCGCAGAGGCATTGCCGAATGGATCAAGGTGTGTAGATTGAACACCGATAGTGGATTTGTAACACTGATTGCTGCTTACGTGCCAACCTTGTCATCTTAAGGATCTTTTCTATGATCGATATAGTCGCATAGTACGAGAGGTTCGTTCAGGCGATTGCCTTATGATATTGGGGGCTTTTAATGCGCGAGTGAGACCCTCACAAACATCTTGGCCGGAATGTGTCGGTAGTCACGGTGCTGATAACATCAATAGGAATGGACAACGCCTCTTAGAATTCTGCTCTCAAAATTTGCTGTGCGTCACTAACACATACTTTAAAGGTAAATTCATGCTCATAGTCATGGTAGCATCCTCGTTCTGGTTACTAGCATCAGCCTGATATCACCCTTACGAGGAAGAAAGATCTGCGGGATATTCTTCACACCCGAACATTCCATAGCGCTGACTATGACACCGATCATTCACTCGTCGTCACCACGGCATCTTTTCAGCCTAAAAAGATCCACTCTTCGCGATCGGACGCCATAAAGAGAATACGGGTCTGGGTGTTTCTATGCATAATATATATTTATAAAAAATAAATAAAAAAAGTATATATGTATTTATATCAGTTGTCTAGTACCCATAGTACAAGCTCTGCTTAGTTTGGGACTAGCTGGCGTTGTGTGTATGTGGTAGAATATATATATATATATTAGCCGTTGGCGATGGCCGAAACCTCCTTTTTAAGGATAATATTATGTCCAGCAGTGGACTATTAAAGGCTGTTGATGCTGATTATGAAGTTTTCATGTATGTATGTATGTATATATGCATGAATAAATAAATACAACAGCACAAGCAATTTATAAAATGGATCTTTATAGATATTTTAGAACTGGCATGTCCAATATCATACATGTTTGATAACCTTTCATAAAAAACCTGTACACTGCTTACCATGCCTGCGTAGCAAGTACAATAATTATAACTAGAATACAATTTACATGTAAAACAATGAGCGATTATTATTTAGTTATTTATAAAAGAAACTTACCAATCATACCACGTTCTCAACATTGAAACCAGTTCTTGATAAGCCTCTCCTGAATCAGCAAGATCCTTAAAGAAGAATTCTCAATTGTTGATTGTTACAGAGATCAATTAGTTCGACTAAAAAAACGTAGACTTGCTTAATATATCTTTTTATCTAATTGAAATAAAAATTAAATACAGTAAAAATTAGGTATTTTAGTTTACCAACTTGACTGCGTCTTTTTGGGGTAATAGGTATAATAAAATTATTAAGAACTAATAGAAAGCATAACTTTAACTTTAACTGCTCTAAATCTAGTTGAGTGGGGTGCGGTGTCTAAAAAAATGTATGCACAATTTATTCTTATTGTGAATACATTTTAGACACTTACACAATCACTACAATCAGTAATAGTAAGAAACAAGCTGAAGTTCTATTCACTAGATATCAATTAAGAAAAATATTAATGATATCCGTTGTCTTATTACTCATTGTTTTATGGCTTACAATTATATTTTTAAAGAGTACTTAGTAAACCGGACGTGAATAAAATATGTTTGTAGGTATTTATTTTCGTAAAACTTGTTTAAATTTTCAAACAAATTAACAATATAATATATTTTATTTTATTTTATATTAAAGACTACGGACATCATTAATATTTATTTTATATTAAATTTCCAAGTCACTTACGTCAATGGCAGCATTTATGTCGTCGCTAGTGAAGTCAACAGAGGCTGATTGGCGACATTTGTTTTCTACGTCATGAGCATCATCCAGCAGTATAATAGCATCTTTAAGATTTATTTGAAGCTGGAACAATTGAAGTTAACTGTTGTAATTTAAAGAAAATAGACTTTACTTTTGTTACTCTTGCTTGCTGCTTCTGTTAGATGTCCATGGGGTAGGTTGTTAATCAAGCTGCCCTTTTCTTTTATTAGATTTCAGGTGAATATAAGATACTTTCCTTTATGTACATTTAAAAAATGAATCATAGTGCTGGGTAGGACTCATCATCATCGACAGCCTTTATTACCCACTGCTGGACATAGGCCTCACCTTAGAAAGGAGGTTTCGGCCTACTATACCACGCTGGCCAGACGGCTTGGTACAGGGTTTGTGTCAAGTTTTCCTTCTCTTTACAGTTTGTCAGTTTTATTACTATCCGTCAATGAACTAATGAAGAGCGCGCAAAAAAAGTAAGTATGTTGTGACTAAAACAGTTTTTTCTTTTGCGCGCGTAAAATGTTTGTTTAATCTGAGGTTAGGACGAAAATAAAAAAACAGAAACACAAATTTTGAAGACGAGTGCATACAATTTATGCATACTAGACTAGACTACTATGATACAATATTGAAAACAGCTGTGAGCCATCTTTATCAGCCGCTGTATCAGTGTCTTCGGAAGGTCTAGTTTCGAAGTCAGGAGTTAGTCTATTGGTGAGAACGAATAGGCTAGGTACACAAAACTCTACCGTGTGTATGTGAATTGTCTTAAACTGTTTTCAGCTCAGCTCCTATTTACTCAATTATAATAACTATTTGAAAACGTTTTAATTAAGTTTATGTAAATTCTTCCTAAAACGGTCGAATTAACAATTTTTAATACTTTTAAGCCTTCGACATTCCATATACCTAAAACAATAACTTTATGAAGATGCATCCCTCAACCTGCACAGAAAATGCAAAGAGTATTTTCTATTGTTTACTGTAAAGTTGCTGTTGCCACCAATCAACGTTTTGTCAAGTCATGAGAAACTTTGTTTTGGGTTTATTTATTTAACTGCTTGTGTTTCTAATTAACATACCTAGTCGTTTTATAACTACTACTAACTACTTACAAAGGGCCAAGTAATGACCATTTTGGTTTATTTGTTAATGCCTAAAAACTGATATCCTACCCTGGTCGGGCCAAACTCCTAACCCTAACCGAGAACAAATGGGAATAATGGCTCTTCGAGCCTGCGACAAAGAAAACTTCTGCAGAAGATCACTTTATGACTGCAGTACCTGTAGTCTGCGAATACAGTATAAGAACTATTTCTTAACGTTCCGTGGATTCACCGTGGGAATTGCAAACCAGAAATAAGTTTAGGGAGTACTCCTTGCGATGCGTCGGTGCTCCCCTCCACTATCTTCTATATTACCCTCTCGACCTAACTATTTTTGATACGAGCCTTGCGATGCCCAGACTTTGAATAATCGTTCAAGAAACTTACTGAAGCTATGGAAATCCAAGGTCTTTAAGCAAGTTATAGAGGGATTTAGCTGGTATACCCCTCGCACCCAATTGATAAATAATCATGTGCTGGCCTTGTTCAACGTCGATTCCATACAAATGGAGTCTAGTGCGTTGCGTCGTCTAGTGGACATAACAAATAACAACCTCCGGGCCTTAAAGATGTTAAACGAACCCACTGAACATTGGGACACTTTAATAATTTACATTATGTGTACCAAATTATACCCCTTTACCTCCAGGAATTGGGAAGCTCATTTTCAAATGTTTTTTGGTGATAAAGCAGAACTGTTAGAAACTTTAGAGGAACAAGAAAATAATCAAATCAGAAAATAGTAACAAATCAAAAAGCTTTATTGTAACATATAATAGTGGTAATCAAGGTGAAAGTAAACATTTCGATAAATTTAGTACACTGAAATGCCCTTTAATGTACAAATAATCATAATCATTATACATGTGATGTATTTAAAGATTTATCAATTGAATCACGTATTCGCACGGTTTATGACCTGAATGTTTGTATTAACTGTTTACGTCCTGGTCACAGTCACCAAACACACACGAATCCATACCTAAGGGTAAAATTAATTATTTTTTACTCCACCACGGTGTTGTGCGTGAGTCAAGCACGACCAATAAATTACGTATAGTTTTTGATGCGTCCGCTAAAACCACTACAGGTCCATCGCTCAATGATCTCCAAATGGTAGGGCCAACCGTCCAAGATGATCTCCTGTTTTTTATTCTGGTTTTCGACAACACAGATACGTAGTCTCAGGAGATATCGAGAAGATGTACCGCGCTATTTTACTTAATGCTGACCAGCGTTCCTTGCAACGTATTATCTTTCGCGCCAATCCGTCAGAGCCTCTAAAAACGTACACCTTAAACACGGTGACGGTGCTGCTGCTGCGCCATATTTAGCAACGAAATGTTTGGTTAGCCCAGCGGATCAAGTTACAAATATCGATGCACCAACTGCTATAATACGTGTTTTCTACGTTGATGATTTTCTCTGTGGATCTCGCTCTATATCATCTTGTTGACATATGTAAGGAAGTCATATCGATTCTCGCTCAAGCCAAATTTAACTTACGTAAATGGCAGTCGAATAGTAAGGAAATAATAGTACAACTTACCGATAGCAACAATGCAGTAAACGACACTACATTCGATTTTTCTAAAACAAACAAAGGCCACTTCCAAAACTCTAAGCCTTAATTGGTTGTGTGAATAAGACACATTAACATTTTCAATTAAGTACGAACAGTCAGTGAGAACAACAAAGTGACATATTCTTTCAGTATTTAGTCAAATTTTCGACCCCTTAGGTTTGGTTAGTCCTTGCGTCATAGAAACAAAAATAATGATGCAACTATTATGGATTAATAAATGTGAATAAGACGATGACGTGCCTGCATCTACTCAAGAATCTTGGTTTATATTTATCAAATCTTTACCATATTTAAATAATTTAAAAATACCTCGTTGGGTTTCTTGTTGTAATTCAATTGTCAATGAACTTCATATCTTTTCAGACGCATCGGAGATTACGGTGCATGCCTATACGTACGCTCAATCACTAGCGATAAGGTCACGGTTCGTTTGCTTACGTCTAAAAGTCGCGTAGCACCTATCAAACCAACTACAACTCCTCGACTCGAGCTTTGCGGAGCTTTACTAGGATCAAGATTGCGTACTAAGGTCAAGGAATCGATTACTCTACCGATTAAAAAGTGTTTTTTTTGGTGCGATTCTATAATAGTTCTTGGTTGGTTGTCTATGCCCGTAGCCCTATTAAAAAAGTTTGTTTCAAATCGTATAAATGAAATAAAGTAAAGTACATCAGATTGTACATGGAGCTACGTACCGTCTAAGGACAATTCGGCGGATCTTGTTTCTGGAGGGCTGAAGTCTGACTAAATCAGCGATAACGAGTTGTGGTGGAACGAACCATCATTTTTAAAACAAGATCAATCCATGTAGCCTAAATCGTCTAACGTGAAACAAGATTTACCAGAAGTAGTTAGAAGCTTTTCATTAGTTCAGTTGATTCATTCAAGTATTCATACATCAATCCACAACAATCATATTACATCAATTCATAAAATTAAATTTAACTTAATCATAGTCAGCCTAAAATTAATCAGACGATAACGGAAAAAAATGATAAATCAGAGAAAGGAAGTGCAGAAAAAAGGAAGGAAAGGGAAGATGATTGTAGCCTATAAGGTGACTTTACTACTGTTGTGAGAAGGAGACCAAAGCGGTTGGTTCAATGTGAATCTACGGAATTGATGAATATTAAGAGAGTAGATGAAAACAAAATTGGTAAACAATCAGAACATAATACTATACTCGTACATGAGGTATGCGTCACATCCATGGAAAGTTTACCTAAACAAATGGTTCTGGCTAGGTTGCTCAGATCGGAGAAAAGTAGTGGTATCACTAGAATTAAGTATAAAAGTTTTAATAAGGTATTGATACAATTTCAAGGTCAAGAAGATGCTAACAAAACATTGGAATGCCAAAAACTTACAGATATTTGTTTACGATGTCAAAAAATAAATGAAATGTCATTCTCATACGGCATTCTAAAAGGTGTTGACACTGATTTGTGTGACTTACAGGAAATAATTAAATGTGTATATTGTAATTAAGTGTCTATTATCTTGTTTTCCTTCTATAATAGTTTTGTAAATTTTGTTTACATCCTGGCTGCATTCATGGAAGTCATTGCCAGAAGAAAAGCACAGAAACGGTTGTTTGATCTACGGGTGAACGCTAAGTCAGCACAATATTTGCGTTAGATAGATCCTGCAAAATATAGGTTCATAAGTCAAGTAGTTCTCAACTTTTATAACAATTGGCGCTATTGTCGTTTTATTAACGTTATGACCAGCAGTTTAAATCTATTTAATTTTTTTATGGAAGAAAATAATGTTTTTACTATTTATTTGCACTATTTTAGTCAGATATGGTCTTTTTATTGATGTTGTCATTTTAAATTGGTCGGTCCCGAGTTTTACGTTTATTGGAAACTAGTTACAAAATGTTCGTTAGAATTTCGCTTTTGAAAGTTCACTTTTTTCAATAACGTTACACTATGTTCCACACAATTTCCTCACCATTTGGGATACTGATTAAAAGGTTACGCCTTTTTCACTGTTTACTTTGCGCCTTTAATAATTTTAATACCCTGTCATGGCTACGGAAATAATGACCCCGGTCTAATAGCTCCTTACAATCTGTCAGTACTGTACCTGTTTTCGCACTGAACATCGTACTAGCCTTTTCTGTAGATTTACCTTACTAGGCTTTATATATATAAGTCCTAAAACTATAAGTTTCAGTTGTATGTGCTTGATTAAGTTTGAATATGTAACAAAAATACGTACCTTTTGCCTGATTTTAGGATCTATAATATAATTTTGTGTACAGAAAACTATATCAGCGTTTTTAGCCAATTCGATAGCACCGAAGTAAGCACAAGCACCCCTCTTCCTTGCTACTTGCCCCAGGTCTTCTAAGTCAAGCATGCACTTGCCCATGTCCAATAGTTGCTCGTAGTTGTAGTAATAGTTGCAGGAATTCTGCAACGGTACAATTCAAATATAATGTTGACCTAATTGATGTGCACACACACGCAGAGACATAAACGCACGTACGAAAACCCACGCACATACACTCATAATTATAATTAAAATAAGTATTATACAAATAGTGTAAACAAGCAGTTGCAGGTCACTGCTTCCTAAGCTCTAGCCCTTTTACTTTTTAGTACTTTTTCTGTGCGGAATACCCCTCATATGTTGGAGTCGAATGGACCAAAAACCATCCGTCGCGGATACCAGTTGCCGGGGAACCAGGAGTACCGTAGACAGGAAATCCCTGGTACCCCAACGTAGCTCGGGCCATCTATGGCGTGTAGATGACCCCCTCCTGTGAGGGAACCCTATGTCCCCTGCGTGCGTGCCTTGCTATCACCTCGGCCTACTTCGCCTGCGCTAGGCCTGCGCTTATGGAGGACGGAGATCGTTCTGCGAGAGTTCTAAACCTCTCCAAGTCCCAGAAGGAGACGGCGGAGTTCCACGCACTCTCGCTATGTACCATGGCATCAATCATGTTACCGAGCAAGAGAATTGCCATCCGTTGGCCACCACGAGGCCAAGCCTCTGCTCCACCCATGCCGGGCAGTCTGCTAGCGTGTTGTGCCCTATGTCCAAGGTCCGACCATCGCAGATGTGGGACTAAGACGTTTGCTACTTGCGGATCAGACACAGGTGATCTCCGAATCATCCTTTCCCGGTGATACCTGCGTCAGCTGGTATGAGAGAGTTCCGTTTCGTTCCATAACGGGTCTTACCGCAGGAATAATGGCGTTCCTGGCGCTCAGTTGCCCAAGTCGTTCCTTCCAGTTCTCCACGAAGACCTGGGACCTTGAGTTGGGATTTCTGGTCCTCGATTTCTCGAGTCTCAGGACTCCGACCCAACTGCCGCGCTTTCTTTCGCCACTGATACAGAGCCGCAAGGGCTCTCGTCTTCAGGTCCCACGGTGGAGGCTCAGCCATGAGACTCGCCGCCTCAAAGGAGATCGTGCGGTTCCCCCGTTATGACCCTGATGGCCAGAAGTCGCTGCGGTCGTCGCAATAGTGCGACGTTGCTGGCCTCCCCCCATACCATAAAGGGCCATGTACCTTAGAACCCCCCAAATAGAGTCTCCTGCAGAAGTCATCAGGTCCCCTCATGTTGGGCAGCAGCTGCGCCAATGTACGCGCTGCTCCAAACAACTTGGGGACCAGACCTCGGAAAGTCGGCAAGTCCCATCGGAGCACTCTAGTTTACGATGCAGGGTTTACCATATATTACACTCTAGGGAGAGATCAGACAAAACTACGTTGAGTCGGTTTTGCAGCGATTCGTTTGATATATTGACTTTTTAACTTTTAGTAATTATCTATGCCAAATGAAATACTGCCATCTTAAAATATGCCATTTTATTACATTCGGACATTATAAACATTCGGCCAAATAATAATTACTTATATTAACTTATGCCAAGTGTGTTATGCCAGATAGAGGGAATGGGACAAATGTTTTCAACATGACGCTTTAAGTTGTGTGTGGAGGTGGAGTGGAGGTGAATGTAAAGTAAATTCTACATAACTAGATACACATACACTTTGCACTAGTAAGTATTTCATCAAAAAAAAAACAACAGCCTTTAACAGTCCACTGCTGGACATAGGCCTCTCCTTAGAAAGGAGGTTTTGGCCTACTATACCACGTTGGCCAGACGGGTCGGTATGGGGTTTGTTTCAAGTTTTCCTTCTCTTTGCAGTGCTGTTGTCCCAGTTTGCTCCCTTAGTCGTCTCTTACGACACCCACGGGATGAACAGGGGTGGTGACATTCCGTATTCTTAATCCGTCACCACACGGACAAATAAGTATTTACTTATGTTGTAAAGTTGAAAGTGAGGTTGTTTGTTTGTTACGCTTTCATACCTATACCGTTTTTTTTTAATTCTTTTACCAATTGAAAGCTATATTTTCAGCGAGTAAAGAGCGAAGCCACACGATGCATTGACGCTGCGGTACGGCGCCGGAGCGGTGCCGCTTCGTTATCCTAAATACCGGTGCAAGCGCACCGCAAGCGCATCGAGCTTGGCGAGATGGCGGGACCGGCAGGGAGGGGTATTGCGCACCGGTGCCGGAGTGACGACGTGCCGCCACCGCAGTATTGTTAATTGTTAGTGTGTCGAACGTGTTAATGTGTGCCACAATTATTATTTAACATTTTTCTTTCGTACGATGAGTACCGATAATAATAGTAGCAATAAAACTCGTTTCTTTCGCTCCTTATTCGTTAACAGACTGAGGTAACCCTGTACTCTGAGTCATTGACGGTGCACCGTGATAAACAGCTGTGCCCAACCACTTTTGTGGCAGCCTATACTTTGAAGGCTATTTTTTACCGCAATATTAACCGACATACACGCGTGGGTGCCACGTTTAAAAGCTAGTAAAGTATAAAGTAAATACTTTTATTTTAATTTTATAATGGCGCATATAAGCAGATGGTTGTACCTGATGGTAAGGGACTAGACCCTCGCTTTTTTTTCAGGACTCTCCCACGGTTATATATGACGGCAGGTGACCACAGGTGAGATAGTGACAATCGTAGATACATAAAACCCAAGAGACGCAACTTCGTTGCCACCCTTTGAGCTATGGGGGTAGGGGAGGATTTGGGTCTCCGATAACCTCACTGACAGTAAAAAAACAACAAAAATATTGTACAAACACCGGGTTTCTTTGATTTCAGTAAGTTGGTAAGCATTTTAGTCGTCAGTGCCGCAATGAAAAATACCCATCAGTCTGATTAATGATCACAAAAATATGGTCATGAAATTACAGTACCTTGTACTTGAGACACATCTCATCTTTTGAGTTTGCTTGCCTGCTATCAAGTTCTTTGAAACAACTTATTTCTCGACTAGACAATATAGATCGGCTCGTGTCTTTAAAGTAACTAGTTCGCTTGAATTCATTATAGGCGCTATTGACTTGTTCATTGGTCCGCGAAGCGAAGTAGATGGTAGGATGTCTGAAAACAAGAAGCACAGCAGGTTATGTTATGACCCTAGGTGGATTTCATTGAATTGAAGTCAGTCAAATAATTTCCTACAACTATCATCAGTACTCTAGGTATATTTTAGGTATGCTTTATAGTAACAAAAGTGAATTCAATTCAATAACAACTTGATAACAACAGTATTAGTAGGCTTGCACCTTTTGGTGACAGCCAGTTTGGGTTACAGGTCCGCATACCTGTAACTCAAACTGGCTGTCACAGCTGGTTACTTCTTTCTTTTTTTTTACGTGTGGAAACCCCTCAGGCCCCGTATCGGTAAAACCACACGGTGTGCCACTCTGCGCCTGTAATAGGAGAGGTCCGGGTTCAGCTATTGTTAAGACATCCGGACCCCTCCTAGCGCCTGCCTGCAATCACAGGCGAGGAGGCGATGTCCGCGTGTGCACGTTCGGCACACGCGGACATCGCCTCCTCGCGGCTGGCCATTATGGCGGGTAGAGTGGAAAGCCCGTCCCGTCCACCCGCGGTCACACCCAGGGTGATGAGAGCATGAGGCGGTGGTAAGCGCGCCTCCGCCGCCCGGTTCGCCGGCGACGAATTGGGTCAGAGTGGAGGTTTTCCTCCCGGGCCCTCTCCGCCGCCTCCTTCTGCGAGATGACGTCTTCGCAGAAGGATGCGACCGCGGTGAAACATCCGCGGAGATCCCCCGCGATTACTGCAATGAGGACCCGGCGCTGTGGCGCCCAAGCCTGGCAAATTGCCAGCGTGTGTTGCAGTGGTGACTGGTGGGACTCAATTCCCTTCTAGCGACTGAGTGCAGGTACTTCCCGGAGCAGCTGTGGCTGGAAAGGACCTGCGTCAGCCTGTGGAAAGGATCCCGTGCCGGCGCCCTACATCAGCTTCATCACTATCTTTCTTTAGTAGTGTCGTTTTTTTTCAAAGTTACGTTATTTGGAAGTTGAATTGAGATTTCTGAAATGAAGTCGCGCAATATTGTTTTTTTTTGTAACCACAAGAAACTACAAACAATTTAATCCTTTTTTTAAAACATTTTTGATTTGTTTTTTTTTGATACTACAAAAAAAAGTATATCATCATTTGTAGCTAAAAATAAGAATAAAAAGTCAAGTTTTTTCCCAAAGCGGGTGCCAGCGTGACGGAGCTACTTACCTTTCCGAAATTTTTGTGCGTTTATTGTCCTGCGTCTCGAATTTTGTGTATTCTGCAAAACAAAAATGTTTCTACAAGGTTCTATTTCTTAACTTTTACTTAATATTTATACATCTAAGGACAGTTGTTCAGTGGACAGTTTTGAGACGGATAAAACAATACCGTAACTGTGGAAATCCATCAAGCTTGGGACACACTCATCATTTACATCATGACCAGTGGGTTGGATCAGTTGACGAGTCGTGATTAATAACAGCAGTTCCCGGATCTCCCCTATTACCGGCGCAGAGTGGCACACCGTGTGGTTTCATTCGGTCCCATGCCTACACACCACCCCGCCGCGAACCCCGGTACGTTAAAAATATAAAAACTTGTTAGACGAAGTGTACAAGTGAGGTCAACAGTGACAAGTGAGTGTTATCTAAAAGAACCTAATTGATTTGACGAAAAGAGATGGACTTAAAAACTTTGTACTATTAGTTGGTGAACCTGTAAGATAATTTCATTCTTACGCCTGATAATGTCAAAATAACATAGTGTGGTATAGTTAAATAGACTACGGTTGAACAAATAAGTCTTGTTTCAAAAAAAAACAAAAAAAACTAAATAATTTTGGCAATGTAATGTTTTATTCACCCCAATACCGAAGACGACTTACAGGAATTAATATGAGGGTAGGTTTACACAGAATACCATCGAATGAAACGCTTATAAGTGTAACAAAGAGTCAAAGTTCTCGAAAAAGTTATCTATACCCAACTCAATATTTGATAATCTTGATAATAATTTATCGATAATGAAGGGTCGATATTAACTCAAAGAATTCTAATAAAAAAGATAGTATAGGCTACGACTACTAGACGATTTGACCACTACAAACCGTGACCAGAGTAAAAATCGATTAAATTTCCATTACATCGACACTTAACAAAAAGTTTTAAGTAACTTTGTGCAGTATAAAAAATGACATCAGCTATCTAAAATCGAATCGAATCGAATCGAAATACATTAGCTGATAACAAACACAGAATCATGATTTTTGCACAATATGTCGAGGGATCTTAAAATCGGAAATGTTCGCTGTTTTATTCAAACGTTTAGGGCTCATTTTTAAAATATTATAATAAAACTCTTCCTAAAGGGGGAAAAAGGGAGGAAAGTCCGCCGAATTTACTTTGCGGTGATACGATCCATGGCCCTCTACGGAGCGCCGATATGGGCCAAATGCCTATCTGCCTCTTCCAGCTGCCTAGCTAAGCTCAATCAAGCGCAGCGGGTAGCGCGCGTCACCTACTGACTGACGTAGGTACACTGGGCATGGCTGCTTCGGTGAGTATCCGAATCGCATTGGACGCGAGGAGACGGCACAATGCGAGCACTGTGCAGCCAACAGGAACTGTGCCTAGCACACGCTGGAAGACTACCCTGCGTGGGCGTCTGAACGCGAAGTCGTGGTCGACCAAATCGGACGAGACCTGTCCTCGCTAGCGATCATTGCTGCCATGCCGCCGGTTGAGGAGGGATGGGGCGCAGTGGTCTCTTTCTGTGAAGTTGTAATGCTCCAGAAAGAGATCGCTAGGATATATTATTTTGACATTACAAACGGACACCCTAAATTGTATTTATTTTTATAGATTAGTAACGGGTGATTGTTTAAGAGTTAAGTTTTTCAGGTTGGCAACACTGGTTGGTAATGGCATCCAAACGTCATCTGCAAAGTGAAAAGTTTTCAGTATAGCCTGCCATTTCATCATGGAAAGACTTACAAACGAACAACGATTGGAAATTGTTGAAATTTACTATCAAAATTCGTGCTCTGTGAAAAATGTGTATCGTTTGTTACGACCATATTATGGTCGTCATAATCGACCTGGTGAATCAACAATTCGTGCTGTTATCACCAAATTTCGCACCAATTTTACTTTGTTGGACATTAAACCATTGTCTCGCATGCGTACAGTGCGTACTGAAGAGAATATTGCAGCCGTAGCGTCCAGTGTTAATGAGGATCGTGAAATGTCACTTCGTCGCCGTTCTCAGCAATTGGGCATGTGTTACTCAACCACATGGAAAATTTTACGTGTTGATTTAGGTTTGAATGCCTATAAAATTCAACTTCAGCAAGAATTGAAGCCGAATGACCTACCACAACGTCTAATTTTGGGTGAATGGGCCTTAGAACAGCTCAATGAAAATTCGCTGTTTTATCGAAAAATTGTGTTCAGCGATGAGGCTCATTTCTGGCATAACCCATATATGCCCAGAACTATGTTTTCATTTGGTTCCTTATTTGCCTCCTGATTCGAAAACGAATCAAAAATTAAGCTTTCATAAAAGTTCATCATCTTACGCGTTTCGATCGGAAAGTGCATCTTACCGCCGTCTATATCAAGGTTAAGGTATCTTCTTCTAATGGTAATTGGCTCAGTAGTGACGCTACGATTATTACAGTACCCCAAAACTGTGCCTCTAAATTAGAACAATTGTTATGGGAATTTATCTTATTTAATAATCTTAAGCAACATAACTACCTACTTAACACTAATAAGCGTATTCTAGATCTTGTACTATCCAAAATAGATAATATTAAATTGTTACTTCCAGACGACATACTTTCCAACATAGACAGACATCACAAACCACTTCTCTGCGAGATTTCTTTTACTAGTACTGTCACAACTCCCAAGAGTACGCCTAAGTCTAAGTTTAATTACTTTAAAGCTGACTATGAAGCTATTGGCAGGGCCCTTGATAATGTAGACTGGCAAAGCGTATTGGACTTAAATTCTTCCCTAGACAATAATCTCGAGGTATTCTACGCAATCATTCGTAGGCTAATTGATGAGTACGTACCTCGAATAACCATAAAAGGGTCTCGTTACCCTTATTGGTTCTCTCACGCACTAATTAGAAGCCTAAATGAAAAAAATCGAGTAAAAATTCGTTTCAAAAAGTACAAGAACGCCATGGATGAGCTAAGCCTTAATTTATTGAAATTGAGATTCGATAAACTAGCAACTTTGTGTTATAATGCGTATACAAGCAGACTGGAATCCATTCTAGCCAAGTACTTTGGATTAGCAAAGTACTTTTGGAGTCACATAAAAATTAAAAGAGGTGGAACAATGTTGAATTTTCACATGACCAAGTCAAGAGAGCATTGTCGCACCTAGATATGAATAAGGGAGCAGGACCGGATGATATACCGCCCATATTTTATGTCAAAAACGCTGACACATTAGCGTCTCCGTTAACTATCATCTTCAAAAGATCTTTGATGACGGGCAAATTTCCCTCTTTTTGGAAAGAAACAAAAATTGTTCCTGTAGATAAAACTGGTGACGAGAGTAATGTCGAAAATTACAGGCCAATAGCAATTTTATCAGTACCTGCGAAAGTATTTGAGGCTCTTGTCTGTCCTCATTTATCCTGGCATATCTCTCCGAAAATAAGCACTGCGCAGCATGGCTTTCTAGCGGGCAGATCTACTGCCTCAAACCTTACTACCTATGTTGATTCTTTAGTTACAACTGTTGACGAGAGAGTACAGGTCGACGCTATCTACACCGACTTCAGTAAGGCCTTCGACACGGTAGATCATTCAATCTTAGTTCAAAAAATAATGCTCTTTTGAATTTCGGGGCCTTTGCTGAGTTGGTTTAAATCTTACCTTCATAATAGAAAACTCAGAGTAGTCATAAACGGTTCATGTTCCAAGCAGTACACTGCATTCTCGGGAATACCACAAGGGTCGCATCTAGGACCCTATCTATTCACACTATTCATTAATGACATCGTCCATTGCTTTCACCATTCTAGTATATTTATGTTTGCGGACGACCTTAAAGCCACTAAAGTAATCCATAGCATCAATGACTCTGATGTTACTTCAAGAAGACCTCGATAGGCTCTGTGGATGGTGCGTCCAAAATAAAATGGCTCTAAATGTAAAAAAATGTGTCCATATAAAATTTACCAGAAACAAACATATAATTAACACCCAATATTCGTTGAATAATCACTTACTTAACGAGGTTACGCATATTCGAGACCTAGGAATTATCATGGATAGGAAGTTAAATTTCATTGAGCATATGGATTTCGTCTTTGTAAAGTCCTCACAAATGCTTGGATTTGTTATACGTGAGTCTAAGCACTTCAAAAAAGCTTCTACCAAAATTATATTATTTAACTCATTAGTAAGAAGCCATCTGGAATACTGCAGTGTTGTCTGGTCTCCCACTTATAGGAATCATATTGATCGGCTTGAAAGAATCCAAAAACGTTTTCTAAGACACTTATCTTACAGTTACAAGATGTGCAAAGAACTAACATCATATAAAAAAAGACTTGAGTACTTTGGGTTGTCTTCTCTCGAGAGTCGCAGGAGGATGTTGGATATAATTTTTCTGCACAAGTTGCTGACTGGGACCATGAACTGCCCCGAGTTGCTCAGCAGGATTGGCCTCAATGTTCCTAGATTAAATGCTAGGTCTTGTACTAGGCGAGAATATTTCTGTAGACCTAAATGCCACACGAACCTTAAATTGCATTACTCAATAGCCCGATTATTTGCTGCATTTCAACCTTTTGCCAATATAATAGATATTAACTTTACATCAGTGCCTCGAATCAAGAGAATTGTATTAGATACAAGGAATGTAAGCTTATAGGGGTTTATTTGTTTATTTTTCAATTTGATTTTGCTTCTCTTTGTTTTGTAAGTTTTTGTAAGTCTTATAATAACTTTTAAGTTCACATTATTTTTTGTAAATTGTTATTGCACTTTTGTTGGTCCATGCTGTGCCTACCTTTAAGTGGCGTGATGCTTAACTTTAAAATTCATATGTTTATAAATACATTGTAATAGTGTACTTGCCGTTGGTGGCCTTATAAATAAATAAATAAAATTATATAAAAATAATTGAATGTTTCAACTAAACAAATTTTATTGTCCCGTAATGAATCAGCGCACGTCGTGGCCTGTTTTCGACGTGCAGAAATCAGTGCGTCTTTCACAAAAAAGTAAGTAATTATCCAAATTAACTCTAGTTTAGAGGTTTTGCGTAATTTAGGATAAAGTTAGATAATTTTAGATTATGTTTGTGTAATTATAAAAACAAAATTGTTGTATTCAAACACCTAAAAGGTGTTTATCAAATCAGTGTTTCGTAAACGATACTTTGGGAAAATATACGTATGTAATATACTAAATAAGATTTTTTTATTTCAGATGTAGTAAGCCGTTATCGAACAATGAAATAGTTGATTTTGTCCATAATTTAGATTCGAACGATGAAGCGACAGGTATAGACATTTATATTGATCCCCCCGGAGATGGATTAGTTTCGGACTCCGATTCGGGCGAGGAGACAAATGCAAGTTTTGAAAATTTATCACATAGACAACTTCTGGCTCCAGCTGAGCTGGTGCTTCATGGGAATAAAGACAATGATGACAACGAGTCAAAACACAACATCGGACGTGTCTCTATCGAGTCGACCAGGACAGCCACAAGCCCGTAAGTAGGTAAAACGAGACTTATCCAAAATGGATAACGAGTGGATTGCACCGCCTCCAAGATCAGTGGTGACGTATGAGATGCGTCGGATCTAGTCGCTTTCTTTGAATTATTTTTTAGTCACGAAATAATAATTCATATTGTTCGTCATACAGTTAGTTATGCTGTAGAAAAAGGAAAATTTACCTTGTCTGATGATGAAATATATTGCTTCGTCGGAATTCTTATATTGGCAGGTTAATGTCCATTGCCGCGATGACGTATGTATTGGGAGAGTAATGAGGATACCCACAATTTGTTGATAGCTAAATCTATGCGACGGAACCGGTTTGGTGGCGTGGATCGTTTAGATGGTAATGTAGGCACTTACAGGATTGCAATTAGAGGTAAAAAATGGAACATCCCCATAATTTTCTAGCTTATTGTTGTAAACAATGCAACACTTGTTGCAATGTAGATACACTGGAATTTCGGCGTAGTGTTGCTCGAACCTCGCTCCAAAAGTACGGCATTGACAGGCGGCGGCCGGGTCCTTCTAAAAATTTTTCTACGACTGTACCTCCCTCAGTGCGAATGCGTGTTATGCTAAGCACATGATCGGTAGCGCACCGAGCCGACTGCGTTGTGCTTATTGCAAAAACTTGATGGTTACCTTATGTCAAAAGTGTCAGGTAAACTTACATGCTAAATGTTTTATATTCCTAAATTGTGTTCCTAAATGTATTCCTCAAAGGTGTACCTAAATTTTGTTTATATTGGTTTGTTTGTATGTTTAGATTTATGAATATGTCATTTAAAAATAAATAAATACTTAAAAATGTTTTTGTTACTTTACTCATAATAAATGTATGGGAAGTGCCCGATGTTTCGTTTTCGATCAATTAAAAAAAGGTACATAACCAATTCCGACCTTCATGAAACTAGTTATAACGTTATTAGTGATTGATTACCACAAACATATCCAAAATTTAGTAGAATCGGAAGTCAAAAATAATTCTGGGCATATATGGGTGTTGATCGTTTTCGAATCAGGGGGCAAATATGGGTTAACGGATATGTAAATAAACGAAACTGTCGCATCTGAAGTGATCAACAGCCACATGCCATACAAGAATTACTGTGAGTGAAGCATCCCGAAAAAACGACAGTTTGGTGTGGTTTATGGGCTGGTGGCATCATCGGTCCATTTTTCTTCAAAGACGACAATGGAAGAAACGTTACCGTCGACGGCGAACGATATAGAGCCATGATACGCAACTTTTTCTTGCCACAGTTGGCCGAGTTGAACTTGGTTGACATGTGGTTTCATCAAGACGGTGCCACATGCCACACAGCTCGTGAAATAATGGACATGTTGAAGGATGAATTTGGTGAGTAGCTTATCTCTCGAAATGGCCCTGTGAATTGGCCGATTTGACGCCTCTGGATTATTTCTTGTGGGGTTATGTAAAGTCATTAGTGTATGTGGACAAGCCAAACACGATTGAAGCCTCACAGGATAACATAACACGCGGAAGAAAATAATTATGAATATAACTATTTTCTTACTCAAGTAGAAAACGTTAATAGGTTTAGATAACGAAAAGAAAGATAAAAGAATTTAGATAACGAAATAAATATGTTTTAATTATTTAGGTAATAAAGAAAAAGAGTGTTGTGGCTCGGATCGAAATGGTTTTATCGGTAGTCAACATCACCAACAGCCCGCAACCACTCGAATAGAAACATCGGACCAGGTGCCCTAGATGGGCGATTGGTAAACCGCCCTTGTAGTACCTAGAGAGATGATACGATATGACTATCGATACATATGATTTTAAAACGTTATTTTATGAATGGAACGAATTGTATATTTACTATGTTATATGTATAAGTGTTTCACACTTTAATTAGAGAAGAAAGAAGATAGCTGTTTGATGCACTCCAAGAATGATGGACTCCTGAATATCCCTCAGGCTGGCCAGGATAAGTATTTGCTGTACATTTACATCTACACTAGGTTCCAAAATTTACGGGTCAGTCACAAAAATTGAAATACCTCCAGAACTGTAAAAGTTAGATCAATGAAATAAAAAACAGAATAAAGACTTTTTAGTTGCGCTTCTAATAGCACATTATTTAAACTGGTTGATGAAAAAAACTTCATTAGAAAAACAAAATTAAAAAAAATGACTATTTTTTAAAACAAAATTTTTGGTTCATTTCATTATGGATGCTTTCCATTTCTATTCTGTCACAAAAAAAATTTATCGTGAACATCTTCCACGTGCATAATTATTATTCTGTGAGGTGAAGCATGGCAGTCACGCTAGAGGAATGTACCAGAATCCTAACTTTTTTGGAACTTGAGCGGAGCCAGCGTGTAACAGCCAGAAACATTGGTGTATCTTTGTCGACTGTTCAGCGGGTAGTCCAGCAGTACCAAGAGACCGGATCACACCTTAGAAGACCAGGTAATGGCAGACCAAGGTGCACAACGGCCAGGGAAGACAGACAACTGGTGGCTACAATGCTCCGAAATCGTTTTCAAACTGCTGTTGGTCTAAAAACTCACTTAATTCGCTTTGGAGGTGGCAATTTAAGCGCTCAAACAGTAAGAAGACGTCTTGCTGAAGCAAATTTGAAACCATTGAGGCCCGCAAATGGCCCCAAATTGGAACGGGGACATCGAATTGCAAGACGGAGATACGTGCGCGAGCAGGTCGGTATCGAACTCATGCAGTGGCCAGCGCGAAGCCCGGACTTAAGCCCCATCGAGCACGCCTGGGACGAGCTTTAGAGATGCGTGAAAGGTCGAAACCCCCCACCAATCACGCTTCCCGAGCTCAAACAAGCACTGGTGGAGGAATGGGAAGGTATTGACGGTATGACTGCACGGATGGCGTAGTGGTTTAAGCGGTCGCCACGCCGCTTCCTACTGCGCCGAGTGTTGTGGGTTCAAACCCCACATGGAACGACATTTTGTGTGATCCACAATTTGTTGTTCTGAGTCTGGGTGTTCTTTGTGTCCGTTTCATATATGTTTGTGAAGTCCCCCGCGACACAGGAATGTATTCCTACTGCGGGAGTTGTCTTTTTTAAAAATAAAAAATAAATAAATTCCTCAGCACCGGCTCCGAAATTTGGTGTACAGCATGCCTAATCGCCTGGAAGCTGTCAGAAGAGCTCGTGGAGGCAATACAAAGTATTAAATGAAGAAAGTGATGTAAAACAGCAAAAAAACAATCATAAAAAAATGTAATCTTAAGAAAAATATGACTACTTAAGTTTTATTTTTAATTTAGAGATAAGTTAAGAGTTAGAGAGTTTAGATTTAAGTTTTATTTTATTTTTTATCTGTATAATTAAATTCTCAATTGAACAGTTTTCGTTTCATTAGGATGGCATACGTAGTTCGGGAGATATTCGGGTTTATGTGACTGACCCGTTATTTTTGGCACCGAGTTTATGTCACAACTAGAGACTACATTTATATACTTTTTTTACTGTGTGCCGAAATAACCTCGGAAATCCCCCTTATGCGTAAAGCTGAGCAAAATATAGTGAAGAACGTTGTATGTACGGAAATTAACGTATGTAAAAGAAGAGGACAACAAAAGAAAAGATAGATGGACAGCGAAAACAAAAAATATTTCGCTAAAACAGACTGGTTAAAACAGATACATAGTTCGCAAAAAACTGGTGTATGGTGCCATAATTTATTTTGAACGTAGGAATTTACACATCACATCAACAGCCTTTACTAGTCCACTGCTGGACATAGGCCTCTCCTTAGAAAGGAGGTTTTGGCCTACTACACCACGCTTTAGGAATTTACACACGTATACTTTATATTATTATTATACAAGCACAAGGGTGCATAAAATATTAATATATATGCCTGGATGGTTAAAGCCTTTTATTCCAGAAATGGATGGTTCTGTTTGCATACTTATATGAATCTTACTTCCACACTTGACGGTTAGTTTCAACCTACTTCTAACACGCGCACTTAGTCTGGATAGCAAAAAAAAACACTTTAGTGAGCAATAGAAAACCCGAGTTCGAGTTCGGATTCATTTGATTCGTTTTGACGTGTGAGGTTCATGTTTGGGTTGATAATAACGGGGATTACAAATAAAACTTACTTTTTTGCCAAGCTATTGCGCTGCACAGGAGAGCCAGCGTCTTTCCGGTACCTGTTGGACTTTCTATCACGCAGTTTGTTGAATCTTGGAAGGTCTTGATTGCCTGAAATAGTGATAGAATTTTGAATTACTGTTAGGCACATTATATCGATTTTTACTTAATTAATGTTAATCTTATGTATTTCTATCACTTGCATGTAGCTGAAATACGAATGTTGTGTGGTGTGACTATTATGGAAAAGGTGGAGAATGAGTGAATGACTCTACATTGGAGGAAGCCTGAAAGTAGCACCAGTGAATGAAAAGTTGAGAAGCTTATCTGTTGATCTTTTGCACGTATCTATTCTAAGATAATTCATTCTGTATTATGATACAATCAACATTAATTCACCACATAAAAATGTTGGTCTTGTGGTTGGCGATCCTGACTACATAGCTAATAAGTGATAATACACACAAATAAGTGATAAGCACCATTATCAAAATTTAATTTAAGTGTATAAATCTATAGTCTAATTACCATAGAACAGATTTAGCCTAGTTTAGGATTATACGCCCGTGTGTGAAATGAAAAACGTAAATTAATTAAACTTCACGGATGGCGTAGTGGGTTCGAACCCCACATGGGACGACGCTTTGTGTGACCCACAAATTGTTGTTCTGAGTCTGGGTGTTCTTTATGTCCGTTTCATATATGTTTGTAAAGTACCCCGCGACACAGGAATATATTCCTAACGCGGGAGTTATCTTTAAAAAAAAACAATTGTTATTTTACGGGAAATTGGAATTTTGCAACTATCTCAGCGGTGATGTGTTGGCAACTAAAAATATACTAATATTTTTACTTAGGATAAGTAAAAATAGAGCATTACAGGTGATCGGAAACCTTGTCGTCGAAATAACATCATAATATGCTTTACTAACCGTGCGAAGCCGGGGCGGGTTGGCAATTGTAAATAAAACGGAAGTAGGTAGTCAAACTTTTTAAACGAAGTCAAATCAGATATTGAGACACTAGATATTTTTTGACGTGACAACGTCTTATAAATTGGTTTGCCGGGTGACACTTCAAGAAACTGCGTTACGCTCCGCTCACGTTATGCGCTCACAATGAGAGCGAGTGAGAGGCACGCGTCCCTTCCACTCGGGCATGGTTAGCCCGCCTAAGAGCGAGAGAGACAGACATAAATAATTCTTTGTATAAATAAATGTTTTAAATTGTTACTATTATTTCATCCTTCTTCCTACTATACGAATGAATATTCACATTAAAATTATTTTACCACTCAAAGTCGTTGTCACGTAAAACTTTCGCCCGTATACCGACTTTACAGGCAACCAATTTTTTTCAATTCGTTTACTTTTTGCTGTATCCGTATCTAACAGTTACATGTTTCCTCACCTGTTAGTGACCCAATTCAAATAGCAATGTTAAATATTTTTCAAGGTTACTCTCAACTTAAGAAAAAATAATAACACAGATAATACTGTTAGTTCAGTACCTATAATACCTAACCAAAGATTATATTTATAACTAGCTATCCAGGCAAACGTTGTTTTGCCATATACCTACCTACATTATGTCTAGAAAATATTGAAAATTAATAGGGGTTAATTTACCCTTGTCTTTTAGGGGTATGATAAATAGATGTTGGCGGATTCTCAGATCTACCCGATGTACACACAAAATTTCATAAAAATCTGTCCAGCCCTTTCGGAGGAGTATGGTAACTAACATTGTGACACGAGAGTTTTATATATAAGATATTCACAGAAGGAAAAATCAGTCCAGTAAACCAATCAACATACGGAAATGCTAGCTAACAATCAAACAATAATATTGAACGACAACAGAGCAGAACCTGTTCTAAATTACCGCAATTTACTGTTTCAAAGTACATACACGCACAGATACCGCAAGACATCAAGGTCCCCCCTCCTCTGCCCCCCTCCTCTTCAAAGCCCTGCTATATAAGTATAACTGTATTACAAGGTGCAAGGACACACTAGGTATGTGGTTCGTGATCTCCGTAACCTTCTGATCGCGTAGGAGTTGTAAGGTAGAATTTTATCTGATATGTTTATTGCAACATTGTGGATAAGCTTAGGAGCTGTGTAAATGGAATTTGTCAATCTTAACCTATATTATATGGCTATTGCCCGCGACTTCGCTCGCGTAATTTTTCTTATTTCGTGTGTCCATACAACTGTTCATACCTTGTTTTACCCCCTCAGAGGTGAAAATTTCCAAAAGTTCTTACATAATGGGTGCTTACAACATAGAAAACATCAGCTGCCGAAATTTCAAGTCTGTAGCCCCAGAAGTTTAGGCTCTACGTTGATGAATCAGTCAGTGAATCAGGGCATGAAATTTTACATGTTTAAATAAATACTAACTTGAAGCATCTGACACACAGTTGCCTGATCACAAGCTTTTGTTTTTAACCTTCGACGCAAAAACGACGGGGTGTTGTAAGTTCGACGTGTATGTGTGTGTCTGTGGCATCGTACATCCTAAACGGATAAAGCGATTTTGATTTTGTTTTTTTTTATTTGAAAAGTGAATCCGGCGGGAGTGTTCTTAGTTTGGTGAAAATCGGTCCAAGATGGCCGCCGCCACAAAATGGCGGATTACATATTTTTTCATAACTCCCTCAGTATGGGTATCAATGAAAGAGCTTGACTAGTAGAATACTATATATACACTATGACAAATTTCAAATCCAAGATGTGTGTTTGGGGGACTTTTTATTTTTTAATTAAATTTTTATGGCATAGAAAGCAAACAAGTCAACGGGTCATCTGATGGCAAGTGGACGTGGCCTGTGGCCCCCTTTGTGTATGAAAGCATTCACCCAATGAAAAGCATTGAAGGAATTGCATAACAGCGTTTTAAAGCTTTCTAAAATGCCTTACAACAAAAAGTTTCGTAGTGATTTAATGGAATTTAAACAGTAAACAAAAATGCTCTTATTGGGTAAGAGCATTTTGCAATACTTTATCAGCTTATTTCTTATAAAAATGAAGCATTCTCAACTATATGTTGCAGAAAGCGGTGTGTCGTTGATGTAATCAACTTTCGTCAAGGTCACAATCCGGGTGAGTGACCGAGTAAAACTTGAGTCATTTATTATTAAAGTGGTACCTTAACACTTCAATCCAAACTATCAGTCAAGAATTGCCTCACGGATTGTTTTGCCCAATGAATTTTACTGATTAAATCGCTGAATGCTTCGGTATTTTATGTTAATAAGATAATCTATCAGACAACTGCTTGACTGCGGTCTTTTGTAGAATAGTTTAATTTATTTATTTGTGTCACATTGTAATGAGTTTTGACTGATTTTTGTTATGATCAGACGCCTGCCTAACCTAGGGCATTCGATGCCTTACACAAAATAATCTTCCTACCAACTTAGATTTAAAATAATCTAAAATTACATATAATAGATGTATCTTTATCACAACAACGGTTTAAGACTCCATCGCGATATGGTTAGACTAGCTGATCCGAGCAACTTCGTCTGCGTCTCTCAATAGTAATAAATTTTCTCCGTTTTTGAAACATTCTTCATTGGTGCTCCGCTCCTATTGGTCTAAGCGTGATGATATATAGCCTATAGCCTTCCTCGATAAATGGGCTCTCACGCTCGTTCAAACAAACAAACAAACAAACTCTTCAGCTTTATAATATTAGTATAGATTTGTAAGTTTAATTTGAAGTCCATCAGCAATGACATATATAATCAGAAATACTTATTTGATTGCGTTTCTGCGGTACCTACCTGTTAAAGAGGATGTAACAATAAGAAGTTGCAGATACCGGCAGCTTCAATATGCTTTAACATCACAAAATTTATGAAACTTTGATACTTCTTAAAGTATCGCAACACGTTACAACATGTATGAACCCACATTTTGTATACGACATTATTACAGCGTTCAAGAAGATATCATCTTTGACTATAAAAGAAGTAGCCATTTTTTTTTCAGAAAGTATCCCTATATATATTATATTAAGTAAAAATAAATGTTTTACCTTAGACATAATTTCCTTTTGGACATCATAGGGCCTCACTGGCAGATCCACATTAATGCCTTCGATTTCATAAGAAAACTGCTCTGACTGCTCTCTATGAGATACACAATTTTATTAAATTATAATTAAGCTTCTTAAAAATTCCTCAAACTGAGGCTTTTTACATGGTCATTAACTTGGAATACTATTGTATGTATAATATCCTGAATTGGTGTACAATAAAGATTATTCTATTCTATTATATTCTTTGTATGCACAACAAACAAAGGAACATGTAAAAGTTTTTCAGCATTTATGTATTAAGAAAGTTTATAAATATTACGTAAATGCACCTAATAACGACCCCTTACCGCCCGTTTCATAAAATGATTGTTGTAAAGGATTGCATTAAAAATAGACAACTGATTGCTTTAGAGAAAATATAATAATATATAGATGTATTTGTATTGCAAAGACTGACACATCTGCTCGTTTGCCCAAAAAAATATTTTAAAAAATCGGCTTTTTTAAGGATCTATGTATAAAACAATTTTTGTTCTGTAAGGCTAGGAAAAAGATATTGGCATTTGATTTTTATATTTTTTTTTTATATTTGACATTTTCACAAACGAAGTGAAAGAAACGGCTAACCGATAAGATCATGGTTTAGTGTGCATCAATATTTAAAATAAAATAATTTAATTTGGCTTTGTTATAATATCATAGATACTACCTACTCTTATCTTATCATATCTATGTGGTGACGCATTAAAATATGGAATTTCACCACCCCTATTCATGCCATGGGTGTCGTAAGAGACGACTAAGGGAGCTAATTACGCAGAACAATAGCAGTGCAAAAGGGCCGAAAACTTGAAACAAACCCTATGCCAACCCATCTGGCCATCGTGGTGTCATCATCATCATCAGCGTGGTATAGCAGGCCAAAACTTCATTTCTAAGGAGAGGCCTATGTCCAGCAGTGGACCAACAAGGGCTGTTGATGATGATGATGATGACTGCTCTGCATTTATTATACGATATTTTTATATCTAATTTATATTAATAAGCATATTTTAGAGATTGATTGAAGGCTCCTAAACATTTGTAGAGCTATATTTTGATAATATCGTTCAGTATTTTGGTAGGTTGTTATCACTTTTATTGAATTATTACAAATATTAAATCAAATACTGATTTGTTTCAATTATTATTATTCAACTCAAACAAGCATTTTAATTTAACTTAAATTGTTTTGTTCATTTAACGTTCGGTAAAAGGTGCTACGCCCAAAGGCGAATATGTGAATGTAGCGAGACTGCAAGTCGAAAGATGGTCCAGAAGAATTACTTCGTAGAATAGTCCAAAAATGGAAACGTCAGAGAGGAAGATTTATTATTTATAAAAGGTGCTACAAAAACTGTAAAGGTACACACCCCATGCATTGGACCGGTAATAGGGACATAGCCCTTTTCACTAATTTCTCTTTTTTTAATATTTAATTCATTTTTGCTAGTTGTTTCTATATCCGACCAAAAAAAATCAATCATGACATAAGTTATTAACATTTTGAGAGCCGATCAATATATAGCGCGCCTTATCTAGTACGCCAGCCACGCACTTTTGCCGCTTTATACTTACATTTTAAAGATAAAAAATGAAAGTCAACAATTTCGTTTCAAGCTAGACAAGAAAATACTTTTTGCAATCTGGACTTGGCTTAAACTGTCGGTAATGGGTGCATTTACGTTATTTTATTGAATAATACCGTGTTATTTTTATACGAAAATCAAAGAATTTGTTACCCATCAATTTATCTTCATCAATTAAATAATTTTATTTCAAATAAATTATTTAACTAAAAATAAACTAGTTGTTGAACAAAAAATTTTCGAAAATCCATCAACAGTGCATTAAGTTTTACCTTAAATGCACGATAAAAAGGTTAAGGTACAAAAATACAATATTTTCATATCAAATATATTGATTGCACATCAAAATAACCAGAGCGTACACACGTAATACGAGTACTCACACATACAAAATAACTAATTTTGCAACTCGTCTGGCCACAGTGGGACAGTAGGCCAATTCCTATTTTTTAAGGTTTGTAAGGTGCAATCAGTATTTTTGATAATAATTGAGATTATTTACATAAAAAGGATTTTTTTAAGTGAAAGTTTCTTTTGCCGCGTTGAGCGCATGACGCGTAGTTCAATTGTTTCAAATGTTGACTTCTGTCGACAGGACTGCCTCCGTTTTTTTATTTACAGTTAAAAAATACTAGCCAATAACATTATTAACACTCAAAATACTTTGGATTGAAAATATATTATATTAAAATAAACAATACTCACGAGGCCATGATATCTTGCACGATGAACTCAGACACGATATCTTTATTATGAAGGTGATTGAAAAATGCAAATAAATGGATAATGCGCCTTCATATATAGACTACTTTGACAAAAGATAATGATTAATTTCGCGATAAACGATAAATAGTGCCGGTCCGATACGGATTTATAAAAAATTATAACTCCGTATCGGACCGGCTACAATTTTCTCAAATAGCCCTTTGTCATTTTATTGTATAGTCTATAGTAACACTAACTTATTTTTAGAATTAACGAAGGGCAATCAAACAGGGACGGTAAGTGACTAACGTCATCCATATACACTTGAAAATCAAGAGTTACAAGTACATTGCACTTCAGTTTTCTATTCGTGTGGAGACTCTCCCGGGCTGTCACCCCATCGGGGTTTAATGTAGGTTGGTGTGTCTCAAACCACACGGCGCGCCATACTGCGCCGCGTTTTCATGTGCTCGCTCGCGTGTATATGTCCCGGATCACAGCGTGTATCTTTATCATTTTTTCCCATAGATCAGATACGTAGCCAGTAACTGTGTAAGGTTCGTCCGGTGACCCTCCCGTAAGTAGGTCTACTGGTATTCGAAGCTCTCTACCGAAATTCACGTATGCGGGATTCATGCAGTTTGCAAGACTATTTCGTTGCAACTACGTAGTTTATTTAATAATATGTAATAATAATATATTTATTTGTCAGAATATGGGTACCTATACAGTGTTGTTAGTAGGTACATTTTAGATGCAAGCCACATTCTACCATTATCTGGTGAACAAAATGTTAGTAGAGTGAATTTTTGTTTTTTTTTTATATCTAGGAACAACATTATCATGCATTATTAATTACTATGTCACAACTTCTTATCGTCAAAAAATATTTGAAACTGTAGAAACATTTATCTAAGAGCAACGTAAATATTTTTCATTTAAAAACATTAATAGTATCTTCCTTAAATCTATTTGGTAACTTGTTATAAATGTGTATAGCCATACAGTATACATTCTTACTATACAGTACATATTTATTCTTTGTCGGGGAACTAAGAGTTTATGTGTATTTCTGCTTGACCTGGCGACGGTGTCGTTATGTTTACAAAATAGCTGATAGATAGCTGATGTTTGTGCACAAAAACACAGATATCGTAAATATACAGACTAGGTAGTGGTAGTATGTTGTATTTCTTAAAATGCTTTTTGAAACTATCTGTTTGCTGTAAGTTGGATAGTGCTCGCATACATTTTTTTTGTGCAAGAAATTTGGTTTAACTGGCACTGCCCCTATATTATAATCGCATATCGTAGTTTTGACGACACATAGTCGTGGTATACACTTAAAGCAGTGCCCAGAGTCGATATTTGTTTAACGCGATATATAGCGTAAACAAATTTAGCCAAATTCATGCAAAGTTTCTCAATATGCTGCTTCCAATTACAGTGTTTATCTATTGTAATGCCCAAAAATGACGTCGCATCCACTTCTTCAACTACATAATATTTAATATCTAATTTAATGGCGATAAATTGTAATTTTACAGAAATTGTTGGTTTACTATGAATTTCTACAACTTTCGGATGCGCAGGCCGATCGTTGCAAGGTACCATAGCAATCGGAGAACTCTGATTTTTTTTTCGTTGAGCTCGCGTCATTAGAGTCATTGAACTTTCATACATATTTTTCACTTCACTTGATGTAATAGGCAGTCGTGACATTACATCAGCTGTTATATTGACAGATCCTTTTATATATGGAACTTCAAAATTATACTCGTCAAGTAACAGTCTAAACTTCATAAGGCGGCTAGATGGATCTCTCATTCCAAACAAATATAAAAGTGGTTTACGATCAGTTGCAATTGTAAAATTTCTAAGATATAAATAATGGCGGAAATGTTTGACAGCCCACACTATTGCTAATTACTATTTTTTGATTGTGGGATTTATTTATTTAAATTACATAAAACAGCGCCTAATGAACATTGCCTAATGAAAATTTTCTATAATAGTTCGAAAACCCAACAAATCTTACTACCTTTACGTTTTTAGGAACCGGCCAATCACTTAATACTCAATTTATTTCAGGGTCGGGTAATACTCCTTCACCCGAAAAACATGTCCTAGACACAAAATAACTTTATTTAGAAAATTACATTTATGAGGGTTCAACTTTAAATTTACTTGTCGCAACCTGGTAAAAATATCTAAGGTTTGGTTTTCAACACCATAGGCATTTGGAACTGACCTGAAGCGGAGGCGGTACCTTTGGAGGCAGTTGTATATTTCCGACTTTCAGGGTAAAGGTTACACTGGTCGAGTAAAAAGATCGAGAGTAGAAAAATAGATAGATCCTGAAAAAGAATCCAACATTTCTATGATATTCGGAAGCGCTAATTTACCATTTTATATTTTCCTTGTTCAGCTTTCGATAATTAATGACTAATCGCCACTTTTTACTGCCGGAATTATCTAATCTTTTAGGAACAAGTAAAATTGGGCTAGACCATTCGCTCTGACATGGTTCTATTATACCCTCTCGCAACATATCGTCTTGTTGGTGTTCTGTAAGGTTAACTTTAGACTGATTGAATATTACGCTTCAAATTGATGCGGTGGCTATAAATGTTTGTGGTAGTTAATTTATCTCATAGCAATAAAAATATATCTGGAAATTTAACACAAATATTTTCAATAGTTACTTGTTCTTCGCCATTCAAATGTTTCAAATTTAATGACCTTAGTAACTTTTTCACTCGATCCACATTCACATTTATTAAAACTACATATATATATCGTACTCGCTAATTTTCTCTAAATTGGGTTTAAAATCATCAAGGTGAACTGAATTTTCGCTAATATTTAAGATTAAAATAGGTATCATACCGTTTAACGGTTTGTCTAACGAACTAGCGAAGAATATTCCTTCACATAACTCCGATGAACAAACATTACATTCCCCGGTAACACCAGTTCGAATATAATGTATCGATTAAGATCTTGCAGCCAAGATCTGAGTCGATACATTATATTCGAGAAAATTGGTGAAACAATTTTTACTGTCATTTGCAATTTGTAATGAAAAATTATTATATTATTTTATTCAGGTCACTCTACAAAATCAATGTTAAACAAATAAGATTTAAAATAGCTTTATATTTTGCAAGAAAATCAGCAAAATTGATTAAAATTACCTCGGTTCCACCACATAACGGTGCGCAGCACTCCCTTTTTACTTTTTTTTGGACACACCTATTTTCATTTACTGTTTATCACGACATGCCTAAGTACTTCTCTGTAATGCTTCACATGTAGAATAATACATTTAAAACAGATATCTTTATTTACGAGATAAATTAAAATGGAAAATAATTTAATAGATTAAATATAAAAATAAATGAAATTACTTTAAATGTGAATGGTATAATAACTCCGTGTGGTGACGGATTAACAACACAGAGTGTCACCACCCCTATTCATCCCAAGGGTGTCGTAAGAGCCGACTAAGGGAGCAATCAGACAACAGCACTGCAAAGAAAAGGAAAACTTGAAGGAAGGTAATCGAGCAGGTTGACACATTGCAAAGTTAAGTTATCCTAGCCAGGTCAGTCTATGGATAGGTGACCATTCTTAACACATTGGGACCTCTCCGAAATTACATGTTACATAGAATGATTGTGGGCTTGTTGGTATGTTCTGTTTTTAACGACGAAATACAAAAGTATCTCTCCTTGCCAATTGATACAGAAGACATGGATGTGTTATCTCGGTGGTGTAACCACGACCATGTCTTCATTATAAAGGTTTAAAAGTCTCGAGTCCTTTCATCACTTTAATGAACAGTATTTTTTTACAATAAGTAATCAATGTTGTAACAGTCCGTGTGGTGACGGATTAAGAATACGAAGTGTCACCACCCCTATTCATCCCGTGGGTGTCGTAAGAGCCGACTAAGAGAGCAAACTACGCACGAGAACAGCACTGCAAAGAGAAGGAAAACTTGACACAAACCCAATACCAACTTGTCTGGCCAGCGTGGTATAGTAGGCCAAAACCTCCTTTTTAAGGAGAGGCCTATGTCCAGTAGTGGACTGTTAAAGGCTGTTGATGTGATGTGATGTGATGTGATGAATGTTGTAACTATGACGTGCAGAAAGAAATTACATATTATTAGATACAAGAATTTTCTTTTAATACGTGATCAATGTAGAAAGTTTGTATTATTGCGTACCAACACAACATTTAGTTTGACTACAGTGACAGAATCATTCAGACAGTGTAATACTCGTAGATCATTGTTCGAGAGTGGTGACGGTTCCATCCTTAGTGGACTGGCTGTGGACTTTTTGGTATTTTTGTTTTCATGACAGAATATGTTTTTTGAATTCTATTCCTCTAAAATGATTGTGGTTTACGGAAGAAAAATGGTAAAACATGTAATAAAAAAAAGTTATTATCTATACTCTATACAAAGAAATAAAATTGGAGTGTCTGTTTGTAATATTAAAATAACCGCTTTTTACTAAATGCATATGTACATATGTTTACACGGTACATATGCCAAAATAACATTTTTTACAATTTTTGTCTGTCTGTCTGTCTGTTTGTTCCGGGTAATCTCTGGAACGGCTGGACCGATTTCGACGGGACTTTCACTGGCAGAGAGCTAATGACATAAGGAGTAACTTAGGCTACTTTTTTTAGAATAGCTTCGCCCCGCGGCATTGCCCGCGGTTATAACAACAAACGCGGGTAACACCGCGGGTCTCAGCTAGTTTTTCATAAAATCATTTATTTACACATTTAAAACAAAACCAACTTTGAAAATAAAAAATTTTAGTTAACCATTTTGATTGCTTAGGTATACAATTTGTTCTTGTTATTTCATAGAGGTTTATAGTTTAATTTGTTCAGTTTTTCAAGAAAACTTAATGTCTGTATTATAATATAATGAACTAACTTATTACTATCACAGCCAGCACATCCCCTAAATTGCCGTGAGAAAAAGGCTTCTTAAATAATATTTAGTGTGACCTCAATTGTTGTTAATACATCTAAAAAGACGTTGACGCATGGAGGCGACTAAACCCCATACGTTTTCTAGATCAGAGGATAGTGAAAACACTTTCACTAATGTGTTCCACGGGATAAATATTGTTCACAGTAGGTGGCATACCTAGGTAGGCATTATGTCGTTCTAAACCTCCACATGATTGGGATATAGTTGGTATGAAACCATTTGTTTCATACCATATATGGTTATACATACATTCATACATACATATATGGTTTAAGCGTGAAGAGGTGACAAACAGACAGACAGACATATAGAAAGTATTGAGAAAACAAAAAAAAAAAGGTTTTATGTAGGGCAAACCAAAGCTAGTTGTCATACTAGATTAACTTCCTTTCTTTTGTGAGAGAACGTGTGTAAAAGAGAAAAATAGTATTGTGCTATTAAAGTAAAATGATTGTTAAAAACATTTCTGTGGGAGAAGAAAACAACAAACACTGATTGCCTACAATTTTATTTACTTAGTTTAATTTCCACTATAACATAAATGTGTAAAAGGTTATGGGCCCAGGCACATGGCGACTAATTGAACGCATATACAATATGCGTTATTAATCCCCCTGAATTGAACGCATATACAATATGCGTTCAATTCAGGGGTGAAGTAACAGAAATGGAGAGTCAGGTAACACAGTTAATAAAATTGAACGGCACAAATTGGCTGGTATGGAAATTTCATATGACTGTTATTCTAAAATCGAAAAACTTGTTAGACGTGGTAAAAGGTTTAACAAATCCCGACGGATCGGAGGGATTGCACGGGAAGTAATTGTGAGCCGAATCAATGAGAGCGTCATGATTCATTTGGTATCATGTTCAACTAGTTCGGATATGTGGGAAAAATTAGTCACAGTAAATGAACCAAAATCTAAGGTTACCGTCCACTTAACCCTTCAAAGGTTTTACAATCTCCCATTCGAAGGACCCGTTACTGTATTTATCTCCAAACTAGATGAACTAACGCACAACATAAAGAGTGTGGGTGAGCAAATATCAGAGTCGATGATAATCACCAAAATATTAATGTCATTACCGCCTAAATATAAACATTTAATATCAGTATTTGAATCAGTTCAGGAACCAACGCTTAGACAATTGCCATCAAGATTAATGATTGAAGAAGAAAGAAGTAAGAGTGAGTATGAGGAGAAATCAATAGCTTTCATTGGTGCAAGAAGACAACCTGGTGCTCTCACGAGAGACAGGAAGGAGCACAAAGATGGATTGGAGCCCGAGAACGACCCAGTCACCCATCTACTTCTCCTGCATTTATAAAGAAAAATGATTTTAAGTGTCATTTTTGTTGGAAATATGGACACTATATTAAGAATTGTGGGTTTAAGACTATGTATTGTCACTGATTCAGAGAATAAAACATTGTGGGTTATGGATACTGGTGCAAGTGATCATATGTGTTGTTGTAGAAAAGTTCTCTTGTGGGTTCTGGGCAACAACAAACACCATTAATATCTTTTACCAGTATTTTATTAATATGATATTGTAGTGATTCGGCGCGTGGATTTTACAATGTGCTCAGTGACATCGGTCAGTCAGAACGAAGGCGACCGGATCCGGATACAGATAACATAAAATTATAACAGTTTTCCCCCCCTTTAAAATAAAACCCCTTAACATTTAAGAGAAACTAAGTTAGTACTCATAACTATAAAACAAGTCTTACAACAGGTTTCTTGATTCTGCTACTTCTACGTACCTCTGGGTGATTATGAACGTCACGTATATGAGTATTATTACCAACCGAAGTCGATATAGTAGTAGCAGCATCACTAGTGATTGTATGAGGAATATCCTGAGGATTAGAATGTATAGGAACTAGATACAGATAACATAAAATTATAACATGTGTAAAGATCCAGAAATTTTTGTCCAGAAAACAATTAAAAAGGTTAAAACAGACAATGAGAAAGAATTTGTATGCAGAAATGTACAAAAGTTTTTTGAAAATAGAGGAATAATACATCAAAGGACAGTAAGTTATACCAAAACAAAACGGCAGAGCAGAAAGAGAAATGAGAACCATTGTTGAGTCGGCGCGAGAATTGCTTCATGCAAAGGGATAGGGTAAGGAATTATGGGCAGAAGCCACTAACACAGCTACTTTTACCATAAATAGATCGGACATGAGTAAAGTTGAAAGTAAGACACCATATGAGTTATTATACAAGAAATAATTTGATATCAACGTGCTACAGGTTTTCGGGACAGAAGTTTATGTACATGAAGAGTAGAAAAGGAATATTTGTAGGATGTAGGATATGGACAGAATACAAAAGGATTCAGAGTTTGGTTTCGTAACACAAATATAGTGGACACATTTAGAGATGTCGTGTTTACAAAACCATCAGACAAGGAAATTATAAGTGTGAGTGAGGAAAGAAATAATATTTCGAATTATGATAAGAATTTTGTTGAAGGTAAAGATAAAAATGATAATATAGAGAGCAAAAATACTCAAGATAGTTTTCAAGAAGAGAGACAGAAAACTCAAGATAATTTTCAAGAGGAGAAAGAGAATACTCAATATAATTTTCAGGAGAAGGGAGAAACTGATGATATAGGAATGGAACATCAACCGACAAATAATGAAATTGAAGAGGAAGAATATGAAACAGGCAAAGAAAGTGGTGAAGACAGTGACAAAGAGAAGGACAACATGAAAGAAGATAAAAAGAAGAAAGCAGAAAGCCAAACTATAATAACAAATAAAAAGGATGTGACAAAAGGAGACCAAGGAAAGAGGAAAATAAGAAAACCTAGATGGTTTGAAGACTGTGACACGAGTTTTACAGTTTTAAATGAAAACCAATTAACATTTATAGATGCAATAAAAGGTGGAGAATCTGATAAATGCAAGAAAGCTATAGTAGAAGAATTGGAAGCTTTGAGAAGGAATCATACAAGGACATAAGTTGGGTGGGTATAAAGCAGTCCTGTAGAAATAAAAGGTTACTAAAGATCCTTGCTTCAAAATCAAACAACCAGGTTATAACTAATTACTATAAAAAATACGAAAAAATATTAAAAAGAACTGTAACAACAGCAAAAAAATTATACTACAAAAATAGAATATCGAAAGCCGACAATAAAGTGAAAACCATGTGGGGTATAATTAACGAGCGAACGAACAAAAAGCCTAAAAAAGTAAATAAAACATAAATTAAAACAAAACATAAATTTACACATAAATAATATCTTAACAACTGAGCCTAGCGAAATTGCCAACTATTTTAATAACTTCTTTGCATCAATTGGAGAGACTTTACACCAGCCTTCCGGTAGCAATACAAATAGTGTACAAGCCCACAACACAATAGAAAATACAATATATCTCAACCCAGTGGATCCTCATGAAGTTAACACAATTCTGAAAACACTTAAAAATAAAAAAAAGCTGTGGTATAGACGAGCTTCCACCTACCGTACTGAGACACTGTGCAGATGAACTAACTTTGCCGTTTTATTTATTGGTTAATCAGTCATTTAAAGAAGGCGTCGTGCCTGACCAATTAAAACATAGCTTGGTAAAACCAATACACAAGAAAAACTCAAAAACCGACCCAGACAATTATCGACCTATCGCCCTGTTACCGACTGCATCCAAGATTTTTGAAAAAGCGATGACAGATAGAATATATAACTTCTGTGAAAAATATAAAATATTAGATGAGTGCCAGAATGTATTTCGCAAAAATAAATCCACGATCTTAGCAGTATATAAATACGTCCAAGAAGCCTTAAACATTTTGAATAATAAGCAATACGCAGTAGGTCTTCTATTAGACATGAGCAAAGCATACGACAAAGTTCAATTTAATATTCTATTAAATAGGCTGTATGCTATTGGAATCCGGGGTAAAGCTTACGAATGGCTAGAGTCATATCTAACAGGTAGGAAACAAACTGTAGAACTAGAATTCTTCAACAAAAACACACACGAGATACAAAAAATCCGTTCAAACAGGAAAGATATAAAAGCCTCTATTCCTCAAGGTAGCGTAATTGGGTGCCTATTATTTATAATTTATGTAAACGAGCTACCCAAAACAATAAACGGACCATGTGTCTTATTTGCGGACGACATCTCTTTGCTCACTTCGTGTACAACTAATGTGGATGTTTGTGAAAATCTTCACCAAACACTCACAAAAACAGTGGACTGGATGAACAAACACAATCTGGAAATAAATTTCTCAAAAACTAAATTGATAACTTTCCATCCACACCAAAAATCACCAATAGACATCAATTTTACATTTAATGGATCAAAGATAGAAGTTGTTAATGAGTTTAACTTACTCGGGGTAACCATAGACACGCATATCAACTGGAGGGCGCACGTAAAAAAGGTGAGCGCAAAAATATCAAGCTTTACATACGCCCTACGCGAAGTCAAAAAAGTCACAGATCTACCCTAAGATAAAGTTTCTTTATCTTAGGATCTACCTACTGCACTTGTCACTTATTACGCCTACGCACATTCTTGGCTCAACTATGGCGTAATTTTGTGGGGCAATAGTACGGACGTCCCCGCTGTTTTTACTAAGCAAAAGGCATTGATTAGAGTCTTGGTCAATATAAAAAATACTGACACATGTAAACCACACTTTCAAGAACTCAAAATCCTAACATTACCATGCATCTACATCTTGGAATTATGTAAACTTGTTCGTAAATATCCGGAACACTACACCAAGCGCGAAGATATCCAATCCAAAATGACCCTAAGACACAAAAGTAGATTATATCTTCCTACTTCAAGATTAGCAATTCACTCCTCTGGACCATTGGTCATGTCAGTAAAAGTATATAATAGGCTACCAAACGAAATCAAAAACGAAAATAAATACAATACTTTTGTTAACAAATTAAAAAAACTCCTGATAAACAAATGCTACTACAGTGTCAAGGAATACTTAGAAGATAAATTATAAACTTTAAATAACTAAAATTAGTCATTATAAACACATGCCAGTATGGACATAAAATCTAATAAATTTACATTTAATAAATATTAATATATAATGAATGACTATGCAATAAATTGATATACAATGAATGGTAAAATAATTTTGTACTGACATTGTTCATTAATAAATTTATTAAATTATCAACAACTACATCCTTTTATGAACATGCAAGTTAAATATACTATTTGGTTTAATTAGTTTATCTCGTTTAAAGCAGAAAATGTTGGTATTGAAATCAAGCTCTTCAAACTAGCATAATTAGGCAGCTCCTCCTCTCTCCTGATAGTGCTGTGCCCAACAGGGTCCATAATTGTTATCTACTTTTAAGCCTACCACCTGAATGTACATTATGGAATGCAATAAATTGAAATTGAAATTGAAATTGATTTGCCACCTAATAAAACACCTATTAAGGCAAAATGGGTTTTGAGAAAGAAACAGGGTAAAGAAGACTATATATACTAAGCAAGACTTGTAGTGAGAGACTTTCAACAATAGAAAAAAAATGATCATTCGGAAATCTATTTAGCTGTAGCTAAACTACCAACATTAAGAATATTTCTGGCTATCGCAAATAAGTTTAAGTTATTCATATATCAAATGGATATAAAAGTGTCTTTCTAAATGGAAATATAGAAGAAGAAGTTTTCTTACTAAAGCCTGAAGGAATTGAGAAGAATTATAAAGTTCTTAGATTAAATCGATCATTATCGGACTTAAGAAATCACCAAGAAATTGAAACCAGAAATTCAATGAATTTATGTTAAAGGAAGGGTTTGAAAATACAAGTCTGATTACTGTTTGATGGTTTGACTGGAGGGTCGAGTCTCCCTAGATTTGTCTAATTTAAGTTATTTCAGAACTATTATAGGTAGGTACACACAACAGTAGCTTATTATAATAAATCAAAAACATACTTTTTAAGTTTCCTCTTAAATATAACTTTGCCTGTTTCTTCAATAATGTCCAATGGCAGATTATTAAGATGATAATTGCAAGATGGCATTCGTTTTTTTTAAGTTCTGTGTACTCTTGGAACAGTATATCTACCGTGGGTCACCGAGCGAGTGTTATATTCACTGGTGACTTTCCTCAAGTCATTCTGCCGGCTGCCATGATTAATTATTAATTTATGAAAGCAAATTATACAATAATATTCAAGAGAAGATTTAGAGTTTAAAAGTGGAGATCAATATTTCCAGAATAATAAAACAAAGGGAAGGTTTAAAAAAAAAGGCATTAATTGCTAAAATTAAACCCATGGTGGTAGAATTTTGACCGGCATGCCAACATTGCTTATAATTTTGCTGTCAGAAATATGACAGTGACAAACGTAAAACGTCACAAAGATAAAACCAAAAGTCAAAACAAAACCACGTTGAGATTGAGAGCCAATGATTGTAGCATTTAAATAACGTGGTATTTATTATGGTAATGGCTTAAAACTTACCTATGACTTTCTAGTTATAAAATTCTATTCTAGAATCAAATTAAATTGAAGATGGGAAGAACACGATTTAATGCAAAAGCGCGACAAGTCGTTAAGACAAATATTGACAACACGGAAACCAGTGAGGTATGCGAACTATTTAATTATTTATCGATGTGCCTTTACATTTTTATTACGTATTCTCGCGCTTATCATATTAATATTTGATTAACTGTGTGTACAAACAAATATAACATATTAAAGGCTGATCTTCTTTAACCGCAATTATTCAGTTATAAATACTAACCGTATATTGTAAACGACACCGCCGGGGTGTCGTTTACAATTTTTTCGTTTTATTTACGACACCACTGGTGACTAGTGATGTATAGCGTAAAATAAAACAATACGTTATGAGCTAATTTTAATGATAGTGTTCAAATTGGTTGGGTTCACAGAGATTCGTAAAACATTAAAATTGTATCTATAATAAGAACAAAAAATAACTCAATTAAATTATAAAATTATACAACAATTATTCGTTTTTTTCACCGTATCTTTGTTTTACTTCATTTGCTATCTTTAAAACAAGCTCTGGAAAAAGTTATTTTAAGGCCATGGTTATGATCTTACGAATGAAAAATAATTGATATTGATAAATGCACTAGTTTTGTGTTAGGACTTCATTACGGTGGTGTTATTAACTATTAGTATTAAATTGTAAACGACACCCCAGTGGTATTGTTTACAATACACAATACTAACTATAAGCCTACAACATTTACCCTCAAAATACTAATTTAGTCCATTAACAGCAGCTTACCATCAAGTGAACAATCTGGTCCCCTCCCTCTTCAGTTTTAACATAGAAAGAAATCACACATTTACATGAGGGTCTTGTGGTGACCATAACTATCATTGCAATGTCACAATCACTCATGTCTAAATCAATCATCACCTAATTATCTTTAAATACTGTTGTTTCATTTCAGATTCATTTAGAGTTTTCTAAGAGTGAATATGGATCCAGCGATCAAAATAATTTACTGGCTTTGCCCTCCAAGAAAAGAGAAACTAAAATTGTTAAAGAAAAGAAAGAGAAGACAAGATTCTTGTCTAAGGCACAAAGGAAGAGATTAGAAAAAATTGTTGAAAAGAAGCACAAAAAGGAGAATGTAAGTATTAAAGTGCTTACAACTATAAATTAATTTACAAAAACTGTTAGTATCTTTTTTGGTATGTGGTTTACATCTATTTACCAACTTTCTACTTTCATGCATTTTTCAATGAAATGTTAAATAATTTTTGAGCTTTCTCATTAAGTTATGAATGTATAATAATAGGAATTAAATTAATCACATGCTAGGTATTATCTTATAGAAAAAGAGTTACTTAAAAAAAATGCAAAACAAAAAATAAAGTATGTTTAAAAAAAAAGTTTTGATACTCTAAAAAAAAAAAAAATGCTGTCCGGTAGGGCACTGTAGACATGGCTTACACACTTCCAGAATTATGCATGTTTAAGTATGTTCCAGTCACATCATGTGACGTGGATAGATCATTCAGTCAATATAAGGCTAAATTTTGACTGAATCTTCAGAATTTTAATTTTAAAGATTTAAAGAAACATGTTAATATGAACTGACATATGCTGTATATTTTAATACGGACCCTAATTATTATAATTAAATAATCTTATTGCTAATTACAAGTCCCAGCATATAGGCGCTCTAAAGAGAACTGTCAAATTCAATTGATGAGAAGTGTAAGCCTAAGTAGGCATTTATGTGTAATATATATATACACATAAATAATATGCACATAGATATATATATGTATCCGTACATACACATACAAACAAACACACACATGAATATATACATACATATAACACATATATACAGATACTCACACATAAATACACATACATAACGAAATGCAGATACATAGATATTATTATGTTCAAAACAAGAGCAAAAATAAAAAAAAATGCCAGACATATCAGCTATGTGTCATTGGTCTGTGACCAACAGCAATGATGTTTACAGAATTTTTAGTTGTATGTAAATTTCTGTGTAGTGTGTGTGGTGGTGTCATCACCAGATGTCGTAAGAGCCGGCTAGTGAGCAATCTACGCAGGACAACAGCACTGCAAAGAGAGGGAAAACTTGACACAAACCCTATACCAGTGTGGTACATTAGGCCAAAACGAGAGGCCCTTGTCCAACAGGGGACTATATAAAGCTGTTGATGATGATGATGATGATGATGTAAAATAGTATTTCAGGTATTAAATATAATAAATGGTAGGTATTCTACTTATAAATTTTATAAAGTGCTCAAAAATTAAAGAAAAAAACTCATTGCACCGACATCAAATAAGTTTCGTAAAACGGATAGGAAGACGATGACACTCAGTTCACTACAGCAGTCATTACTTGGTTGAATTTATGCTGAATTTTATCTAGTTTTCCTAAATTATATTTAACATCACAATTGAACTGAGTCTTGCACACATGTCTTTGTCATTGCAACAACAGACAAAAATAAATTTATGCCTACCCTTTTCCCAATTTTATTTGGGGTCGGCGCAGTATGTATGATTTTTCTATTCTACTCTGTCATGCGTCATCTCACTGTTTACTCCCTTCCTAGCCATATTCTCCCTCACGCAGTCCATCCACCTTTTCTTCGGTCTGCCTCTTCTCTTGTACCCTTCAACTCCCATACCTAAAACTTTCTTCGCCACATTTTCCTCATCCCTCCGCATGACATGTCCATACCAAGATAACCTATTACTTCTTAACTTTTCATCCAGTGGCGCTACTTTCAGACCCTCGTATATACTCATTCCTAACCTTGTCCATCTGAGTCACACCACACATCCATCTCAGCATTCGCATTTCGGCTACGTTCAGGCGTCTCTCATCCGTTCTCTTAATGGGCCAACTTTCAGAACCATACAGGACGGCAGGTCTGATAATAGTTTTATAAATTTGTCCCTTCAGTGTTAAGGGGAAACTGGGGTCACAAGTTGTTCCCGTTACCTGCCGCCACACAAATTTATTCATTGTCATATTCTGACCTAAAAGAGTTGCTATTTAATAATAATTATTTTTTTTAGCGAGCTTCACTGCTGGAATCCTTATCCAAAGTGCAGGCTTCAGCAGACGAGGTTAAACAATTGACGGCCATCTCTGCTGTGCAGACTATAGGCTTACGTCGATTGCAAGAATTTGATTCAGAACTACCCAAACAAAAACTTGTTGAAGATACTGTTAAAAAGTTTAGTAGTATAGCTGGTGTGTATTTTCTTTATACTAACTTTTAAAATACTCATTATAATTATGTCACGTAATGGAGATTTTGTGATCCACGAATTATGGTTCTGGGTCTGAGTGTTCATTGTGTTTGTTTCATAAATATTTGTAAGTGCCCCGTGATACAGGATTTAGGATTATCTGTATTATTGTGTTCCCTAATACTCTTGGGACATTTAAATTAAAGGTATACATGTTCACGTAAACCAGGTTTATTCTCTTCTCTAGATTATTTTTGCTTACGCTACCTGAACTGTACACTTACATGTTAATTGTTACATATGAAAGGAAAGTAAGTAGGTAAGATACGTTGTACCCTACACAGGTTATATTCCTAGTGCAATTGTTTTATTTTTAGAGAAAAAAAATAAAAAACTATGTGTATTGCTTGCCTGGTTTTTATTCACAAGGCTCGTCGTTTTGTCAAAAAAGTATGGGGGGGTAGAGTATGAAAAAGTGTAAGTCAAAGTGTCAAATTATGGTGACGCAACAGTAACATGTTGTTAGAGTAGGATATTATGGTGCACTTTTCACAATAATTAGGCAAGTGCCGACATTGAATTACCTTAACTCAGCAAATTTCTACACTAGCATCATTGTGGTCGGTTTTAGAACTGTTATTTGCGGCTTATTGCTAAACACTTTTTCGATTTGCCATTCATAAAAGATAGTGCTTCTTACTTCTACTCTCCATACAACACAGGCAAACATTTGACAGAAAGTCATAGATCCACAAAGGCAGAAATGGTCTTTTTTCCATTTTTTTTATTAATTTTATTTTGTATTAACTGTGTTCTATTTTTTTTATTATTATTTTGTTAATTTAAGTGATACTAAGAAAAAAAGACATTGAATTTGATTTAGGGTGAAAATAGTGAATAACATTACCTTAAACATTTCTGATTTTTTAAGCACTGGCCAAGATCATGATATGATGGTTGTATTCTCTATTTGCTTTTAACATTCGATTTCTTTCTTTTTAAATCTTATTTCTTCATTGCATTTGGTAATTATTGTAAGTAAGTTTTTGTATTAAACAATGTAATCAGTATTTGTAAAATTGTTTCTTGATTTGGATATTGCTGATTACAGGAGCTAAGAAGCGCTTAAGACTTTTAAAAATGGATAATGCTGAAAAATTAAAAAAGAAAAAATACGACCCTGATGTAGTTGGCTTAGAAGAATCATCAGAAGAAAGTTCCGACTCTGAAGATACTGATAGTGATGAACCAGAAATTGTAAATAATGAAAAAGATACTGGAATCGAGAGTGTGCCTGAGCCTGATACAGTTGATAATGTGAATAGCAAAAATGGAAACTGTGATACTATGGAAAAAGAAGATATAGAATTGGAAAAATCTAAAAATAAATCGAAGGAGAAGAATGTAGTTAAGGATACCAAAACAAAAGAAGTAAAAATTGAAAATAAACCTTTACTAAACCATCCTACAGTTAATGTAGAAGTAAAAAGGGATCCTAAGATACAGGTGGCCAGATTAAAACTGCCAATACTAGGCGAGGAACAAAGAATAATGGAATTGATCAACGAGAATGAGTTTCTAATCATTGCTGGTGAAACAGGTATAGTGTAGTCTTGTAACTAACTTATCCATGTGACTCATCCAAGGGAGCAAACTACGCAGGACAACAGCACTGCAAAGAGATGAAAAACTTGATACAACACCTTATACCAACCCATCTGGCCAGCGTGTTATAGTAAGACAAAACTTCCTTTCTAAAGAAAAGCCTATGTTCAGCAGTGGACTATTAAAGGCTGTTGATGATGATGATGATGATATGGCAAATAATACCATAAATCTATATTTTATATGTGAAGAGAAATCTTTGTACCCCTCTGTACAAATATAGCTTACAGAGGCCTATCATACTTAGAAATACTTAATAATATGTAGGAGAAATTATGTAACACAGGGTGTCAGCTACTTCTGGTATAAAGAGGTAAAAAACATACAAAAATTTTCTTGTTTGTTTCAGGCAGTGGTAAAACAACTCAACTTCCACAATTCTTATATGAAGCCGGTTACGCAGGACAAAAAATGATAGGTGTGACAGAACCTCGCCGTGTGGCTACCGTGGCAATGTCAGTGCGAGTTGGATATGAACTGGGACTCACAAGCAAGGAAGTCTCGTACCTCATGAGGTTTGAGGGTAACGCTTCGAAGGATACCAAAATCAAGTTCATGACTGATGGTTTGTATAGTCATTATCATCAACAGCTTTTAATAGTCTACTGCTGGACATGGGCCAAAACTTCCTTTCAAAGGATAGTATTGAAAGAGTAACCTGCCTGAGGTTGCACTGGCGGTGACGACTGGCCGTGAGGCTGACGGACTTTGTTATGCACGCCCCCTGTTCTAAAGGAGATCATTTTCAATAAAAATAATTATAAAAATATTTTTTTCAGGTGTTCTTCTAAAAGAAATCCAGTCAGACTTCCTCCTTAGCAAATACTCTGTTATAATCATCGATGAAGCTCACGAAAGGAGCGTGTACACAGACATATTGCTTGGCCTCCTGTCTAGGATTGTACCGCTCAGGAGGAAGCGAGGAAGTCCACTTCGATTAATTATTATGTCCGCTACACTAAGGGTGGAGGACTTTACAGAGAATACTAGGTTGTTCAAGCAACCGCCTCCCGTTATTAAGGTAAGGCTGACTGCAAATAAAATATCAATATTAAAAATATAGCATGGCAGGTATTGTACGAAAGTTTTTATCTCTATAATTCTAATTACCTTGGTCAGAGACTAAGCCCAATGACGATAGGACATTAATATTTATATTTTTAAATAAATATTTCTTTTGGATTCAAATGTATTTAAAAATTTACCTTCTATGAATATTTAAGGTGCATAAAAAGAAAAAAAAGAACAAATTACTACACCTCCGGCACCCGAGCCCAAATCTGAATGGTAATCAGAACTCTTAACCTGTAAAAAGTATTTTAAACCTGCAAAAGCAGTCAAAAGTACGTAGACTGCAACATCATACCGTTTAACAACATCTAATCCAAATGATTCACCAACAGTAATATTTTACCGGTTAAAATACTTATGATTGGTTAAGAGTTCTGACTCTAAAATGTATATGTTACTAGCGCGACTTTGTCCGCGTGGTGGTCGATATCAGACATCGTAGTGGAAACCACAAATCAAGTAGGTATATATCCAAACAAACTTGCAACCTTTTTAAAGGTACTTTTGAAAAATTAGTACTTAACAACTTTTTTTTTTAGTTTGAATACAGACTATTTACTGTATATAATAATAAAAGCCATCTAGCGGAGACAAATTAAATTATTCGTGACTAAGTCTACATCGCACAATGGCAAATTTCACTTCTGACTAGAATTGACATGTCTAATTAACGTTAACTGCGAAAACTCGTGTCTTCCCTTTTTGATCTTTATTATTCTGGATCCCAGTTTTCTTCAAGAATTTGTCGATTTAATTGTATGATATTTATCTTCCAGATAGATTCAAGGCAGTTCCCCGTGACAGTGCACTTCAACAAGCATACAAACAGCGATTACTTAAAAGAGGCTTACAAAAAATCTGTCAAAATTCACACGCGGTTGCCGGACGGAGGAATACTTATATTTGTCACTGGACAACAAGAGGTATTCTGTGATTCTCTTAATATATCCCATTCAGCCAATGATCGATCCATTTTATGTAAGGTTTATTCCAAAAACAAGCAGCAACGGCAAAAGCACACAGACCCACGGGTAGAATATTAATATTAGGTAGAATTAATGTTATTAACCCTATTTTAGTGTTTTGTTTATTTATTGTGAAATACGTAAACAACGAACAGTAGACAGATCATTATAGCACGGGATCAAACCTCCGTGGTGTTTTGTTGTTATGTAAATTAATTAGTTTTGTATGTCAAATTGTATATGTTAAATAAATAAGTAAGTATAGTTTAGGTTTAAATTACGGGTTACCAGATACAAGTTGTCGGGGAACTTGTACCTCGTGGGTGGTATCTCAAGGGATTTCTGCAGAGAAAAAAAGTGGGAACCTGTTACCTTTATACTAGCCATAATGCGATCTGTACACAGACTCCAGACCGAATTCCAGGAATCTAATATGCAATTTGTGACAAATATAAATCTTGTTAACTGTCTTTGAATTATTGCAAGAAGAGTGTTCTCTTCAAACTTCGTTCTGCTACTGTGCCTATCTTTTACTTTGAATTTGATCAGAGTATGCGTTTGCGCAGTATATTGATCAGCGTATGCGCAGTATTGGAAAAAAATCTAACAAAACAGTTTTTGTTAATAATAATACCAACATTTTACTCTGTGTATTTATAATCTCTATTTTATTTTACGCTGATTCTAAATTAGTTATTAATATTTAACAAAGTTAAGTACTAAATTTTTCATTTTTTTTTATTTTGATACGCTGTTTAACACCGATTTAAAATAGTTATTCTTATATTTCAGGTAAATTATCTAGTCCGTAAGCTAAGAGCCGCATTTCCGTATCGTAAGGACGTGGACTATTCCAAATTGATCACGAGGACGAAAACTAGTGACGCTGATGCGGCTCTGGACTCGGATCCTGACGACATCGAGTCTGATGACGATGAGGTAAGGATTTAAGATATTTCTATCCAATCCTTTAAGAATCAAAATTTATAATCTTCATCATTAAGCTAAAGAGTTTTTTGAAAGTCAATACTTCTAGAATAACCGGCCAATATCTAGATATTGTCTAGAAGTATTGTCTAATTTTTGAGGGTTGAATTCTATTAAACATCACCCCATGACCGTCGAGAGCGAGGCAGTGATCAAACGTTGTTGAAACAATATTTGAGATTGATTCTAGATTGAACCAACCTATGGAACATATGTTATATAGTGATAAGACTCTTAAATCAATACTAAGACTATACATAACCCTACATAAACATAAATACACATACATAACTTAAATTAATACTAAGACAATACTATTCATGAATCTTTAGTAGCTGGGGTAAATGGACGGCGGTAGCCACTTACTATCAGGTGGCAGTCTCCTCGCTTGTGCCATATACCATGAAAAAAACCAGAAAAAACATGTTTCTAAGAGATACCTAAGTTTTAGATCATATAGCTTGACAAAATTTTCTTGAATTTGCTAGCACGAGGCAAGTCTGATAGCGTAGTGGTTTAAGCAAGCTGAGTGTTGTGGGTTCGATTCCCACATGGGGCAACATGTGATCCACAAGCGTGTTTCATGTGTGTGTGATATATTCCTAGTGCAGGAGTTGTCTTTGAAAAAAAAAAGATGGAACAAGAAGCCGTTGGAAAAATTAGGTCCTTAAAAAACATACAGTACTTCGAAGGTAAATTTTATTTGTTTCTATATTTTCAGGTTGAAAAAGAAATGAAACGAGCACGTAAAGCTCGTAGAAAAGCAAAGCAGAAGATAAAAACCTTGCCTAAGATAAATCTGGATGATTATGACATGCCTGAAGACGATGGTCAGGCTGACTTAGTGGGGGAGGATGATGACAGCGAAGGTCACCTTAGTGATTCAGGTTCGTTGACATTTCCTTGGCTGTTTGTTCCTTTTCATGGTAGAGAGCAAAGGCTGCTTCTTTCGGGTCATCGATGGAGACCTTCAGCTCAAGTCACCAGTACGTTGCGCCTTTTGAGTTCTTGGCCTTTCCACAATGTGGGGAGAGAAGGGTTTGGCGGCCGGTAACCTCAGTCACTCGCTGAAAAGCAACGAAAGAACTGCTGTTTTCTGTGAAGCTGTGTGTTAGTGCTAAAGTTTGAGAATATGTATAATTGAATGTTACTCTATTATGAATAAATGGCTGAATAGGTCTTTATTAAATTTTTACAAGTTTTTTTTATGGTATAAGGGGGCAAATGAGCAGACGGGTCACCTGATGATAAGCAACTACCGCCGCCTATGGACACCTGCAACTCAAAAGTCACAAGTGCGTTGTTGCACTTGGAGTCCCTCCCGCTCGAGTCAGCGGGAGGAATTTGGGCTCCGGTAACCTCACTCACTCAGTGAAAGGCAACGAAAAAAATTGCTTAACACCGCTTTTCGTGCCGAAGAATGGCTCTCCCACGGTTGTTGTAACTCAGAAAAAGAAATATCTAGAAAAAAATAACAAATGGTGCGGGGTCTTTCTCCCGCGAATGTAAAGCCGAACCAAGATGTTTGACAAGTTTGCTTGAATTTTATAAATATAAAACTTACAATATATTTCTTGTCGACAGATACTGAGGAAGACTCCCTCACAGCCTCCATAAAGTCATGCCGCCAGCCGCTCTGGGTCCTCCCTCTGTACTCTATGCTGAGCTCTTCAAAGCAAGCTCGTGTGTTCCAACCCCCTCCAGTGGGTAGTCGCTTGTGTGTGGTGAGCACAGACGTCGCAGAGACATCCCTCACCATACCAGCTGTTAGATACGTCGTTGATAGCGGAAAGAAGAAAATGCGGTAAGTTCTAATATCGGTATTTATAAACCCATTTGGCAAATTCTTTTTTTTATCAATTCTCATTAAATCTCTATTCTTAGTCAAATTTGAAGAAAAAATATACAAAATTATTCTAAGGAATGAAAGATACAGTGTAGTATAATTCATCATCATATCATCATTAACAGCCTTTAATAGTCCACTGCTGGACATAGCCCTTTTGGGTTTTGGCCTACTACACCATGCTGGCCAGACGGGTTGGTATAGGGTTTGTGTCAAGTTTTTCTTCTTTTTGCAGTGCTGTTTTCCTGCTAGTTTTGCGCCTTAAGTCGGCTCTTACGACACCCACGGGATGAATTGCGGTAGTGACATTCCGTATTCTTAATCCGTCACTTCACGGACAAAGAATGAAAGAAGAACGCAGTATAGAATAATTCAATCCTTGTTTGAGACTTAATTATAATTCATTGATTCTTAGCGTTTCTTAGTCTTTAAGACTATGATACGTTAATGTCTTTGGTTGTGTATTTTACTTTGTAGCCATAATTATATAAACAAAGATTTCACTTTAATTGTCTCGATCAAAAATAACAATAAGACGCATTTGAGTTAAGAAAAAATCATGTAAAAATGCATCATCTTTCTACACCTAAAATGTTATATAATTTTGGATAAATTGGAAAAAAATGCTTTTTTTACAATATTGTTATAGTTTTTCTTTGTTATCTTCTTAACCAAAAAAGGATTGTGGGTTGTTTATCAAATAATATTCCTATTCCTCAGTGTTTATGACCACGTGACGGGGGCGAGTGCGTGGCGAATAGTGTGGACATCCCAGGCCAGTGCGGAGCAGCGTTCGGGCCGAGCGGGGCGGGTCAGCTCCGGCCACGCCTACCGCCTCTACAGCAGCGCGGTGTTCCAGCACGACTGTCCGGACCAGCACCCGCCCGACCTGTGCCGGAGGCCTGTCGATGACCTGGTGCTTACTATGAAGTGCATGGGCATTGATAAGGTACTAATTATTTATTCATCATCATCAACAGATTTTAATAGTCCACTGCTGGACATAGGCATCTCCTTAGAAAGGAGGTTTTGGCCTACTATACCTTGCTGGCCAGACGGGTTGGTATAGGGTTTGTGTCAAGTTTTCCCTATCTTTGCAGTGCTGTTGTCCTACGTAGTTTGCTCCCTTTTGGAGTTGTGTAACATTTCTCAATCTCATATTTGATAGCTAAATCTATATAATCTTGTCCTTTTAATGTTTAAATCCGATTAATATACCAAAACAATTGCAAATATGGCCGCCACCACACTTTAACAGTGTATGACGTCATAAACCGATGTCCTTTTTTATAATATTGTTACAGTTTTTCTTTGTTATTTTATTAAACAAAAAAAAAGGGTTTTTAAATGTTTGTGATATTTTCAGGTAGTTAACTTCCCATTCCCAACGGCTCCAGATCGGTTGCAGCTGCGTTTAGCCGAGAAGAGGCTGGAGACTCTCGGTATACTTGAGAAACCTGAAGTCAAGAACATAAGGATTGATGAGGAAGAGGTCTGTTTCCAATTTAAAATATGTACTTGATAATCTATACATATGTATGTGTACGTAATCACCCCTAGTCCCCGAAGGGGTATACAGGTGTTTTTAACCGACTTCAAAAAAGAGAAGGTTATAAATTCTAATGTTTTTTATATTTTTTATGTATGTCCTGATATAACTCCGTTATATAAACGCATTTTCAAAATTTATTTTTTGTTCGAAAGGGTTTTTCACCGAAATGGTCCCATTTAAATTTCATATAGATCTGATGATCAGTTTTAGAGACAGCCTACGGAACTCCCAAAATAATAATAGCAAATCAACCGCGATTGCTGCTAGGTTTGAAGTCGGTTCAACTTTGTTGTTGTGCCAACTGGGTAGATTCCTAGGTTTAAAATAAATTATTTCGCCTGTATCATTAAATCTAACATCTCAAAGTAGAGGATGAATTATCATTTTTTTTTATTGATTTGATATCTTGAAATCAACGTTAAATATAAATGATTTGACAATAACTAGGTATGACGTAACGAAATAGTATCTCATACAAAAATGTACCGCGTCTAGCGTTTAGACGTTTTAAAAAAGACACTAATTTGACTTGACAGTCATCTACCCTACTGTAATTTTAGTTTTTTTAAACAAAAGTTCAAGTAATAGGGTGCCAGCAAGATGAGTTATCGATAAACATGATAATAGCTTAATAGAAAAATAAATAATTTATTCTGCGATTTGATTATTAAGAAATTCTTAGAAATTTAATGTTACAATTTTGTCAATACCAACGACGGGGCTGCTGGCCTAGTAGTTAGTGACCCTGACTGCTAAGCCGGAGGTCGTGAGTTCGATTCCCAACCAGGACGAATATTGTGTGATGAACACGATCATTTGATCTGTCTGTCTGGGTATAATTTTTAAAATAAGTATGTATTAATATTAAAGTAAAACTATTTTTAATTATGTACCAGCAGTCTGGTTACCATAGTACAGGCTCTGCCAAGTTTTGGACCAGGCTGCCGTGTGTGAGATGTGTGAAGTTATTATTATTAAATAAAATAAAATAATAAGGGTGTAAACTCGATGCTATTTAAAAATTTGCTAAGAAATCATATTATTTACACAGATACTGAAAGTGACCCCACTTGGCAAGGCTGTGTCAGCGTTTCCGTTGCTGCCTCGTTACGGGAAGATGTTGGCCTTGAGTCACCAGCAGAACTTATTGGCTTACACCATTGCTTTGGTGTCAGCACTCACTGTTCCTGAGGTATGTTGTGTCTATGTGCTAATAATTTTATATTATTTTTTTAAAAAGTATCACCGGTTATCATATAATGATTTTTCACTTCTTCATTCCTTAATTATTCCTTTTTTTTCAAATTTTACATCAACTGCCTTTAATAGTCCACTGCCGGACATAGGCCTCTCCTTAGAAAGGAGGTTTTGGCCTTTGGCCAGACGCGTTGGTATAGGGTTTGTGGCAAGTTTTCCTTCCCTCTGCAGTGCCGTTGTTCTGCGTAGTTTTTTCCCTTAGGCGGCTATTACGACACCCACGGGATGAATAGGGGAATCAAATTTAATAATGGAAAGTCTACCCTCACAAAGAAAAAACCAAAGAATTTATGAAATCAGTTCGAAAATGACGGGGTTCTGATATAACAAAAAGATACAACCGAATATAAAACCTTTCATTAAAAATTGTTGAATGATATTGAAAACAGAAGAGGCAAAATTTTTGGCCACTTGATAAGACAAGACACCTTACATCAACATACATAAAGCAAGTGAAAGAGAAAGCGAGAGTCGTGGCCTATCAAGGTCAAAAAGTTCTTCTAAAAAGTTTTTTACCTAGCTTTTTTCCATATTATTGCATCTATATTGAACTCTGAGAGTAAATTTTAAATAATACTGAATAGTCTCTATAACACGGCACACTGTAAACCTCGATGTGAACAATTCCTACTTTCAATGTGAAAAAACAATCTTTGTAGGTAATGTCGGGTAAACCAGAAAGCTGGCCAGCAACTGGCAACATACTATTGTTGGGCGATCTTGGAGTATTGTTAAGAGCAGTCGGCGCAGCAGAGTATGCTCATATCAAAGGAGAAGAAGAAATATTCTGCGCTAAATACGGATTGAGAGAGAAGGTAAGTGACGCCATGCGCCATAAGTATCCATGTAGGATACGAAACGACAACGAAACAACACGACACGACATGACGTGACACGACCTGTCGTGACACGACACGACACGATACCATACTCGTACTACAGGATAGGGACACACATTTCTATAGAGTAAGGCAGACAAATACAATATTCCAGCCAAATCGGAACCCACAAAGACCTGCTATCTTTTTATTTATGTATTTCTCTGTTTTTATTTAACTCCAATAGGCAGTAAAAGAAATCCGCAAACTTCGCAAACAATTAACTTCAGAAATAAACTTGAGCGTGGCCGGAGTAAACGTCGCAGTAGACCCAGAGATGAAACCACCAGATGACAACCAAACCAGACTCCTACGACAGTTGGTACTCAGTGGACTAGGAGACCAGGTTGGCAGAAAGATAGCTCTAGAAGAAGTTAAGCAGGGTAAGTAAACCATGATAGATAGAGCATCGCCATGGTTGCTATGACAGTATCATTCGTCCATTAAAAAAAAAATATAGGAAAAAGGAAGGAAGGCATACTCTATGCCGTCGGCTACATGTCATCATCATCATCATCATCAACAGCCTTTGCTAGTCCACTGCTGGACAAAGGCCTCTCCTTAGAATGGAGGCTACATGTATCTTTTTATAACTGTGTACCTTAATACCAACATAGGCTAAGTTTGAATGTACTACTAACAATTACTATGAGTCACAGTTACTCGATATAAAATTATTATTATAAGTAAATTTTTCGTTGCCACGAGTGGGTGAGGTTGCCAACCCAACCCTTCCCCCCACTATTCCACTGTCTCAAAGGGCGACAACATAATCATCAGGAGACCTGTCGTTTGCCCCAGGAAAACGGTCTACGCAGACAGGTCGACGGACGAACAAAGTGATCATATGAGGGTGTATTTTTCCAGAGGTACAGAAATACTATTTTATATTAACCAAGAGTTTACTTGAACAGGTGAAGACAAGCGCAAATATAAATACGCCTACCACACCGGCGAACTTGAAGAGCCCGTCCATCTTCACTCTGAGTCCATCCTTCGTAAAACCATCCCCGAATGGGTGGTGTTCCAGGAGTTGTACGAAACTGGAGCCGAAGAACGAAGGAAGATGGTTATGAGGAATGTTACTGCTATAGAACCGGAGTGGCTGCCTATTTATGTACCACAATTGTGTAATTTGGGTAAGTGGAATCTATGCGTGGTGGGTTGCTTCCTCCTAGATAAAGACCCACGTTAGGTCAGCATTAGCTACTTTTCTTTGACATTCTGGTAATTTTCATGAAGTTACTTGATGTCATAAGTTTGTTAAACCCAGATTCTAGACTGACATAGTTAATTTAGTCTTTTTTTTTTTACGATGGGAATGCCTTTCGCACCATACCCTCCGTTGGGGAAGACGTGGGACTCCCGGAGAACCAGTCTACCATCTTAACCCCGCGGCGGCCTACCTCGGCGATCGAGAGGAGCTCCAGGAACGCATAGGCGGTTTCTGGAGTCCTTCACTCATAATAACTTTGGTTAATTAAAATGTACAAATTAAGCAAAGGTATATCGTTTACATATGTTGAGTTAGCAATAGCTCGACCATGCCTGCATCTCAAATTGGCAGTTGCTGGGAATCCCCTCAAAAACTTGGTCTGTGGTGTATTTTCTCAATTAAATACATTATTTCAGGCGATCCTCTATCAGACCCGGCTCCAAGATACGATGAGAAATCGGGCAGAGTGAAGTCTCACTTCAAAGGAACATTCGGTAAAGCTGGCTGGGAGTTACCTATAGTGGAAATCGATTTTCCCGACAAGATTGATAGATACAAGTAAGTAGCCAAGTACTGCATGTCACAGGTCCAGGATTCGATTCCTGGTCTGTGAAAAAATCATGCTTCATGAGTGATATATCCATTTATCTATATAATCTATAAAAGAAGAAATTGACATACTGATTCACTCACTGATCGATCAAGGCATAGCTGAAACCACTGAGTCTATAAGCATGGAATTTTTAGGTGACAGGTGACAGGTGAACACTAAGATAGGATTCTAAAAAATTCCACCCTTAAAGGTGTAAAATGGTGGTTGTAAATTTATACACGGTGTAAGGGACATCGTAAAGAATACTGAAATAGTGTATTCAGACCATCATTCTGAGTCTAAAATCATTGGAATTTTCTGCCATTTCCCGTAGGTATCGCCCAAAAGTAATAACTACATGTGTGTTCCGTGCAAACAGTCTACGCACACTAACACAATACTAATTACGTTGTTGTTTTTTTAACCAAAAACAATGGAAAATTAAAAAAAAGACCGGCAGAAAATTTCAATGATTTTCGACTCAGAATCATGGTCTGAATGCACTATTTCAGTATTCGTTACGATATCGATGTCGATATGATGTTACGAAAGTCGTGTCCGATGAATGACCATCTGGGCTTAGTGTGAGTTTATTTCACATCAACGGTGACCGTGTTCAGCGTTGGTGAAGAGTTCAGGGTACCTGGTCCGTTCCCGGGCCTGGCGGGCCAGGAGAGAGTTCTAAGCACCTCCCGAGGCCAAAGTGTGAGGTTATTTCACTTCTACTCGCTCTCGAAGATTTCAGTGAAAGCCAATCGCACCGACAAACGCAGTCACCGAGACGAACGAGGTGATGAGAAAAATACACTCACACTAGGCCCCTTGTACGCATTTTTTTGGTTTCTCTGGTTGAGTACCTTTAACCTTACACAAATTCTTCTAGCTTTTCAGTAAAATGAATAAAACAATTATCAGTAGTTCATTAACATTGTATTTAATTTCGAAATAACATTTGATTAGCAAACATATGGTTAACACAGTTTTCGTATGTTCAAGCTGAATCAATAACTTTAATTTCATGCTGTTATGCAAATATTCTGGTCTGATTTTTACGATATTCAGTAATAGTGGATTTTCCTGTATCCTCGGCATATTGTTACAAGTCTGAAAAAAATACATTCCTTGATATTTAACTATATCATCATCAACAGTCTTTAACAGTCCACTGCTTGGACATAGGCCTCTCCATAGAAAGGAGGTTTTGGCCTACTATATCACACTGGTATAGGGTTTGTTTCAAGTTTTCCTTCTCTTTGTAGTGCTGTTGTTCTGCATAGTTTTGCTCCCTTAGTCGGCTCTTACGACACCCACGGGATCTGACACTCCATATTCTTAATCTGTTACCACACGGACAATACATATTAGAAAGAGATATTATGTGACCGTAAAATTGTAAATACCGTTAGATTATAATCTATCTCGCGAGATTGTAAACTGTCGAAAGATTGTGAACTATGACATACTGCTTACAATTTAACGCATTATTTTTGGTTAGGTTAGGGTTAGACCTATTGTCTGTCTACTAAAATCAGGGACAGCCTTCGGACAGTTGATAATTTAACGCTTCCACTTCGACAAATTATAATCTACCGAAAAATAATGCGTTAAATTGTAAGCAGTATGTCATGGTTCACAATCTTTCGACAGTTTACCTTCAACCCAATACGAATGAATTGCTTAACATCAGAGCGCCTACGAGCGCGTTCAGCGTTTGGGTTTTTGAAGATTTGAGTGCGGGCCAGCGCCGAACACAGGCACCGTGATGATAGAGTAGATGTGAAATGAACTCGCACTTGGGACTCGGTTGTCTATGAAGCCGGTCCATGCGTGCCGAAGTATAGCCCTCTCGCGGTTATATGTCTTGGGCTTTTGGTGACTACTTAAATATTGTTAAAGTAACTATGTCTGGATATTCATTGGTTAGTTTTCAAGTTTTTAATTCTTTCTCCAGATGGTTCGGCCGTTATCTTCTAGAGGGAGTTGTTTTCCCCAAGTTGAAGAAGTATACAAGTTCATTACTATCCCCACCTTCGACTATGGTGAAGAGTTGGGCTAAACTGCAGCCCAGGACTGAGGTGCTTCTGAAGGCGTTGATAGCCAAAAGGGCCGGGACCAGAGACGCTTTGAGAGCCGTGTGGGTGCAACAAAGCAATTGTAAGTATATCCGAAGTACGCAGGGGATTGTATATGAACTCATCCTCCATTTATGCTGCACGGATTGCGTAGTGGTTTAAGCGGTCGCCACCCCGCTTCCTACTACGCTGAGTGTTTTAGGTTCGATCCCCACATGGGACGACACTTTGTGTGATCCACAAATTGTCGTTATGAGTCTAGGTGTCCGTTTCATGTATGTTTGTAATGTCCCCCGTGAAGGATATATTCCTGCTGCAGGAGTTGTCTTTTTAAATAAGAAAAGATTTATTCTATTCGTTTAATTTAATTTCATCATCATCAATAGCCTTTACTAGTTCACTGCTGGACACAGGCCTCTACTTAGAAAGGAGGTTTTGGCCTACTATTACTAATTTAATTTATTCCATTATAATACGTGAAGAGGGTTTTGTAGAGAGAGTATGTGATGATTAAGTATTTAAAAATAAAACTCGAATTTCACGATCCTTCGACCGTGAAATTTGAAGTAATAGGTAATTTTACGATCTATGCAAAAACATCTGAAAATATATAAATGAATTATTGTGCGGATGTGGTAGAATATTATTATTCTCTTTAGTACATGTTTATACATATTGATAACATTTTTAAATTATAAAAAAGAAAAAAAACATATTTAAAAATATAAAAAATAGTAGACTGATGACTTCCCAGTTATTATTGTTATATTATATAGCTTAGCAAAAATGTTAGTTTTAGTTCATAAAATAGCAAAACAAATTTTAAATATTCAATTGAATTTTAAAGTTTTCTGTTTTTTAAATTGTGATCAACACCATGAAATAGCTGCGATTTTACTACGTCATACGGGAGTGTAAACAAAAATGTGTCAGTAGAATCCACAGTTTGTACAATTTTTTTACAGTATTATCCTTGCCTTCGGGAACAGCCTAAGGATAAGTAGACTCATTTTTAAATTACAAACAATATATTATACAAAATATCAGCGCATTTGTTTACACAGCCGACTGACGTCATGACCACCAGCAATATGGCGTCAGCATTTGCGTCAAAATCGAGTCAATACGAGCGAAATCTAAAAATGTAAAATGCATTTTTATGGCACTTATCGACTAAATAAAATTTATAGTAACAGCGCTATAGAATCTAATTGAGATGCTTTTCAAAAATGGATGTAATTGCCTTTTTTAGTCAGATATTTTGTTATAATCTTAATATTACATGTAAAAGAGCCCTAAACCATAGCAAAATGTTTATGGTATGTTGTGAAAAGTGTTCATTTATTACCATTCTTATTGTTTTATTACAGTTCTACTGGATGAATACCTGAAATGGGTCCCGGAGTCAGCTCACAACGAGGTGACATTGTACTGGCCACCTTTATAAATTGTTGAAGAATTCAATCTTTTTGTACATATTGTAAATAATGATAAAAGCTACCTGAAATATTTGGTTTAATTTATTGCTTATAAATAGCATCATTTAATACAAGAACGGTTATATGTATAACTAGCTGACCCTGCAAACGTTGTTTTGCTATTTACATTATTAAAAAAAAATTTTTTTTTTAATTTCTTAAAATCCGTTCTTAGCTGACCTCTACTTGGTGAAAAGAATATTCCTACAAAATTTCAAGTCTTTAGCTCTAATGGTTCCAGAGATATCGTGATGAGTGACTATATACGTGGAAATCTCATATATATATAGATTTAAAGGAAGTCATAACGAACTAAAATATCAATAAATGGTGCTAATGCTGTTTAGTTTGTTTTGTTCTGTCAAACAACGTTTCCTATTATGGAAACGTAATATTTGACAGGACAAAAAATTTTTTCAGTCATTTTTATGTTTATTTTAGAGAGTTTTCGAACAACAGAATTAGCACCAATACCTACCTAATTTGTCGGTTAGAGGCCTCAGAGAGCCGAGTGCAAGTTTATTTCACATCGACGGCGAGCGCGTTTAGCGTTGCGATTGGTGGAGATTTCAGTGCGGGCCAGTCGTAGCACCGAACGCGATCACCGTGACGATCGAGTTGCAGTGAAATAAACTCGCACTTGGCCCACTGATGCACTGGAAATATCTGAAATTACTTTAAGAGTCACAAGTTTATCTGCCACAACAACAACAACCCCCCCTCCCCCCCCACTTCAAGTAGTTCCTACAATATCCTCACCCACTCGGTGCAATGCAACGAAAGAGTTGCCTAACATCGGTTTTCATCTGGAATTACTTGAAATTCCAGATCCGTCTACTGACCAATTGCTGTTTGATGATGTTACAGCAAACATGATTAATGGCCCATGCGGTATTCTTAATCGTTCATCGCTTTGCACGGCACATGGAAAATGAGACTTCTGGGAGTAAAGTTGCTAATAAAAAATTACGTGATATTTCCCGAGACCCCCTTTCCCAAAAGTAAGATTAGATGAGATTCGGCTAGACCCCCTCCCCCCCTTCCTGAACGCCTCACGTAATTAAAACACGCCCCTAAGTTCCCCCTAGTTCAAAATATTAAATCGTTAATATATTAATAGAAATTTTAAGTAAAGTGCTCGAAGTACTGCGATTTATATATAAATGATGATGATAAACGCAAACCAAAGGAATTCCTTGAATACGAAGTTATTTGTTCAGTTGTGGGAAGAAAATGACGACAAACTTTGAACAATTGGTTCTTTAACTAGGATTGACTGTTGGTCGTTAATTGAAAAGATTGTTTGTATTTTAGTTTTTGGATACAAAGTACAGTTGTAAAAAGAGTTAATCAAGCTGAAACCAGATGTTGAATATATTTCTGAAACAGGCATTGTCTGGTTTTCCAGACAGAAAAAAGGGTGTCTTGCCAGAATGAACATACTGATTTTTAAGGTAAACAGCCAGGATAGTGACGTTTTATTTATGTTCGAAATTTCGAAATATAATCGAAATTTAGATGTAAAGTGAAGTAAATGTAAAGTACAGCTGTTTTAAATGTTATTCTTATTTATTTTATTGTAATAAACACTGAAGAAACAAATCACATACTACAAGAATTTTTATTTCTGGTTACCCACCAGACGGACGGACGGTGGGGTGGTTATGTTGGACTTGATCTCACTAAAAAAGCACGCCGATTATGGTACATAGTAAGAAGGTTTTTAATTGAGTTTCAATCGCCATAACTAGCAGACAGATAATTCGTTGCGGTAGCCCTAACTAGTTTCTAATATGAAAAAAGAACTAAAGTGAATATTACTAATCGAGTAGATCAAGCCCAACTAAATGATAACAAACATTAAAATTAGTCAAAGCATCTATCTCACTAATTATTGACGACCGGGTGGCGTAGTGGTTTGTGTAACGGACTGCTATTCCAAAGGTCGCGGGTTCGATTCCCGCTCAAGTCAAACATTTGTGTGCATGAACATTTAATGTTTGATTTCGGCTGGGTGTTTCTATGTATAATATGTATGTATTTATAAAAAAAAAAGTATATAATATGTCAGCTGTCTAGTACCCATAGTACAAACTCTACTTAGTTTGGGACTAGATGGCGTTGTGTGAATGTGCTAGAATATTATTATTATTAATTACATTATTTATTTCTTCGCAATGATTTTTTTAACTTAACGTTTGTTGGTTTTTAGTCTACACCTCACTACAGTTAGAAACCGGTCAAAAACACATTTGAAGATCATGAATACCAAAACATGACGAATGGTTTCGACCGCAAAAAAAAATCCTTGTCCTAAACGATCGAATAGATGCCATATCTTGTACGTCACGAATTGCGTTATTCACACCCTATACTTCACTATTACTCTGCTAGTTTCTAGACTAGTTTCTGGACTAGCAGTGTGTGAATACGTCAATGTGACAACAATTAATCATCACTGCAAATAATAAGTAAAAACAAAAGAAAGTCTTGGTTTTGAGTCTCAATAAAACTGTTGATTTTAAATTAGGACTAAAATTTTAAGGATAAGCCCGAACCAAAAATCTTTTAAATAAATGTACGTATAATTAAGACTGTTACAATTGTTAGTTCTAAGACAATGTTATATGGATCTATATACGTAAGAAAGAAATAAGGTGAAGGACAAGCGGTTGACAATGAAAATAGACAGAACAATTACGTTACGATTAAGTAGTAAGTGTTACTAGGTCATAGATTAAAAAAAGAACAAAACAATAATTCAAGGCCCTTTTTAAGTCAGCTAGATATCACGTAGTTTGAACAGATAACGAGTTACGAGAGAGAATCTTATTAGAACTTATAAATGACTTGATATTATACTCTAATAGAAAATTTAAGAACACGCCTTGATCTTATCGCTCTCTTTTTGCACACGGTTTTGCTTGTTTTTGTTTTCTGTATTACTAATAATCACTAACTTTACACATCTCACACACGGCCGTCTGATTCCAAAATAGGCGGTGCCTGTGCTATGGTAACCAGACTGCTAATAAACATACATACATACTATCATAGATAAATTACACCCAGACACAGAACAAATCATCGTGCTCATCACACAATTATTTGTCCTGGGTGGGAATCTCACGACCTCCAGCTTAACAGTCAGGGTCACTAACCATTAAACCAACAGGAAAGGCACTTAATGTCTTTCTCGTGTAACCCTGGTAAGGTAATATTATTGATGATCGGTTGATAAGTGAAGTGCTAGGTATTCGGTAGCAGGGAGAGGAGGTTAGGTCTTCACATCTAAATAACAAATGACCCTGATAACAACAAACCTTATTCGTATTTAAACTACTAACATTTAAACTTACATCACTTATTTCACCTACCCAAGTTATGTTTTCGCGACAAAAAAGAAATAGTTACTGTGGTTATTTTTCGTCACATCTTTGTCATCAAAAATGCTTTAAAAAAAGATAAGTAAAGATGTGAAAAATACGATGCTTTCATAAAATTTGACGGACAAACGAAGTTACTTTCGTGTCTATATTTAAATATGAGTGGGCGTCTATAGACCTAAGAATCCAAATAGGCAGGCTGTACAAATCAATATACTCAAAACTGCGGAATACGTTCTTAAAATTGTACTTAATTATGTAGAGTTTGTGTTTACTGTGCGTTTTGTTTCATTTATACAGGTTGTATAAAATATAAAAAGTAACGGTCCATACATTACCTTTACTTATTAGAAAGGACGTTAACTTACCTCTCGACACTCCAAATATTACATCAATAAAAACTGTAACCCTCCCACCTCCGTTAGCCAATCAGGTTGAAGCGTTTTCGGTCTTCACTCAGTAGTTAGTTCGCGTGCGTACCGTTGATGTAGCGACAGTGTCCTTCAAAGTGTCAGGCTTATTACACGTTAATTTAGTAAGAAAATTGATAGAAAAATGCGTCGCTCGAACAATGATATAAACAAAATGATTGGTTTTCTGTGTTACTCAGCTGTGCTAGGTTATGTTGGTGCCTTCGCTTTACCATTCGAAGGGCTGTACAAGCTGGATATAATTCATTATAATGACTTCCACGCAAGGTAAGTACTCGTAGATATTTATTTTCTATTAATTATGTTGTCTTCTAATTTGTCAAAAATGTATTAATATAATCATAATGTATAGCTTTTTGTTGTCATTGGTCAGTTGCGTCAAAAGAGTTTTTTTAGGTAGCGAATTTTTTTTAGATACATTTAGCGAATATTTTAATGAAAAAAAAAGATAAATGAATATTAGGTAGTAATGAAAAAAATTAGTTATTGATATTAATTTCAAATTAATGTTAAATATAATTAATATGGCAATTACCTAACCAGTTTTATTGACTAGCCGTACAGTAAGAAAAATTAACGAACTTCATAAAGGACGAGATTCTTAATTCGACTGACTTTTTTTGTATGTATGATAAGAAATATATGAATATAGTTTAATTTATTGTAGATACAGGCTGCTCCCTATTTAAATTTAATTTTAAAAAATACATCTACGGAACGTCTATCTAAGGTGTACGTTCTTGCATGCGTGCATGTGTCTGCACGACTACGCTTCTGCGTGTCTGCACTTCTGCGCACCTGTGTGTAGGTGCTTCTGTTCGTCAGTGCATCTGAGTATCTGAGCGTCTCTGTGTGTGTTGTTCTTCCCTTAATTTTGGTGGGGACACTCAAAGGCCTTCAACTTGTAGCTCTTAAGTTCATCATCAACAAACTTTAACAGTCCAATGCTGGACATAGGGCTCTCCTTAGATAAGAGGTTTTGGCCTACTACACCACGCTGGCCAGACGGGTCGGTATAGGGTTTGTGTCAAGTTTTCCTCCTCTTTGCAGTGTTATTGTCCTGCGTAGGTTGCTCCCTTAGTCGGCTCTTAAGACACCTACGGCATGAATGGGGGTGGTGACAATCCGTACTCTTAATCCGTCCGCGCTGGACAACAGCCCTGCAAAAGAGAAGGAAAACTCGAAACAAACACTATACCAACCCGTCTGTCGTGGTATAATAGGTCACAACATTCTTTCTAAGGAGAGGCCTATGTCTAAACTATTAAAGGTTGTTGATGATGATGATGAGCCTGGCTCGAAAGAATTGATACCACGGCCTCACAGAAAACCTGTGTTACGCAGTTCTTTCTTTCATTTTCACCGAGCGAGTGAAGTTCAAACCCACAAAACTCCATCCCTCTCTGATGCTAGTGAGAGGGACCCACAGGGTGGCAATGCACTTGTGACTCTTGGGTTGAAGGTGTCCATGGGCGGTGGTTGTCACTTACCATCCTGTCGTGACCCGTGACCCGGCAGCTTATTGGTATAGTACCATAGTGTAAGGGGCAAACAAGCCGAGGGACATACGACCAGTTTGTATTTTAAACGTAAATGATTAACAAACAAAGAAAGCCACATTCGGATTAAAATTTTATTTAAAGTCTACAAAGAGATCTTGTCACAGTGGATATCTCTAGCTATCAAAGACGTTTTATCTCTGGACAGACAGGAAGAAAATAATCGCGAATGATGAGTAGTAACTACCTACTGAGACACTAAGAGCGGTGACACATGCTAAATAAATGAAAAATATTATTGTAATGTCACGGACTTTTTGTAGGATAACAATTTAAAATAATAACTAGTTCAAACATTATCATATATTATAACTATTAATAATAATAATCATTTATTTCAGGTATAAACCCATAGGCAAAAACACAAAATCATAAAATCATAAAAATTACACAATTATAAAGTCGGAATACTAAAATTAGAACAAAAAATAACATAAAATTATTGCATTACATTCATTACAATACAAAATAAATCAAAATTAACAATAAGTACAATAAAATACGTCATTTACCTTTACACTATTTACTATTAGTTATAAGGCACTTTTTTTCTAGTGGTTAGTGACCCTGAATGCTAAACCGGAGGTCGTGGGTTTGATTCCCACCCAGGACAAATATCGTGTGATGAGCACGGCCATTTGTTCTGTGTCTGGGTGTAATTTATCTATAATATGTATGTATTTAGAAATATATTGGTATATTTATCAGCAGTCTGGTTACCATAGGACAGGCTCTGCCTAGTTTGGGATCACAGGGCCGTACGTGAGATGTGTAATATATGTATATTATTATTATTTATTATTAGAAACTTTTGGACACATAATTATCTTTAGAAAAGGGATGACTTCAATGCGTTTATGCGTCGTGAGGAATTGTTATAAGAATGAACTGTATTCTTTTTTTCACTTTTACCCTTTAAAAGTAGATGTTTTTCTTTAAATTTAAATGGGACCAGACGAGAAGGACCTATTTATACCTATAAGGTATATAAGGTAATAATTTTATGTTAAATAAAAGACTACGTAGGACAACAGCTCTGCAAAGACAAGGAAAACTTGAAACAAACCATCTACCAACCCGTCCGGCCAACGCGTGGTATAGTAGGTCAAAACCTCCTTTCTAAGGAGAGGCCTATGTCCCACAGTGGACTGTTATAGGCTGGACATGGCTTCTCCTTACAAAGGAGGTTTTGGTCTACTATACCACGCTGGCCAGACGGATTGGTATAGGGTTTGTGTCAAGTTTTCCTTCTCTTTGCAGTGATGTTGTCCTGCGTAGTTTGTTCCTTTAGTCGGCTCTTACGAAACCCACAGGATGAATAGGGCATAGGAATAGGGAAAATGCTTATTGACATTTTAAATTTCTTAGTTCGTGTTTTGCAATTATTTTCTGTACCCTTGTTCTTTCCAAGACACCCGAATTCAGGTCTCTAGGAGAAAAACCCAGGCAATTTCATTTAAAGTTGCAAAAACTCTTAATTTTTTTCTTTAAATAAATATTCTTATAAACTATCTTCTTGATAAATTGATTGCTATATCTCTTAATGATAGTAATTTTCCAGATTTCGTGACTGTTGATTAGATAAGTGAGTGATAGATAATCAACACTACTTATGACTGAAGAGAGAAGTTCCACTGATCAGTAAAACAAAAAACGTGTATTTAATTATGTATTATGGTAATAAGCGCAATCACGATAGGTATTAAGTACATTTATTACCTTTGAATTACCTGACCAATTGTTTCGACCAGGTTGCACGGGGCGTGGTCATAGGTTGACAAGAGTCAACACGAAACAGCAGGTCGTTTGAAGGTATATACTTAATACATATCGTGAGCGCGTTAATTCCCGTAATACATAATTAGGGTCATTAACTCAGTTGTTAGACCGCATGCGAGATATCTCCGAGTACGAGGTAGCCACTAATGGAAGTGCGCCATCAACATCTTAGTCGGTATGCATCGTTATCAAGTCTTAATAAATGAGGAGTCACAACAAATAACAATTCAATTTATATCCTCTTTAGTTCTATTCCATTTATTGCTTTTAGTAGATACTGAAATGAAATATTCAGTCTTCTATGTATGTAGGAACGGTAATTTAGTAATTCCTTTTAAATAATATTTTGCCACAGTCAATTAAAAAAAAGAGTATAGTATTAAAAATATTAGAATAATATTATATTATTTTTTCAATTTTCTACATGAATGCAGGTATGCGCCTACCCACGCACTTAGTTAGGTATATTGAATATAAATTTGCCCAACTTTAATATTTAATAATAAATATTTGATATAACCCAAAATGCGACACATCCTTTTTCTTTTTATAATATACCACAACATACCACAACATTGTTTTGAAGTGTGCTAGTATGTCCGTTATTAAGGACTAAAAGGTAAAAAGACAATGAAGAGAAAACAAGATTAAGAAAAAAAACGAATACAAGAGAAAATGAAGTGAAACATAAAAAAAATAAAATAAAATAATATTAAAAAACACACTAGCCACATCACATATTTACTTAAGAAAGAAATCACATCATCACACATCAACAGCCTTTAATAGTCCACTGCTGGACATAGGCCTCTCCTTAGAAAGAAATAGCCTGCGCTAATTAATCCCAAGCATTCTTGTCCTCCATGTACCTAATCCACAATCGAGTAGTAGGCCCTCTGGCACAAGCCACGTTTTATTGCGTATTTAAATTTGTTAATACTTAATTCTTGAATATTATTTGGGATTTTATTATAAATTCGGACACATTGACCTCGAAAAGACTTGTTTATCTTTTGGAGCCTAGAGGTGGGTACTACAAGTTTATTTTAATTTTTATTTTAATAAAAGATTTTTTTAGTAAATTTTGTTATACGTGTCCTTCCAAATGAAGAGCTAAATTTTATTGTTACTGAAATCATTTGTTCGGCTCTATAAGTTATTGTAAAGAGCCACATACTTATAAGTATGTAAATATTTGTTGCAAAAAAAAGGAAAAAAAGTAAGGTAGAATTTAACGGCAAATACAATTATTGTTGTTACTGTTGTACCATTGTAGAGTTCATGTGGTTTGTTTTTTATTAATTCTGATTGGTGGAGAATTCAGTGCGGGCCAATCGTAGCGCCGAACGTGCCCGCTATCGAGAACGAGTTGATGTGAAATAAACTCGCACTTGGCCCTCAGGTGTTAAGCAAGCCTCTGGTGACCCGACTGCTCGTTTGCCCCGCTATGGTATAGAAATCAGTATCCTGCCAGTTTACCCCTATATCATAAAAAAAAATAAAAACTGCCATTTACATTAATAATATTAGTTTGTTTAGTTCTTTAGACGTAATATAGTTATTATTTTTATCTTATCCTACACGACTATGTCAATAAGAAATACAGTTGTTACACTTTACAAGTGTCCTTAACTTTATTTTTAGAAAAATTGTTTTGGCCCCGCATTTTAAACCTCTAATATCTTCTAAAATATTAATTTTAATGATATGCTGTAAAGAGCAATTTTAATCTAAATTAAATGCACAACGTATCTAATGGATAATTAGTAATAAAATTAATGCAAAACGTATCTAATGGATTTAATTGGATAAGGAATAATAACGTATTGATTTAAATAGCTTCGTAAATAATCCATATTTTTTTTGTATTTAAAATATCAAAATGGTTACTGTGGATTATCCTTGAGTTAGACATAAAGACAAAAATATATTTTTTACTACAAATCTTTGAAATTCTCGTATTTTATCTACTATAATATGCATGTATTATACATACGAGTATAAACCTTCCTCACTCACTCTCCCTATTGGTGAAAACCGCATTAAAATCCGTTGCATAGTTTAAAAAGTCGAATCGTACAAGACAAAAAAGCGACTTTGTTTTATACTATGTAAAAATTATATTATAATTAGACAGACCGATTTGGCGGAATCACTCGAAAGAATTCTTTGTCAAGATTATTGGTTGATGGTGTTAATGTTGGATGGTTTCGTACCATAAAAACGAGTAAAACTGCACATCTTACTGCCTATTTCTGCATTCCCTTCTATTTACCCTTTTTCCAAATTTATTTGAGGTTAGTGCAATGAGTTAAAAAAATAATTAACTAAAAAGTACTCCAGTTGTTAGACTAACGAATAAAATGTCTTTCCGTCCTTACTTGTGATGCGATATTAAAATAATCTGTTCTTGAAGGTACTCAAGAAGGTTACTGATAATAATTTCACTTCGGTTTGGCTATGGTGACGGCCTTTACATTTACTACTAAATTTTAAACGCAAAAAAGTTACGGACCAAAACTGATCGACTATATCAAATTAATATGACGTATCCCTAACATTTTAATGCCCATGTCTTAGTTTTGTTTTTTTTTAAAGTGCTCTTATTATGTAATGGTTGATTTCAATATCGATAACAACATGTTGCAATAAGTATAATAGAAACATTACAAAGTATTAGATGAGGTAAAAAATTACTACTATTTTGGTAGAAAAATATTATATTGCCGCTGAAGGAGTGCCGCATGATGTACAAATGGTCAATAATTATGTCCATATTTATAGATATCTGTAACCGTTTACGACCAACCGTGTCCGTGTGCCTTTTAAAAAGTTGCATTAAAAGAAATGAGCTAGCTTCATAGTAGTCGAATATTATGTTGTGCATGTGAGATTTCGTCGTGGGAGAGCCATCCTTCTAATTTACAAAAGGGTCATCTCGACAGGAGTAATACCATGACCTCACAGAAAACTGGTCTTAAACAACCTTTCGATGCTTTTTATCAAGTAAGCGAGGATGTCGGAATCTCACCCTCCCTACTCCTATTTTTAGGAGGGGGGACTCAAGGCGACACTGTGACTCTAAAGCCGGTGCTGTCATTAGAAGGCGATGGTCACTTACCATCAGGTGCCCATCTGTTCGGTTCTGGCCCTACAAAAGATAAATAAAACATTCCCCTACTGTCTGATAGCAAACTGTGCACTCATTGATCAAGTAGCACGAGTCCCTGTCTACCTGTTACACATTTCCGTCCCTTTTCATGCAATCACTTCCACAAATTGCAGGAGAAAAGATGTAACACATAAATATTATAAATATTACTCCAGTCGGTGACTTACACATGGCAAGTTGTTGAACTTTCCATACAATACACATACTTCGCTGGTCCCCTCCTCACTTTATCATCTGTCAATTTATCGAATGTTATGGGGAAAAAGAATGCATAAACTGAATTCACCAAATATCAGTTCTTGCATGTTTTTAATAAAAACAATTAGGATGATTAAATTGTCAGCTTTAGTCCGGATGTACTGTGAAGAACGATTTCATCATTACCACGGTCAGGTGAAGTGGCTGGACCAAAAGGAATTCCATACTTCAGTAATATTATTATTGGGAAGTAGCGTGGAAGTTTCTCATTTCAAAATATTCTTTCCAGATTCGAAGAGACATCCCTCGAGACACCAACATGCAGATATAACAACAATTCCTGCTTAGGCGGCTTCCCTCGTCTCTATCAAGAGATCCACACCCTACTTCAAGAAAAGCCTGACTCTATAGTGCTGAACGCTGGTGACAGTTTCCAGGGAACTTATTGGTATACGCTGTTGAAGTGGAATATAACGCAGGAGTTCATGAATATGATACCTCATGATGCCCATGTAAGTTCTAATACTTTAATAATTATGTCTTTAGAAGCAGCTAGCTGACCCACGCCACTTTGTCTGCGTCTCACTAAAAAGAATACATTTTTACAACATTTTTATTGATGCTTGGCCCCTATTGGTCGTAGCGTCATGTTATCATGATCCTTCCCCGATTAATGGGCTAATCAACACTAAAAAAACGAGTAGTTCCTAAAATTAGCGCGTTCAACCAAACAAACAAAACAACTTCATCAATCATCATTATTAACAGCCCATAACAGTCCATTGCTGGACATAAGCCTCTGCTTAGAAAGGAGGTTCTGTCCTACTATACTAATCTTGGGTTTGTGTCAAGTATTCCTTCTCTTTGTATTGCTGTTGACCTGCAGAGTTTGCTCCCTTAGTCGGCGCTCAAGACACTCACGGGATGAATAGGCGTGGTGACACTCCGTATTTCTAATGACTCACTACACGCAACCTCTGCAGCTATCAGAATCAACTTTTCAGCCTCACTATATTAGTCAAGATATACCTTTTCATACCACTGCCTTCTCTTCTTATCTATCCTTTCAACATACTCTCAATTTACCCATCTGATTCCTAGAGTGCCTGGTTGAAGGTAATAGCCTTGCCTCCTATAAAATTATAGTCAGAAAAATGTGGGCGTCTGATGCACCTCTGTCTACTAATTCGAAATATAAGCGTGAGTGTAAAATTTGTGCAAAATTTATCATTAAAAAAAGTGAAAAGTCTTTCACATCACATCAACAGCCTATAACAGTCCACTGCTGGACATAGGCCTCTCCTTAGAAAGGAGGTTTGAAAAGTCTTTGAATAGTAGCAAGTAGTGGCAGGGTTTGGTTTTGGTTTTCATCCATGATCATCCTAAAGGCTCTGACTGATAGTGGTGATAACTATAAGGTGTCAATGCTAGAGTTTTATATTACTTACATCGAGTGCTAATGCACTTACCTACACGTGAAATTGTTTAAACTACATGTAAAATGCCACTAGTGCTAATGATTAAATCGCTACAAAAAGTTGACAACACTTAGAAAAATCATAAATAGCATAATTTATACATTCTGTTATCGGCACTTGGTGTATACACAATGTAAAAAAATAACATTACATTACTTAGTATGTCTATAGAACTTTTACAAAAAAATAATAATATCGCGTAAGTGGAACACTGAAGTTGTTATGAATTATTCATATGAAATAGATTTCAGACGTCGATAAATGCACTTATCACTGAGACATCAAAGATAAAAGCATTTTATAACTTATCTCCACCTTCTTATGGCAGACTAGCTGGTGCCTGCGACATCGTTCGAGTGGAATTAGAAAACCGCTGCCTTAGTGGGTTCGATACCCGGTCCGGGCAAAATTTAACAGGGTTTTTCTGAGAGAAAAAATTGCCGAAGGTACTTCTTATAGACAGGCAAAAAATATTTAAACTGGTTTTAACCGAGTGAGCAAAGAGAATGAAAACTTGAGATAAACTCTATAATAACCCGTCTGGCCAGCGTGGTATAGTAGGCCAAAACCTCCTTTCGTTGATGTGAGTAATTATTTTTTTATTAAGATAGTATTATACAATATAATATACTATCTTGTTCGACACATCAAACAACAATTTATGTGGATCGGTGATTTTATGAATATTGAATTAGATTATTTTCTTTTCTTTGACAACATCAGAAGTTCGTCGTCCACTTCTTCTCTTAACAATGTTAATAGATTTTTGTTCATTTTGAGTGAGTGAGTGAGAAAGTGAGGCGGTTCCGTGAGTGAGGTTTATTATCATCATCAAAAGCCTTTAATAGTCCACTGCTTGACATAGGCTTCCCCTTAGAAAGGAGGTTTTTGCCTACTAAACTACACTGGCTAGACGGGTTGGTAAAGGGTTTGTATCAAGTTTTCCTTCTCTTTACAGTAGCGTGGTTTGCTCCCTTAGTCAGCTCTTACTCGGATGAACAGGGGTGGTGACATTCCGTATTCGAAATCCGTCACCACAATTATAGGACAATTATAGATCGGTTGACGCATTGTAAAACGTGTCTAAGTAGTTCAATAATTCCTAGTGTAGTTATTCTCTAACTAGCTTTTAACTGAGACTTCGTTCGCATCACGTCGCCCTAGTGTTTTTTTGTCCTATCGACCAATTTATCAAAAAATAGTTTTAAATGCAGTATTGTTAAGATTTAAATTTTACACCTGTTGGTAAAAGAAGTTTTAAAACTTTTTGCTTTTAAAACAACAAAAAAACCATTTGAATTTTATTTGTGACACGATACTGTAATTAAAATTTTGTGCTTATTTGTTCTATGTCCAGTTTTTGTTCTATGTCCTAAGTCGTAAAAGGTATTGAGTGCTTGAGTGTTCTATGTCCACTCCATGCACCAATCACAGCCCACAAAGCCATGTCCGCCATTTTGTATGATTTGATACCGTAGCTAGCGATATCACAAAAGACGCTAAAATATTGATTAAATCATTTAATTTATTGTGTTATGTGCTTAGATATATTTTAGGCAAGTACCTAATAATGTCTGGAACACATAACAAAAGTAAAAATGAACAGACACAAGCTCAAATTGAAGAATTCTTAAATTTACCTTCAAGTTCATTATGATTTGGCAACAGGATGTTGTTTGTTTTCTTGCTTCGAACGGTGACGTTAAAAAAAAAACCTGTACGATGTTGTTTGTTTCTTGCTTCGAACGGTGACGTTAAAAAAAACCTGTACGATTTTTTTTTAATTGTCTTCTATACAAACCGTGTTCTGACAATATCAAAAAACAAATTATAGCAAAAAATTTTTTTATCCATATCGGTCTAGCCACACACACACACACACACACATATAACACGAGGAATAGATTTTTATTTTATATACGAGTCTTTCTGGAGACGAAGGATATTCCTCCTTCGATAAATGGGTCATCCCACACTACAAGATTTTTTTAATTCAAACCAGTAGTTTCCAAAATTAGCGCATTCAAACAAACAAACAAAATCTTCAGCTCAACTCTTATAATATTATAGTTAAACCGCCGTAAGCTTGGCCCTCCTGATGGTTTGCGGGACGCGGGGCGGGGGTGCATTCAACCAATTAGCTAGTGCGTCGCTGTCCGCCCGCCGGCAGTGACTGACGTGAAAGCATGGCTGTACGTGTTATTTTTCTTAAGACTGCTACACACGGTATTATTTTGCAACATGGATAAGCTGCCGACTCTGCGTCACAAAAAGATTTAAAAACTTGAAGTTCGGCTTACAGAGGTTCTACTGTTAAAGTTCTAATAAAGAATATTTATTATTTTACTTAATTTTTAAATTGTATCTGAATGTAATTTACATGATGAAGATAAGGTGATTATATTAAATTTATTTTACAGTATTAAATTTTACAATTAATCATAAAAACTTACAATACACTGACATTATAATACATGGAAATAAAAAGGTTTTTATTACATCGTGTGTAGATTAAATCTCAAACAAATAAATCTGAAGATATCGAGTTAGTACATCGTGTCATGTATAGCCGAGCGCATCACCCGCCCCGCGTCCCGCAAACCATCAGGAGGGCCAAGCTTACGGCGGTTTAACTATAAGTATAGAGCAAATGAAAAAGCAAACACAATAATGATCTTTAAATCTATAATTAACAGGCGCTGGGCAATCATGAGTTCGACGACGGACCAGACGGGTTGGTTCCGTACCTTAAAGCTTTGAAGGCGCCTGTACTAGCCGCAAATATAGACACAAGTGAAGAACCGTCGTTCAAAGGATTGTACAAGCCTCACATTATCATCAACAGGAAGGGACGCAGGATTGGCATTATTGGACTGATTACTGCTGACACTCAGGTAAGCTCGTTACACTCAAATTAGCAATATGTACACACATATTAAAAGGCATGTATTGTTAATTACATACCTACATAGTGACTTTCCTGTCGGCCTGCTGGTTAGTGACCCTGACTGCTGAAACGGAGGTGGTGGGTTCGATTCCCACCAAGAACAAATAATTGTGTGATGAGCGCGATCATTTGTTCTGTAGACACAGAACAAATGATCGCGGGTGTAATTTATTTATATTATGTATGTATTTAGTAATATATAAGAATGTTTATTAGCAGTCTGGTTACCATAGCACAGGCTCTGCTTAGTTTGGGATCAGACTGCCGTGTGTGAGATGTGTGAACTTTTAATTATAATAGTAACAAAAATTGATATTTGGTGATTATTTACGAACATATATACGCCTGCTGCGCCGAGTGTTGTGGGTCCGATTCCCACATGCGACAACACTTTGTGTAAATGTTGTCCTGAGACTGAGTGTTTTTGTGTTCATTTTATGCATGTTTGTAAAGTCAAATTTGGTTCGTTTCGTTCGTTTTTATAACAAATTTTGTTATGAAAAGCAAATATTTTTGCGGTAGCTATTGAATTTCTGTGCAGTTTGCCAATTCAGATAAAGCAATTCATCTTTCTCAATAAAAACAGGCTCATACCTAGCAGTGCTTTGGTTCATGGTTGTAAGATATCTACCTGACATTCTGAAGGTAAAATAAGCATAATAAGCAAATAATTTATAGCAAAATAGCCGCAGAAATTGTTCAACGTTTCTTGAATGTCTAAGATTTTATTACTTTGTTACTTCGTCATTTGTAATTTGTCGACAAAGGTTAGAAATTTAACGCCGATTGTCTTGAAGGACTTCTATCTTGAGTGATTATACAATAGCCTTTAAACATGTTAACTTAAATGTTTAAGTAATAACTTAGAAATATCTAAATAGAACATATTCGTGATAAGATAGTGTATTTTGACATCACTGTATTTGTTATGCAATGTATTAACCTAAGCGTATTCATATATCTATGTATATGTATATTTTCTCCCTACTACACCACTCCTTAAGGGCACAGTGACGGGTCTTTCTCTAACTCGACATAAGAAACTGGACACAGTTACTTGGTTAGTGAATCTCAAAATTGTTTTCACTTATTATTTCATCATGTTGATGTCCAAAATGCCAGATTTTTCTTACGATTGATTATTAACCAGTACTTTTTTTGAAAAAAGAAACCGGATGTGTCTAGTTGGCGAACACAATAAATGATTAAATGGTAATTTCACTATAATAATATAGTCACGCATAAAAATGTTTTCGCGTCCAGATGACGAAATTATAAGTGATATTAATTTCAAAGTTTCACACGTTTCACACAAGATATAAAAGATTGAATCTTCATGACTTAGTGGTGAACAACCCGTAGTGACAAGTTAAATTGCCTATAACTTGCCACGAGAAGTAAGTTACTTATTAAAATATATTTTTTTAGATTAAATCGTTAAATCAAAAACACTATTTAGGGTTATAATAGTCTTACAAATATTAGCAGGTATAGATGACTGTCTGACCATTCTCTTATATACTAATAATTTGAAAATCCTTGATATATCAGCAGAAGACAATAATCTGTCGTTTCCATTTTCTGTTGCTGTATTCATATGAAGATTAATGTTTGTGGTTGTGTGTTTGTTTGAAGTTTTATTTTTGACCCTTTTAACGGTAAATAGAATTAAATAGCTAAATAAGGGTATATAATAAAAAAAAAACTTTAAGCATCTCACACACGGCCGTCTGATCCCAAACGAGGCAGATACTGCAGATAGAAAATAAAACTCTTTATTTATACACCGTTTTGAAAAGTAGTATGGTACAATGCAGATATGTGTACAAAGGGCAGCCTTATTACTAAGAGCAATCTATACCAGGCAACCTTAGAATGGATCAAGTGGTTAGGAGAGCCAGTAATAGTGCCTGAACTATGGTATCCAAACTGTTAATAGACATACTTATAATTCTAAATACATACATACTTCATAACTATTACATTCAGACACAGAACGAATGATCTTGCTCATTACGTCCTCCCACAATTATTTAATGTTTACGACGATTTAACAATCAATGGTGTTAATTCTGTTGTTCGAAAACTCTCTAAACTAAACTAAAAATCACTAAAATTTAGTTTAGAACTGTCAAGTACTACGTTTTCAGAATCAGAAACGTTAACCAGGCTGCTGATAAACATACTTATATATTTCTAAATACATAATATAGATAAATTACACCCAGACACAGAACAAATGATCGAGCTCATCACACAATTATTTGTCCTGGGTGAGAATCAAATCCACGACCTCCGGGTTAGCAGTCAGGGTCACTAACCACTAGACCAACAGGCTCGTCAAATATTTATAAGAGTCCACATTAATATGATCTCAGATCTTAAGACGCCTGATCAACAACCACTCGTGTGTATAACAGTACCTTTAAAGCGATTCATCATCTAGGACCTTTACCAGTCCACTGCTGGACCTATGCCTCTCCTCAGAAAGGAGGTTTTGGCCTACTATACCAGACTGGCCAGACGGGTTGGTATAGGATTTGTGTCAAATTTACTTTCTCTTTGCAGTGTATTTTGCTCCCTTGGTCGGCTCTTACGACACCCACGGGATGAATAGGGATGGTGACACTCCGTGTTCTTAATCTCATCACACGTATTTAAAGCAGTTATTTATACTTTAATTTGTTTCATTGCAGACTTTATCATCCCCTGGTAAGGTGAAGTTCACTGACCCTATTGCAGCTACAAGAAGAGAAGCAGAAGCGTTGAAAAGAAAAGGAGTTGATATCATTATTCTATTATCACATTGTGGCATTGATATGGACAAGTAAGTACTTCTTCGTCTAGCGTTTAGCGAACCTGACTGCTTAACCAGAGGTCGTGGGTTTGATTCCCACCCAGGACAGATATTGTGTGATGAGCACGATCGTTTGTTCTATGTCTGGGTGTGATTTATTTAGAATATGTATGTATTAAGAAAAATTTGAATGGTCGGTAGTTGTAAAAATGCTAATTACAACAATTATTATGGAGGGTAGAGGCAAGGAGAACCATTTTATAGCGTTTATTTATTATCTATTATATTCGTTGACAATTTTTGCACACGTACAATAATTTTCGTATACAGTGTCAAATTATTATATAACACACATTTTTTTCCTTAAATGTTTATTTCTTTATCCTACTCTAACAACTTTTTTTCAACTAACAGCATTCGTTAAAATAATTATGTTTATGTATACACAGAGATGGTCCTCCTTGCCTCTACCCTCCAAAACCCCAATATAGGTTTGTGTCCACCTACCACAGTTCTATTTGAAATCTGGCGCATACATAATTTCTTAAAAGAAATCTCCTTTTGAAGCTATTTACTTGGGAACCAAACTAATTGCCAAATTGCCTTGTAATTCGTACAAAATCCTTCCATATATTAGATACTAGTTGACCCACACAACTTCGTTTACGACATTAAAATTCATTTATGTTTGGTGGTAGCGTGATGTTCTATAGCCATTCTTGATAAATAAGCTATCCAACACTAAAAAGATTTTCAAATGCGAACCAGTAGTTCCTGAGATTGGCCCGCTCAGCAAAAATAAACAAACAAACAGACTGTTCAACTTTATAATGATAGTATAGATTAGTTCCAAGTTTGTGGGTAATCAGGTATTTAGGTTTTGTTGATTCTATTCTCAAATATTAGGTAATGAAAATTTATTTAAATGTATAATATTATATATATATGTATTTATTTATTTCGTTCACCAGAGAAATTGCCCGACAAGTCGGACAATACGTCGACATCATAGTTGGAGGACATTCACACTCCCTGTTGTGGAACGGACCATCACCTGACGGAGAAAAAGTCGTGGGTCCTTATCCTGTGTTCATCGAGACTACTAACGATAAGAGACATCATGTATGGCATTTAAATTATTATTTAATATTCTCTTTACATTTATTATACATTTATAGGTGCCAGTTGTCGTTTAGAGGGCATAATTTGACACTCTAAAGTATTTTAATAAGTTAAACCTGTCTCTCGATAGATGGCGTTGTATCGGTTTTCTGAATCTCGCAGTTAAATATACTGGGCGATGCGAAGTATTTCCGTCGTTCAACTCAATAAAAATAAAGCTATTAAAGAAAAGTAAATAGTTTTCTTACACTCTAAACCAATTTTTTTATTGATAACTACTACTAAACCTGATCAATGAAATGATCAATATCAACTAACCAATAAAAAAAGGCAATCTAAAGGAATTCTGACATTTATTTGTTTTTCTATTTTCTGTATTGAAGATGGTTATAAAGATTAACGGAAAAGTGAAACGATTCTTTAGCTCTGATAGAAGTGGAGCTTTTTTTTTTTTTTTTTTTTTTTTTAACGTGTGGAAATCCCCTCGGACCGTCACCCAACTGTCGCTACCGGCCATGGAGCGTACTACGGCCGGTAGCGAGAGATCCACTCCGATGACTGCAGTGAGGGCCCGGCGCTGCGCCGCCCATGCGGGGCAGACCGCCAGCGTGTGCTGGGCCGAGTCCTCACTGCAGTCGCAGTGGTGGCAGGCGGGACTCAGTTCCCTCCTAGCGACCGTGTGCAGGTACTTTCCGAAGCAACCGTGCCCGGAAAGCACCTGCGTCAGTCGGAAGGAAAGGGTCCCGTGCTGCCGCCCTGCCCACTCGGCGATGACCGGCTGGAGAGCCTCCACGGCGGCGAAGCCAGCGCGTGGAGTCTCCAGCCGGAACGACCAACGAGCCATCGTGGCTCGGCGAGCGGCTTCGCGCCACTCGCGCACATCCTCGGGCGGAGGGCGAAATCCGCTCTCCGCCCGGGAGTCAGCCACTCGCCGATAAACTTCGGCGAGCACTTCCGCCTCCAAATCCCACGGGGGAGTTCCGGCCAACGCGCATGCCACCTCCGTAGAAACGGTGCGGCAACCGCGTATGGCTCTGACCGCCATTACCCTCTGAGGGCGCCAGAGGCGTACCCTATTCTGGGCGGTCAGAGCCGCCGCCCACACCGGTGCACCGTACAGCGCCATTGACCGGACAACCCCCGTGTACAGCCGTCTTGTCGCGACGCTGGGTCCACCCATATTGGGCAAAAGTCGCCCTAGGGCAGACGCAGCGCCGACCAGCTTTGGAGCAAGCTGTCGGAAGTGCTCGTCGAAGAGCCACCTCCCGTCGACTATCAGGCCCAGATATTTCATCTGGGCCCGAACCGGTACGAGGACCGAGTTGACCACGATTGAGGCGCCAGGGGGTGGACCACGACGGGGCCCATGAAATAACAGGGCCTCCGTCTTATCTAGGGCCACCCGTAAGCCCAGCGCCTCAATGCGCCCGACCACCAGGGAGACTCCCCCTGTGGTCAGGCGCGCCGCCTCTTGGAAGTTTGCCCCCCGGGCTGTCACGAGGGTATCGTCTGCGTAACAGATTACACCCAGCCCGGGGGGGAAATCGGCGCGAAGGGCCCAGTCGTACCCTATGTTCCACAAGAGGGGTCCAAGAACAGACCCCTGTAGAACACCGCACGACATGGGCCGACTCCTCAAATTACCTTCTCGGTCCTCGTACACGACGGTACGCTCCTCTAAATAGTCTGCCACCAGCCGCCTCAGGTACTTTGGCACCCCATGATAGTGGAGTGCTTCCCTGATGCTGCTGAATGGCAGACTATTGAATGCGTTGGCGATGTCCAATGACACCGCCAACAGCACGCCGCCACAGCTCACGGCCTCTTCGGTCACGGCCCTCAGGCGCAACACAGCGTCGACTGTCGAACGCCCCGCCCGAAAACCAAATTGGGCGTCCGACAGATCGGGGCCCACCTCGCAGAGGTGCCGGACGATGCGGGCAGAAAGAACCCTCTCAAACAATTTGCCCGCCTCGTCCAGCAGCACGATGGGCCTATAGGCCGCGACCGAATCGGCAGGCCGTCCCGGCTTCCTCAATAGGACCAGCTTCCCGCTCTTCCAGCACTCAGGGAAGCGTCCCGACGCCAAGCTAGCGTCGAACACCTCCCCGAGGCGGTCTGCCATGTGGTTGAGGGCCAGGGCCAGCACTCGGGCCGGTACCCCGTCTGGCCCAGGGGCGGTGTTCTTGGAACGGATCCGTAGAACAGCCGCCCCTACCTCCGAATCCCGGACGGGCGGAACATTGTCCTCCCCGTGCTCCCCGTCGTCTCCGGCCAGGGAGGCCATCGACGGGGGAGTGTGTTCCGCTCGTTGTGGGAAAAGGCCCTCAACCACTTCTCGCAGGAAGCTGGGCTGGAGAGTCTCCGTAAGGGGGGGGCCCGACGCGCGGAGCTTTTGTCGCACCGCGCGGTAAGGGCGACCCCAGGGGTCACGATTAAGACCCTCCAGCATCTCCTGTCTTTTTTATTCTTTGGCGCGGCTAATGGCCATCTTCAGAGTTTTCCGCGCCCGTCGGTACCCCTCATGAAGCCGGTCCTCCTCACCGTCTCCACGGTGACGCCGCCGACTGCGTGTGTAGGACCTCCGGGCACGTGTACAGGCCGCACGGAGGTCCGCCAGCTCCTGGGACCACCAGTAGACCTCCTTCCTTGGAGGCCGACGACCTCGAACGCGGGGCATGGCCGCATCGCATACATGCGTAATCGCATCGCGAAAGCGGCCAGCCCCCACGTCGACCTCCTCGGTCGGAGCCTGAGGAGACAGCCACGAGTGAATTATGGCTGCCTCCTCTAGTAGGTCCCGGTTCAGCCTGGCAACAGCCCACCGCGGAAAGCGGGATAAACGCCGCGCCACGTGACCCCTACTGGAGTCCTGGGTCCGGGAGAGCTCAAATCGGATATACAGGTGATCCGAGAGCGTCTCAACCTCTTCCAGGACACGCCAGTTCCTTACTCGTGCGGCGAGGGCAGGGGTAGCGAACGAGAGGTCCACTATCGACCCCCCCTGCTGTCGCACGCACGTGTTGGTGGAGCCTCTGTTTAGAAGACAGAGGCCCACCGAGGCCGCCCACTCCTCTACGGCCTCGCCCCTGGCGTCCGTCCTGGGGGAACCCCACGCAATGGACTTTGCGTTGAAGTCCCCCAGCACAAGGACGTGCCCAGACGCTAGTCGCCGTATCGAGGTCTCCAAGCTGGTTAGGAAAACCTCGAAGTCGTTCAAACTCCGGTTGGGGGAGAAATAGACACCATATATGGTGATCCCCCCCACTCGACGGCAACATATCCAGTGCCCTTGTCTCTTAGCGACAAGGGCGGGGAATGAGCCGTCGTGGAACCGACGACTGCCACGGAGCCGTCCCAGTCACCCATCCAGTTTGGACGGGGAGGGACAGAATAAGGCTCCGCGACTACGGCAACACCTATCGACCACTGTGCCATGGTTTGCAGGAAGAGATCCTGCGCCGCGGCACAGTGGTTCAGGTTCGTCTGGACCAGGAGGTTGGAGACTTGATCCATTACTGGATCGTCTCTACAACCTCCTCCATGGGCGACGACGACGACGCACGTACTATATCAGAGGCAGCCTGGGTCGACTGGCTAGCCCCTGACGTCTGCCGAGAACTGCGGGGAGGCTTGCAGCCTCTCTGCCCCATCTGGTGATTGGCGGGCTTATTGCCCGCCGCACACGCTGGGCAGTGAGGGGCGGCAGAGCATTCTGCCGCCTTATGCCCCGGTTGACCGCAGCGGAAGCACAGTCCGCCGCAGTCGAAACAGCTGTCGCACTTGACGCGCGTGTGTCCCGATGCTAGGCATTTGTAGCACCTCATCGGTCTCGCCGCCAGGACTGTGATCCTGGCGCTCACGAAACCGATGAGCAGCCTGCCGGCGTCGGCCAATACTTTGGCCGACGCTACGAGACAGCTGACCCACACGGCGCCAAGCCCTCCTGGACCGGGGCGGATGGTGCCGACCCTGACGTTGTCCGCGCTGCACCCCGTCTTCTCCCGGATTACAGCGCGGACATCTTCGGCCGTCACAGAGTCGTCCAGGCCCGAGATGCGCAGCTCTGCGCACTTAGTAGGCCTGGCGATCTTTACACCATCCGTGGCTGTAAAGAGTCCCCGCAGCTTCTCGGCAAATGTGTCCGCCGTCTTAGCGCCTTCAGCCCCAGGGAACTCGAGGACTCGAGCTCCCGTCTGGGCGAGGCGCATCCTGACCCCCACCGTCCCAAAGTCGTTGGCGAGGCTGTCCCGGGCCTTTTTAAAAACGGCCGCGTAGGACAGCCCGCCGTCAGCCGCCTCCGGGGACACGGTCACAACTACAGCCGCGGTTTTGGGCGGCTGCAGCTTCCGCGGCCTCTTTGCAGAGGCCGTTGCCACCGGTGGCGAAGGCTGGGCTTGGGCTGCTTTTTGGGCAGCCTTTCTGGCCCGCCTTCGGGACTTCTTGGAGCCCCTCGCCTCCTGCCAACCCTCGTTGGAGGGGGCAGGTGCGGAGGGGCCCGGCAGGGGTGTCGGAGTGGGGAGCGGAGGGAATGCCACTCCGCTCCTCGGCGATGTTTTAGGCCCCGTCTTGGCGGCCCCGTCTTGGCCGGCGCCTGGGGATGTGCCTTGGCCGGCGCCTTAGCCGGTGCCTTGGCCGGCGCCTGGGCCGGTGCCTTGGCCACCCTCCTCGTCGGCTTTTGTGGAGCCGATGGAGTAGGGGCAGACGCCGCCGCCGCGTAAGAAACGCGGCCTCCCACAACGGGGAGCGCGGTCGGAGCGGCGGCCTTAGGCCGCTGTGCCGACGCGAGCGGGGGGCGCATAATCGGCGCAGGAGGCAATCTCGCCTCCAGGCCAGCCAGGCGTCCGTCCAGCATATTCCCAACTGCGATGAGGATTTCTCGCAGTTGGGAGTCAAATGCCCCTGAGTTGGTGGTAGGGGCAGGCTGGGACGCGGACGGGGCTTCCCGCTCGGGGAGGTTCGCCTGGAAGCGGGCGAACTGAGCGCTCAGCTCGTTCACCCGCTCCGTCAGCTTCTCGTTGGCCACCTGTAGGCGCGATACGTCGCCCACTAGGCCCTCCACGACCTCCGACAAAGCGGAGGAGGAGTCCTTAAGGGCCCTCACAAACGAGCCCTTAAGGTTCACGGATTTGGTGGCCACCTTGTCGATGACGGCCACCGCCGCTTTCGCCCTCTCCTGCACGGACACGGGAGCCTGGGGGGCATTTCCCCCCACCGGCTCCCGAACCTTGAGCAGGAGATCCGCGATCTCCTCCTCCGCTACGGCCTCGCCGTCCACTCGTACGCTCCTGTAGGACTCCGCGTTTGAGAACGCGGAGCCTGACGGGGTCGAGACCGAGGCCGAGGCCGGTTTACGCGCCCTCCCTCGGCGGCTGCTTGCCACCTTTGGTGGCATCATTTCGCCGGACGTGTCGGTTTCCACGTCCCCTGAGCGTCCGCGTTTCCGGCTGTCGCTCCGCTCCGCTTCCATGGCCTCCGCGCCATCCGATGAAGCGGCGGATCCGGAACGCAGCCGATCCGATGCTCTTCGGCTCCCAGAGACCAGCGTCAGACTGACTTCTGGGAGCCCCATCGAGATAGGCGTTCCCGACGCCACCTCACCCTCAGTGGACGACCCATCCGCTCCACTGTTCTGCTTTCCCTTCCTTCGCTGTGCTTCCTTTTCCGTTAGGCTTGCCTTTTTCGTTATTTGCTTGGTTCCGATCGTTTTTTTTGGTTTCTGAAAATCTTCCATAATAAATCCCACGAGTGGGGGAGAACTAAAGGTCCACCCGGGCAGAGATCCCCCATTATCCGGGCAAGCGTAAGTTTTTAACCCAACCGAGGGGTCCGCAGGTACCTCGGCTTGGAGTGCGCTCGCGACTGAACTTCCCATCAGCCATGCATCCCCTGGCCACGCACCAGAACACGGGATTCGGGGAATTTTTTAGAGAGGTTATCTTCCTCGCGGTCCGGGCGGTTAAGCCAAGACCCTCGCCCCCGATCAGAGCCGCGAGACTTAACCACAGCGCTCTTCTCGGGATTACGATATGCCGACGGTTGACAGGGAGACTACGTCCCCCTGCCTGCTCGGTGGTAGTGTGAGTACACGCCGAGCCCGTCCTCCTTTCTCCACCGCTGTCAGCGGAGAAACTGTGGCCCCTACAGGGCCCCGCCATCAGGTTTTTTACCGAGGTTTCCTCCTCCATGCTCCGAAGAGCGAAGAGCCAGCAGGGCAACCGGCAGACACGCCCACCCTGCTGGACCAGGCCTTGCCCGAGAGCCGATGAACGGCTACCTCTTCTGCTAGAATATTGGCCGCTGGCGATAATCCTCTCCTCCAAGAAAACAAGGAGGAAACAGTACCATCGCCAGCGTTTCCAGGGTGCACCACGAGGAGGTTTTCTAGCCCAGCACCCCCTGATAGAAGTGGAGCTGCCGTAACCTCACACAATGGTTAAAAAGCAATGAAAGAAATTGCTTAAAACCATAAGAGGTTGTCGTATCACTCCGGCGAGGTGGCCCAAATTTGCTGAAACAAAGCTCTCCCACGTCTAAAATTAGTCCAACTCACTTAGACTAAGACCCTCTATCGTAGAGGTTCGGCGCTGTTCTATAATCCAATTTCAAAAATTATATTTCAAAATATGTCATAAATACTACTGAATAGATTTTTTTACAACTCTTTGCAGGTGTTAATAGTTCATGCATCTGCATACTCAAAATTCGTGGGCAACTTGAGTGTGTACTTCGACTACAAAGGTGACTACATCAAGTGGGAGGGAGGACCCGTCTTTTTGAATAGATCTATTCCTGAAGGTACGTGATATCTTATAATTTATAAATTTACTTAACTCATGAGTGTAGCTCGGAGCTGTAACACAGCTCGGAGCTGTAACACAGCCCTGCAATAGAAGCGTGGCTAAAATATTAATGCATTTAGATATAATACATATTTGTTTATATAACATTACAAAATACATTTATTTTGTAAATTATTTACGTTCTTGCCCAAAACCAGCTGATTTCCCCTGCCCCAAAGGGTACTAGTGAACCATACCTAGTTTTAAAAGATATCGACCCCCTCTTAAATTGAATATAATATCTATTCCTTTTTTCAGTGCAATGATAAATAAAAAAATTATGTTAGTTTCAGCATAATAATCCTAAACATTCGTGCAAAATAAATCTGTTTGTAAGTAGAATTTGGGCATAATGGTAACAGTACCTATATATTTTCAGCATCACAGTCATAAACGCTGTCTATTTTGTTTTGGAATTCTAATGTTAAGAAAAACATGATAATATATAATTAATTACATTATAATGTTATCGTTGATTGTTCAATTAAAATATAATAACTGATAACCCTTTAATGACGAAATATTGTTTAAATAATGAAGATAGTCAATACGAGATGTATGTTCTGTTAGGTGTCCTCAAAGCGCTGTGAATCGGAGTTTGGCTCACTTTTGCAACTTTAAACAGTTAATACATTTGTTCCACCCTGAGATTATGAAGAAATTAATTACTACAGTGAATGATTTATTCTAACCGTCACTACAATGACCCGGTCTGATTTTGATGAGAACAGTAATGGGACATAAAAGGACATAGCCTGCAAAATATTTTTTATAAGTCGAACAGCAAATAAACGCAATTTAGTTTGCACTTTTTCATTTTCACCTCAAATTTTTGTACCGTTACAGGGATCATTTTTCCCTAACGTTTCGACACCAGCAATTTATACTACGCTTACTTGAATGTTAGGTAATTTGTTTTTTTACATCAAGTTCCTTAGAATGTGTTCTTTATGTGTAAAAAATTATCGTCAAGAAATATACAAAAATGATGAACTTACAAATCCTATACTACGCTAAATTTACTATTTAAAAACACTCGATTTTAATAACGCTAACTATAATTATCGGAGTGTTCGCGGAGAGGGGTCGGATTAAGATTCTTATAACCTTACGCTAACACTTAGCGTAGTTTAGTGCGTTCGTGTTATACTTATTCGTGTTTTAATTAGTTTACTGATGATACCTTGAGTATTCTTTATGTAAATGATTTTTGTTTAAATAATAATAAGATTTTAATACATTATAAGTTGATATGGAGACTTGCCCATTCAGGGGACATGGGGCATTATACTTTATTAAAATCACTTGATAAACCTATTCAAGATCATGATTTTTCTTTATCCAGTTCTGCAAGCTGAGATATTATAAATTACAAAACTGATGAAGTATAACAAGGTAAAAATTTCATAACAACCTGTTTGATAAGTCAAATCAGTCAATCATCAGCAAATCATCGCCAAATATGTGATACAACCACTAAACGATTACCACTAACGTTAAAAGCTTTTTTACGTTGGAGCACTAATTTAAAAAAGGCCAATGCCACAAATGTCATCAGTACAAAAAATTGAAAGAACTATACTAACCATCAGTAAGTTAAAATTGGACTGTAAATTAGTAGCTGTCTCTAGTCCCTGTGTGGTCACGTATTAAGTATACGGGTACCCACGTGATGAATACGGAGTTCCCCTATTCATCACGTGGGTACCATAAGAGCCGACTAAGGTAGCAAACTACGCAGGACATTAGCGCTGCAAAGAGAAGGAAAACTTGACTTAAACCCTATACCAGAGTGGTATAGTAGGCCAAAACCTCCTTTCTAAGGAGAGACCTATTACTGTTTGTTTTGTGATTTATATTTACTAATTAGTAGTTATTGCTCTTTTTGTTTTGTTTTACGGTATAAAAACGAGCATACGGGCCGCCCATGGTCACCAATATTAAGTACAATCTCGATTTTAAAATAATATATGAAGTTGAACTACTATTGATCTGGTCTCTTATCGTTAGTAAATAAGTAAGTACTTACCAGAAATTGTAATACATAGGCCTCTCCTTAGAAAAGAGGTTTTGGCCTACTATACCACGCTGGCCAGACGGGTTGGTATAGGGTTTGTGTCAAGTTATGCTTCTCTCTGCAGTGCTGTTGTTCTGCGTAGTTTGCTCCCTTAGTCGGCTCTTACGACTCTCAAGGGTTCAATAGGAGTGGTAACACTCTGCATTTTTAATGCGTCACGTAACATTATTTAACTATTTTTGTTTTAATTATATATTTACACAATTTTAATTGCGATTTATACAAATTAACTTGTATCATTAACTTAACGGAAAGTTAAATTATACGCTAACTTGTGTCACAGGTCGATGTATAGTACGCTATATATCATTTGGCGGCTTTTAATATGAAAGCCGCAAGTAGCGCATGTATTGGGTAAACAAGGCTAACTTTATAAACTTCCGACTTAGCACCAGAAATCACAATAATATATCTCGAGAATCTACGTAGAAACCCTAGGTTATAATAAATGCACAATATATTTTGAAATCATTATTGTAACGCAATAAAAATAACACTTCCTTAGCACTTTCATCTCACGTACCACACTACTCTATCTGTTGTAAGACGTGTGTAGGATGTAAAACCTTATCGAGAAATTACGTATATATACGGCTTACTTGCGCTAAATCAAAAAATATTATTGATTAAATAAAAATAAATATGAGAAATTACGATGAATAATTTAACTTCTAAGTGTACCACATTTCAAATAAGTATTTCAATTAATATAAGAGTTATCACGTTTTTCCCTTCAAATGCCTCAACTAATAATAATAATTTATCGATGATATCACCACCATACCAACACCACAATAATGCATTTGATTTTTAACATAAAAAATTGTTATGATATACTCATGAACTGGGTGTTTATAATAATCGATGATCCCTAACGTGTAACTCCTGTATCTTAGACGTTAGTGTCTTCCCAGGAATTAAGTACATCATAAACAGACATGTGTATTAAATCTTATAACCAAAGCTAGGTACACATAGTATAAAGTTGGCAGGACCTCAATATTGGCAGCTTTTGTAGAAAATTATTAAATTATTATTATTATTATGCCTCAACTGCAAAGTATAAATTGCTGGTGCCGGTTTGTCAGGGACAAGACCAGCTTTTCTTTTATTATTGGCCAGCCTCCGACTTGTAAAAATATCTGAAAAGATTTACTTACAGAAATAAATATCATTTATCATTTATAATGATCAATTCTTCTCTTTTATTCATACTATAACGATCACATTTTCCTGGTACTGTTAGCGAAAGTAATAATATGCAGCAGTATAGTGTAATTACAATTTTCAGATGCCGACATTAAAGCAAAATTGGCCCCGTACGCAAAGTTAGTGCATGACGCAGAAAACGTACCAGTTGGTAAAACTGACCACTCGATGTGGATCGATGACTGTGTGTACGGAGAGTGCGCCATTGGAGATCTAATTGTTGATGCTTTTACTGAATTCGTAAGTACTTCCTTTTGTTCGGTTTCGTCCTTTGTCAGATCATTAATAAGATTTGTAATATCATGACCTCACAGAAAAAATATGTTAAGCAATTTCTTGGTTGCTTTATGAAGTATTAATATTTTATGAAGTAGCAAATTCAAGTGACTGCCTTGGTGGTGCAGTGGTAGCGTATGCAACTGCTGTGCTGAGTCTCGGGCTTGATACCCGGATTGGACAAAATGTTTGTATGATCTGCAAATATTTGTTTCGGAGTTTGGGTGTTTTCTATGTATAATACAAAAAACTATCTAAGTATTCTATCAGTCGATCTAGCTTTCATAGTACAAGCTCTGCTTAGTTTGAAAGTAGAAGGCGTTGTGTGTCAGATGTCCGCCAATATAAAAAAATTGTGACCAGCAGAATACGTCTTGTCCATTTTCAGTCCTACTGAACGTTGACCAATGTTCTTAGATGTGCCATAATCATGTACTATTACATTATGATAGTAACTACCTTTAGTTTTTCAGAAGGCTCGAACAACTGTAGACTAAGACCTATTTAATAAGTGTTAAATTAGGACACTTAAGTTTGACAACTCTCCGGGCAATGTTGGTGACCTTGGTTCGTTTGCGGATCTCCTTATTTCTGATTTGATCACACGGACGAACTCCTAGCATTACCTTCTCCATTGATTTTTTTAGTGACTTTGAGCCTTCTTATGAGGCCCATTGTGGGCGAACACGTCTCTGTGCCAGCATTCATCACTGGCATCACACACTGGTCAGAGACTTAAGTGGAACTTAAGTGGCAGTGGGCGAGGCACGATGGGGCCATAAAGTTCTCGAGCGCGACCGCTTAGTGGTGGTCCGACTACCTTGTGAAAGTCGCGGGAAGCCGTTGGATGCAGGCAACACAGGACCGGTCGTGGTGACAAACCTTGGGGAGGCCTATGTTTAGCTGATGTCTTTTAGTTGAGTTGATGATCAAGTTAGATTTGGACATGGTGTTTGTTATGACTTTTTTGACTATTTAGTTAGCCAATAAGCACTTTTTTATTTTTGGTAGGAACGTTACAAATGTATAGTGTAAATGTTATATTCCGTGAATTGCAGAAGCTGTTCAAACGTGGGTTTTGACTCTGAATTATTTAATAACATACATTTAAAAAAAATAGTATCCTGTGTTTAGATATTTTATGTGTGTACATTTGGTGTGCCATTAAAATTGTTTTTTTAGGGCAATTCACTGATCGGTGCGGATCGACGCTGTTTGTCCTTTATTCAGCGTGGGAACATTAAGGCTTCGATATTGGAAGGAGGTTAGTGCTTTATATGACTGGGAATGAATGATGGGTATTAAAGAATTTATCAATATACTTATTAAAACTTATTATGTAATGCTTATAAAATATAAATTTTGTGTATGGTCCTGTTATTAGTCGGATTTTCACTTTTTCCGATTCTAGTTTAAGATTACTCTTTCTAGTAACCCATGGTACATATTACTGGTAATCCTTATAAACCCTCCAATCGAGCTAAATGCATTTAAAAGCACAGCAACACTTCACGTGTCTCAGTGCCCTAAATGAGATTCGAGCTCTCAATTCAAAGGCATGATATTTATTGCAAATTAAATAGAAATTTTATATATTAAGTTTTAATTAACTTTAATTTTGATTAACATTAAGTTTTAATATTAAACTCATTTCGGGTATTAGAAGATTAAATATTGAATTTTCTGAATCAAAATGTATGTATATATGGACTCACAGAAAACTGCTATTAAGTTTTTCTTACATTGTTTTTTACCGAGTGAGTGAGGTTAACAGATCCAAACCAGTAATATGTACCATGGGTTTTGACTGCACGGATGGCATAGTGTTTTAAGCGGTTACCTCGCTGCTTCAACAAGTGTTGTGAGTTTGATCCCTACATAGGACAACACTTAGTGTGATCCACAAATTGTTGTTCTGAGTCTGGATGTTGTTTGTGTCCGTTTCATGTATGTTTATAAAGTCCCCGTGACACAGGATATATTCTTTTAAAAAGAAACCCCTCCCCATACCATAAAAAATACAAAAAGTAAATAAAATGCGAATATAACCATCATAAAACTTAGATGGAGTAGATAGATATACCGTTAAGCTAATTTACTAACAGTTAACAAAGTAACGTTATCTAAAAAGAATTTCCTTTTAGTTATAACCGAGGGGACAATCTTCGAAACATTGCCGTTTAATGACAGAGTGGAAATGTTCGAGCTACAAGGCAAGTTTGTGCGTGAAGCGCTGGAACGTTCGGTCTCAGAGCCGTGGGGCGACAAACCCTTCAAAGGACCTTTTGTACTGCAAGTATCTGGTAAGCAACCCTATAGTTAACAAACTTTGTGTATATGTATCTGCGCTTTCATAGAGCTCCTGCCTTACATAGAGCGTCAACCGTGGGTTGGAGAAATTGTAAAGAATCAATGAAAAGTTACTTAACATGTAACAGCAGTAATCATCATCATCATCATAGTAAATCATATTCCTAGTGCTGGAGTATTTTTTTTTGGGAAAAAAAAAACAACCGCAATTTCGCCAATATATCACTAGATGTCTAGCATTTGGTATTTCGACCAGATATCCATAAAATGCTAATGTTCCTTACATGAAACTGCAACGTTGATGACTAATAAATTGTAAACTCTTTTCTAGGTGTTCAAGTAACCTACAACGTAAGTCTACCCGAAGGGCAAAGGATCACGTCAGTTAACATTGGAGAGAAAGGTTCTAACAGTCCCCTGGACGACAACCAGATGTACATGGTGGTAATGCCTTCGTTCCTAGCCGATGGTGGTGATGGATTCCAGGTGAATATGACAAGATTTCATTTTGACCGTTAATTTATTAATTACCTGATTTGACTGTCTGTTTGTTCCTGCGTTTAGTAAATATGAGGGGTATGTTGGTTTAGTGGTTAGTATTAAAGTGCCTACGTAATTAGTGTGCGCAACAATGTGCGGATGTCCTTCGCAACTATTTACCTTTATGTGGCGTTATGTTTAGGTGCATAATTATATTATGTCGGTACATTAGAATTGTGAACTGTGAATGTCAGCATCCTTATTTATAGTGGCGCACATTTTTATACGATTGGTCACCTGCCCTATTAAAATTTTACCTCAATGCTTTTCAATCAACTCGCTCCAATCAAAGCAACTTAGTTAGGTGGGGAAACGCTACAGGCTTGTACGATGTGCAGTACGGAAATAGGTACAGACAGGCGTTTACTGACAGGTTGTAAGGCGCTATAGAACTCACGGTGCCGTAGGAAACAAATATCCCTAAAGACCACGCCTTAAAAAGAAACAGATACTTTGACTTAACTATAGAAATAACTAAAAACGGTTATTTCGTTGCGTTGTATGCCGTGGAAGTGGGTGCGAGGGGGAGAGGGTTTTAATTACAAGATAACAAATTATATGACGAGCGTAGTGTTTGGGTGTAATTTATCTAAAATATCGAAATACCGCAGCCGATAACTTGTTCCACAGATTGGTAGTGCGGGGCAAAAAGTGTCTCGTGGAGCGCCAATTATATTATTATTATATTATTAGCTTGTTAAGTAGATACAGGTTCGATTCCAATCTAATCCAATATTAGTAATCTAAATAAGACTAAAAAAAACATTTATTATATTTTTCCAGATGTTCAAAAACAAGCAGAACGTGACCAAGATTGGCCGGGATCAGAAGCTCATAGAATTGTACATCAGAAAACATTCTCCACTCGACATCAACACCGATGGAAGGATAGTGATCAATAGCTGATTTAATAAATAGGATGTAATGTACTCTTTCTGATGTTTGATGTGTGATGTACATTAAAGAAATAACGCCGCTTCTTACCTATAAACAAATTTTTCAATCGTGAGACAAATATTATCTGAACGAATAATTAAAGAAGAGAATTGAGGAAATTTCTATGTTTAAAATATTTTTTTGCGCATACATCTGACAATTTGACTTTAAAGTTAACGTACCCGGGGAATTATTTATTCACATTTAAATGATTAAATAGTTGGCAGCATCTTAACGCGATATGTATGTATACACATATATCACGTTAAGTTATAGTAAAATAAAGACCTAGGCGACTAAGCTTTTTATTTGTAGGCTTTTTTGTTGAATAATCGTAGAAAATAAGCTCAAAAACATTAGAAACTTTAGATACACAATATATAACAATACAAATGTCTAAAAGATTTATTGGTTTAAATTCACTGATTTAACTCGATTTAACATGAGTCGGTTTTTTGTTTGTCTTTTGTCGGCAATTTTAAATATTCGTAAAATCGCTGACCATAACACAAATGCAGAAAATGAATGTTAAATTCCAATTTGAGACTTATTGTATGTATATAACTAAGATAAAATTTATCTGACGATTGACAAATTAATCTTTGATCGCAATACGAACATGGCAAAGCGGCATTAACATACGAGTAAGACCTTTCGGTAGAAATATTAAAGGATTGATCAAACACTTGTTACCTATATTATGTTGAGGTATTTAATGTTTATAATGTAATTTTATTTTTATTTGTAAAACTTGTTCATAAATAAAACCAAACGCAAGTCGTTTGCCTTGAAATTGTCGCATCTAACTTGGTCACGCTTGACCCTCGTTTGCTCACACACGATAGTTTAACTACCTACTTTAAAAGGCGTATTAAATATTGTAGCTCGCTTTGCGGTTTATTAATATATATACCGACTTTCACCAAAATATTAGGATAATTTTCATATTATCTAATTGTTAGTTTATAGAAATAGCAGCTGTTGTGATATCTTTTAGCTTTTAAAACTAAAATTATTTGTCAATTTCTGCTATAAATAAACTACTGCAGTCTAAATAAACTGGTTTTTAACATACTTTATTTTTACATTTAATGCTCATAATTCAATAGGTATTAATATGAAGCATCTTTTTGCAATCCTTTTTTTAAATTCTAATGCTTTGGAAGGAGCTTTTGCCACTTGGGCACGCCAGCTTATTAACTTATTGTACAATAATTTTGTTATACGTACATATACTCGTATCATTTTCACAAAGGATGACCTTTCTACTGTCGTAAAAAAATTGACGATTATAGCAAAAGTTAAATGTGTAAGCTGTGTTATTTAATTTAATTTTAGTCATAGAACTGCCACTGGACTAGATAAGGGCCTTGTCTCAGGCTTTTCAAACAACCAGTTGGAAATGGCCTGCATTTACCAATGACCTGTGATCCTACAAGGTCTAAGAAGGGAATTATTTGGGTCTAAGTTTTCTACTAGAGGTGGATTCATTCGTACAAAATCTCAAACAAATTGATCAATAAAAGCGGGTAGGACAGATATTTTATTATTTAAAAGCTTAACTAAATGTACATTTTATTGTTTTTAATGTAATTGATATTAATTTATTTATTATTACACTTTTTTTAAAGTATTTTGTAGTAAATAATACCTTGATAAATGTTTATAGTCACTCCACTATAGTGTAATTACAAGACTATTCCAATTTTATATTTATACATTTATTAAAAAATATTATGTAATCAAATTTTAATGTACTATCTAAACGAAAAGTCCATTCGCGTTAAGAAAATTGTGACGCATCGATCAAGCCACGCCCAATCAGGTTCCAAGAAAATATCCCATCGTACGAAAGCTTGGAACTTGATTATTCAGGGTTATTTTCGTAACGCCAATGGACTATAACCATATGATGTTTAACATTTTAATTAACGTCTTTCTCACCTTTATTTATAACCAGAAAGTTTTACATTGAACACACACTTAGACCGTAACTATATGTAGGTATTGTGTATATGTTTAGTGAATGTCTAAAACATATGTTGTACTTCTTATAACTCCATAATTTTATGGCTGTTTGATAGTATAAATGAAATTGTATGAATTATATCCGAAAAACACGTAGATAGATTTATTGGAAATTATTAAATAATACTAATAACATGAATGGTGTTGTTTTACTATTAGTTGGTTTATGGTATGGCGGAGTTCAGAACTCTTTAAAGGTTTATGGGACTATATTTAGAATATTGGGTGGGATTTCTCAAGGTTTCTTCTGATTCATGGAAGTAAGTGTGCCGACTTCTACATTAAACGAAAGGAACCATGCCAAATTATTTTAAAGTGAAAGGGTCTTTCAGGTATTGTCCTATTTTATGCTAAATTATGAATTAATTATACCAGAATTCGGTCAGCTATTGGCGATAATCCAACATACACAAAACAAGTTAATATTGAAGTTCGTTATTGGAAGTCGGTTGAAAATTACTCGACATGTTTTTTTCTTATCAACCCTAGTGTCATTATACATCAATATACAATAATAACACTTGAACTTTCAAACCATAAGACAAAAATAAGGCTGTGAAAGAAGTCAGGTACATTGTTAAGGTAAAATCTACAGTCTTAAGGTTCAGTGACATGAATATAACTACCATTATCCATTTAAAGATATCAGAATCTGATAGCAAAAGATCACTGATAATACAATGTAAAGTGTTGATTCCTCTTGTTTGACATTAACGTTTTATGAGATAAAATGTCTTTAAAAGTAAAAGTTATAAACACGCATTATGTTGATGTAGAAAATGTATTTCTTGCAAATTGCAACTTTGCAAAACTCATTAAATCTTAATAAGTATTAATATTTGCCCTGAAGCAAATAAGTCTCACTCCACGTGGCTTGCTTTTTGATTTATCATTGGTCCAAGGTCGGCGCAATGTCTGTGAGTGCAAAGGGTTTTTTATTGGTTACTTAGATAGGACAAAAGAAGAAAGTATATTGATGTACAGGAAACTGATAGGAGAAAAGAGGTAGGATAAGTCAATTTTGGGAAAAGTTGATGAGAGTGCTTGTCGAGGGACTGCCGTGCTTCGTCACAAATAGACCGCCTCGACCGAAGTGTGACCGCGGTCTCACAGAAAACCGGTGTTTAACAATTCTTTCGTCCCTGCATTTCCGATTTATATTTCTGTATGATGTCGAAACCAAATTAAAATTTCAGCCATGGAACTATTGTCGTTATACGTGGCAATTTTTAAGCAGTTCTTTTGTTGCTTTTACAAAGTGCGTGAAGTTACCGAAAAACCAACTCCCCCTCAATGTCTGAGGCATGGCAATCAAGATCGGGAATGAACTTGTTACTTTTAAGTTACAGATGCACTGGGTGGCAGTAATAACAAGCTGTGCTATTCACGGACTCACTTAAATTTTTAACGATCGCTCACATCACTACATTATATAAAGTTAATTTATAATCATTTTAATTTGGTAGATTCATTTGGTCCAATAATTTATTCACCTGTCATGTAACTGCTTTTGAAGATATGAAGTACTATATTTATATTCCATACGGTTCGCGTCAGTGTGTGTTGATCAGTGTCTGTAGCCGCGCGCATCGCGGCACTAAATAAAAAAATGCGTGTGTCAAATCTTATAAGTGATAAAAGCTTGAATTTGTTATATCTTGTAACTCTTTTTAGCTGCATAAATACTTTTGTGACTGCCGATTCGAATGTTGAAGGACTGTACAAACTAGACATAATTCATTACAACGATTTCCATGCAAGGTGAGATAATAATAAGTTTTTATTAAATAATATTATGTAATTACAATATATTATGCTATTTGATGCGAGAAGCCCAAAATCGATCTAAGTGGCGTGCAATGAGAGAGGCCTATGTCCAACAGTGGACTGCGATAGACTGATGATGATGATGATGATACTATTGTCAGTGGCTTCGCTCGCGTGATTTCTTATTTCGTGTTTCTTACTTTAAAAATGACGAACTTTCCCCGTTCCTCGCTTATTTAGGGGTGAAATTTTCTAATATCCTTTCTTACTACCCGCTTTTAACTTAATAATGAACAGTCTATTTAATACATTTATATATTATAATATATTATGTAGAGAATTTTAGTTGTTAATAATTATTTAGTTATGAGTATAAGTAACAAAAGAAGGAAAAAAACTAGTTATAAGTTCTAGTAGTCTTCATAAAAACAATTATCTATATAACGTTACGCGGTTAAATATTTTAAATAAATAAATAAATATCTTGAAAATCTTGGTCAACATTTTATTTTATCATCAGATTCAATTCCGTAGCAGAATTGTGTAAAGTTAGTAAAATGATTCACTCAGCGATGTTATTGTTTTTAAAATAGGTAGGTACATAAATTATCATGATGTTATATAAATAAACGAACAATCTTTGTTTTGAATTTTTAATTAAGTCTGACAACACTGATAGTCTATCAAAGTGGAAAATCCCACATCTTAACCTTTAAATGGAAAGAAAACATTCGTCTAACTTTTAAAATAGAACAACAAAATATAGGTATAAACATAATAAAAGAAAAAAATAAAGGTTATAAGTATATGGTACTAGATTTTTCCCGCAGCTCTGCCCGTGTGTATGTTGGTTATCGCGCTAAATAGCTTTTATCCTTTCTTAAGGATCAAACTATATCCATACCCGTCTAAATCGATTAAGTGCTAATTGATTTCCCACACTAACTGCCACCCCCCTTTTTTACCCCCTTAAGGGATGATTGCTGGTATGAAACTATCCTATGTCCTTTCCCGGGATTCAAACTATCTCTATAACAAATTTAATTTAAATCGGTTCAGCGGTTTAAGCGTAAAGAGGTAACAGACAAACAGATAAAAAGAACAACATGGAGAATACCGGTGACCATTCTAAGCACATTGAGACTCCTCCGTGCCTTGGAGAGTACTAACGTAATCTTCGAGGCATGGTGGTCCCAATTGGCATAAGAACATCTGTGGCAACCGTTATGGGTAGTTGGAATCCTTTTTTTTTTGAAGTTATGGCAAATCCCTTCGGATCTCCGGCTCCGTGGGGATGTAGGAGCCAGGAGTATGTGGTGTTTCCACTAAAAACTACTCCGACGGCCGGACTCAGGGGCCCTACTCCGAGGAGGACCCGGACCATGTTATTTCAGGTCCCCCCGGATCAACGCCGCGCTTAGCCAGGCCTTATCCCGGGAAAAGAAGGCTTCCCGCCTATCCGCCAATCCTTATGATAATGATGCGGCCCGATCGCATTTTTGCGACCAAGCCGCCATCCTATGGCCTACCGCAGCAGTTAATCTGCCACCAGAGATCCCCACTCTCTGGCAGCCTGCCCTAAAAAGTTCGACAACAGTCTTTCTAAGAAGCTTCGATATCAGCTCAAATCAAAATTCAGTACAAATCATTAATTATAAATAATTATGATTTGTTTATATATATTTCATCGGCGTATTTAGACATTGACATACATACATACATCTTCACAGATTCGAAGAAACATCCGTCCAGACCCCAATATGTACATTCAACAACAACTCTTGCTTGGGCGGATTTCCTCGTCTCTATCAAGAGATCCGCACTCTACTTAAAGAGAAACCTGACTCCGTAGTCTTGAACGCTGGCGACACCTTCCAGGGAACGTATTGGTATACACTTTTGAAGTGGAATGTAACGCAGGAGTTTATGAATATGATACCTCATGATGCTCACGTAAGTAGGTATTCTGAATTTAAATAGTTTAACTGTGAAGGAAACCTGTACCACCTAATCGGAAAAATGACCCGCTAAACTCGGACCTAACTACTAAAGTGCAGATTAATTTAACAGAGTGTTTTTTCATGGACACCTGCAACTCCTAAGACCCAAGTGCTCTGCCATCCATGCCTCCGAAAATCACACTCACTCTGTAAAAACCAACGTAATAATAATAATACTTTCACATATTTCACACGCGGCCAGAACCTGGTAACCAGACAGAAAAAATAATATATAGATAAAGTACACCCAGACACCGAACAAATTACTGTGCTCATCACACAAATATTTGTCCTGGGTGGCAATCGAACTCACTAGATCACCAGGCCAGTCAAATAGAATATCACTACACGAATGGATAGGTTTAATAATTACATTTAGTTTCTTTTTTAAAAAATTTACAAAATAGATATTTATGAGTATAACATAAATTGTATTGTTCCTTTTTGGTATTATACCAATATTTATGACCGGTGTACAAAGGCAATCTAAAGATTCAAAGTAAACAAATTGACGATAGACAATAACAAAAGTCGAGACTTTAATATATCATTTTAACGATAAAGGGAAACTGATTTTACTTCAAAGTAGGGCCCGGTATCCATCAAAACAGAGAGGAGACAAAACGAGAGGAGATGGGCTGCCAAGCTGGCAGGTTATTTCCACCAAAGCGAAGAGTAGATGCGTAGCGGAGAGTAGATGCGTAGTGGAGAGGAGCAGTGCACTGTATGTTGCAGAGATGTGAGCTGTGAGAGCTCGAAACCAGTCAAGTAGCTGTACTGTCAAGTCCAGTCAGTCAAGTCACTGTAGCTACGAAAGGACGACGTCATGTCGTTACAATTTAATAATTTGCTTAATAATATCTTTATTTGCTTGATAAAGAGTAATTAGGGGTTGAAGGAACACGATTTATTCTTCAATTTTTAAATTATCGACGGTAACATAGAGTTAACTGAGAGAAGGCAGCGGAGATGGGGCGCGCGGCCCTAGAATTCTATAGAAAATAGAGACATCTCCTTTCCTCATCGCTTGATCCATTTCCACCGAAGCTAAGCGGAGAGGAAATGTGGAAATAACGAAATCTGATTGGTTATTTAAAACACATCTCTTCTCGTCTCCTGTCCTCTCTGATTTGGTGGATACCGGGCCTCAATCACTGCTTAATATAAACAATATATAATACAATAGCGGTAATGGTTAACTCCTATTTGATGTATCTTTTCTAAACAGGCGCTGGGTAATCATGATTTTGACGATGGTCCAGCCGGCGTGGTTCCGTACATTGCCGCTCTGAAGGCGCCTGTACTAGCAGCCAACATGGATACCAGTGAGGAACCATCTTTCGAAGGGTTGTACGAGCCTCACATTATCGTCAACAGGAAGGGACGCAGGATTGGGATCATTGGATTGATAACTGTAGATACAAAGGTAAATTTACATTATATTTAAGCTTTTTAAATATTTAAATTGGTTACAATTGACGAACAAATTGTAGAGTCCGTTATGTGAAGTGTGTAAGTAAGGTGTTTATAAATTGATATGAACCACATGTTACTAATTACAAAACATTACGTACCCTATTGTATAAAATTATATAAACTAAACTTCACTGGCAGCAAAAAATCTTGCATCATTTAAATGACTAATTGGAGTATCGCATTATCAAATAACTAAATCAAACGGGTTATTTTTATTATTACAAATTAATGTTTGTGTGTGTGTTTGCGAATTCACTGTTTCTGTTTATAGTGACATTAGCAACACAACTGCCAACTGTAGTGTCACTGTGGTCTGGACTGTGGTCAGCAGTTGGACACTACTTTTTCGATGCTTTCAATTCAATACTTGTGCAGTATATTTAGACATATAGATCATCATCATCACCTCAGCCGAGAGACTGCTGGATATCGGTCACACGGTCGGTATCACTTTGTAGGAGGCCTACCCACGCTCCATCTTTCGGTACGTGGTTGCCACTCCAGAACTTTCTGGCCCTATCGTATATCTTTTTTGCGAGCTTGGGCACTTTGCTCGCAGACATAGAGATAATCTAAGAATAATATATAATATGTTTTTCTTTTCATTCTAATTATGTTATCAAGGGCCATATATTGGAGAGGAAAACTGTACTTAGGGATCTGGGCGTGGTGCACGACAGCAAACTTCTATTTGACAGGCATGTGAATCACATAGTTGACAGGGCTTTTAGAGCACTGGGTTTTATAATTCGTTGTTCCAGTGATTTCAGAAATATGAAAACTATCAAAGTTTTGTACTGTGCTTACGTGCGGAGTCACTTGGAATACGCTGTTCAGATTTGGAACCCATATTACAGTTGTTACTCCAATGAGATTGAGAAAATACAGAAGAAATTTATTCGTTACCTGGGTTTCAAATTTAAACTTTGCCACTTGGTCGATCTTACATATGAGCAACGCTGTGTAACATTACATCTTCTACCCTTGTATATTAGGCGTAATATTTCAGACCTAGTATTCCTGCTCAGTCTTGCTCAGGGCAAGATCGATTGCCCTAATCTACTTAGTATGATTAGGTTAAGAACACCCGTTAGAAGATTGCGTGACAACTCTTTACTTTATCTTCCGTCGAGCCACACCAACTTCAGAAAAAATAGCTATCTGCCTAGAGTTTTCACCGAGTTGAACAAGCTAAATGGTGACAGTGGTTTTGATCTTTTTAGTACAAGTACTGGAAGTGCTAGATCCTATTTAACCGTCAGATTTGCTGATAGTGTTGCCTGCACTACTGCAGTGTGAGCTGTGACTCTTGGTTCTGCATGTGTTTCAATTTGTTTTCATCTATTTACATCTTTAGTAATTTAATTGGAATGTAACTTAAGTAGAATGTTTCCTGTGTATCTGTGGAAGCTTGTTAATGGCTTTTCAACAACTAAATTACTGATGTACTTGTACTGTAGCTGTAAGCTCCCCAAATAAAATAAAATAAAATAATGACTGTGGTTAAAATAATTGGTGGCATTCTATCACATGGAGTCTATCAGTGCTGACTGAAATAGCTGTATTTCTATTGTTTAAACCTTTTTAATGGCGTTAAGGCGATTGTTTAATAATTCACTATCACACCGCTACACATTGTATATTAAGATTGACCTATAAGAGATTGTAATAAATTTAACTCCGGGAATTCCCACTATCTTATTTACCTACCTTTGAATTACTGCTAGTAACAACCTATTTATATATTATCCGTTGATGTGTTCACATTGATAAAAATAATATTTCAATTCTGAATACATATTCAGAATTGAAATATTATTTTTAATTTAGATAAACTGTACTATGGTTAAAAAGATAATAAGAAAATGCAATTTAGAGCAGCGTTTGGTGATGGAAACAATGACATTGTACGCTTCAAATTGATGTTCAAGGTTGCAATAATTCACAGAGAGCTGAATCTTGATACGAATGTTCTTAATACACTTACAAATATATTAATGATTTACGTAATGTATGACAAAGTCGCCATTACTCCCACGTCATCATCTCAGGTTTAAGTTTCCCAATATCTTGTTTTTTTTTTTACTTCCAGCTAAAACTGTTAATTTACCATAAACTTGGTCAAAATAACATTGCAAACCATTCAATTGTCCATAACAATTGTATTTACACTTTACTAAGAACCATTTTTTGGGATATATCGATTCAAAAAGGTTTTTAACCTTTCGGCCTCGTGCGCTAACGTGGTCGATCCAGTTATTAAAAAAATAAGTGAAATGATATGGTCAGGTTAGGACAGTTAGTAATTCCCCCGGGCCGGACGGGGTTCCAGCCCGAGTGATGGCCCGAGCCCTCGACTACATGTCGGACCACCTCAGGGGGGTGTTGGACGCTAGCCTGGCGTCCGGACGCTTCCCTGAGCGCTGGAAATGCGGGAAGCTGGTCCTGCTGCAGAAGCCGGGACGGCCTGCCGATTCGGTCGCGGCCTATAGGCCTATCGTGTTGCTGGACGAGGCGGGCAAACTTTTTGAGAGGGTGCTCTCTGCCCGCATCGTCCGGCACCTTTGCGAGGTTGGCCCCGATCTGTCGGACGCCCAATTCGGTTTCCGAGAGGGGCGTTCGACGATCGATGCCGTAATGCGCCTTAGGGCCGTGACCGAGGAGGCCGTGAGCTGCGGCGGAGTGGTGTTGGCGGTGTCCTTGGACATCGCCAACGCCTTCAATAGTCTGCCATTCAGCTGCATCAGGGAAGCGCTCCGCTACCACGGAGTGCCGGAGTACCTGAGGCGGCTGGTGGCAGACTATCTTGAGGAGCGAACCGTCATGTACGAGGACCGAGATGGCGTCTTGAGACGCAGAGCCATGTCGTGCGGTGTTCCGCAGGGGTCTGTCCTAGGACCTCTCCTGTGGAGCATCGGGTACGACTGGGCCCTACGAGGGCGTCTCCCCCCCGGGCTGGGTGTAATCTGCTACGCGGATGACACTTTAGTCACGGCCCGGGGGGCTAACTTCCAGGAGGCGGCGCGCCTGGCCGCCACGGGAGTTTCCCAGGTGGTCGGGCGCATTGAGGCGTTGGGTTTGCGGGTGGCCCTGGATAAGACGGAGGCCCTATTATTTCATGGGCCCCGTCGTGGCCCACCCGCCGGCGCCTCAATCGAGGTCGGCTCGGTCCTCGTACCGGTCCGGGCCCAGATGAGGTACCTGGGTCTGGTCCTAGACGGTAGGTGGCTCTTCGACGAGCACTTCCGACAGCTTGGTCCGAAGCTGGTGGACACTGCCTCCGCCCTAGGGCGACTTTTGCCCAATTTGGGCGGGGCCAGTGTTCCCACGAGGCGGCTGTACGCGGGGGTTGTCCGGTCCATGGCGCTTTATGGTGCACCGGTGTGGGTGGCGGCTCTGACCGCCCCGAATAGGGCGCGCCTCTGGCGCCCCCAGAGGATATTGGCGGTCAGAGCCATACGCGGATACCGCACGGTGTCCACCGAGGCGGCCTGTGCCTTGGCCGGAACACCCCCGTGGGATTTGGAGGCGGAAGTGCTCGCCGAAGTTTATCGGCGAGTGGCTGACTTCCGGGCGGAGAGCGGATTTCGCCCTCCGCCCGAAGACGTGCGCGAGTGGCGCGAAGCCGCTCGCCGAGCCACTATGGTGAGATGGTCGTTCCGGCTGGAGACTCCACGCGCTGGCTTCGCCGCCGTGGAGGCTCTCCAGCCGGTCATCGCCGAGTGGGCAGGGCGGCAGCACGGGACCCTTTCCTTCCGGCTGACGCAGGTGCTTTCCGGGCACGGTTGCTTCGGAAAGTACCTGTACTCGGTCGCTAGGGGGGAATCGAGTCCCGCCTGCCACCACTGCGACTGCAGTGAGGATTCGGCCCAGCACACGCTGGCGGTTTGCCCCGCATGGGCGACGCAGCGCCGGGCCCTCACTGCAGTCATCGGAGCGGATCTCTCGCTACCGGCCGTAATTCGCTCCATGGCCGGTAGCGACAGTTGTTTTACCGCGGTCGCAACCTTCTGCGAGGAGGTAATCTCGCAGAAGGAGGCGGCGGAGAAGGCCCGGGAGGACGACCTCCACTCGGACCTGATCCGCCGCCGGCGAACCGGGCGGCGGAGGCGCGCTCACCTGCGCCTCATGCCGCCCTGAGTGTGGCCGCGGGTGGACGGGATGGGTTCTCCCCTCCACCCGCATTAGTTGGCCAGCCGCGAGGGGGCGGCGTCCGCGTGTGCCGGACGCCGCCTAAAGAGAGGGTCCACTGAGACGGAGCCCGCGCCAGGAGCGGGCCGGCGCTGGGAAGGGTCCAGAAGGAGATAGCTACCTGGACCCTTCCTAAACTGGAAGCGCAAAGAGGGCACACCGTGTGGTTTTAGTCGGTTCGAGTCCGACACACCGCCCCGCCGAACGAGAGCCCCGGCGGGGTGACGGTCCGAGGGGATTTCCACACGTAAAAAAAAAAAAAAAAAAAGGACAGTTAGTAATTGATTTACAATATATTCAATTCTTAGATTTAGATACAATTTAGTTCAGGGTGGAACGGTTTTTTTTCAGTTCTTTGGTCAGTTCTTCATCTATTTGCGCACATGCCCATGGGAGGGTAGTGTACTTATTGCGATATTTGACTCGTTTCTTTTCGATTATTTTCCCTAAGATAAAAACTTTTTTTTTATGGAATAGGGGGTAAACGAGCAGACGGGTCTACCGCCGCCCATTAACGCCTAAAACTCACAAGCGCCTTGCCAACCTTTAAGAAGGAGTACGCTCTTTTTTTGAAGGTTTGAAGGTCGTATCGTATTATTTTTAGAATTTTAGAATTAATTCTACTTTATCTTTTTAGGATTTAGGTGATCCAGGAAAGGTTAAATTCACTGATCCAATAGCAGCTACAAGAAGAGAGGCACAAGCGTTGCATGAGCAAGGTGTTGACATTATTATTCTTTTATCACATTGTGGCCTTGATGTGGACAAGTAAGACATTTAGCGCTACTTTAATTGTTTATTGAAATATATCTATCTATATTTTTATTTGTATTTATATTTCTCCTTAATTCTTATCTACTTCTTCATTTATATTGTTGCGCCATAGGATTAAATGGTTCGATTGTATGAAATGTAGAGGACAGCGCCATCTAGTATCGACTGAAGTACATCAAATATAAAAAGATTGGGGTTAATACGAGTGGTTCTGATCCTTACAGTGCTAGATGGCACTGCAAGTAACGCGTGACTGATTCTGGAATATTCGTGTTTGTCTGGAACGGACTGTCGAATACTAAGAACTTTCTAGTAAAATTCAAAAGCGCTATAAAAGCGGAGCGTGTTGGACAGCGAATTACATCGGAGTGAATTTCTAGTGCGACTAATAAAATATATAGTGATTTCTAGTTTATTATAGTGAATGTTTGTAAATACAGTGAAATAAAGTAATTAACCGACAACTTTTCTTTATTATATACCCCGCTCGTAACAATACTTGACCCGTTTTAATCAAGATCACTTAGTCACTCATTTCTACTATATCTTGAGGTAGACTTTGAGAAAATGCCTTTAGTTTTAAGTAATTTCATTTGTGCATAAAGTACCTAATAAATAAATAAGGTTAAGACCGGAGGCATGTTAAAGTTCAAGAATTGAACAACCAATTGTGTTATCTTTGTGTATCTTCATTCTTGTCAATTTATCAATCGCGTGTCCTAACCTTGTGAACCAGTTAGATGGAATACTAAATCAACTTCTCTTTTACAGTGCCCATACAGATTCAATAAAACTATCGTTCTATGACAAGTTTAACTGGAGATAGTTCTTTGAGTGACAATAATTTAAGAACAAAAATCAATCCTGTGTTTTCTACCATTCATAGACAAAATACTATTTGAATATTTTGTTTTTTTTAGGGAGATTGCTCGAGAAGTCGGAGAACACATTGATATTATAATTGGCGGACATAGTCACTCATTACTTTGGAACGGACCATCACCTAGCGGAGAAGTAGTAAGAGGTCCTTACCCGATAATAATTGAGAGTAGCGAAGATAAGAAACACCAGGTAAAACTAAAATATCTGCATACTACTGGCGAAAGAAAAAAAAAAGATTTCTGTAAACCTTTGAGTAAAATAATTTTGCAATCGATTAACTTTGTCGTTTGGAACCGAGGCTAATGCCTAATGCATGGGATTCACATTTTGCTTTAGGGATGCGGCGATCTATCCAGCGTCATTTAACTAAAACAATTCTAACTAATCAATAACCTCTTTCAGTAAAAATTTCGATCTTAATCCAGTGTAATTGTCATTCCCTTATTTTTTTTCTATTTACATTTCCAGGTATTAATAGTTCAGGCATCTGCGTTTACTAAATACATGGGTAATTTGAGCGTGTATTTCGACACCAAGGGTGACTACCGCAAATGGGAGGGTGGCCCACTCTTCTTAGACAGATCCATTCCTGAAGGTTAGTTATACATTTATATCTAAGATGTCGAGGTGATCGTCATTCTCATCACCATTTTAATGAGCCTTGGCGCCCGTACTTGACGTAGGCACAAGTTTTTTTTTTTTGTAAGATACGTCCCGCATTAGGCATATATCTTATGTAGCGGGGGACTTTACAAACATACATGAAACGGACACAAATAACACCCACTCAGAATAACACTCAGCGTAGGAGTAAGCAGCGTGGCGACCGCCTGAACCACTACGCCATCCGTGCAGACTGATGTGTTAATGAAGCTACCTAACCCAAGTTATTTGTATAATTAAACTATTTTGTTTTTTTAATCAGCTCGGTTAATTAGAGCTGGTTTAATACCTACAAGAGATCATCGTTAGGAGTACTATTTAAATAGTACCAGTCAAGTTCTTAGCGCTGTTTTTTTTTTGTTGTAAATAAGGGTCACCGGAGTTCCATGAAGGTTTGATAAGCACAACAATCAGAAGTAATAGAATTGAATAACTTCTGAATGACTGTAAGCAATCGCTTATCATCAGTTCTTAATCTTTTACCAGTTTAGCTGCAAGAAAAAAAGGAATTTTTTTGCTCACATCAAATATTTGACAGAAATATATAATAGTTAGGGATATAAATTATAAGTTTTGTATCAAAAGTTTAGATTTTATTAATTTATACTATGTACGCTTTTCTAAGGAATTGGAGTGACGAGCCATAACATTTACTGCCTTATCTACTTTACTCCCAGACTCAGATAGGAATTAAGTAAAAAAAGGGGGGACTACTATTGAATAGGAAGTAACAGATTACTAATACACAAATACAAATTAAAACGCTTAATCTATATGCACAATACATTGGAGTTAAGTACAGTCGGGCGTTTCTGATTCACGTGTTTATTATTTTAGATGCTGAAATTAAAGCAAAACTCGAGCCCTATGCAAAATTAGTGCATGAAGCGGAAAATGAGAGCGTGGGGGAAAGTTTACATGATATGTTAAAGGAGGACTGCGCCTTCGGAGAATGCAACGTTGGTGATCTGCTCGTAGCAGTTTTAGATGATGCTGTAAGTATTTGCCGACCTTTTTTATTTTATCATCATCATTTGTCAATACCGTGTCACGTCTTGAGTGTCTCACTGAGTTGGTTTTGTGTGACACAAATATTTATAGGAGTGGACTGATTGAAACTGATATAATTGAAAGCTATAAGCCTGATTGATTTGTTTCGGAGGGTTTAATAAGGTATAAAACTAAGAGAAGAAACTATAGGAGAAAGATGAACCGATAATGTACTTTGATTTACCTTTTTTTCGTAATCAGTAAATAGGTAACAACGGTTACGATATGTTTACGCGTAATAATAATTTTGTTTCAAAAAATATTTTTTATAAGACAATCAATTTATATTGTTTAGATCCAAATTAAATGTGTTCAAGATCAGTTTCCGTTATTTAAGAGGTCACTTATTTTTTGTAGGGATACTTAATTTATTAGGAAAATCTGCTAATTACTACAATTTTATGAAATAATTCATTCGAGTATCCATTGTTCAATTTCAGGTCAAGAGTGTGGTAGGGGATAGGCCCAACTGCTTATCTTTTATCTCGAGACCCACAATTCAGTCTTCGATACATCAAGGAGGTTTGTGTGTTATGTGTAATCTGCCTGCACTTCTTTGACTCACAATACTAAGAAGAGCAAGACTCTTCTCCTCCTTGGAGAAAACCTACACGATATACCTACTAAGTTTTCATAGTAACTCTTCTTTTATTTCATTTATTTATTTTTGTTCTACATCTTTATACACTTATGTAGATCTGTGGACTGAATGCCCTGAGCATTCTCTACCAGCTAACCTTTGGTTGGCACTGAGGTTACAATTGTAATCAATGTTTATAAATATATTTTTTATCAATAAATACTCGTATGTAAAAACAGTTTTTATGCCAATCAATTAACTTTTTAAAATATTTGAATTCAAGCACCACAACACGACACAAATTTTCAAAGCATAAAAAACATCACGTGTCACGTGTTTAGTGTTAGCAGTAAATATTGTTTAGGTTTCTTCTTCCACAGTTAGTTTTTATTTTCATCATTTTAAGTGAGGTTGAATTTTGAAAAGTAATACAAACAACGACATAGATAGTTTAAGAATAGGGCATTTAGCTCCTATCATTATCAACAGCCTTTATTAGTCTTCTTCAAGACATAGGCCTCTCCTTAGAACGGCGGTTTTGGCTTACTATACCCACACGGGATGAATAGGGGTAGTTACACTCCGCATTCTTAATCCGTTACCACATGGATAGAGCCATCATTGATAGATGTATTTATGTGTAAACTTAGCATATATATGTTTTTTAAACAGTTGTCACGAAAGGAACAATCTTTAAGATGCTACCGTACAACGACCGTATCAAGATGTTTCAGATCAAGGGTAATGTTGTACGGGAAGCGTTGGAACACTCTGTCTCGGAAGCGACAGGGTACCATCCGTTCCAGGGTCCTTGGTTACTACAAGTGTCTGGTAAGCAGCATGTCAGATAAATATTACTATAGGATTTATGTGTGTTGGTGAGGGTCCTTCAATTAAAACTCAATTATGGGTTAGATAGAGATTGATGGGTTTAATTCAGGTAAATATTTAGATGAATATTACTACATTTTGTATAAATATATGGTAGAGTATTTGGTGGTATGTGTGGTAGAATATTAATTGAGAGAGCCATGATTCAGTAAATACGAGCCAGCTCTACGGGAGTGATACCACGGCTTCACAGAAAATTGAAAAGTGTTAAGCAATTCTTTCGTTGCTACCTCCCCTCTATTTATTGGAGGGGGAGGGAGGGGAGAGGGCTCACTAGCCTAAAATGAACTTGAGTTAAAGGTGTCTATGGACGCCGGTACTCACTTACCATCAGGTGACCCGTCTGCATGTTTAAAATCTTTCGTCCATTCGGAAAATCTATTAGACATTTGTTTTGGCCTAAGCTTACGTCACGAACAAGAACGCAAACTTCTATTATTTTCCTTCCTTGACTTGCAATTTGTAACAATGTAAACCATGAACAAAACCATGAACTTTGAACTTGTTTTAGGTCTTCAAGTGACCTACAACGTGAGTCTTCCTGAAGGACAAAGGATAACGTCTGTTAATATCGGTGTAAAAGGCTCCAACAATCCTCTGGATGACGATCAGATATACACGGTAGCAGCTCCATCGTTTCTAGCTGATGGCGGTGATGGTTACCAGGTAACACGATCAGATATTTTTAATTTTAATTTTTAACTTGTGAATCAACTCAAAAGGCTGCTGCTAGAACATAGGTAGCCAGAGTTAGAATTTATATTATAAGGAAGGAGAATTTTGTACTATTACTTAGAAAAAGTAACAATAATTACGGCTTAATATTTATTCAAATAATATATTTGGTCAAAATTCATACACGGAGTGGTTTAAGCTTTCGCCGCATCCTGCTACGCTGAGTGTTGTGGGTTCGGTCCTCACAAGGGACGAAAATTTGTGTGATCCACAAATAGTCGTTCTGAGTCTGGTTGTTCTTTGTGTCCGTTTCATGTAAGTTTGTAAAGTCCCCCGCGACACAGGATATATTTCTAGTGCGGGAATAGTCTTTTTAAATAAAAAAAAAGATGTGAGAGTCGACGCGCCAGCTGAGGAGTCGGAAAAAAGTATTGTTACACATTTTTCGGTCTCGCTCCCCTCCACTCAGAGCTTATAACGTGCGATAAGGAACTTCGTTAAAAAAAATCTGCTTACCCATTGTTTTGGGAGTGTTTTATATAATTTTTTTTCGTTAAAATTTTCTGTAAGCCCTATTTCATAAAAACAAATCCATAGAATACACTCTAAACTTGTTTCTTATTACAAAGATGGCACCGCATAACACTACTCAATGCATTAACACACCACACAAAAAAACTGATTTTATTTTTGCAAAAAAAAAAAACTAACAAAGACACAAGATTTAGAAATACTGTGTCTAAATAGAAACTCTTCTTTTTTCAATTTGTTTAATATGGCAATCTTTCTTACTTAACACATAACTTTTTAAATTTCCAGATGTTTAAGCCCGCAAAGCAGAACGTGTCAATAATAGGTCGTCTCGAAGGGTTGGTAGAAACATACATTAGCCAACATTCGCCGTTGGACATCAAAACCGATGGCAGGATTATCATAAACAACTGATTGAAGATATCTTTTATAATAATATATTAAAATAAAGAGCCTTTGGATGGTTTTTGTTTTATTTATCTATTTAAATTCCAATTTTTTATTGTGAAAAGATAATAAGTAATTAGAAACATTAAAGATAAGTTTCTGTATATTTCCATACAAGAGTAAAAAAATCCTCCACATCATCATCTTCTGGTAGCTTTCATGGTAGCATTCATGGTAGCAGCATGGTAGCATAATAAGATTGCCACCATTTCCATCCCCAAGGGTTTCTTCACAAAACCCCAAAGGCCACTCTTTGTATGTCTCGATCTGTTGTCTGTATCTGTATCTATTGAATAAAATGAAATAAAATAAACTACGAAATTAAATAGATACCTTCGATCGATTTAAGTGGCATGGAATGGGAGAGGCCAATCCACTGATGGACATACCAGCAGTGGTTTGCAATTGATGATGATGACAGGCTTAGTAAGAAAACTAGCATTTCTTCGTATGTAGGTACTTCATATGCCTGTTTTAATTAGTAATACCGAAACTCTACTCTCTGCGTATTGTGGCGCTGTCAAGTCAGTACTCAGATTTGGTGCTTATAATCTTTTCGGGCAACTAAACAAATAACGAAATAGTTTTCAAAATACAGAAGCGATGTATTCGCCCCGTGTTTGGTATCGATAGCACGGAAAGCTGTAAACCACTTTTTGTCAGGCATAAGATGCTTACATTACCATCACTGTACTTATTGGAAATGGCAGTTTTGTTAAGGGTAATCCTCACCTGTTTCCACGCTTAATGGAAATGGTCACGTATGGTCACGTATGGTAAAAGCGTCACGTCGACTGCGCTTAACTTTAAGCGCAGTCGACGTGACGCTTTTAAATCAAAGTGTGGTATGCATAGCGCTCTTAATTTACAACAAAATCCCCAATGGTCTAAAAGTATTGTTGACATGTATTGGAGTTGTGTATTTTCTTTTTATTTAATTATTTTTGTAGAATGTGTTTTATTGTTATTTTAATTTCTTGACATTTTCTTTTATAATGCTTTTAATTAATTTAAATGATAACTATTTTTGTATTTGATGATTGATGATCTTCTTTTATTATATTTGTATAAATTTTATGGTTGGACATGTTGATTAAAAAAATTCTCATTAAGACCTGTGTATTTCTAACTACGTATTGTTGTACACATATGTTCTGCAAATTTTTATATATTTTTATCTTTACATAGCTTCAATAAAGTAAACTTATAATCTCTTTGCAAATATCGAATTTTTAACTGTAAATCTTCCATTGTAAGGTTTCCGTAGTAAAGTAGAAATCATTAAAGTTTCGTCCGTCCGCACTTCCAGCTCAAAGGTTGGCACCGAACTTGTGACTCCTGAATTGTAATTATCCAAGAGCGCAAGGTTACAAACCATCAGATGACTCTTCTGCTCGTCTGATCATCATAAAAAAAGGTAAACTGACAGCAAAAACAAGCCATATTTTCTGAACGTCTCATAAAAAGGACGACAAAAACTTTGTTCTTTATTACAACATATAATTAAATTTTAGAAGGAACGTGGATTTTTACGAGTAGGTGGGGGAACGAGATGAAAATTCCTAAGAAAATATACTGGCGTATAATGGGAGGTTAAAATTCCACTTAATTAGGAAAGAGAAGTATAGCTCAACTCGTAACAAGTATTTGTGTTATGAAAATTATATTTGGAAGACAATGTTGTTGGTGTCAATATTAGTTGGTGTTTCAGGTTGGTTAGACGCCTGAATACTCGTAAAGCTCAAATACTACTACAATAGTTAATGCGACGAAGCGGGGAAGAAAGAAACGATTTCCAAGATTCCAATTTAAGGTATCCGATGTACTACAAACGTGTATTAGGTACACTGGGTTTTAAAACACACATCTGGCTGGTTTTACGATTTTGCAACCTATTCTAACTACTATTTGCCAAAGATAGTTTAATTGTTTATTTTCTTTGTTACCTTTCCACGCTTTAACTAATCAAACGATGGTCAAAAGACAGAGGATGACTTTTGTGCATGGAAAAGTATTATATTATTGTCAAGAAGTGGAAAAATAACTTACATGAACAAAGCTGGCAGCGAAAGTTTATTACCAATATCATGTTTAACAAATCTATTTAGATTAAATTATTCGTACATATTATGTACACGATCGTATCCTTTTTTATTCATGATAATTCGTAAATAAATTTATTATCTGATTAACGTCATAAAAACATTCACACGTTTCATATTTAAATTATTTTGCAACAAAACAAACAGACTCATAAAATCTACTGAAAAAATGATGTTCCAAAAACAAGCAATAATCGTAAAAAGAAATATTTTCCTCTCATCCGAAAATTACTTTTTCCGTGGTCGTTGTATTTATGCAAAAACACAATGTGGTATCAGGTAGATGAGACGCATGGATGAGGCTTTAATGAGAATAAACCAACATTCCTGTGTTCCCCCTTGAATTTACGTTATCCATAAAGCATGGAATTGTTAATTCTGAACTGAGTTTACAGGAAAGGTATTTGATATCACCTGTATCAGATAGTCTATGTAAAATATACGAGTATAAATAAAAAACAATCTCTCTCTCTCTATTTTTTTTTTAAATAGAAGGTCCATTTAAATGTAAAATTTAATATTAATATTCTATCACTTTATCCGTGTGGTGACGGATTAAGAGTACGGAATGTCACCACCCCTATTCATCCCGTGGGTGTCGTAAGAGCCGACTAAGGCAGCAAACTACGAATTACAACAGCACTGCAAAGAGAAGGAAAACTTGAAACAAATTATACCAACCTGTCTGGTCAGAATGGTATAGTAGGCCAAAACCTCCTTTCTAAGGAGAGGGCTATCTCCAGCAGTAGGCTACTAAAGACTGTCGATGATGAAGTAAAAATTTGGATGTTTTTTTTTAGTTGCCTAGATTAGCTTCAAACATACTCTTTTGTTCGATAAAGATAGAATAAGCTTCATGTTACACCAGTTTAATACATCATATATAAACACAATAGTATATCAAATTATTGACCATGTATAAATGGCGGACTTGTCGCTATAAAGCCATTTCTTACGATAAGTTTCGGACAGATCCAGAGAAGACCTCTAAATAAATAACAAAAAATCTAAATACATAACAGAATTTATTTAGAAAAATATGCTATTGTACTAACTGGGCTTGGCTTACATACATACATTCATAACCCTTTTTTTAAGTAACTAACAGTTGAACAACCTTGCATTTCAATATTTTGATAAACAATAGAAAAATATAAGAAACATAAAAATAACAACGAATACAAGTATGTTTTCATAATCAAATCAAGTCACGTATTTTTATTTATTTATTTATTTATTTATTTAAGGATCTTCAACAAGAATATCACATAGCATTCACAGAGAATAATAAATTATTGATCTGGTGTATTCTTAATTACAGAAGATCACAGCCTGCATTAAGAGTCAAACATAACATTTTGAATCAGAAATTGCTATTACACAAATTAGAAGTAAATAAATTAATGAAAATTGATTAAATTAAATTACTGTTAAATTCATTAAGTCAATACAAACAATAATAACATTGCAAAAGTTAACTACTGATAATATGGTTAATAATTAAATAGTCAACAATATAAGATTATATACAGTTACATTGATAATATATAATTTAAATCAAATAAATTTATATTAAATTGATGTCAGCTGTTTATTGATAAGGAATTTAAAATGTCCTATAGTATTACTGAAGATGTCTATATCATTAGATCTATTTGAAACTTCGTTAAAGTGGTTAGTCATTCTAATTATTGGAGAGTGTTTACCAAGATTTGTGCGACAGCGGGGAGCTTTGAGCAGTGAACCCGGATAGCGAGGTAACCTGCTAGGTACATTAATACAGAATTTGCTCAGGAGACTTGGACAGTCAATCCCATTATTGAATAACTTGTATATGAACATTATGTCAGAAACCTTGCGGCGGGCTTCAAGGGATGCGAGCCTGAAGTAGCTAAGTCTGCCAGAATATGACCTTATTGAGTTCAAAACTTTATTTCTGAAGGCCAAGTGATATACAAGTCTTTCTTGTATCTTTTCAATTCTTGTAGTGTGCACCTGGTATGTCGGGTTCCATACAACACTACAATATTCAAGCCTGCTTCGCACGAAACTATTATACAAAAGTATTGTTGTGGATGGGTGCCCAAATTCTTTAGAATTTCTCAGAACAAATCCAAGAGCCTTATAAGCACTGGTTAAAGTTTTATCAATATGTTGTGCGAACCGCAATTGACTGTCCAAATATACGCCCAGATCCCTGATAGTATTGACCTCGATCAGAACCTTATTATCTATTTTGTAAGATGATTTTATGTTATTACGTTTTCTACTAAATTTTATATGACTGCATTTTGATCCATTTAAGTACATTTTATTTTGATCACACCAGTGATTCAATCGGTCTATGTCTTCTTGCAATAGAGTTACATCGCTTTCGTTTTTGATTATTCGAATTGTTTTCAAATCGTCTGCGAAAAGGTATGATACTGAATTTTTAAATACAGATGGTATGTCATTTATAAAAACATTAAAGAACAATGGCCCTAAATTGGAGCCTTGGGGTACGCCAGACGTTGCAACAAATGGCTCTTCCCCGTCCACAGCTACTGATGATGATCTAGAATCCAAATACGATCGACACCAATCCAGACTATCGCCCGCAATACCCATCAATTCCAACTTACCCACCAGTATTTTATGATTAACCTTGTCGAAGGCCTTTGAAAAATCAGTATATATTGCATCTATCTGCAGACCCTGATCTACTGCGGCTACTAGATCAGTGACATAATCAACAAGATTAGTGTTTGTCGATTTTTTCACCGTAAAACCGTGCTGACTGGGAGACAGAAAGCGTTTAATGTGGTTGTAAAATACTGGATATACAATCGATTCAAAAACCTTCGACAAGGCTGAGAGAATTGA